CTATAGCAACCAACACCTTTTATGGGGTCTGATGAGCGTACACATTTGATGCCTTATCTCGACGTTTGGTTCATCCCACAGCGCCAGTTCTGCTTACCAAAAATGGCCCACTAGGCACTCATACATCCAAATGGTCGGCTTCAATCAAGAAAGTCAACCATCTCACCCATTTAAAGTTTGAGAATAGGTTGAGGTCGTTTCAACCCCAAGACCTCTAATCATTAGCTTTACCGGATGAGACTGAGTCAAAAAGCGCCTGCTATCCTGAGGGAAACTTCGGAGGGAACCAGCTACAAGATGGTTCGATTAGTCTTTCGCCCCTATACCCAGGTCTGACGATCGATTTGCACGTCAGAATCGCTACAGACCTCCACCAGAGTTTCCTCTGGCTTCGTCTTGCCCAGGCATAGTTCACCATCTTTCGGGTACCATCGTATACGCTCCAGCTTCGCCTGATTGCCAATAAACAAAGTAGGCGAGCCGCTACTGCGACCGAAATCTCGTAGCTTTACTTTCATTTCGCCTCTCTGGCCTGTACAAGACCGAGCGACTTGCGTATATGATAGGCTCCTTGGTCCGTGTTTCAAGACGGGTCAAATGGAAACCGACCTACTCGCGCCACAGTTCTACACCACGCAATGCAAGCAACAACTAATTGACATTGTTGAAACGGCTTTTCGCATCCAAAGACACGTAAAGACCGGTCTCGAAACACCAATTAGCAATCACAGGCAAACGCAGTTTATATACTCCCGAAGGAGAACTTTTATCAATCAGTTCATTAGGCGACGGTTCCGGCCAGAGACTATAACGCCGTCAAATCAAAGACTTGACGGGCACCTTTCTCCAGCCCAATCTTACGGCCGTCCCAATCATCTGATCGAACGTGGCTTAGCATCCTCGGCACGAAATGCACCAAAGCTTGCGGCCGAAAAAACAAAGGAACAATCTCCGAAAAGATCCATTTCCGTCGTCGTTGGCTGCAAGCCTTGATTGAATCGACCGAAGCGCAAACTTCGTGGTTCCATCTGTTTGCCTTCCAGTGGTTTCACGTACTGTTTAACTCTCTCTTCAAAGTGCTTTGCAACTTTCCCTCACGGTACTTGTTTGCTATCGGTCTCGCTGTCATATTTAGTCTTGGATGGAGTCTACCACCGACTTTAAGCTGCACTCTCAAGCAACCTGACTCTAGAATGCATCGGTTTGCATGAATCAGTCGTTCGTCTCTATGGGCCTAGCACCCGCTCCGGATGTCCCTGTCAAAGGAACTTGAAACATACGACAATTCATGATACACCAACACATTAACGCCGCATCTCTTGAACGCCTAAACGTCAAGACTTGGCGCTGGACTTTTCCCCTTTCGCTCGCCGTTACTCAGGGAATCCCATTTGGTTTCTTTTCCTCCGCTTAGTTATATGCTTAAATTCAGCGGGTAGTCTCGCTTGATCTGAGGTCGAATATAGACAATTGTAATTTGAATATTGATCCATTATAGTAATCATACATGGCACACATTCTGGGTTGTTTAGCTGGAAACGCTAAATACCCTTTTAGTGATGAATGTGCTACAAAGCCATTAAATAATCACAAAAGGAGTCAGCATTCAAACTGTTTAGAAATAATCTCACGACACCGAAATGAATCGCGACGATACAGATCTATTTCATTTTGGTTTGTCAAATTTCGATAACGACGCTCAGACAAACGAAGCCATCGGATATCCAATGGCTGCAATGTGCGTTCGAATGTCGAGTGATCAGAGTGTCCTGCATTTCACACCGATTAACGTAGCTAGCTACGTTCTTCCTCGACCAGCGAGCCGAGTGATCCACCACTGGCAGTAGTAATTTTTGCTTTCATGCGATTCATTTGCAGAATCACAATTCAATTGTTTCAATGATACTGGCTCAATGTTGTTTTGAAATGAAAAAGAAAATGCCTTGTACCTGTGGCTCCAGCAATCGAATTATGCTCGAATCTGGTATTTAAACCTAGCGGCACTCAATACAAGCGACACACTACATCCACGTTCATCCCGAGGACAAACAGGAACCGTAGAATAGGCACCAACAGATAGCAAGGAGAATCGCCAACAAAGTTGTACATCGGTAAGTGTCAAGTTCCACTGCTTTAAAGAAGTCTAACTAATGCTTTTTTCCATGTTACCCAGATATAATAAAAGCCAAGTTTCAACTTCAGAACTTTCAATGACAACACCGATCGCAACACAAGTCAGTCGATCCATTTGTGATAACGGGCAACACATCGTTCGAATTGAGAATCAAGTGTTTCATTGTTCAAACAAAAACACCGATAATGATCCTTCCGCAGGTTCACCTACGGAAACCTTGTTACGACTTTTACTTCCTCTAGATGTTCAAGTTTGGTCATCTTTCCGGCCGAACATTGCCACCACGAGGATGGCTACGTTGGCCTGTCCGAAGACCTCACTAAAACATCCAATCGGTAGTAGCGACGGGCGGTGTGTACAAAGGGCAGGGACGTAATCAACACAAGCTGATGACTTGTGCTTACTGGGAATTCCTCGTTCATGGACAACAATTACAATCCCCAATCCCAGTCACGAAAAAGTTTCACTCGGTTTCCCGCTTCTTTCGAAGTAGGTAGACACATGCACGCTGATTTTTTCAGTGTAGCGCGCGTGCGGCCCCGGACATCTAAGGGCATCACAGACCTGTTATTGCTCTTTTCATACGGCTGAAACGCCGTTTGTCCCTCTAAGAAGCGTTCGAACAACACAACGGGTGTTCAACACTATTTAGTAGGCTAGAGTCTCGTTCGTTATCGGAATTAACCAGACAAATCGCTCCACCAACTAAGAACGGCCATGCACCACCACCCACTGAATCAAGAAAGAGCTCTTAATCTGTCAATCCTTCCAGTGTCCGGACCGGGTGAGTTTTCCCGTGTTGAGTCAAATTAAGCCGCAGGCTCCACTCCTGGTGGTGCCCTTCCGTCAATTCCTTTAAGTTTCAGCTTTGCAACCATACTTCCCCTGGAACCGAAAACTTTGGTTTCCCGGAAGCCGCCAGCCGAGTCATACAATAAACTCTGGCTGATTGCTGGTTGGCATCGTTTATGGTTAGAACTAGGGCGGTATCTGATCGCCTTCGAACCTCTAACTTTCGTTCTTGATTAATGAAAACGTTCTTGACAAATGCTTTCGCTTTAGTTAGTCATGCGGCGGTCCAAGAATTTCACCTCTATCGCCGCAGTACTAATGTCCCCGTCCGTCCCTCTTAATCATTACCTCGATTCCGAAGACCAACAGAACAGAACCAAGGTCCTATTCCATTATTCCATGCAACAGTATTCAGGCGATTGATGCCTGCTTTGAGCACTCTAATTTTTCAAAGTAAACGTATCGATCGCCCACGACACTCAATGAAGAATACCGTGGGACAATGCGATATTCTGCTCAGCATGACAGTAACCACCGTCAAGTGGACCACCATGCATGAGCTGAGATCCAACTACGAGCTTTTTAACCACAACAACTTTAATATACGCTATTGGAGCTGGAATTACCGCGGCTGCTGGCACCAGACTTGCCCTCCAATTGATCCTCGTTAAAGGATTTAAACTGTACTCATTCCAATTACGAGAACGCATAAGCGAAGCCCGTATTGTTATTTTTCGTCACTACCTCCTCGTTCTGAGAGTGGGTAATTTGCGCGCCTGCTGCCTTCCTTGGATGTGGTAGCCGTCTCTCAGGCTCCCTCTCCGGAATCGAACCCTGATTCCCCGTTACCCGTTACAACCATGGTAGGCACATAACCTACCATCGAAAGTTGATAAGGCAGACACTCGAAGGATATGCCGCCGGCACGAGGCCATGCGGTCAGCTGCAGTTATCCAGAGTCACCACCGTAAGGTGTTGCCACCTTTGGTCTTGGTCTAATAAATGCACTCCACCACGAGGATGAAGCTTTTCGGCATGTATTAGCTCTAGAATTACCACAGTTATCCATGTAATTGGTCAACATCCAATGAATCATAACTGATTTAATGAGCCATTCGCGGTTTCACCTTAATACGGTATGTACTTAGACATGCATGGCTTAATCTTTGAGACAAGCATATGACTACTGGCAGGATCAACCAGGTAGCAGCAAATGTTATAGACTTGCTTCATATTCAGATAATTGTTGGTGACAATTAACTAGAATATTCAGCTGTCAAACATTGCTTGTGTTGTTGCAATAACAACACGACATGACGATTGCTTCGCACATCACTGTTTAGGTGGAAAGCTTAACACACATCGATCATGCCACAAATCGTACAAAGTACGATCAAAACCCGTAATCTTTCGATTTCAGGCATTTTCGTCGATCTTCTTCAGCTTGTTGCAATGAAAGACTGGCTGTTCCACCGTTTATCCGTACATTTAAGCACGAAAAGCGAAAACAAGCCAAGTTCTGGATCCATCCAAAACGACCACGTAACCACGAATCCGATATGAGACCATTGAGCAGCTCCAAGTTGACGGGAATCCTCAGCAGTTGAGCATTTCAGTCCATGCCTTAAAGATTAAGGGGAGACCCAGAAATGCACGGCGCTGATTTGAGATCCAATACCATACACACTACATCCGAGTATGGATCAGAATCTCAAACGCCGAGACTTAAGCGAAAAACCGAAGCTTCTCGCTCAAGCCCCACGCTATGAAGCGCGTTAACCAATTTGAATGTGTGAGACACCACGATTTCTCCGGTTAAGGGTACTACTGTGATAAGGCAAGCGTCAAAATGGAGAAAGCGCTTCGCCAAGCCGAAAACTCAAATTGCAACTGCAGCACTGACACAGCGCTAACAAGTTACAATCCTCGCTTGTATCAACTTTGTCAAATCGTCGATTTCTTTCGAACGATCGTCTCGCCACAAATATATCAAACCTTGACCACGATTCATAGTATAAGTAAAATGAGCATTACATCAACTACGAAACACGGGATATTTAGTAGCAGTATATATTTATTCGTAAAAAAGTTGAGAGAAGCAGCAAAATCCAATGATACGAGAAATATACACACATATCAAAGTAAAAAAAGGCAGATCACAGTGATCCATTCGCGTAAGGATACATGAGTATTGTTGCATTGTAGACATGCGCGTTCCGACACTTGACGAACTTTGATTTTTTTTGAGACCCATACTCACATCTGAATGGTATGTTGATTGTGATTTGATTGTATAATCAACTAAATAAATAAAAATGCAAACGGAAAATGGATGAGCTTATCATTATGGTTTCAGATTTTTCACAATAGACCAACACGACTCGTATATTATTTTTTGTTTGATTATGCTTCATTCTTTGCTCATTAAAAAATGCATGACTAATATCTAATAGCCAAGATTGCCATGTTGGTCGTGAATGAGTTACATCATTTGGACATATATTGTTTTAAACACAACTCAACTCATTTCTCAGCAATCAATACATTGGAATATGAATAAATTGTTTGTTCAAGTTGTCCTGTTGATTCCATTGGTTGTTACTACGACGAATGCAGCAGCATCGACCACTCCTGTCATTATCGATACAGACTGTGGTCAGTATTCGGATGATGTTACGGCCATGGCCATTATGCATAGTTATGCTGACCAAAATAGAGCCCATATTCTGGCCATTGTTGCCAACGATCGATACGAAGGAATCGTCCCGGTAATTGAAGCCATTAATCGCTATTTCAATCGCACCGACATACAAATCGGCGTGACAAAAGATCCGAATGCATACGATTCTGGTCGAAATCTTACTTGGCCAGATTTTGTCATTCAAAATTATCCACATCCAATGTATGGTCGAAATGACCAAGCGGAAAATGCCGTTTCATTGTATCGACGAATGCTGGCCACATCGGCCGACAACAGTGTAGTTATTCTATCCATTGGTTTCTTCACCAATCTTGCACATTTACTTGATTCCGAAAGCGATGAATACTCACCATTATCCGGTCGTCGATTGATCCAGACCAAAGTGAACAGAATGATTGCAATGGCCGGTAACTTTCCCAATGGCAGTGAATGGAACATTGAGAAACAAGTTCAAGCATCACAACACGTCATAAATCTATGGCCCACATCGGTCATATTCACCGGTGCCGAAGTGGGCCAACATTTGCAATGTGGACAAAACATTATCAACGACACACGTCTAGCGAACAGTCCGATCAGAGAGGCTTGGATCATTCAAAAAGAGCAAAACATACCAGACGCATGTTTCGATGAAGTGGCTGCATTCATATCCATCAATGGTGTCGAACCATTCTACAAATTGGCATATGGAACCATGCAAATATCGTCGGATGGAAAGAATATCTGGCACCAATCACCGGATAATAAACCAACACGTCTGGCCTATGTGAAACAGGTGGCCAGCGATCAGCAAATATTGAATGTAATGGATCCTTTATTGCAACGATAAATCTCAGCACATTCCAATCAGATCTGGCTTGACATTGTTGCATTCATAACGTAATTCTCGGAAACATTTGCTCTTTCGAATTCGATGACCACAATCGATTTTTTTCATTAAAATCTGTTCCGATTTGCAACTACAATTGTGCAGCTGTTTTTGATAATAACAACCAACATCTTTGCTGCAATCGAATAGCAAAAGTGGCGGTTGCATCAAACGTTTTCTATCACAAATGTATAGATTCATTCCGCATGGAGTGTGGGGATGCAGGTAACGATTAAGATCCAAACCATTGTAGATTCCAGGTTGTGGCACATAACAAATGCATTTGGTTCGATCAACCTCACCCAAGCGATATTCCTCTTCAAGCATGAACATTTTTTCCAAATGTTCCATTGCATTCTCAGAAAATGAAAATATAGATCCATCATCATCGTTGTCATCTTGGCCATGACATTGTCGTGCCATTATTATTAAAATCGTTAGACACAAATTGATTGGCCACATGTTTGAGTTTTTCCAATTTCAATCATTCTGTTTATAATTTACATCATCATCATCAATCATCAAAACAAATTAAATAAAAAAAAAATCAAAAAAAAAAATCCATTTTTTCAAACATGCGCGTTAGTAACTCACGTATCACAATGAATTGCATTTTGTCGATGCACACATTAGATTAAAGTCACAAGTCACATTGCAACATAAAAAATATAAAAAATATGATGACTAGCTCAAAACTGTATCCATTTGTTGTAGTCTCAATAAACTGAACACAACATTATGACCATGTCTGCAGTATGCTCACACCTACTGCAAAAACATGGCAAAATTTTGATTCTTTCATTCCATTTAGCAACTCTAATCTAATTATTATTAAATTAATTTTTTCATTTCAATTGAGCTATGCGGAAAGATAAACTGTTTCACTTTTGAAATTGCTCTTTTCTAATCTTGCAACTCTGATCAAACAATGTCCAATTCTGATGTGATTACTGCATCCGGTGCCGTTGATCCACCACCACCGACAACCGGCAATAATGGTGAGTCGATTCTATTTCCATTCTCCCCATATATTATCATTAATTTGTCTTTAGATGAACAACAGCAGCAGCAGCAACAACAACAACAACAACCACGTACTTGGTCAATGATTAAAAGTCTGGTGATGCGAGCGTTGTTTTTCTATTTCATCATGTCAATGTTTCGCAAACAGCCAACGAAAACACCACCCGATTCCGGTGCTGGTGGCGGTAGTGGTGTAAATATGCCAAGTCACGGTTCAAATCTTTATCCAAACGGCACTCACATGGATCTCTTTCTATACATTAATGAAAATAAATATGGTCCAGATTTCGACGATTCTAGTCAATTGGTTTGGTTCAAACCTGATCTTATCTATGGTGATTGGCTCAGTGGTCCCACTGGTAATGGTGAATACATTGAGCAAGTGAATGTCAATTTATCGCCAAATGTTCAAAATAATGGTTCACTATGGTTGCACATAATTGTCGTGCCGAATGGAGCAAGTCCGAATGCCAAGGATCGAGATAACCATAATCCAGTGTATACGATACAAAAAAGCAAACAATTGAATCGATACAAGAAACGATCGTATAAAAAAACACACAACCTATTGACCGGACAGACTGCAGCCACCGAAGAAGAACAAGCCAAAATCAAACAAAACATTCGACACGAAATTCTCTCTCATTGGCATCCAAATCTGACCATCAATCTCATCGATGATCATACACCGTGGACTCGTGGTCAGGTTCCAGCTCCATTACAGGAGTACATTGAATTCGAACCGATAAGTGGCAAATATTATCCCATCATATACATTAACGATTACTGGAATCTGATGCGTGATTATCAACCGATCAATGAGACCGTTTCGAACATTACGTTTCGGTTCACATATCAGCCACTGTCGTTGTTCAAATGGCAAATGTACACCGCTCAATCGATGCGTAACAAATGGACTTCGTTGATGGGTCATGATGCCAATGAACAAGACGACGATGAACAGGATTTGTTAAAGGAGACCTTTCTGGAAACATCACCCATTCTGCTCGGACTGACTGTCGTTGTTTCCATAACCCATTCAGTATTTGAGTTTCTTGCATTCAAAAATGGTAATGCCCACATCACTATGATAACAATTGATCGATTGACTTGTTTTTTTTAGACATACAATTTTGGCGAAATCGTCGTTCACTAGAAGGGCTTTCCGTTCGATCCGTATTCTTCAACGTATTTCAATCGCTCATTGTATTGCTGTATGTATGCGACAATGACACAAACTTTATGATTCGTATTAGCGTCCTGATCGGTTTGGTCATTGAATTGTGGAAGATTAAAAAAGTGGTCAACATTGAACGTGTGGACAACGAGAAATGGTTCGGTTTGTTTCCTAAATATCGCATCACCGATAAAGGGTCGTATGTTGAATCATCAACCAAACAATACGACATGGTAAGCATCAGAAAATGTGTTTCATTAACCATATAACCAACTCAATTCATTTCCCCTTAGCTGGCATTCAAATATCTGTCATGGATCCTGTTTCCATTATTCGTCGGTTATGTCATTTATTCGCTCATTTACAATGAACACAAAGGCTGGTATTCTTTCATATTGAACATGATTTATGGATTCCTACTCACATTCGGTTTGTTTTGTCATATTTCTTGCACACCAATTTAATGCAATCTCTCTCTGTCTCTCTCCGTAGGTTTCATAATGATGACACCACAATTGTTCATCAATTATAAACTCAAATCTGTGGCTCACCTTCCATGGCGAATGTTGACTTATAAATTCCTCAATACATTCATCGATGATATATTTGCCTTTGTCATCAAAATGCCCACAATGTATCGTCTTGGATGTTTCCGTGATGACATTATTTTTCTCATCTACGTTTACCAACGATGGATATATCGAGTCGATCAAAGCCGTGTCAATGAATTCGGTGTAAGTGGTGAAGAATTGGCTCAAGCCGAACACCAACAGCAGCAACCACAACAACAAACACAAACACAAATCGAACAGAATGGCAATGTTCTAGCCGTAGGTGACGATGATGATGGTGATGGCGGCCATCATGTGGGTGATACAGAATCGAAAAAAGACAAATGATACACCCCCACCACCTACACATTCGAACCAAACAATAGATTGTCCAAAAACTCAATTGTAAACAATATTGGAGAGTGATAATTTTGCAATTAAAAAGTTTTTATTATTTCAAATTTAACTTTATTCATTTATTTAAGAGAAAAAAAATAAAAAAGAAAAAAACCACACCACTTGACATACAGAGACATGTCATAAATTAGTTGATCAACAAAATCTATAAACAACAAACGAATAATCCGGTTCGGTGGGCAAAACACAAAACATTGAACAGATTGAAAAATTGAACAATGATTAAATGAGATAGAAACAGATAAATGTGGATACATAAATCAGTAAGAGGAAATGTGTGAATGAACAAAAATTTAGAATAAAACTATAGTTGAGAAATTTTGGAAATAAACTTGCAATGAATAAATGAATGATTGAACAATGTCTTCTTTTGCCATATTCGTGTTGGATTCGTTTTTTATAGTTTATTAAAATGGCCCATTCGGACAGTTCAAACCACCAATAGAGTCAACTGCCATTGTAATGAGCCATTTGAGGGAAAAATTAAAGTTGTGCTTATTAGCAAAAATTTGAAACGAATCAATTTATTAAATGAATGACCAGTTAGAATCATTTGATCACAATCAAGTTATTACTTGTCCAATAGTATAGTATCAAGCCAAAGGCATAGATTCATTGGATTGACCATTGCGACTTGGATACGGCGGATTCCGTATTCGATGTAATCGTTGTTGAATCAAAGACTGACGATTATTGTTACGCATTGGTCGTACATTCCAACGATTTGAAGCATTGTGGCCAATGCCGACAGGACGACGATTACGATTCAAATTACGAACACCACCATTTCCAACGGCACGTCGTCGACTGCTACCTCCATTCGCAATACGAACTTGGTTTAAACCTTGATCAGCAGCATCAGCATCAGCATCAGCAGTAGCAGAAGCATCCACATCATTGTCATCGTGTTCATTATCAACATCATCGAGGAAAATGACAGATTGATCATTATTCACTTCCATTACATCGTCTTCATCTTCTTCGGCATGAATGTCCGAAATTCCACCTGCATCTGCATCATCATCACCATTATGAGAATCGTTGCTATCATCATTATCATTACTATTATTGTCAGTGGTGGTGGTGGTGGTGGTGAACAGATTATTTGAAAATGATCCAAAATTTTCATCAAAATTGAGCATCGATTCATTGGCTCTGCTGATCAAATTGAAGAATCGTCGAAGACGGAATTGATCGGGAAAGTTTGACGATATCGACAACACCGGTGGCGAGGATGATGTCGGTACATGTACAGAATTTGATGATGGTGACATACTCTCTACTTGATCCAATGACACATCGCTTTCATCGTCGTCGTCGTTGTTGTCATCGTCATCGTCATCTTCATCGTTGTCATTTTCATCACTTTCATCAACATAGATGAATAGATTACCATTTGCATCATTCTCTCCATCCACTTCATCTTCGTCGATAATTTCTACTGCATCGTGGAAATTTACATAACTGTCATTGCCAACATTATATTCTGGATGAGAGTTTGAAAAATTCAACAGAGTAGAAAATGCATCACGAAACGATGAATCTAATCCGGCAAGAATTTCATCCAAGTTTCCATGTGAACTCGATTCATCATTGCTATGTTCATTGGTGAACGCTGGATCGGTGAGCCGAGATTCGATCGATTCTTTTCGCTCTTTCTTTTCTTCTTCACTGAGATAATGATCGAGAATCAGATTGATCAATGAATGGAATCGAATAGATTTGGTCATCCGTGAAAATTTCTTGCGACAAACGGGACACTGTTGTTTACCGCGACGACTCCAGGCATTGATGCATGTGAAGCAGAATGTGTGTTCACAATTGAGAACGGTTGGTTCGTGCATTATATCACAGCAAACGGAGCAGGATATTTCATTTAAAAGAACATTTTTCAAAGCATCCGGACCTTTCACCATTTCTGCTTTCCGTTTCAATTCCTTTCCGACCATTTCTGCTTCTGCACGAATTGAATCCAACTCTTGTTTTTTGTTTTTGAAATCTTTTTCAAATTTAGAAAAATCCGATTTAATTTTCATCAAATTGATTGTCATCGATTGTTCGAAATGTTTACGATCAAAGTCACGTTTTATATCATCTTCACCAGGTTGTGTAGACAGATGGGTAATGTCACCAGTAGCTGTACCAGCACCAAGCACAAATGAGCATTGAATTGTTTTGCCCAATGTCGCATTTCTTTGCATATTCATAAAAACTTGATAATTTTCAACGAAAACATAACGAAAACTCGAACTTTCAAACGGCCCAAATGTCACAAAACAATTGTCGGTCAAACGCACTCGCCAAGCTACTTTTTGACCATTTACATATACACCATTTGTGCTCTGTGTACAAAAAAAATGAAAAAATGAAAACATTGTTGATAAATCATCATCATCATTGCAATTACTTACGCGTAAGTTTTCTAGATACCAAGATGAACCTAGATTGAAGATTCGTGCATGAACTCGAGAAATTTCAATAGATGTGATGTGAAAATCCGATTTAAGATCACGACCAATTGTCATTGGCTATTGAATTGAGAAAAAATTGTTTGTTCGACATTAGAATCAAGGAAACATGAATGTTACAGAATTGGATTCAATATTTACGCTTTTGGTCAAAATCATTTCGTTGAAGCAGTTATGATCAGGTTTCGTGATGATACGAATCAAACCAGCAGCTATTGACACATCTTTCTTTTCTTTTGATAATAGCTGCTGCAATGCTATTTGATCAAAAGACGGTTGTTGTAGTTGATGCGAGACATTCGGTCGATAGTTGATTAGATGTGATGGAGTGTTGGCATTGATGTAGAGATCATTTCGTCTATTGTCAGACATTATGGGATATATATAGTTTATATCTTAAGACAAATTTAAATGATGATTTTCTAACAAATAAAAACACACAATCTTAATATTCAAAATTAATTTTCAAAATTCAAAATTACACACATTTATTACAAGAATGTGCAACCAGTCAATATGACGATGATGGTCCCATTTTTCACAAAAAGAAATGTACAACCATTAATATAGATCTTAAAGAGTAGATTATTCAATTCATCACGTTTCCAAAACGTATCGTGATGAAATATGAAATAGAAAAAAAAACAGTCAATGTGAAACAGTTTGGACAAAAATTGAACTAACCTGCATCAATTGCTACTGCACACGATGCACATAATCGAATGAGTGTCGTCGCTTCTAAACTAAAAAAAATATCCAGATTGTTGTGGCAGGCGGAAAAGACCAGTGTCGACACCTAGCTTTAGACACAGTGTTTAATCACTCAACTATTCAACATGCTGCTAACATGTGTTGACATCATCTCTCTCGCTCACACACACTCAGTGTGTGGCTCATCTATTATTGCATGTACATTGCAGCATGAGATGTCGCCACAAGAGTCCTTATCTTATTCATAGATGCAATTATCTGATTTGATTGCATTATCATAAGAGAAAGAGATAAATAAATCCAATTCAATTCAATTCAATTCAAATTCATAGGCCAAACGTCACAAAAACAATTTTACATTTACAAACAATATGTCTACGTTGAAAGTTTATTCATTTGCCACACGTTTTAAAAAAAACGTTTTATCAACGTTCGTTTGCAATAAAAATAAATGCAATGTAATGATAATACACAATCCGAATCTCATGATTCAATGGATAAAATTGGTTCGAATATTATTTCGTTATCATTTGACCTATGAGATCATTTCGTTTGTCCGTATTGAAATTGAATCGATTTTCCAGCCAAATGTTTAGAAACAATTCTTTTCGTAATTGACGTTTCGACATCGTAATTGTCCAACAATGACGATGATGATGACATGCTTTTAAATTATTCAGGGTTGTCTGTTGACTGAGAATGTTGAGAAAATGAGTGCGACAACAATCAATCTGGTCATCGTTGAGTAGATGGGAATTTTTACATAGCAAACCATATCGACATTGACTTGTAACGGTTTTCAATGTTTGCTGTGCCACACCATCCAAATGAAATTTGCAGCCTTTCCGTTTGGCCAATATTTCTTGCAATCGAGTAACATCTTCAGCCGAGAATAGTAACTCGAGATTTTGCTGTCCGAATCGCCTGACCAACCGTTCCAAATGATTAAATTCATGTTGGATTTTTGCATGACAATGTGCTTGACTTTGACAATGTCTTTTTCGGTCTTGAACCGTATCACGAAATGATCGTTGACAATAATCACAATAGTATTGTTTACCCATCAATCAACATTAATGTGTGCAAATATATTCATCAATGTGTGGGTAACGCTTTGTGTGGATGTTACCCTATTATCATATGTTTGCTTCACGATCATCAGTGATGATGATGTGTGTGCGTTTGTTAACGTGTATATTTTCTTTTTCTCGCATCATTTAAACACTAATATATTCAATATTATTCAATATTCATCTGGAATCTGCTGATCTCAAACAACAGAAATGAATCTATTGTCTCCTGTTCTCCTGGTGATCATCACATTCTCCACAATCATCGAATCTGTTGACAAGAGCAATTTTAAAACCTGTGAACAATCGGGTTTCTGTAAACGGAATCGAAACCTTGAACAACGACCAGATCGATTTCAACTGGTCGATGGAACCATTGCTGCTGCATCCGATCACATTGCATTTCAATTGAAAAATGTCGACACTGGAATCATATATCAGGCTCAATTACAATCACTTTTGGCTGGACAAACATTTCGTTTTCGTGTAGATGAAATTGATTCACCGAAAAAACGTTTCGATCCAAGTCAACTTGTATTGATGGCCAACATCAAAGGATCGAAAATCAACATTGTTGACCAATTTTCCAATGGATTCACAGTCGAAGCTGTGGATCAACCAAAAAACAAAGTGGTCGTTCAAATGAATCCATTCCGATTAGATGTATACAGTATGGGTGAATTGGTCATGGTTGTCAACCAAAGAGGATTGTTCAATTTCGAACATTTTCGCCACAAGCCTCAAGGTTTGAATTTTTGAAAGAATTTTTCAAAAAAAAAAAAAAAAAATTAAATCAATTTTTTCACTCTAACGGCACAGAAGCATCCGAGACTGATCCAAATACTGATTGCAACGAAAATTGTTGGGAAGAAACATTCAAAGGTTCAACAGATAGCAAACCAAATGGTCCAATGTCAATTGGAATGGATGTAACATTGATCGGTTTCGAACATGTGTATGGCATTCCCGAACATGCCGACAGTTTCGCTCTCAAAGATACAAAAGGCAACAGTGATCCATATCGTTTATTCAATTCGGATGTATTCGAATACGAGCTCTACTCACCAATGACATTGTATGGCGCTTATCCCTTGATGATAGCTCATTCTAGTGCACCGAAAACTGTCGGTTTATTTTGGTTGAATCCATCGGAAACGTGGATCGATATTGAGTCCTCCAACACCGGTATCGGTGGCCTGTTGACCAATTTGGTTTCCGACTCGAAACCGAATAAATTGACACATTGGATCAGCGAAACCGGCCTGATTGACATGTTTTTCTTACTCGGCCCGAATGCTGCCAACGTAATGCATCAGAATGCTCAATTGTTTGGCACAACACGTTTGCCGCCAATCTATTCAATCGGTTATCACCAATGTCGTTGGAATTATTTCTCCGATCAAGAAGTGATGGATGTGGATGAAAAAGCCGACATTTACGACATTCCCATGGATGCAATTTGGTTGGACATTGAATACACGGATGGTCGATCAAAAAAATATTTCACCCATGATCCAGTCATGTTCAAAAATTGGCAATCAATGATTCAGAATTTGACGGCCAAAGGTCGACGATTGATAACGATTATCGATCCTCATTTGAAACGCGAATCTGGCTATCCCATCTACGATGAAGCTTCATCACAAGGTCTATTGACAAAGGATGCAAAAGAAGACAAAGATTTCGAAGGTTGGTGTTGGCCCGGTTCATCAGTATGGCCAGATTATTTGAATCCAATTGTTCGTGATTGGTGGGCTGATAAATTCGATCCTAAATTGTTTCCCGGTTTCGAAGGCGGTATCGTTGATTATTGGAACGACATGAACGAACCCTCTGTGTTTAGTGGTCCGGAAATTACGGCACCACGAGATATGCGACATATGGACAATGTTGAACATCGTGAAATTCACAACATTTATGGCTACCTCATGACTAAAAGCACCTACGATGGTTTGCTCAAACATCGTCCCAATCTTCGACTTTTCATTCTGTCTCGTTCATTTTTTGCCGGTTCTCAACGAAATGTGGCCGTATGGACTGGTGACAACATGTCCAAATGGGAACATTTGAAGATTACGATCCCAATGCTTTTGTCACATTCTATCGTGGGCATAACATTTATTGGTGCCGATATCGGTGGATTTTTTTTCAATCCAGAATCTGAAGAAATGATGATCCGTTGGTATCAGGCATCCATATTTCATCCATTCTATCGTGCTCATGCTCATCTCGACACGAAACGTCGTGAACCATGGCTTTTCTCTGATTTCACTCGACAATCGATTCGACAGTCGATTCGAATCCGCTATTCTTATCTGCCGTACATGTATCAATTGTTCTATGAAAACGAACAAACTGGAATGCCACCATTCAGACCATTGTGGATGCAATTCCCCACCGATTCGAAAACCTTATCCATCGATACGTCACATATGCTTGGTTCAAATCTTTTGTTTGCGCCCGTTCTGGACAAAGAAGCCAAACAGCTAGATATATATCTGCCCAGTGAACAACATAAACAAACGTTCTGGTTGGACGTGTTTGCTCATCATGTCTACCAAGGGGGCCAAGAATATCGATTTGAAGTGGACATAAACTCGATACCCATATTCCAACGAAGTGGAACTATCATTCCTAAACGGTAAGCTGCTTACAGGCAATCAAATGTTTAACATTGTTTAACATTCAATTTCAATTTTTCAATTTTCTTTCTTTACCTCACGCACACACACACACACTCAGTGAACGACCAAGACGTTCAGCCGTATTGGCAGTCAATGACCCAATTTCATTGCAAATCTTTCTCAACTCCAACGGGTCAGCATCGGGTTTCATCTATCTTGATGATGGCCAAACGTTTGATTATCAACGCCGAAATGCCTTCATCTCTGGTCGATTCAATTATTCAAAACGAACATTGACGTATACGTTTGACAAAGGTGATCCAGATTCGAATCGAGCTTGGCTTGAACGTGTCACAATTGTTGGTTATCCCTCCAAACCGAATCGAATCCAAATCATTGCTGCTGAGGAATTGTCATCCCAATTGGCATTCAAATACGATCAACAGAAACACTTGTTGGTCATTCGTAAACCTGCCGTCATGTTTGGGCAAAATTGGCAAATCAAGATCAATTGATAATTTTTGTGATATACAATACACGATTATTAATAATAATAAAAATAAAATTGAAAAACTGTACAATTTTCATCATGGTGACAACACAAAACCATTGATCGCGAGATATCCATTGAGGGTGGGATCACGGCCTAAAAATCGGCGAAACAATTCATTAGTTTCGATAGCACCAGTTTGTGCCATAAAAGTATCTTTGAATCGTTCGCCCATCTGTCTGATGGCTGGCTCATTGTGGAGATCGCGTTCACGAAAAGCGTCAAACAAATCGGCGGCAATCACCTCAGACCATTTGTTGCTGTAATATATTCCTTCCTGGCCATCACCTTTGAATAGATCAAGCCATGAACAAGTGTGGCCATTCTCTTCGATCGCTTCGAATGGCATCATCCATTCGGACCATGTTTTACGCAGTAAACTTGTCGAATGATCATGACTGGTGTGAAGATTTAGATCCAGTGCCATCAAATACAGTTCATATTTCAATGGAAATGATACAAAATGATAATAGGCTGTCAAACCAGAGAGAAGAAAAAACACAATGATCATACAATCAATCATAAATCAATCACTCAATCACTCACATTTACGAATTCGGTCGAAAAATTCCTCTGATATTGGCTCACCAGTTTTGAAATGACTGCTGCAACCTGCAATGACGGGATAGGAATTCAATGGCCATAATCTCATGAAATGTGACACCATATTGAATGTGTCGACTTCAATGTTGGCCAGGCCACCCAATTCACTGTAATCGACTTGAGTCAACAAGTGTTGCAATACAAAACCAAACTTGCCGAACAATTGAACCACTTGAGAAAAGTTGAGCAATTCTTTGCCGGCAGCCTGAAGTTTTTGTTTCTCAAGCTGATCAAAAACAGTACCACTTCGATGAGCAAAATCCATGAGGAAAAATACCACCGGTTTAGTATTCAATGAATCACTTCGTGCAATCGGCATAAATATTCGTGATTTCGGCTGAAATGGATCAAAATAAAAGGAACCATATTCGCCACTGGAACGGCCACTGTCATCGAATATTTTGAAATGATGAACATTTCTTCCCCAAACATTCGGGTCATCTTTAATCTCAACAATTTTGATGCCAAATAATCGCTCGGCAAATTCAAACATTCCAGCAACGACACGATCCAATTGGAAATAGGCGCGAACTTGGCCAGAATCAATCTGATAACGTTCGCGTAGAAATAGCCGTTCAAAGTATTTCAGATCCCATAAATGCAATTGTTCGATCATTATGTTTGACGGCATGAACGTGCTGGGCGCATCTTGTGCTCGTCGACCTTCTGGTCGAAATTCCATGGCAAAATCTTTGATTTCTTGGAGATTTTTCGCAAATTTAGCTTCACTTTGGCTACCCAAGCCATTCATGAAGGCAAGAACATTGTCAACATTTCCGGCCATTGTATGACATCCAGAACCTCTTAAATCCAAGACCATTTTGGCAAAATTTTCATATCCAAGTAGCTGAGCTTTTTGATGTCGAAGTTCACGAATCTTTTCGATGGACAGAAAATTATTTAGATTCGAACCAAGATAAGGTGCAGCACGAGCATTGTAGGCAAGCCAAAAATCCTTACGCAACGTTTGATCGGGACAGTATCGCATGAACGAATTGAAAACGGCATCAATATCATGATGGTTCAGCTGTGTGATCACATGGTCCGGTAGACAATCCAGAAATTGGGGTGAAATTATGTTTGACTGAAACACGCTATTGGCTTGCATGGCAGCTGTGATAAAGTTTTGCTGTTCTTTATTCAGTTTTTCATTCACCAAATTGTACACGTTCAGTTGGTCCTGGTGTTTCAAGCTTAAACCGACCAATTTCGCTTCACGAATATATCGATCGACAAGTTGTCGTTTCTGTTGGGCTTGAAATTTCCGTTCCTCATCAAGTTTGTTTGTTTTGGCCACCTCTTCTTGATGGATGTGGTTACATTTCGACGATGCCTCTTTTTTGCCATAATCTGCTGCACGGGCTTTCATTTCACACATGAAACAATAGATGCTACGATTCTGGAATCGCAATCTGGATTTAGCCAATCGTTGCATAAAGAAATGGTCGAATAATCTGAAATCAAATTCATTTGGTCGTATCACTTTGAAAGCACTCAATAGATTCAGATTGTATTGCAACGGCATCAGATGTTTCTCCATTTGGCCAATGAATTCGTTTAGCTTTGCATTCGAAACATCTTTTTCATCAAATTAAAGCACAATTAATATTTAATCCTATTACATCCATAAACCAAGGCAAACAATGCTTACCTCCATCTTCAAATTCCTGTTTCAACGTATTGCTGTATTCATCAATGAAATGTTCAAATTCCAACGATAATTTACCGGATGCGAGAACACATTTTTCCACATTTAATCCATCAAACGGTATTTGGCCAGTTGTAGGTAATACGAGAAATTCATTCGTCTCTTCAGTTTCGCCAGGAATCTCTGGAAATCTGTCAAGGCAAAAATACAAAATTAGCCATAGCGATAGATGAAACATTATCGACGACAAACATTAAAAAGGTGGGTTTCTTTTCCTCTTCATTATTATTATTATTACGTCTGAAGAGATCATATTTGGATTTTGACGTCAAACATCGATGTAGCTCTCTTCCATGGATTGAATTGAAACGAATAAATTTACTCAACAACATCGTTGTGTTGTGAATAATTAATATATGTGAAAAATAATGTGAATAATTATCGTTTGAATTTGAATTTCAATTTTTTCAAATCAGATGTTTCAATAAAAGGTTACATGAATTTTTTTTTCAAATTGATTGTTTTTGAATGGCCCCCAAGACAAAACATGTGTGTGTTGGTCAAAGTTTCAATGTTGTGAATTTGCCATCAACCAATAAATCATTGATATATCAAATAAAGATGCTGTTGACGCGGAGGGTCACTCGTCAAACTTTAAATTTGCTGGTCAGTTGTTTTCGAATGGACAAAAATTTCAGCCGTCTCCATGGTCAAGTTGTTGTTGGTCGCTGTGCATTGTGCACCGAATCACCACGAAAGAATGGTGATGAAACGAAATTAAACGTAATAATAATAATATATTGTTTTGTAATTGGTTAATGGAAACAATAATAATTCGCCGATTTGATCACAGAAAATCTACACAATCCCGAATGTTCTTTGTATGGCGAGGATAGCAATCACACCTTTCATCGGATATCTGATTGTCCGAGAAAACTTTGATTATGCATTGGCAATGTGTGCATTCAGTTCGCTTTCCGATTTTCTCGATGGTTGGATTGCCCGGAAATTCAATTCAATCTCAAAACTTGGTTCCGTACTGGATCCACTGGCCGATAAGTTTCTTGTGGCTTCATTAACACTAACACTGACCTATGTCGATATGATTCCCGTATGGCTGACTGCATTGATATTCACACGTGATTTTCTGATTATTCTGGGCGGTTTTTGGATGCGATATCGATCATTACTACCTCCGATAACGTTCAATAGATTTTTCGACATTTCAACATTTTCTTCGGAACGTTTTCGTCCAACATTTGCTTCGAAAGTGAACACTGGATTTCAATTGTCATTAGTGTCGCTCACACTGGCCTCTCCTGTGTTTATTGATTTATTCCGACACTTTGATCTTTTACTACCGTCACTACAATGGGTGACTGGAGCGACAACACTCTGGTCTGGATTGTTGTATATCAAACGATTAACTGCTAATCAATTGAATTAGAATAATACAATCAAATTCTATCAAATTCAATCAAATACAATCATGTTGTACATTTTTTGTTTCCATTGTTGTTATACATGTATAAAATTGCAATTATGGCCATCTGTTTTCATGTTTTTTGTTGGAGAAATAAAATGAAGCGAACAACTTCCGAGAACGTGGCTAAAAAAGACAATCAACAAACAAATAGTGAGGATCCAGATGATCCAAACCAATCAGCCGAAAACGAAGAAGAGGAATCATTTTCGTTGACCAAATCGGCCATCGATGATTTACCATCCACTGCCGTACAATCCATTCATCTGGAGGTACCCGAAGGACAGCCAAGTTTGGTGGAAAACGTTGATGAAGAAGCCTTTCTCTGGAAAGAATATAAAATGAAATGGTCCAAAGTACGTAAGCAACGAAAATCATTTGGACCGACGTCGTCTCGACAGCAGCCGCCACCAGTGGTTGGTAAACAACGTTCAATCACAAAACAACAACAGCAACAGACACCACAAAGAATTGCGACCAACAGTGGCAATGTGATTGTCGCGAACAACAACAAACAGCAGCAGCCACCAACACCGGGGCCAAAGCGAAATTCATCACAACAGACGATCAAAACAGTCGAACAAAATCGAAAAGTAGTTAATCAAGCAAATTCTGTTGTCAAAAGCAAAGAACGTCGTGATAATGTGAAAAAAAATAAAAAACGCAAATGAAAATGATTGATGATTGATCGAATAAAATTTCCATTCTTTGTTTACCGCCACCAGATGGTGTACACTGTGCACATGAATTTGTAAAAAATTTATGAAAAAAATTCTCCACGAGCCAGACAGGAAATTCTCAATTAGTCGAATCAAACAAAAAAAGGTTGTAAACGACCGAACCGGGAGAATTCGATCGCACTCAGACAGTGACTTTGTGTAATGCAATGTGTGTTTGGTTGAAATTCTCAACACGATAATTTTCAAGTGGAATCTTGATTTGATCCAATCAAAACTGTCATTTGGTTTCCGATGTATAATCACATTTATTGCAATCATGAATAGCAACTACCGACCGAAATATTTACAGTGTGTGTGTGTGTGTGTGTGTGTGTGTGTGTTCCCATATATATCTAAAGATCGACAGACGATACAATATATTACATTAATACGTGGATGCAGTGATGATGGTGATTATAATCTATCGATAAGTAATAGAACAGCAAAAATATTTGTCTTGACAACAGCGAGATTGAGCATTTTTTTTAGTTTGTTAAACATTCCATTCTCTGTTTCCAATGAAATTTCTAATCACATCATTCTTCTCAAACTCACAATTCAAGTTGCCTTTCCCCGATTCGTGCCCATTGATTGGATAACAAAATTATTCGAATTTGTTGTCCAATTTGAATGTCATCATCGATATATGCGGTGCGTGATCAATAAAATCCATCTCTACTATCAATCAGTAGCCTTGTGACGTTTGTTGTTGTTATTGTTATTTCTCAATTGATCAATATATCAATATATCAATATACATTGTAATTATGAACAACAGGTGCCAATCAGCACTGGAAAACATACATTGATTATTATCACTCAATTTGAACACATTGTGAGTTTTCATCATTCCATTCAACTTGTTTGTTTCAAAATGATCAAAATGACACCACTTTTATGGGTGATGGTGATGATTTTGTTGTATGAATCATTTGTAGCCACTTCAGGTTAGTAAACATTGTTGTGTATGTGTAGCCATAAAATGATCAACAACCACATTCTCCTCCCAAGATGAATGTTCCGAATGGTATGAAACATGCAGCCAATTTCAGATGACAATGAGTCGAACGAAATTCTGCATTGGAAAAACCTTGTTTTTCTTTCCGAATTTCATGACCAACTGGCACTCGGCTCGTTCATATTGTTCCGGTGTGTTTCATGGCTATCGTCGTGCCGATCTTCTCTACTATGACGAAGAACTGTATCCGGATCCAGATCTAGAATTGTTACTGGAGAATTATCATCCACAAAATGCAGAATTTCCCACCGCTGCATTATGCTGTCCAATTATTCAAGATGAACCAATAGTTGTCTATGATGTTCAATGTAAATGGCTTTACAATGGTCATATCATACCAAAGGAATACTATCGAAACGTTCAATTTGCAAATAGTCATCAGTGTCATTTTTTAATGGTCGATCTTTCCGATGCAGAAAAGCCCAGATTTTCGAGGTAACTGTTTTCCTCACTCACTCACTGATTTAGAGTTATGTTAACCATCACTAATCATATATGTATTAGATCAATCCAAGTGTCGAATCCACAAGTCACGCAATTCATGTGTTCATACAAGCGACCACCCAAGTGTGGGTAAGTATTATGCCAAGTGTGTGTGTGATTGATAATTTTCATTTCAAAGTAATCAAATCATCAAAGTGATGCCACAACTACTACCACACAATCAACGGAAACTACACGTTCCTCGACAACAACTACCACAACGATCACACCTTCAACAACAACAACAACTTTAAGTCCACTACATTGTCCTGAGAAGCATCAATACGACATATATTGGCCATCCACTAATATCAATCATACAGCCCAAGCAGATTGTCCCGCTAATTATAAAGGCCACGCTACATGGCTATGTGGTCCTGATGGAAAATTCGTCTCTCAAGGTCCAAACATTAATTGTACGGCCGCATGGATAGATGAATCAGCAAAAAAGATTGAAAAAGTAAACAACATGAAACAACTTTCACAAGAGGTGCGCCATTTTCAGAACAAAGTCCAACAAGAACGGGCCAAATATTTTCAAGACCTCAAACAAATCGTTAAAGTAATACGCCAAATTGAATTCATTTTCGAATCATTTGCGTCAAATTCCAAACTGGAATCCACTTCACACGATGTTCGTAGCATCACTGAATCGATGGTCGAAAGCTGTGCAACTATTGTCGGTTGTGAACATGTTTGGCAACAAAGTCAACAACGTCGAAATGATCGAATTTTGGTGGCTGGAGAAATATTGAATTACATACAGGACAGTGGCCTAACCATGGGTTGTTATCAGGCTAAAAACGAATCTGCTTCACATATGGAACCAATTCTCTCTACAAACAATACGTACATCTATGTCAATGCTTTCAACATGAATCGTGAACAACCGATCCAATTTGATCATTTCGATCATGAGTTTTCGTTGAAAAATCTTCTGGCCGCAAAAGATAATGTTTCCGATTGGTGTCCACACAGTATGGCGGTGGGAGCATTATTCAAAAAATTATCCACTTACATGTTTGATGAACACCTTCAGCCGGACATGGTGATGAATTCAGAAATCATTGCATTCAGCTACAATAATTTCAGTCGTCAAACTTTTCCATTGCCCGATGATAATGAAGCCATAATGAGACTGGTGCATCATCAACGAATGGATTTCGGCATGCAACCCAAATGTGTGTTTTGGAATTTCGAAACCAATCTCTGGTCATCACGCGGATGTCATGTGGCCACAGAACAATCGGATCGGCTCAAAACCACCTGTGTTTGTGATCATTTGACCAATTTCGCCGTACTCATGGACGTTAGCGGCCAAGAGCGACCATCCAAATTGAAATCCATACTGACAATAATCATGTGTGCACTGTCCATCATTTGTCTCATATTGACCGTCGTATTCTTCATGATTTGTCGTGAACTCAAGTCTCGTCGTAATTCAATCATAATCAACATTTCGATCATTATGATCATCATTGATTTGTTGGTCATTTTTGGCCTCGACCGAACCGAATATCCGGTGAGTAGTAGTGACCACATTTATGGATTATAGCAGTTGTAGTGAATTTATTTATTTATTTATTTTGAATTCATGCCAGATTCTATGCAAATCCGTATCCATTTCATTGCTGTATACAATGTTGGCCTTGTTCTTTTGGATGCTGATGGAAGGATACAATCTTTATCAGATGATGATCTTTATTTTCAACACCAAAGGTCATTTACGAATGCTGTATCTTTATCTGATAGGTTATGGAGCGCCATTATTGATCACCGTACCAGCATCGATTTATATGCACTTTAAAACCGAATTGAGCAATGAATATTTGTAAGTTTTTCCATATAGAGCAGCAGCTTCATTAGCTATTTTCATTTAATATTTCAGTTGTTGGATTACATCCACCAAATATCCTGGCCAAATTTGGTTCTTGGCCGGACCTGTCACATTGATCATCGTCATCAATACATTCATTATGGTTAGAGTTATGAAAATTGTTTTGTCCAAGAATGCTCGAAATTCGTTCATACACCAATCATCGACATCTACGTCTAATGGCAAGAAATCTTCAAATGGCCATTTCGCTACCAATATTGCACAGCATCATTCGGCTAAACAGCGAAAACATTCGCACAAAAATGGCATCGTTTTGAATGGAAAAGTGGATAACGATGTGATGAGCTTCGAACAGAAAATGAGCGAATGGCTTACGTATCTGAGAGGATTTTTCGGTCTGGCCATTTTGATGGGCATCACTTGGATTTCTTACGTGCTCTACATTCATCAATTTGGTCATTTTTTCTCCTACGTGTTCATCGTCACCAACGGACTACAGGGTGTGTTCATTTTCCTCACACAATTCATATTCAACCGTAAAGCGATGGATGCAGTTAAGAAACGAATTTTCACAATCATTGGTGCCGGTGATTTCAGCTCAGCTGCACGTAATGCAACCACTACATCATACTTGTCGCAACAACGGGTCAGCAAACCATCCTTGGCCACTATTAACAAAACGAATCCTCAACAGACAAACAGCCGTAGCCAAGATGATGATGACGATGATCCTGACATTGACTTATCGCCTGATAAATATCCATATAATGTTCTTATTGATCGAACAACATCGTTTGAATTCTAGCCAAAATTCTAATTCATCGTTTCTGTAAATTAGCAATCATTTCATAATAATAATAACATTCATATTCATTCATATAAGTCTATAAAATTTTCTCTTTTCGTACATTACTAAATTTGGAAACTTGTCATTCACACACCCACACAACCTGATTTATCATCGTATTTCCAGTTTGACAATGTTCGCTATCAAACATCAAACATCAAACATAAACTTGTTATATTATATATTAATATAATAATAATCAAAGCTGCGTATCAAATGAAATGGACACATTTTTCTTCTACCAAAACATGTTATCATCATGGAAACATGATGATTCGATCGTCGGCACAAGATAGTTATTTTATCACTTCATAGTGATATAACACTGAGTCAGGATTTAGGTTCAGGATCAAGTTCAAACAGTTTTTTGACATTTTCAATTTTCGAATCATAATGCCACTAGCCGAATCAGCTGATTGTACCGATCATCTACAAGCACTGGTGTGTGAAAACAACAATAATGTGACTGTCATCACTACATCAGAATCTGGCAATCACAACAATACTACTGCAGACGATCGAAAAAACAATAGTCTAACATCGATGCAAACCAAATTCATCATCGTTCTGTTGGCTGTTTGTAATTTTTTCATCGCAAATGGCGTTTCATTACAAGGTCCATTCTTTCCCAAAGAGGCAGGTAAGTTGCAGTGGATTTGCATTTCATTCAATCACCAGAGAATTCATTCTTTTGCTTCACAGAACAAAAAGGAGCCACACCGTTAATTTATTCATCGATATTCGCCATCTATGAACTGGTCATGTTGATCACATCGTTTTTGTTCGGAAATTTTGCCGAAAAATTCAAAGCAAACCGAATGTCCGGTCTAGGATTGATTTTGACTGGCTTAGCGACCACAGTGTTCGGATTTCTCACCTATTTAACTATTGAAATTGAATTCGTAACAGTGGCTTTTGTGCTCAGGATTGTTGAATCGCTCGGCGCCACAGCATTTGCCACCAGTTCGTATTCATTCATAAGTGTTTGTTTTCCCGATCGTACTGCAACCATGTTTGCCACCATGGAAATGTTTTTCGGGCTTGGAGTCATCACTGGTCCGGTAATTGGCGGTTTTCTATACAATTTTCGTGGCTTTCTATTACCATTCCTCGCTAACGGCATTATCATTGGCATTTTCGGCGTTGTATTGATCAGTAGTCCGGTGGAAAAACTGTTTCTTCGAGGTAAATTACTCGGTCAGTTGAATGGTCAACATATGGACAACAATACCACCACCATCAACGATGATCGAGAATTCAATACATTGATCGTGCCGATAAATGAATCATCCGAATCATCAACCATTAACAACGAAAGTCAAGAGGAAAATCAACAAGTCACATTAGGTCGTTTTCTTTCGTCCACAATCGTTTTGATAGATGCGTTCATCATCATTACAGCAATCACATTGATGGGATTCAATGGTGCAACATTGGAACCGTTTATTCGCCATGAAGGAATCTCGAATCAAACACTTTATACGAGCTTAATGTTTGTCGCTCTTGGAGCTTCATATTCAATTTCTGCACTGTTTTGGGGCAAAGTTTGCGACAAATTCCCGTCGTTTCTGATTTGTTTTGCCATTGCTGGTTCGATCATCACAGGCATCGGACTTTTGTTCTTAGGTCCAGTACCATTTCTGACATGGACGATTCGACCAAAATTATGGACCATATCTGTGTGTATGATTTTATTCGGTATCGGAACCAGTTCGAAACAAGTATCTGCTTACACACATGCATTGAATCATACGATAAATGATCGAAAATTTCCCAAAAATCAAAAAACCTATGGTCTAATATCCGGCATGTTTTTCTCTTGTCTTTCGTTTGGCGGATTCATCGGTCCTATTATTGGCGGTTCATTGTTACAGTGGTCAGATTTTCATTATGCCACATTGGTCATGTTTGTACTGGAATGTATAGTTTTTGTCATTTTGTTATTGCTTCAATGTTTCTATGTTTCTATTACCACAACCACAATTAATCAACAATAAAGTATGACAAGATTCTTCTTCTTTTATATATAAACAAATAAATCTGCGCATGATCTTTGCATTGATAGATCATATTTGAATCACCATCATCATGATGATCATCAGCTGATTTAAAACTTTGCAAAACACTGGTTCAAAGTGTAAAGAATTCGTTGTCCATCTACAATGCAACGAACCTTGATCAATTGTTTGCACACTCGTAATGTAATATTGAATAATCGTTTTTGTGCCAATAAATCGACTGAAATTTTATTGCCAAATGACGACTCCTATTATGAATCGGCTTCGGATGTTCCCGTCGAAGCCAAAGTGCTCATCTATGGCGACGAATTAGTATCGAAAGCTTTGGCCTATCATCTCAGTGATACATTGGGTGGTGGCAACGTTGTCGTCGTTCGTGGCCATGGTCCTCGTGATGATCAAGAGAAATCGGTCTCTTACTCTACCTTGAATAGTTTTTTCATGAATCATTTGATTGTTTCGAATCCTCGTTCTTCTTTATTGATTCGTCATAGTGCCGATTTGTACAATGTTACCAATTGTGGAGCAATTTATCTCGCTCAAACCGAAGAACGAGTCAAATCGTTCAAGCGAATGATTTCAATTTCCAAATTGTTTATACCAAAAGAAAGTGGTGATATGGAACTACTTTCGCCCGAAGAAATCAAACGGAGACACAATTTCATCGATACGAATAAAATTAAATGCGGAATTCATGTACCATTCGATGGTGTAGTGATGGATCGAAGAGCCGAGGAAGACAAACTCGAAGAATATGCCCGATCCAAAGGTGTTCAGTTTTTCGACGAGTTTATTTTGAACAAAATCAACGTCAACAATGATCGCGTTTCCAATGTTGAGGTATAGGATTCGATTTTTGATTTTTGATTTTCGATTTTCGATTTTTAATGAAAATTTCATTTAGCTATTGCATCCAATTACACATGAAGTGGCCCGAATTCGATGTGAATATTTTGTCAATTCAGCCAACAATTACATGAGTCGTAGTGTAGGAAAATGCAGTCTTACCAAAGTACGTGTTCCATCACTGGCTTGTGAACATCAACTATTGGAAACTGAACCATTCAACATGCCAGGACAGCCGATTGATTCTCTCATACCGATTGTCAATGATTTTGATAACCGAACCACCGTTTACCAACGAACCGATAAAACACTTGTTCTTACTGGTTATGAAAAAGTTTCCAATGTTGTTCGTAAGCTTTATAGATCTCGAAGTAAAGATTATCCAGTCGATGTTGAGATACCAAAAATACCCGTCCGTTGGGATCATTTCTACTATCTGCTCGATCCGATTCTGAATCGAATTCCAGCATTACGTCAAGCCAATTATCGTAAGCTATATGCACGACCCGAGAATTTCACGCCTGATGGTCGACCATTAATAGGTGAAGTTGCCGAGATCAAAAACTATATTATCGCTGCTGGTGTTTGGCCTTCATTGACCGGTGGTACGGCCAAACTGTTGCAGGAATTGATATTGAACAAACCAAATTCATTTCAGCATGATTTCTGGTCTTTGGATCCTAAACGTTTCATGCCGCTACATTCGAATCGAATATTTTTGTTCGATCGACTTCGTGAAATCCCAGCAAAAGCTCGATACAACATCAACTTTCCTACGCCTCATAATAGCTATCAAACTGGACATGGATTGCTTCGCAGTCCACTCTATGACAGACTAAAAGCAGCCGGTGCTTATTTCACTCAATACATGGGTCATGAAAGACCTGCCGTCTATCTAAGCAAAGAAACCGAACCTTATCAAACAGAATCGGAAGATTGCGGTGTGCTTGAAGAACGTGTTCTCGAGACGCCATCATTCGGTAAACCACATTGGTTTGATGCTGTCAAACGTGAATACAGTGCTTGTCGAGAACGTGTCGCCATTCTGGATTACACAAGTTTTGCCAAATTTCAAATTTCCTCTGTTCACGATGAAGCATTGGAACTATTGCAATATCTTTGCTCAAACAATGTTGACATGCCAATCGGTTCGATCACATTGACAGGTAAATTTAAATTGTCGTCTATTTCAATCAAGTGCTTTAATTGATTTTTTTTTCAAGGAATGCAAAACGATCGTGGCGGTTTCGAAAATGATGTCTCCGTAATTCGTCTAAATGAACGAAACTTTTTTCTCATCGGTCCAACAGAAAGTCAAACTCGATGCATGGCCTGGCTACGATCTAACGTATTGGAGGATGACGTTGATCAGATATCCATTCGCGATGTTACCAATGATTTTACCGCCATTTGTATAATGGGCCCGTATGCTAAATTGTTGCTGATTGATGTTGTCGTTGCTGCAGCGTTGGCTTTAAAGGAACCCATAGAAAAGTTTACGAAACAATTGGATCAATTTCCATTCTTCACGGCCAAAGAATTGCCGATTGGATCGTCGAAAACACCGGTATTGGCATGTAATATCTCTCATACAGGCGAACTTGGTTTCGTACTGTACATGCACAATCAACAGGCTGTTCAGTGTTATGATACATTGGTCAGTGCTGGCGCCAAATACGGTGTCCAACATGCTGGAAGCATTTGTGTTCGCTCGTTACGAATAGAAAAGTTTTTCGCGTTCTGGGGCCAGGATCTAGATTCCACATCTACACCGTTGGAATGTGGTCGTGGATTTCGAGTGTTTTATGACAAGAATTTCCTTGGCAAAGAAGCTTTACTCAAACAAAAACGAGAAGGCGTCAAACGCAAATATGTGCAATTGTTATTGGATTCGTTCGATATCGACAAAGAACCATTATGGCCTTGGGGTAATGAGCCGATTTATTTGGCCGATCAAATCGATTCAAATGCCAAACCGCCAGTGGGTATGACTACAACTACAGCCTATGGATTCACTTTAGGTCGAATGGTGTGCCTTGGTTATATAAGCCATCCAGATCCGAATGCCGTAATCACCAATGATTATATTTTGGGCTCAAATTTTGAGGTTGAAGTAGGTGGTAAACGTTTCAGTGCACATATTAATCTACATTCACCCAAATTGACTGATGTCAGCGGAACATACATGCCTTCGTCGCCAACATTATCCTCTTGAAAGAAAACACTTGTGATATATCCAATTTTATGTTTATCATTCTAACTAGTTTTGAATCGGATTGATTTTAATAAAAATCATTGCACATTTACAGTTGGTAATTGGTAATAATTGATAATTGATATTTGACAATTGATAATTGACAATTGACAATTGACAATCATAGTGATAGTTCATGCACTTTCTAGGACTATTTTAATTTTGAAAATCATAAGACGTGTTATTGATTATCGGTTGATATCAGCTGATATCATCATCATCATTCATTCTAAAGTGCAAATCATTCAACAATTACATTCTCACCACATCTATTGATCGATATAAAAACATGCACTTTATTCAAGTTTATACAATCACTATTTGCCAAAATGTTGTCTTCAATGCTGATGGGATTCATGTTGAATCCTTATTTACTTTATGTAATAGCCGCAGTCTTCATTATCGCATTACTTGGCCGATTATATTATGAATTGTATGAATATCTGATGAAACGACAATGTGCAAGACAAAATCTGAAATATGTTCGTATGCCCAGTCAAACTATTGCCATAATACGTAAACAACGTTATGATATTGCCGAAACTAAATTCGTAAAAGAAAATGGCAAAGTATTCGGTACGAATATGCTCAACCAGTTGACCATTTATGTGGCCGATGCTGAATTGGTACAGATTGTCTGTAATCGAGAATTCACCAAATTCACTAATCGTCGAGTAAGTATCATTTATGATCACTAACGAGAATAGTGGATAATAAATTGATTGTCATTTTCATTTAGGCATTCGAACTTCAAGATCCTGTTTGGGATAATGTTATGTTTGCAGCTAACGATGAAAAATGGAAACGCTTACGTGCTATCATGTCACCTGCATTCGCTACTGGCAAACTGCGTAAATTCAAATTTTGCATCGATGAAACCTATCAGACGATGGCGGCAAATCTAGACAAAAAGATTGCAAAAGATCCGATTGTCAATATTAAACATGTTGTCGGAGCATACACAATGGACACTATCATTCAGTTGTCAATGGGCATTAGAATCGATTCATTGGAAGATCCAAACACCCCTCTCATCAGATATGCCAGACAATTATTTGGTCATGATTTACTGGTTAAAGATGCCATTTTATTCTCGATAGCTTTTTTCTACCCCAAATTATTGAAATATCTCCCCTTACGATTGCAAGGCGAAGCTATTGATCATTTTAAAGAATGTGTTTTGCAAATTGTCCACAAAAAGCGTGAAGAAATGAATAATAAGCAAAGCTCACAAAAAGCTACAAATTTTATCGAATTGGTTTTGGAAGTGGAACAAGAACAAGAATCTGTCGATAAACAACAACAACAACAACAATCAAATGGAGATGCTAAGCCATTTAAACATATCACTAACGATGAAATGATTGCCCAATGCATTACCTTTTTCACTGTTGGTTATGATACAACCGCTACGACCATAACAAACACTTGTTATGCATTGGCCACACATCCGGATAATCAGGAAAAACTCCATCAAAGTATCATGGAAACATTGGATCAATTGGCTCAAGAACGAACCGATGGTTGTAAAGATCCCTACGAATTGATCACATTCGATACATTGAATAGATTCGAATATTTGAATGCTGTACTGAATGAAACGATGCGATTTTTAACACTAGTTTCAGCCACCGAACGAATAGCTACGGAAGATTCACGTGTAGAGACTAGTGATAAAAAGAAATGGTTCGATGTAAAGAAAGGGGATGTTATTCGTATCCCAATGCTCAGTTTACATATGGACCCAGAATATTTTTCACAGCCCAATCAGTTTCTTCCAGAACGATTTATGCCACAACAACAACAAGATGATAATAAACGATTCAACAAATATGCATTCATGCCATTTGGAAGTGGTCCAAGGAAATGCATAGCTTCAAATCTAGCCATATTGGAGGCGAAAATGGCATTAGTCCATCTGTTTCGAACGTATCGTATGAGTGTTGCTACAAAAACACAAATTCCGTTGGATTTCTATATAAATGCTGATTTATTGTTCCCTAAAGATGTCTATTTACATGTAGAGCAGAGATTATAATTATCATATAATGATGATGATGATGATGATTGATTGAATGTTTAGACATTACTTTTGCACTTGACAAATTGTACTTGCATTTGATTTATTCCATTCGTAAACAAAATAAACATTGCAAACACTAAATAATAATCAATTGATGATTGATTTGTTTTTGACATCAGTCGATGTCTGTCAGAAGATTTTGATTTTTTTTGATAATGAAAGAAAGTATACCAATCAATGGATGAACCTTGTCCTCTAATTATCGGTTCATTTGGTTTAATCATGTTTTTTCAGAAAATCTTGCTTTCAATTTACATATAAATAGAGCATCTATGGAACAATTATACATTACATCAAGTTTTGCACATTAAATAAAAAAAATATATCCACAATGTTGTCCACAATATTGGTAGGATTCATATGGAGTGCCCATCTTTCCTATGCCATCGGTGTATCGATCATTATTGGCATTCTAATCTGGGCATGGATCGAATGGAATGAACATCGTGTTCGGCAAAAATGTCGTCGACAAAACATTCCATATGTTCGAATTCCAAGTTTAAACATGACCCTATTGCGACGTCAACGTTATGATTTGATTGAAATTGATTTGGCACGAAAATATGGCAAGGTATTTGGTGGCACCATGTTCAGTGAACCAACAATCTATGTGACTGACGCTGAACTGGCACAAATCATCACTAATCGAGAATTCACTAAATTCGCTAATCGACGGGTAAGTTAGATTGAAGTTGATCATTGAGAACCGAATTGATTTTGAGTTGAAATCCAGAGTTTCACAACCTATGATCCGGTTTGGGATAATTTTTTGTTTACGACCAATGATGAAAAATGGAAACGTTTACGAGCCATTGTATCACCGACCTTCAGTTCGGGTAAATTACGTAAAATCAAATACTGTATCGATGAAAATGTTGAAAAAATGCGTCAACATTTGAACGAAAAGATTGACAACATTCAAGATTCATCAGCATTGGATGTTAAAAAAATTATTGGATCATTCACCATGGACACAATCATTCAGATTTCAATGGGCATTAAAATCAATTCGCTCCAAGACCCCAATCATTTGGCCATTAAATACGCCAGACAATTGTTTGGTCGTGATGTTCCCTTGCGTGATACTTTCATTACTGCGTTGGCATTCAAATGGCCCAAATTATTGAAATTTTTAAATCTAAGATTACAGCCTGATGCCATGGACTATTTCCGCCAATGTTCATTGGAAATTGTACGCAAAAATCGAGAACGAATTCAAAAAATGAGTGCCGATTCACCGTTCAAGGCATCCAATTTCATTGAATTAATTCTTGAAGTTGAACAAGAACAAAAGGCATACGAAAAACAGCAAAATGGCAATTCTGCAATACCGTTCAAACGTAAGATTATTGAGTTGATTTAATGAATTGATAATCGATAATTTATGATTATTGCAAATAGATGTTACAAATGACGAATTGCTTGCCCAATGTATCCTTTTTTTCACTGTTGGTTATGATACAACCGCTACGACCATAACAAACACTTGTTATGCACTGGCCACACATCCGGATAAACAGGAAAAACTCCATCAAAGTATCATGGAAACATTGGATCGATTGGCTCAAGAACGAACCGATGGTTGTAAAGATCCCTACGAATTGATCACATTCGATACATTGAATAGATTCGAATATTTGAATGCTGCACTGAATGAAACGATGCGATTTTTAACGTTAGCCACTACTACAGAAAGAATGGCAACAGAAGATGTTCGTCTCGAAACTAGTGACAAGAAAACCTGGTTTGACGTGAAAAAAGGCGATGTCATTCGAATACCAATCATCTACTTGCATAAGGATGAGAAAAATTTTTCCGATCCTGAACAATTTATTCCCGAACGTTTTCTTCAACACGACGATGGCTACAAAGGACATTTTAACAAATATGCATTCATGCCTTTCGGAAGTGGCCCTAGAAAATGTGTGGCTGCAAATCTAGCTTTGTTGGAAGCGAAAATGGCCCTCGTTCATCTATTTCGAATGTATCGGATGAGCGTGCATCCAAAAGCCACGAAAATTCCTCTCGAGTTTTACATCAATGCTGGAGTTCTTGTCAGTAGAGATGTGTCATTGTTTGTGGAGAAAAGATAATTGAAATTGAAAATTAAAATTGAATTTCATTTGAACAAACTTTTCCTCAATCGATTCTTGATGAGGAAAAAAAATTTTCCATATATAAATAGAAAGTGAATTGATTTCGAATCAATCACTCATTATTCGTTTGATGCAATTGTTGCACATTTTGTTCAAGGATGCAAACGTTCACTTTTCCATTGTTCATCATCTGTCTATTACTATCTCCAGGCTGGGTTCAAGTGATTCGATTTTGTACAATAGATGGCCTAATTCAATGTTTTCTAGATCCAATGCGATATTTTTATTGGCAACAACAACATATTACGGGCATTCCAGTAGATGATGACCAATTTGAGCAATATTGTTTGTAAGTTTTTTTTGATTCAAAAATTCTCACAATCATTTATTATATATAATCATTTATAATTGAAGCATTAGTCACGATTTTTCGCCTTATTGTGCTCACAAATGGGCCAAACAATGTGCATCACCAATCTATGATAGTCTGATCAATCGACTGTATTTAGAACGACTGCAACAATTGGCTATCGATCATTGTAACAAAGAATATCGCCGTGAAGCCAATAAACATTCGAAATGTGTTGACCAAGTTAAACGTGATGTACCATATCGAAATATCTGTGTTCGACAACTACAAGCGAATTTGGAATGGATCCACCAGCAAACCAAACAGAATGATAATCTCACATATTGGTACCGGAATCAATGCTGTACATTTAATCAATATGTCGATTGCCTTGGCCAACATATCAACGCTGAATGTGGCTTCAAAGCCAGTCAATTAGTCAATGATTTACTTGTTTCCGTCAATGCTTTCTGTCCACAAGAAGCGTTCAATTCAAGTGATAAGCTGCTGCAATGTCAACCTGACATGTATGTTGCACCGAAAGACTTTGAACCGAAAGGATTTGCTTCTAAAGCATTTCTAAGTCGATTATATTCCCAATTGGCACCGGAAACTGGTTTTTGATTGTTTACCACTGCAGCCAAGCCAACAGTGATTGAATGACATACTTGAATCATACCCTTTTCACTATGATTATGATTCCATTTTGTTTTAGTTTGCTATCACATTTTTCATCTAATCTGGCACTACAAATGGAGAAAAAATAGCCCATGCATTATTTTTAGGCTTGATTGTTCAATAATTAAAAACCAACACAATACACAATACACAATAAACAATTGTAATCGTGCCTTGCAAACAATAATTAATGAAAGTGAAGTAGTAAGTTGTCTCACAATTAATCCAGCTAGTAGGACGAGGCCATTTACGTATTTAATGCATGTGATCACTAATTATTCTGTAGGGTCGGTCATATATAAATACAATCCACTATCTACTAGTTTATATTTATATATTTCATTTTCGTTCAATCATACCAGCCATAATAATGAGCTTATCATTTTTCACTCGTCATTTCATGTCTATGCTATAACACAACACACCATATTGATGGTTCATCAAATTGACTCGTGAACATTTCAAATTTTTAGAATCGAGAAAAATTCATTCCAGATTGCAAACGGGGAGATAGTGTGTTGCAATTTTTAAATTTCTCTGTTCAGAACAGGCGATATAATTAACGTGGTGACACGAATGCTAAATTAGTCCAGGTATGAGGATAAACCATATCCTGCATGGCTAATAAGCAGTGATTGGCAAATGGTCAAATATATGGATTTGAACATTACACTGTTCTAGATGGAATCGATAACAAAGATTATTGTGACCTTCAAACCTTCTTGCCATGTGCTAGAAACATTAGATTGGTCATATATTATGTGTAAATTGAAAACAAACATTTTATTGCCAACAAATATGTTGATTACCAACCACTGGCTGAGAACAACAATCACAATAACAATAAAAATAGCCAAATGAGACAAATGATTAATTCAACAGAATTTTTCATCATTCTTCAGGTGTATCATATACATTGGATAAGCCAACAACTACGCCTGGTTACTGACCACCATGACGACCTATCCATACTGTACTGAATGTGGATACAAATCTATATTCTAGTCAATGTATGGTACCCTGCTGCTAGCCATTCTGTTGTCCACTCTTGTTCATTCAAATTGATATCCAACTAGGAGATGGAGGCCGACTACTATCCACCACCACTGACAGGGTTATTATCCGCTTTCCAAATTTCAAATATAGCCAAGGCGTCGGTATTATCATTGTTGTTCGAATACCGGCGACAATCATATTGAGATTTTGTAAAAACATTCTTGTTCATCATTTATGTGATTCGAGTTTGGTCGCTATCGACAAATCAAATGCCTGTGATTTTTGTTCGTTTTCGTTTTCTATCATTCAAATGTTGTTTTTAAAACTATGGATTGGTTTGAATTGAATTCACATCTTCGATTATTACGGCAATCAAAGACGCAGAATACGTCATTTTTGAAACAGCCACTCGGAACATCAACAAAATCGATACAAGCATCGAATGTATCGAATGCTCAGTTTGTCATTTCTGGCCAACGATTAGAAACGTTAAAATCACTGAGGAAATTATTGAGGAAATTTCCCAGCCGTCTTAATCATTCAACAATCTCATCAATCTTTGATGTTCTCAAGTCAATAATCGCTGAATTGACTTTGATTTATTTCAATCTTGATGGCAATCTTACAAACAATCAAAATGGCTCCAACAATCATCATCCACATCAGATGGTTCGTTGGAACTCGATGGCTCAGATCCCTACGAATAGCAAAACACAACCACCATTATTGCGAAAAACTTTGTCCACTGACAATGTTTTCATTGCTGCCGTACGGCGTAATGAAATTCTCGAATGCATACAGATTATCATCGATTTGATTTCAATGAAATCACTTGCAGCGAACCAGGATCAACAATCACAATCGGCAAACTCTAACAATCAACAGCTGCTAACTTCTGCTTCAACCAATGCTGAATATGATGCTCAGGATCTTGGTTGTCAAGAAGATTATTTTGGAAGAACGTTTTTGCCCGAGATCATCACATTATTGGGTAAAATGTATTCTCCTATGAATATTACTCATATCATTAACCTTTCCTTTTTTTGATATATGATGACTTATAGGTCATGAATCATCTGACGTACAACGAAATTCAATTCGTTTCTTGCAATTGTACATATCACGTACGCACAATCTTCAACGAACGATGACCACATTCATTGAACATGGTGTTGAATCATCGATAACCGGTACACAATTTGGAGCATTGAATGCCTTACCACATCTATTTGTTCGTGAAGAACTTCGTGCCGAAAATCTTGGCCCATTAGTTTCAAGCCTGGGCCAAATGTTGGTCCGTACACAGACGGATAAGCCTCATATTTTTTATCCCACATATGTTGCTCTGGAGCGTATCAATTCATTGATTGGTTCAAAACGTTTCTATCAATATCTATTCCAGTGTGGTCTCCAATCCGACCAAGACGGTGGTGATATTTCGAAAAAAGCCGTCACTATCTATGAAACCGTACAGAAGAGGGCACCATCACCTCAAGTTTATATTGCAAATATGGGTATGACAATCTTTTTCTATTATCATTCCATTGCTATGGCTCCCGACCAATATTCACAACAAACAAACAAACAAACCAACCACATAATGCTTATATTGTTCATCATAATCCGATTCGGTTGTTTGTAATTGTTTGATATTATGATTAATCATTATATTATCGTCTTAGGATCATAATAATTCAACTTAAACACCTACACCTGTGCATTAGTTAATATAGATACATTATAATTGAATACATTAATTGTCACATGATAAGCATTCTAGCAAACACGATAAGATTACATCAGTGAGTTATGTAATGACTGAGAGACCCCAGGTTACATCAATCATCATGATAAGATTACAATACATGGCCAAGATGAATGGTTCATGTCAGGCTTTTTTATTTATTTGGGTCAAATGACCTGTGATCTGTTATCTGTTTTCCAGACAGAAAGTTGCCAAAATTAATTAGACTGCCTTGCCATAATCGTAAAAATCAGTTTTTATTTTTCTTTCAATTCTCAATTCTCAATTCTCTACTCTGTAATAATTGGCTCTTTTGAATATGATTTCATGTTTGTGCGTGTCTCTCCTTGAAATCCTTAATCATCATGATTATTATGTACAGAATTGCAGAATCCAGTTTGTTAAGGTTTTGTTTGGTTGCCTGGATTTTCTTTCACTTTCAATCATTTGTATCAACCTTGAGATGGAAAAATTTCATTGAAATCCATAATCACAATAGCAATACAATTTACAATTTACAATCTAGATTCTATAGAATATGTATATCACCATCATCATTCTGGATAAACCTCTATAATTATGCAATGAATTGCTGATGGTTATGAAACCAAATGAAACCAAATGAAACGAAATGAAATCAAGTTACGTTACTCATGTATGAACCTCGAATCAATCAACAACAAACGAATAATTCTAGGCACGCACCAATCTATCCAACTCTCACTCACCATTTGGTCCGTGGTCGAATCTTTCCGACTACTCAAGGACTGATCATTATGCATATATATTAATATTTTTATTATTGCCTATCAACAACAACCAGATGAATCTGGTTGGTATTCTTAAATAAATTTATTATTATTTTCTCTTCGATTTCAGTTCAAATTGATCATTGCCATGTTAATGTCATTCCAGTGTTTTGGTCATAATCGTAAATCATTTTCGGCTATAAATAATGTGATTGTCTTTCCTTTAATGACTTGTCAATGAACGAATCTATTTAATGCCAGAATTGAACAGTCTCTCGTCACTCTAACCTAGATTTCAGTTTGTATTGAACTATCATGTATATGTTTTCAATTATCGATTCATATCGATCATTTGTTCTGCTCAATAAATCAATCAGAAGAGAGAAAGATAACGTTGGTTACGTATCCTAGCGGCACATTGCCAATTAACGAAAGAAACGAATTTGGCTAGTGTTGATTTCTATGCTGAATTATTGATGAATCCATTCTATTTGAAAATCTACAGTCTAATGTCCATTAACAATATCTCATTTCATAGTGATTATGATTTGGATTGATGACTTTGTTTTTGTTTTCGCCCCCATTTCTCATGATGTGATGACCACAATTATCAATTATAAAATGGGTACATGGTGATAAACAACAACAACAACAACAACAAAAAGTAATCTCAATTAGAATATTTCAGTTGTGTTGACCTGATTTGCCAAATGAAACTGTCACTCTGTTATGCTCAGGTAGTTGAAGATGAAATCGTTACAATCAGAAAACAAAACAAAAAACATGATGATTGATGACGTTTAACCTTATTCAATCACCACGATCATGGTTGGTTCGGTGAATTGTTTGTCATAATTAATATTATTCTCATTCACTCCAGATTCATTAATCCATCTTGCTATATAACACTTTCTACAATAGGATTGCATACGTTTATCGATTCATCATCAACAGCAACCACCACAAACAATCAACAACAACGACGTGGATCAAAAGGATCGCGAAGATACTCAAATGCGAACACAATTAATAGTAGCAAACCAAATAATTCAAAAACAGTGGATGATAAACAACAACAAAACGCTAATAACAAAATGAAACCAGGACAAGGTCCAGTTGGACAAATAATATCTACTGTGGATAATCGTAGATTCACTACTAATCTACCCATTATGGAAGAAGAATATGACCTGGAACCGGAACAAGAAATGATGATGATGATGTTGAATGGTGCTTCTAGTCACCCATCAATCCGTCATTGGGCCAACGAACAAATGTTTACTGAAAATGATGATTATGATAATTATAATGATGATGATGATGATGAAAATCAGGCCATCGTGAATGATCATACTAACCATGATGTTCGAGATGATTTAATTTCACCATCACATGAAAATGATAATAATGATGATGGTCAACAGCAATCACATGACGACCGGACGGAAATTCATAGAGATTATCCTGTTGCTACTGCTAATGGGGAGGAACGTTCACTCGAAAATGAAGAACTACGAACCAAGAAATGGGTCGAAAAAGAGGCGGCCGACACTTTCAGCAACCGAGAGCAAGAACAAGTATTATTATTAGCTAATCTGGATCATCCTCATTATAATTACCGCAGCAACCAACGACAAGAACAGGACAAAAAGGATTATTATGATGATGATCGCCATGGTGAATGCCAGAATCTGGATTCATTAAATAATAACCGAATAATGGATGTACTTCCAAATATTAACTACCAAAAAGATATGATTCGACGACAGTCGATAACGGCGGCAGCCACGATCAACGGTGATCCTTATGTTGCCTCTACTACTTTGGATACTGCAATGATGGATCATGAAGGTCCAGCAGTGCGTACGACTCAGCAATGCAAACTCGTAACGAACAACGAAAATGACAACAAACTATCGAAACCAGGGAAACCATTATCAAACTATGACCAACAGCAACAACTAGAACAACGGCTAATAACAACCAAAGAAAAAGAGGAACAGAATCAGGTGCAGGAGGCGAATCCATTGCTCATTCACAATAATAACAATGATGATGATGGAACAGGAGTAAGTCAAGAAGACGAATCTTCCCTTTATTCAAATGATATTACTGATGATCAACGATGTGGGCATGGACAAGAGCCAGATTTCAAAACTAATCACAATTCTAACGACAACGACGACGACGCCGAAAACATGGTGAAAAGTAGCGGTGGACAAGGACGACGTTTGTCCATAGTTGCTGATGGAACAACTGTCAATCGTAACAATAATACTAAGCTGCAACAACATTCGAATCGTTCAAGCAAACAGACATCATCATCTTTGAATCCCACTAGACAAGTTACATTCGCCAATGGCTATCGAAAAGGAAGCATTTCAACTGTCATTGGTCCAAAAATCGCCAAAAAGCCAACAACATTATCGGTATTAAAAACAACACAAGATTCACCCGGATCATCACATACATCTCGAACGTTGTCGAGTGATGAAGATGATATCGTTGCTCATCAAAATCGCTCAATCGCTAACACTAGAAACAATCAATTGGCCGATGATACAACCGATACGAAAATGGCTGCTGCTGCTGCATCAACTACGAATTTTATCCCACAAGGTTCGCTAGCTTCGTTGACACAATTAGATGCCGATACATTGGCAAACATTGAATATATTCCTACCATGAAGGTATGATTGTACTTTGAAATCGATTCACTCATTTAATGAAATTCTAATTCTTTTTAGCATTATTTGTTGCCATATTATCACCACTCATATTATCATGATTTGTTGTATCATCCTACCACATTGGCAGCAGCAACTACATCGCCCATTCTTTACCCGCCGACAGCAGCATCGTTGGTTGCCAATCCACATTTGCTTCGATTCGGAATATTTCCTCGTGTATTGATCTATCAGGCATTATCATCGATTGCTGAGGAACAATTTGCCGCCGTTCAGGCCATAGTTCGCATTGTCCGTGATGCACCGAATGACCATCTTTTACTATTATTGCCTCATATGGATGAATTTCTATCTGTATTTGTCTCACAACTCTTATTGGATAGTTCATCCAATTTCAAAATTATACTTTGGACATTGGATATCATAGAATTGTTGACAGAGCGTTTCAAGCTACGGATACATCCTCATTTATCGCAACTAATTCTACTGTTGTCACAACGATTGGGTAATTATTAATCATTAAAAATTTCCCATCTTCTCTTTTCTAATACAACAATTTAATTCATCAACAGGTGACAATCGAATTGTGATACGTGATTCTGTCATCAAAGTATTTCATCAGATGATGACAAGATATTGTCCACAGGAAATGTTGGATCTATTGTTCAAACATGTTTCGTCATCAGCTCAACACCAACAACCATTGGCATTCACATCGGCTTCAAAGCTACGTGAAGAAATGGCCAATCGTGTCAATGCCTCGATAGCGACCTTTCCCAGAAGTCGTTTGAATCTGCCAAAATTATGTTTCGATATCGCTCCATTGCTCATCGATCGCCGTTCGTTAGTTCGATTGGCTTCCTTAGAATGTGTGGCCACGTTAGCTCAAGCACTTGGGCCACATAAACTAGGATCATTGATGACAGCCGTTCATTCACTGGAAACTACGTTGACTGCAATTGATTTCGATCGATTGATTGCATCGATACAGGCTAGATTGGCTCGTCGTTCACTTGCTCGTGTTGGGCCTGATGGTAATGTACACTATGTGCTTAGGGTGCCAACCTCAAGCGAATCCTGGTATTATCGTCGCATTTACGATGCTGATCTTGAGTGGATTGCCCTTGGACCAACTACACCACCAATTAATGTGCCACCCTTGAATACACCCACCGTTGTAGTGGCACCGAAATTTCCATCAAAAAATTGCGAAGATTTATCATCAGAATCATCGGAACCTCCACGAACAAATGATTCATCACCAGCTACATTGAAACCTGAATCTTGTCAAGAGAGAATGACAATTCAACAACAACGATTGTTAAATTCACCAGATTCCGAAGATATACCACCTCCAGTGAAAAGTAAAGTAACCGTCGGTGGTGTTCAATCACACCACCACCATCATCATCGTCTTCGACACAATCGTTCTTCGACATCGCCCGAACCAGACGCACATAAATCGGTGAAGATTCGTAGCCGATCTCGATCGAAAACTCAAACTCAGCAACATTCTTCGTCTCGCAAGACAATCGATCCAGATGGCATGGCTCAGGATCCGCCCAGTCCATTAAGAAATTTTTCCGATCGCCAACAGCAACAAGAAATTGAGCAACGATTTCATTCTTTGGAAGCACCACAATTACATCGATCAAAAACTAGCCAAGAATTCCGTCCATACGGTAAACATAAAGCAAGACGTGATCAATTTATCGAGCGTTTAGTACGAGGTGAATCTGTGGATGATTCTGATCTGGCAGATGCTCAGTGGTTTCGTCGCTCGTCGACCGAAAGTAAAATTACTCTGAAGATCTATTTATCTATTTATCTATTTATTTCATTAATTTTAATGTTTTCTTTTTTCACATCATAGGTCTCGAAGCTTGGCGACAATATTTTGGTCGTTTCAAAAAACAGATGGCCGATATTTCATTGTTAAGTGGCGCTGGACGACCATATGGATCTCGACCGGGTTCAAGTAGTAAGTCTGGTTATATTGCCAAATCCAATTTAATCATACAAGTGATAACTAACTAATGCTCAACACTGATGGCAACTTGCAGTTTGAAAAGAAACAATGAATTAATCTATTCAAGCTGCACTCGTCTCATTTCTTGTATTGATTGCATGAATTATTCATTTACCCCATTTTTGCCGACATAACCGACATGTATAGGAGTAGTGAAACGTAAAAAAAGGTGATTGCGGAAATACAAATATCTACGATAAATTCTTTGCGATTGCTACTCAGTCAAAAAGATAGGAATTCATACTTTTCAACTAGTTACCCGGAAATGCAGCTTATATGATATCTAGTCACGTTTAGTGAATTCATTCATCTATAGCCCCTGTTTGAATCAGAACAAACAAAGCAGTGGAAACAGTTCATTCACCTCTATTCAGTCATATTGTCTCATAATCACTTTATGGATTAAAATGTGAAACCCATCCTGTCTATATATACATTCTGGCTGATATGTCATGATGTTATTCTCTAATTTCATAATGTTAATGTATTCTTATCGCATAATAATTTGATTTTTATCACCAATATAGTTTATTATGGACTTTCACCGTTGCCACCATTTACCCTACCGGCGGCCACATTTGCACCACCTGGTTTTTTATCGCCTTCATATTATTACCATTATTATATTGCCAATGGCCTTTCCAATTCTTATCATGATCTTTCACAGCTTCAACAAAAAAATATGATGTCAATAATGAAACGATCCGGTTTTATTTCCGGCTCGGATCAAGATCCAGATCCCGATATAGATCGAGACCGAGACCACGAATCAAAAAGACACAAACCAGAAAGGATTGTCGATTCAAAGCCAAGCGCTAATGATTCTGGTCAACATTCCAAACAAATCTTACAAGGTGGACAAGTCAATGGAACTTTGAAAAACATCAAACGTTCAAGTAATAATAGAGATGAAAATGAAAACAATTTGCCTAAACAGGAATCATCAAATCAATTGGATTCAGAACCACTACCATTGGAACGATCATTTTCTATGCCATCAATACGAACGGATTCATCGACAGAAAATGATCAACACCTTCATGCTCATCAGAATGCACAAGACAATCCACAAGTAATCAGCGATGAAGTCATTCAAGAATTGGGAATGTGGGAACAAGTCATTCAAGAGGAAAAGAATCAGCAATCCTTGGACAATAATGCCATCGAACAGTCAACCGAAAATGTCAATGATGCTAACCAAATTGAAGCAAAACCTCAAGCGAAAATCCCAACAGTCAGTATTCAACCATCAACGCCATCCGTGCAATCCACATCGTTGAAACAAAGTTATGAAGTTTCGTCGTCACTCCCACCATTACCATCATCATCATCATCATCACCACCACCACCACCACCACCACCATCACCGCCTTCACAGTCTTCTCATACCGATAATGATGATGAACAACAAGAACAACCTACTTCTAATGCTGAATCGAAACCCGAAGAATCGATTAAGAATGTGGACGATTCTGGTAGGCCCACTGAATCATCACCCAAAGGGAATGTTGATTCGAAATTGGCACAAACGACGACTGCCAAATCGAAACCACCCACTGTAACAAAGACCGGACCAGCGGCACCACCTGTATCTCGTAGAATGTCGAAACCGGTGCAACAGCTTTATATAAAGACTACACCAGCCATTCCTATGAATGCTAATATTCAGCACATTCTGGGCAATGTCGCTCGTACGGAAGGACCTTTTGATAACCCATACGATGCTGTCAAGGCTGCTGTCATTGCCTTACGTGATCATGCTTGGACGACCAAAGTGGAAGGAATGTTAGCCGTAGTACGATTAGCAACATTCCATCCTCATCATTTGATTCGTGATCAACATCAGATTTCGTTGGCATTGGCTGGCGAAACTCGTAATCTTCGATCGACAGTTGCACGTTCCGCCATATTTACTATTGGTGAATTGTTTTCAAAACTTCGATCACAGATCGAACCGGTGAGTGACGATATTCTCATATCCATCCTGTTGATGTGTCGAATATTCTCGTTTTTATAGGAACTTGACATTCTTACTCAAGCATTACTGCATAAAGTGATTGAAAATTCCGTGTTCATTCGTGAAGATATTGATCGAGCTCTACAATTGATGATTGAATCTATGCCACAGACACGTGCAGCCTTGGCTTTAATTACATTTGGTTCAAGGTTTGATTATTATTCTCCATAAGGTTCAATTATTATTGTTTTCATCTCTTTTCACTATAGTCACCGCAATACTCATGTGAGGCGTTCGTCTGCACAATTTCTTTCCGCTTTAGTCGAAAAAATGGGTCCAATGAAGTGTCTGCTTGGACCTCGTGATATTGGTGAAAATTTATTGCCGGCGGCAGCTCGTTTCATCCAAGATCATTCATCGCATACTCGATATTTTGGCCGGCGAATATTTGCCGCATTGATGCAACATCCATTGTTTGATAAGTTTCTTAGGAGACACGTTTCACCGGGAACTTATCGAAATATTTGCGGCATGTTGGAGACAATCAAACGAAGAGTATGTATTGGATTTGAAAGTTTAAAATATTCATTATTCATTCACTTTTCATCCATTGTTTACAGGGAGTCGGTGATGCACCATCGGATTTGTATTCACCAACCGTACAACCAAAAGAAAGTGATCCACGACGATTAGTCGTTGTCGAAGCAACAACACCAAGTTGAACATTGCTTACTCCATTCAATCATTGAAGATAAACACTGCCAGCTTCGTTATACTTGCGCATTTCTAAAAAACTTTTTTTTTTTTTTTTTTTGCAAAAACAACGTTGAATACTGATATTTCAATTGGAATGATGATTTTTTTTTCATGGCCCGGTACTGCAAGTTTTGAAAGCCCTGCTATGCTTTATTCTCCGGATTGATAAAATTTTGAAGATTTGAGAATGTTCATCTAATCCTACATACAACAATAATCATATGATGATGATGACTAGATTTATTTTTATCTTTATTTTTATTTTTTCTCATTTACACTTATTGATGATCCACATTTACTAATTGGCAGAAGAATATTACCAATTGAATTGCTGAACAAATTAAACTCAATCATCATATTGACATTCATTTCGACGCTTTTTAGAATGGAAATCAAATCCGAAATTGTCAAGACTCATACAATACCGCACTGAAACAGAATAGCATGATATGATGATAGTTTGCATTCAACTACTTCATTAGACTATATTGTACGTGGTGGCTGCTTTCTATTCAAATGTTTTACTGTATTGCATTCATTTATCTAATAGTAGTGTATCCTTATATAATGATATGATAATGATGATAATAATAATTATTAAACTGTAAACTGTAATATTTTATTATTCATTCAACTACGAATAAAAACTACTACCTATCTAAATTTTGCTCAAATTGTTGAAAACTGAATTATAAATTCAATGATGATCAGTCCTTTTTTATTTGATTAATAATTGATTAATATTCATCAGTTGGAAAGTGTATATTACAAATATCATCAAAATGACCAACATTCATTCAGAATTGAGTATTTTCAATGGATTCTGGCCGTGACGTGGACGATTCTTCTTTTGGTTATAAACTTCAGCAAATTCTGTGGAGAAAAAATTTGATCTGGGATATAGGCCACTATCACGTCGACCGGCATTGAATTGATGATGATTCATGGATCGATCTGTCGACAACAATGACGATGAAGGTGATAAAAGCATATTGGTGACTGTTATATTATCATTACAGCATTGTACCCATTCGTTTTTTGCCAATCGACCGTCATCGTTTTGATCACAATAATGAATTTCGGTACGTAAACATTTTTTCAGTCGAGAATTTATCGACAATCGATGCGACCATTGCCGTATGAATGATTTGAATTCATTTTCTGCTATACTGTCGCTTTTATCCTGGCCACTATTGATTTGATCGAAAATACTATCACAGGTAAATCCATGACTTGATAGACGCTGCCGAAATTGTTGGTGGAATTTCACACGACGACGCTGATCACATCCTTTACGCATTAGATCACAAGCTTCCAGGTTTTCGGTGCTATTTTTCTGTTCACAAAGAAGCGAATAGTAAAGAAAATTGGAAAAAATTCCAGTTAGTTGATTCATGTTATTAGCGAGATAGTTTTGTTTGTAAAAAATACATTCAAGTTTACATTGAGTGCTTTGATTGGCTGGCCGGTTACGCGAGAAACACACCAACAATGCATAAGATGGCATTGAACGCGCACATAATAGCCATCGGGCGTACATTCAGGAATAAATACAAATCCATGAGGATTGACACGAGCTGATTCAATGAAATTGGCTCTAATCAAATTGCAGTCTTTACGAGATTCTTTGCGTTTGCCCGATCGGTCCGATCCAGATTGGTTAGACACGGCCCCAGCATTTTCCATCAACAACGGAATCGATGAACCTTGACCACCGTACGTCAGTGATGGTGTTGTTGGATCATTATCGGCTGATAGATTATCATAATTGAATACAGTGCTGTCAGGTTTGCTTCGATTGTCTCCACGTCTTTGTTGTCGCCGGCGTTGGAGATAAAGTTCATTCAATGCCTGTGTATGTTGCAGATTGAGACAGTGAATAAATTCTGGACGAGTAACATTGAGATCATGATTTCGATCACAGAATTCAAACATTGAATCGGCACAACCGACTAGTTGAGAACGATGATTAGATTCAGTTGGCGATAAGTAAATCTCATTAATCATTAATTTCAACTCATCGGCTGATAGTGAATGGTCTTTATCGCGATCAAAATCATTGAATTTGCGAATGATCGGATTGAATTCGATCGAATTGGACGGTGGTCGCGTTGATCGAGGTCGATGAATACCCAACGGCAGACGAGCAGCATTTTGCCATTGTTGTTGCTGTTGTTGGATCATTGATTGTTGAATTTTGGTCACCATTTGATTGATATAAGAGATACGTTGACCAGTCGAACAGCGTTTAGGTCGGCCACGTTTCTGTTTGCTTGCCATAAGTTGTGAGTGTGCAGCAGCCATCGGTAGAAATGATGAAGTGGGCTCTTTTAATGAAAATCTGTATGAATCTGTATGGCTGGGTTGTCTCATTGAATTATACGACGATTGTTTCCATTGTAATTGATGATTACGATTATGAAGCTGATTTTGTTGTTCCACGTGTTGGTGATTATGATGATTACAATCAAGTTGACGATTTTTGGTCGTAGTTTGTGTATTGGGTCGTCCATTGTATGGATCAACGCAAAAACAATATCCGGTTTTATTGTCACATTGAACCGGTTTAAAATGGCCATCATCCGTACATTCGAGAACAAAATCATTTTGGCTAAGATTAGCTCGTTGCGACCAACAGTTTGGTTGGCCTTGAAAATTATCCGCCTTGTAATAAAAAAAATTTAAAATTATTGCTCATCAATATTTGTAAACAAAAAACTTTGAGACTTACCAAAGAAAAATGTAGAAAATGTGATGCTATTAATAATGAGAGATACAATATGAATGACCAGATTCCGTGATGAAGATCAAATATATGAGTATTATGATGATGATGATGACCGTTTTTCTTCATTTTTTTTTATTATTTACAGTAACAGATTATTCATTCGATTGATTATTTTCAAACACTAACATTAACATCATCTATTTTACAGGTTGTTTGCTGGACAGGACAATGATGATGGAATCATCTTATCAATCTCATCTTTGAAAAATTTATTGTCAATATTTTTCATATTTTTTCAGGGCAGACATGGAACAAAACAAAACAAAACCAAAAAAAAAAAAAAACTAAACATGATTGAACAACGTCGTATGTAATTATGCATCAGTAAAACATCTTTGTTCCTGTTACGTACAATGATAATTTGATGATATCAACATATTTTCTGATTATGAATGACGAACAAACACAGTCAACACTTTCAGTTTGAGTTTCAAGTCATTCACTGAATGATTGAGATGACGACGATATTCAAACAAACAATCAGATACCAACGTATCATTCGATTCAAAATATGAAGAAAAACACCAGAAAGAGACCAATATTTGACAATGAAAGATCTTTATTCCGATATATGCTATGAATGGGTTATATAAATGACAATGAGCTGGTTACGAATCAATACAATATTCGTTTTTTGTCCAGGTGTTAAACAAGTCAAACAACGAACCGTGACCACTGTTGCCGAAACAATAATCAACAGGTAGAGGTCATTATCATCATATTACACTGATCACCGAGGCACACACACACACACACACATATGAACATAAAAATCCGAATTCCAATGGGACAACAATTTTTCAGACTGCTTGACGACACACATTCATGGTCATTAAAAAAATTACACCCAAGATTTTTTTCAGGGTCATTTTCGCTGGACAAAGCCAAGTGACAATAATGGAAAAAAATCAACAGGCAGGTATAGAACATATGAAAAAAAATCCCAAAGGATTATGGATTGGTGGTGAATGAGAGAGAAATGTTACTGTTTTGCAAATAAAATGCCGCTGAAGGTTGAAATGAAATATTTTTCATTCAATATGGGCAACATTTTGATTTATGTTCGACGAGGAAAAAAGAATGCCGACCTTAAAACCCTTCTTCGGTTTTTTCTTGACAATAATAATGTCATGGTGAATGAATTATGGCCATATTCGTGAAATCATCTATATACACTGTCAACATTGGAAAAATGATTAATTCTTCAATTATAAATTGTGTCATTTTCTAACCTGAATAATAGAAAAGAAGAATGTGACCATTGAGCAAATTTATTGTCGGCTGAACATTTGTTTGATACAATTATTATCGAAAAATCGAAAATTGTCAATCGTATCGATTCAATGGAGACAAACAAAAGAATCTCACAAATCCTATTCACAAAATACAGGACATTTTCGCTATTTCGAAAATATATAATATAACAACTTTATTATTATTATTCCGAATCGAATAATACTAATAATAATACAATTAATCAATTAATCAATCAATGAATTCAGTTGATCATCTGGATCTGGATTTATCCGATTTAATGGCCATACGAAGATATTGGGAACGATCAAATTCAATGTCGGTGTCATCTTTTTTGATTTTAATTACTTCTTTTTGTTTACGTCGGGATCGCCATTCCATTTTTTCACGTTCTGTTTGGCAATCTTCCAGTTTCAATGGTAATTTTATCAACTCACGAGGTACCTGATGACGAATCAATACAGTCGAACCGTCTTTATGCACTATCCTTAGTGGAAATAATCGTTGATATGCATTTGGATCTCGTTTCAAACGGCAAACCGAAGCACGATTTGCATGTAGTTCTCGAATGTTCTTGGTCACCACCGATACAGTGACATCGTTAAAGGTGAATCGACCCACCTGGAACAATTTTCTGGATATTGACATTTTTTCTGATCGTCGATTATTAATGCGCCCAGAGACTAAAGAAATTGAACAATTTGTAAACAAAATAAAATGTTGAACATACACACAAACACACAAACACACACACACACACACAGCACATGCATGTGCATGTAAATAAAATAAACAGCTGAATTAACTTGAAATAACGTTCATAAAGAGTGTTACGAATGTTTATAAAAAATCTTCAAAATCACCGGATATTAAATTATTTATAATATTTTTAAAGTTTTCATGTTGAAAAATGGGATAAGTCTTCATTTTATTATGATACATGATGATTGTTCTATTTGACACCGTATTGTGAAACTGACTTGACCTTGATTTGTTTCATCAAAATGTTATAATAGCCTGAACCGGATGATTTAACTATCGTGCTGGATGTTTGTTCTTGAATCAATGATGATTCCTGTGGTTGCTGTTTCGAATAGATCATGTATGAGGATGGATTTTGTTTTCTGCCCAGTAATGTCATTGATGACCTTTGATTGTCTTGCACGTTTCTTGAATCCAAACGATTTGGGTATGTAGGATTAAGAGCAAAAAGAGTGGCTGGAATCATCGCTAAACGATTAGATTTGGCTAATTTTTTAAATTTCATAGTCGTTTGTTGTTGTTTATGTATTGTTTGTTTTTTGATCGCCGAAGAATTAACATCTGGCTCCAATGTCTTGGTGATTTTAGTCTTTATTTTCAAATTTTGTTGCATTGGCTGCTGTTGTTGATCGACAAAAATCGTTTCAGTATATTCATCCTCATTAGTATTACCACCACAACCGGCACAAACAATAATGGTCATGATAATTATTAGCAATGGAATGGCCCAAACAAATAGAATCATTTCAAATTGCCAATTATAATTTGTTTCAATCAAAATTTGTACCTCATGGTAATTTATTGCCATATTTTAGAATTTAATTCAATTTACTAATTTAACATATCAATTTAAATGAATGAATCGTAATTCAATACAATTCAAATTGGCACATAACATCAACATTTCAAGTGCTCTTACCATTCAATGTTGCAGAATAGATGCCTTTTTACAATTTATCACAAATGGCAACTATAAAAGATTGTAATCCTTGTTGCTCAAGGGGCTCACCACTTTAATCAGCCAAAATCATGTCACTTCGACGATAGTTGTAGTAGTGATGAAATAAATAGAGATTACACATTGTCTCGATGTCTCGAGTGATGACCACTGATAAAATAAAATTATAATATAAAAATGCAATGTTCTAATACGCACAATTTCAATTAACAATTAACAACAACATACGAAAATGAGGACAAACAATAAATTGATGCTTGCTACAGTTTTTCTGTATTTCTTGACCATTGTAACATCAATTATATCATCATCATCACCACCACAATGTATTGATGATTTTGGCAAACCAGTCGATTGGTACATCATCTATAAATTTCCCCATCTCAAATCATTGAATAAACCAGGTTTATTCGGCGGTCATCATTATGCATATCTAACATCAAACATAAAACATTCGAATGGATGGCATTTCTCTTCACATCAAATCACCGAATCACAATCAATGTTTGGTCAAACATTCTCACCATTTTTCTCTGATAATCGTTCACATTTGACGACAATGTTCTATAATGATCAGCCACCAGATGGTCATGATGTTCCGTCAAGTTACGCACATGCTAAAGGTATGATCACATCTGATAAACATCAAGGATTCTGGCTAATACACACGGTTCCCAAATTTATGGCAGCTGAAAACAAGGTTTGAAACAAAGTAAAAAATGATGATGACAAATATACTAAGTGTATGTGTAAACATTTCTAAACATGACTCTAGTATTCATATCCAGCAACAGGCGGACGTTATGGTCAAGTTGCAATGTGCATTTCATTATCTGCATCCGAATTGGCTCAAGTTGTGGATAAAAACTTTCTAATAGCTCGACCATATGTCTATCACATGCATATTGATTCGGCATCGGAGGCAACAGATTTAGGACGAGCATTAGTCCAATTAGAACAACACAAGTGGAACAAATCACAAAATTATAGCCAATTGAATCTCAAATCTATGGCAGGTGAATCGTTTCAAAGTTTCTACAAAAATCCATCATATCATGTTGATCTTTATGCAAAAATAGTTGCCAACACATTACGAACTTGTTTGAGAGTGGAAACATGGCGTCACAATCCGGGCAATCCATTAGAATCGGAATGCACGAACAAAAATGTCGAAGTTGAAAACGTTAAAAGAATTCAGGTCAAATTTGTTGATTCGGATTTGGAGGGAGATTTCAGCTATTATGATGATCACAGCAAATGGGCAATCACACGAGATCAGACCCATGATCTGGTATGCATTGGTGATATTAATCGTGCAGAATCACAATTTCATCGTGGTGGTGGAACAACTTGCTTAACCGATGCTACCGCATGGAATAGTTTCAATTCATTCATCAAAGACATTGAACGCTGTCCAGATGATCCAGATGATATCGAAATGACGACAACAACAACAACAGCAACAACTAGAATTTCATCTTGGTGGCAATCGATCATATGGAAAATTCGTGCCTATTTCAACCGAGGGAAAGAGCAATGATTGAATCATTTTTTGTCATTTAGAAAACTTTTTATTCAGTTCAATCTATATTCAGATAAATCGAAATCGAAATCGAAACCCCAATCTACATATACAATCAGTAAAGTGACAAATGTGTCTGCAAAATTGAGTTTTAAACATAAAACAAACAGTCCTTTGAATTATTGGGAATATGAACAAATTGTTGATATCTTTGAATTAACCGATTTTCCACCTCGATTGATTCGAGAGATGGACGATCATCGTCAAAATCAAAATCTTCGCTTCGTTGGTCTCGAAATGATCGGTCGGTTAAAAGTTGATGCATGATATGGATCTTGGATTTATAGGCACAAAGATCTGCATACATGACTTGTGTTGGTATCGACAATGGCATCTTATGGCGAACACAATTGAAGCAAACAAAAAAGCATAAGCGTTGTAGTTCAGCATTCGATAAATTCAACTCGTTAACAGATACAATGTATTTAGTTGGTCGTGATGTACCCTATTATATATATGAGATATAGATAGTATTGCAAAATATAAAATCAATATCATTATCATTATATAATCATTATAATGGTATAATGAAATCCTTACCAAGTTGGAAAAATGCGAATTCACATAGAAAATATCAAAATTCGGCTCAACAATAGTGTTGTCGACAACCGTACCACTGGGAACATTACGTGTCATTTGACGTGATCTGCCATCTTTTTCATATGGTTCTGTGGTTACGAATCGTGTATTGTGACGCTTTTGGACAATAATCAGCGTCAATGTCATATTTTTTGATCCTTTCTCCTCCATTGCCTTTCGGATCAATGGAATTTCTTCATTACGTACAGTTTGAAATTGACCTTCAGAAACACCATCACGAAAAATGATCAAATGTTCTGGGACTCGTCTTTCATTCTGGAAACGATAATGAGCCAACAATTCTTTTATTATTTCATCCAAATGATGGATCATTTCGGTTCGATCAAATTTTTGTACTCGCGCAGTGCTTATATATTGGGTAAGCAATGAATCATAAGTACCGGCTGCAGCAGCGATTGAAATTGGCACACTTTCACGAAACCCTGGATGATTTACGTCTAATCCGATAATCATCGTTTTAGAGAAATCGATAGTAGGTAATTGGCTACGAAAAAATTCTGGTTCGATAACAGTATTCTGGCCACCACGTTTACCGTTGATTTCGAACAATAGATTGTTAAAATAACCACGCGGTGGATTACGAACACGTGATGCATTAAGACATTGCAATGTAATGCTAAATTCTTGCGTGCAAACAGATGAACAAGCTCCATAGATCTGTGTGGGATCCAATGCAGAATTTCCTAAACAAAAAAAAAAAAAAAAGAATATAAATTGTGCCTATATATATTATATATATTCATTCATTCATCAACTAACGATCTGGTATGACGGCCAAGCAAAATTTAATTCCTGCACGGTTTATCTCGGCAAATGCTGGCCGTATTTGACCAATTGAACGAATATCATATGTTAACGTCCGTATTAAACGTCCCATCTGAATATTCATTTTGCCAGCTTCTTTGTTTAGCATATAGGAAAATTGATCCAAAGTTCGATGGCTGATATTAGGATCAAATGAAATTAGCGCCCAACTATGATTCGATCCGGATTCAGTTATTCGAAACTGATTCGGATTAATAAATGTGGGTTGTTCAAGTTGATAGCCCTTGAAACAGGCAGGACGATTGTGAATATGTATGCCGAATTCGCGTAACAATCTAGAATCGGTACCGATGATTTTATCCACATATGTTTGGATGCAATGAAAAAATTTCTCCGGCTTTAATTCTGATTTTCTCAATGCAACTGTTTGAATTTCACGTGACGTTTTTGTAGGGTTAATGAATTGTTGTTTGCCGATAAAACATAGTTCCAATGGCAAATGATTTTTTTGACTGCGTGATACGCCTCCTTTTGATTTGGCCAAAACCAATGGATATTCACAATTCAAATTTACTTGATATCGTTGATCGAAATATTCAAATACGGACAATTCTTCACCAGAAGCATCTTTAAAGCGCAAGTTGGAAGGCTTTTCTGGAATGAGCGAATGGAAATTATAGTAACGTTTACGATCACCGTGTTCAGTGTAAATGGTAATATGTTTTAAAATAGCATTTATGCCATTAAAATCGATTTGTCGAGGAAAACCTGGTTGCATTGCACGGATGATATCAATCAATTTATCATGTTTACGGGAAAATAAACAGCCCACACGAGGATTCACCACCAATGATAGGCCTATTTGAGCCATACGAACGGATAATTCAAAACCAAAAACAAATTCCAAATAGGGTAATGACTCATCTTCGGACACGTTGCCCATGTTAAAATATCGGGAATGGTTGTGAACAAAATTATCTCGCAAAATATTATGGAAAACGAGATTACAAATGTTGATAATTTGATTAGGCAAATGTCGACATCTTCGTTGAAAATATTCTTCCACGATGCCTAAATCAATCTTGTCCACCAATTTCAATCGAACGGATGTAATTCTCTCGTTCATGCTTGGTCTTTGGCGGTTTCCAGAACCACCACCACCATCACCAGCAATAAATTCGAAATCTGTGGCCAAATCTTCGGTCCTTAAGGCAGCACATAGGTAGAAATTTGCCCAACCATCATAAACATAGGGATGTGTGGTGAAAAATTTTGAATTCTTCTCAACAAACTGTTCAACAATACGATGTGAGTTTCGTTTCAAGAATACCATCTGTCTTTCATTTACAATCGGAGTAGGACCAGTGTTGTGCGAATCATCCTCACCACCAGCAGTTGTGGGTGGTTCATTTTTTGGAATCAGTGATTCGTTTTTAACACGTTGGCTTATTTGAACATCGTAATGATAAACCATTATTTTTTCTGTAGATAATTTGAAATGATTGCCAGTTAATTTTTGTTCTTTACCATGATTGACAATCGGATTGTTTGCTATCCGAATTGCATATTCTTCCGAAATTGGAAAATTCGGCAAAGATGAATGATGAGATGGTTTATTATCTATGTAACGAAATACGATTATTATTATTATTATTATAAATTGAGAAAATAAATTAAACATTCAAAATTAAAATTACCTCCTCCTCTCGAATATGGTCTTCGTCCCCTTGGTGAGCTGCATGATGATCCATAGCGACGTCTTTCATGATCAGTGACATTTCGAATCGAACGATCTTGTCTTTTTTCATCATGATGAAATCCACGTGAATCATCATGGTAATCTCTTCTTGAACGATTTATTGAATGACGATGATCATCATCATGCCCTGAATCTCGAAATGATCTTGAAGATCGATGACCACTAGTGCGTCCATAATTATCATTGTAATCACGTCTTTCTTCTTGATTTCTCCAACGTTTTGAATCTGGAACTAATTTTTTTTTTGCGAAAAATTGTTAGCGATTGCACAGCAAATGGTTAGAAATTTTCGAAACAAGGTGGTTAAAAAAACTCACAACGTGATCCTCTGGATGAAATACTCGACAATGAATGTTTACGTTCCATTGAGATTTGTAAGCAAATTTAGAAATCCGTACAACAGCTAAATTCGAAATGATGCAAGCAAATTTAGAAATCCGTACAAGACAACAGCTAAATTCGAAATGATGCAAGCAAGCATATACCCACAATGTATTGTATGGAAACAAAAACCTTTTCAGTCACTCGTATCCTGTTTGCTGCACGTGTGCACAATTTCGTGGGCACTTCATAAATGATGTGATGTAGATGCAAGCAATCAAATCAAATCATTAAAAAAATGTATTAGATGTATTAGATGTATTAGAAATTAGAAATTTAATTTTAAAAAATCAGAAAAGAATGAAAAATGAAAAACTTTATTTAAATTTTATCGATGAAAAAAATGACAAAAAAGTATAAAGGAATAAATAAAATAAAAAATGAAAAAAATGAAATTAACCAATCAATCACAAAATTATCACTGATTCACTGTTCATCTGAATGAAGGAAAGAATGAATGAATCATATATAGGCCGCCCATCCATAGTATAATGCACCTAGATTGTTCACATCGGTAGCCTCTTTGATGACATAATCCACTTGACCAGCCACCGACATGATATTACCACGAGATAATTTACCAATAAGACGTGAAGTTATACCAAACAAACGTGCTTCCACATTGAACACGCACTTTTCTGCCTGTGATAAAATAATAGAAGAATTAAATCAATAATCAATAATCAATAATCAATAATAGTAGATAAATAAAACACTTACAATTTCATTTCGATCGGAACATTGATTCCAATCCAAGAATTTATCGTAAAGAAATATTTGTACATGATGTGAGAAAATCTCACGAAATTGTCGACAAACAATAAGAACATTTTCACAAGTGGATCGAAACAATCCTTCATAACCATTAGTGCCCATAGCGGCGGTCATATTATGAGTTAGACGAAACGGAATCAATTCGGGTACGATAAATTCTTCGCCGCGATTGAAAAGGCAATTAAAATCCACTTGTACCATTTGACCAGTTTGTGGATCAAAGAGCACATTATCTGTATGACGGTCGCCGAGGCCAAGAATATAACCAAGCATTGAAAAAACGGCAGTCGTACGAGTGAAATTTCTTCGTGCTTGATACCATGAATATGCATCCACATAATGTTGTTGGAACCAATTCTGTAGAACGGGTGGACAAAAATTTTCAAAATGTTGTCGAAAACGTTCAACACGTTTATCACGATTCAAATTAGGCGCACAGACCGACTTAATGAAAGCATTTTTAGCCAATATAAATTGTTTCGCACGACATTTTGTTCTCGAATATTGTTTTTCGGCCAACGATTTCAACGATGCCAATCCGGGTATCCATTCGATAACGCCAAACGTATCGGTCAAAGCTACGGCAAAATATGTTCTCACAACCAATGGCTGTTGTCGTCTTCGGGCCCAGATTTTCAATTCACGTTGAGCATCATACTCATCGTCCACTTTGGACATTGGTTCAATGGCCACTATTTCATCACGATAACATTGATTGAATAGATTACAATAAGCAAGCATTGTACGATCACGTCTTAGATCGTCACCATATTTTACGAGAATTTGTCGTTTCACGCCATTGTGGCAATAAAGTGTTAATCGTTTTGGTTGCTGCAATGATGTCATGACTTGTGCTTTATCTTGAAATTTTTCGATCCACAATGTACGAAAATAATGAGCATCATCATCATCATCATGATCATGTTTTGTTCTTGACAAACGCTCCAAGTTCATTGAATTGGGCAAGAAAAACTGATTGGATGGCAAAGCAAACTTGTGATTCATTTGCAGACATTGAATAAGATTAGGCGATACTAATTTTAAAGAGATTTCACCCTTATTACCAGAATTTGATCGACGATTACTTGAGGATCTATTCGATTCTTTATATATGGCCAAACTCTGAAGACAATCGGAAAATTGATTGAATGCACCGAAATAAGATAGAATATTATTCGATCCTTGTTGACCAGTACAGATTTTCTGTGCAGCTTGTATCAGTTCTTTGGTTTTTACACCACGACGACCGATTCTCGTTGACAATGATCGTGAAATTAACCACGCCATGTGGTGAGGAAAATCGGCAATCAATCTAGTCAGAATTTCTTCAACTAATTTAGCTATAGTTTCGATTGGATGTAACAGATGGCCAATCAATGTGTCCAATTCGATGAGGAAAATAGCATCGTTTGTCGATGATGTGAACATCTCCCGAATCCAAGATGTTGATCGTTCGATTAGAATTTTACAAAGATCATGCAACGTTTTCGTTCGTTGATCTTTAGTCGCTCGTAACCGATTTTGTAGCGACCAAAATTCATAGCCCATATTGAACCAAATATCCAACAATGTTGGCAGAGAAAATCGAACAAATTTATAGCTACCAAATCGAAGCGATTCACAAATCGATTTCATTGTACGAGCTTTTAGATCCAATATTTCATTCGGTTTTCCGAAGAGAAAGCCCGTTTTGCTATCCAATAATGGACTTGCATTCTGATATTGTCGATAGAGACGACGATAAAACATGGCCAACTGAAAATGTGCTTCTTCCCATTGTGGACAGGAAATGGTCACCGATTTATATAGAATGGTCAATGCATGTATATTGAGACTGCCACCATATTCTGAATATTTGGCCAATCGTAATTGAATCTTTCCAAAATTAAATAGATTCTCTTCCGTATCAGATATTTGCACGGTTTCTTCATGGATTCGTGAACGAGCCGATGCTCGCATACTATTGTTGCAATTCACTAGAGTGGATAAAGATTGATTTGAACCGCCAGACATTTGTATGATTTGAGCGTGAGACAAATTCAATGCAAAAGTATTGGATAAATTGTAAAGATCTTGTTCGGACAAAGGCGTACAATTCTTCAATGATTCAATATAACATTGACGTTGTATGGGATGATAACGTTTTTCCAGTTCCGTGTTCAGCAATTGGATGGATTCTGCAAAAACAAACAACAAAATTATGCTTATGATGATATATAAAATATTATTTTTCACTTACCGGTTCGTTGATTTTTATTCCATAAAACTTGTGCATGATCCAGAAGGAAATCCACCATCTTATCATCGTTAATTTTCCATGATGATCGTTGCGACGATTGTTCACGAATCTGAGATGCTTTAGCCAAAGAAATGGTAGCACGATCTAAACGGCCAAACTGTAATGCATATCGTATGGAATCATGTTCAAAACGAAATAATTCTTCACGTAGATCACAAGACATTTGATGGCCAATTTTATTCTCATGTCGTAAAAGTAATTCAATCAGTGCACGTTGTACATCCATAATCTGTTGCCGTTGTTGACTTTCGGGTAGTAGCAGATTACGAAGCCGCCATTCAGTTATAATTTCATGGAATGAATTTCGTAATTGTTCTACATAATGATTATCGTTATCAGAACTGGAATTTGATTGTGGTTCATCACTGTCATCAAGCATCAATAATCGATTATAGATGACAGTGACAAATTGTTGGATATCATGCATCATATGCAATGGAAGTATAGATTGATTATATGTTCGATTATAGGCAGTCCAGGCATTTGTTATTAATGCAGCATCCAGGTGATTTTGAAAACTCTGCCGAACGTCGGACAATTTAGAATCAATCAAGAATGGTGATTTTTTTTGATGCATAGCTGAGAAAATTTCACCAATACCTGTCTGTTGCCATTGATTTCGTGAAGGAGAATGGTCAATATTTAATTGAGATTGATAAGTAGCAGTGGAAAGCATATCCCATTCATTCAATTTCCATTTCGCTTCCAACAATCGATATTGATCATAACCATCTGATGTGAAAATGGACGATTTATCCAATGAAATCCATGGTAATTCTACATTCAACATGGAACCAAAAAATTTATCCTGTAATGTCAGAATATCAAGCAATTTTTCTGATTCATTAGTGGCCGGTGCCATCTGAATTGATCGAAGCAATCGGTTACCATAGATTAATTGTTCAAGAGAATTATTATTTAGCAGTGAATGATGAAATTCTTGATACAAAAATGAATGATAACTTTTCAACCATGAGTCAGCGAATCGGATGGTCAATCCTTGCAGTGCTTCAAGATCATCGAGTCCATGATAGATATCAACATACATTTGGAAATGTTCACGTACAAATTCATCGTTAGCTGTAGCAAGAGAATGTTGTCGAGAACCACTAGTTACAGAATCTTCGTTGATAGATTGATTTTGACAAACATTTTCCAAATATTGTAAAGCTCGACTATAATTTCTAGCCCGACAACACAATCTTGCTAAAAGAATCGGTTCCATTTGATCCATCCATAGTTTGACTCCATAATATTCTGGATCCAATATATCAATGGTACGATCACGTAGAAATTTACTGCCAATTACAACTCCATGTGCTAAACGTCGACGACGAATCCAATCGGCAAGAAAATCATGAAGACAACAGATTAAATCGGCTGCCATTGCTCCCAATTCATTGGAAAACATAGAATGACAGGCAAGAAATTTCTCTTCAATCATACATCGAAAATATTGAGCAAATTTTTGTCGATCATCATTTGAGCCATTAGCCAATGCGACGATAAGTAATCCGGGCAATAGTAAATATGATAATCGAACATTCACCTTGATAGAATGATAACAGACCAGAAAAAATGATTCTGGTGTTCGTATTTGGCCAATTCGTTGTTTAATATCGGCGAATTCTTGTCGAAGGTCGTGAAAATTTCCACTAACTGATTGACTTGTAGCATAAATCTGGGAAAAGATTTCCTCGTTATTTAATGGAGTGAATGTTTCATATGATTCTAATTGGCTATTTTTCAATTTCGGAATCAGAAATGAATGGTAGAGCATATGTATGAGGGATTGTACAAATTCCAAGAACGACATTGTTGCTTTAATTGAATGGTCAAAAAATTTTTCCATTTCCATTGGCGAACTTTTACGTAAATCTTTTGCAGTCAATGTAGAACATCCAAATATACATCGATAGCTTTGCAATTCACCATCAAAATCACGATCCAAATTTAGATATTCATTTCGTTCATCTAGTAAAAATTGTTTGATTTGATCACAACGATCAAGAAATTTCAACTCTTGGCTAGATGCTAGTTTGATTTTTTTGAAATCTGCCTTACTTCCTTTGAAGTGACCATCATTCTGGACAAAACGTTCGATTTTTTGTGTCGAAATGGCTGTTTGAGTGTCGAATTCAAGATTTGAACATCCAAGCACTGCAGCACCACTATGACCAATAGAGCGATCAGTGAAGAGGGGTAATAATTTTTGCAATGCATAACTAGCACTATTATATTCCGATATACAGGATGCGGTTCGAATCTGTTCCATGAGTATGTCCAACACTAACACTTTGAATGGTCGTTTTTTGTAAACGAACAATTTCCGATCAGCATAATCGATCATTGTACGATGACTTTGTTTCGAAATTGGTTGCTTTACATCAAAACAATAATCATCACAGGTGAATGGCAGGTCCAATTGAAGAAAATTAGGCGATATGGCACCAACGACGCCCAAACAACTTGTTGCTAGTTTTTGTATCTCTGACCGCGTGGAAAATTTCAAACATTTGAGCATGACAAAGATGATTTGTCGAAAAAAATTCATCAACGATATATCAACCGTTTTGTTGTTCGAACTTGTTTCTAAAATCTGGATCGAATCATTTGCAGATGATGTCACGTTTATCGCGGTCACTGGTGATGATGTTTCTTCAATTTTTAAATCAATACAAATACCAGCAAGAAAATGGCCAAAATCTGAAGCATCTAATGATCGATGTTGACAAATACGGTAAAAGATTTTGCGATTTGTATCTAAGCGTTGATATATTTGATGTAAAAGAATTTCTTGCAACTGGATTTCTGTACATTCATCGAGATTTTGCAAAAGAAAATAAATTTCTCGGCAAATGAGGCCAAATTCGACTGATTTAATATGGTTGATTAGCTGACATTGTTCATCGATCGTTTCCGTTTTTAATGTTTCAAAATAATTTTTTGTTGTTGTTCTGTTATTGTTTGTATCTAGTAAACTGCTGCTGTGGGCATCCATAATCGAAGCAGATGACGATGCAATCGTTGCCATTAAACTTGATTGTGGGGATATGATGGCAGTGAATGCGGAAAAACGTTTGCGCAGAATATCGACTGCTGGCTTCAATGGATTATTCGTTTGATCAGGGAGAAATGACAATTGATAGAGTATGGATACGGGAAATTCACTACGACATAATAGCTTCATTAATAATTGTCCAGTTTGTCGAGGTAAATGTTGAGCAAAGCGGACAATTAACAGACAAATTGATAGCAATTCCATTTGTAAATAATTACGACCAACACGAATGACAAAATGTTCGAGAATTTCCAGTCCAATTTCAATGATTCGAATATCGGAATTTTCGTTAACAATTAAGCGTATGATGAAATAAATTCGTACGCGATATAAATTTAGAAATGAATCATCGAGCTCTTGTAATGTTTGAAGAAAACTTTGGCAGAGCACAATTTTTTCTTCAATTTGGCAATGACAATAATCTTTACGAATCAATAATCGATCGATTCGATGCACGTGATAGGTGAAAAATTCCTCTTGTAAGATTCTTTGAAATTCTTCTTTATTCATTTCAAAATGATTCAAGTCGATTTGTTGGAAACATTGCATTTTATCAACCGATTCGAGTTTCGATACCTGATGAATAAATGACAATGCTTTTAGCGATCGATTACGGCATTCTGCAAAGCGTCTAAGAATCGTATCGGCCAAATTTATATCAAATTTATGCAAAAATTCCAATACTTCACATTCACAGTAATTGGATAGAAATCGTACCATTTCATAAATTTTCGTCAGAAAATCCGTATCATCCGGAGAGGTAAAAAACAAATGAGCAACAATGTCATTGAAATATTGATTGATCAGTGAGATTCGTTTGTTTTGAGAAATTAGTTTTTTTTTAATAATCACTTGATCAAGCAAAGTACAGATTCGTTGATCACATTCGAGTATGAAATCAGGAATTATCCAGAATAATAATTCGTTAGTGAATAGATCGATACCAAAATAATTTGAACATTCAAGTAAAAAGTTGAGATCAAAATTTTGCCGTAATTTTCTCACCATCAATTGTCCAATATCTTTTTGATAGTCAAGGAATAGTTTTACAAGCAATACGTTTGTTTTAGATGGTAAATCGATGAAAGCCCTGGTGATTAATATCTTGCGAAATTGTCTGCTACAATCATCACCACCAATGCCATTATTCAAAAGTAATAGGACAAGACGTTTGAGTTTATCAAAGCTCAATTCTTTTGCCACCGAAATCATAGTGAAGATTCGAATCGCTAACAATAGATTGTTACTCAATGATAACCATTGAGGTTTGGGCACATTTTCCATTTGCTTGCAAACAATGTCTTGTATTTTCTCAAAAATGGCAACGATTTTCGCAATACAATGAAATTTCATACTTATCATGGCCAATGTTTTCAAAGCTATCGGAATGGTCGATAAGAAAAATGGATGTTCCATTAACAATTGATCTTGGCTTGGAATTTTGGCTAATGAATCAAATATTTGATCCACCACAATTATCGACCGATTCCAATCTGTTGAACATTCATCATCCGAACTTTTCAATGACGATATTTTCTTTTCGAATTCGATAAAAAATTCATCAAATTTTGAGCTGAGGTCGCGTAGATATGGGTCGCTGATTGCATGATTGACAATTCGATAATAGATTCGAACGGCTCTATTATATCGATTTGAGAAACAGGAAAGTTTTCGCAGAAAATTAATCGTATATTCAGTCCATGTAATGAGATGAGCTTTGTCGGTTAGTTTGGCAAAATTTGATTCTATAATTTCCATACAGTCAGCATATGAAACATGATTTTCGCAATTGCTTTCATTATCATTTTCTGTGATTTCTGTGACAACATTATCATCACAATTATCAAATTGGTCAGTTTCCATTATTCAGATGATGATGAAACCAGAATACAGACACAAAATTTAATTGATTGTCGATGTATTAGCTATGAAACGTGATTATTATAATGAAAAATTAATGTTGGAATATCGTCTGATAGTGTGATGATAGAATGACAAACAACCATATTAATAAACACGATTCCAATCAATTGATATTTGCAAATAGAGCAAAATTTATTGTTTTGGCGCTTTCATCACATTGATTTCTTCTTAAATCGAATCATTATAATGATTTGCTGCAATAAATACCCTTCATATAGGACGTGCCCATTCGGTTTGAAAGGTTATAACTTGAAAAGTAGACTTTTCTGTTTATATGTTGTTGTTATTGTTGGGGTTTTCGTCTGATTCTATCATCATCATCGTCATAATAATCATCATCATATAATTGTTTATTATACTAAGAAAAGAAAAATGAATAATCAAGATGGATTCGATAAACACTATGATGTCATTTTGACTGGCACGGATTTTATATCATCATTGTTATCAGCTGCGTTCGCCCGAATCGGTAAAAAAGTTCTACATCTTGATTGTGAAAAACATTATGGCAAAGAATGGCGTTCAATGAAATTTACCGATCTTTTACTTTGGATGATCAAATGTCGAACATCGCAATCGTTGGAGCATCGTAAAGATGATGAAACGGTGTTATCATCTACCAAGGAACATTTTTTCATGCCGGTGAACCGACCGTATCCATTTTCGAATGTCGAAATTGATTTTTGTTTTCTCAACAATCCAGTTCAATATCAGAAATTTTTCGAACATTTATTCAAAACAAAATGTACAGCAGAATTTTTGGATGAATTTATCAATGATTGTGTGCAAAAACTTGAAACTGTCCAAACATATGATGAAGCCGTCGAATTATTGGAACGATTCAAAGATGGCCACCCCTTAATAAATCGACTGGATAATATGTTTATTTTTGATCTTTGTCCACGGGTATGTTTGCCATGTTTGTTCAAGTCATTCATTCATTCCTTTTTTTTTTTTTTTTGTTTTCGTTTGAATAGTTTCTATTTGCGAATGAAAAACTTGTCAAAATATTGATCGATTCAACCGTTACCCGGTATATTGAATTTAAAAAAATATCACGATTATTGACAGCAATGATGATGCCCGAAACTAACGATTGTGATGGTGACGATGATTCAAACATGAAAATTGTCGAAGTGCCATGTACAAGAAGCGATATATTCATGTCGAACATAATCTCGCCCATCGAAAAACGATATCTGATGTCGTTTCTGGAAAAATGTTATCGTCTTGAAAGACATGGCGATTGGTATCGAGAATTTTCCAACAAACCATTCACTGAATTTCTTCAATCACAAGCGTTAACGAATAAATTACAGGAATTTATCATCAACACGTTGCTTATGAAATCCCAGCCAATTCAAACTGAATCAGCATTGAACAAGATCAATTTCTTTCTCCGATCATTTGGACGTTTTTGTGATCGACCATTCTTATTTCCATTGTATGGTTCGGATGATATAATCCAAGCATTTTGTCGTTATGGAGCTGTTTGGGGTGGTCTTTATTGTCTTGGAGTTTCGATTCACGGCATCAATATTGATAAAACCGATGATTCTAGGCAACTTTGCAAATCTATAATGGTTAATCGATCTCTAGTTGAATGTGATAATTTAATCACTGATTATCGATTCGATGGAGGAATACAACCACCATGCAAAGAGCTTCCACAGAGAATGTTGGCACGTGCAATCATATTGAATACAAAATCAATCAAAGCTATCGATCCTGATAATGATGTTGGAGATTTGAGCTTCATTCATTTGCCACCCAAATTTACCGGTCTTGACCATTCAGTGTATTGTTTCGAAACCGATTATTCTAGCCGTGTATGTCCTCGACATTTTTATCTGCAATATTTTTGGTGTGAGTCTTCCATCACCGATCGAACCGCTAAACAAATGCTTGAACCAGTGGTTGAAAAGCTTCTCCGATTAGATGGATTAGAATCATCCCAGACCAGTGATCTGCCATTTGAATTACAGAAAAGAATACTTTTGTCTGTTTATTATAATTATTATCATTACGATTTGGACACCAAAGACATGCCATCCAATATCAAACTGATATCAATGCCTATCAACGAATTCAATTACGAGAATGCAGTTTTAGAAGCCGAACGAATCTTCCACCAACTATTTCCAAATGAGCAATTCTTTCCAATTACTGAACAACCCGATAAACAGCAACAACAACAACAACTCGACGACGAAGATGATGATCTCGTCAATGATCCACTTGAATCTTGAATGTAATATTTTCTTCAAACAAAACCAAAAAAATATCATTATCAATTATCAATTAAATCAATTAATTTTTAACACAAAATCGTCATATATATGGCTCAGTAATCTGTGATAATAGATAGATAGATGATAGAATGAAAAATAGTTTTTTTCGGTTGTTTAAAAAAAATGAACAACAATGATGATTATTACAAAACAGGTGAAAAAAATGATAATGATTTTACTTTAAAAAAACTGGAAAAAGGGTTTGGACAAATCTGTTTTTTTGGCATCGATAAAAACTAATTCAAAAAATATCCAAGGATTCTCGTTTTTTGGTTGTGGTCTCAAATAAATTTTTGGTAACACAGAAACACTCGTCGAACGGTGTGTTTAGACCATGTCCATATATTTATGCTTATGGGCGGTCAACATTTCGATGACAGTGGCCAATTTTTTCAATGTAGCCTACATATTTTGGTTTTGGAATATTAAATAAATAAATAAATATAAAACGATCAAATTATGTAAATTATCATGATATCATGTCTAATATATCGACTTACGCTATTGTGTGCCTGTAATTGAATCTGTGACAGATGTATCTCACATATCGAATGAATGGTGGCCAATTCACGATCTGGCTGGCATTTGATGACCAAATCTGGATCCAATTGGCTAGGACCACCACCACCACCACCATTATTATTGTTATTATTATTATTATTATTATTATTACTGCTACAATATGGGGATGAAGCCACCTCGTCAATATATTTGATCATCCGAGATTTGTTTTTCAATATAAACGGATTCACCACTTCCATCCATGGTTCCTAAATTAAAGATAGATTTATAATTTCAGATAGTAATATTAAAGTGAACGAAAAAATATTGATAAATAAATAAATAAATGTTGTCATGCATAGGAAAATGGAAAACCATCTCAATTTACCCGTTTAGCGTTAGGAGGCGGAGGTGGTTCAAATCGATCGGGCGTTATGAAAATGCTCTGAGCAATTTAAATATTAATGGTTAGCATGAGTGGGATGAAAAGTACAGTATTTATAGCCAGAAGTAAATCAAAAGTAAATTGAAAGCACTAATATTGCACATTGTACAAACCTTTGTTCCGAATTCAACTAGATTGGCAAGATTTTGCAACGATTTGGCCACCAAAATCAATGTTCGTAATGCTGTTTCCGATGGCATTTCTATGTAAAGAAATCAATTTTCATCATTAGAATGAATGGATGGATTGAAAATTTGTTTGTTTCGATCAAACATACCAGATATGAGACCAAATTGTCGAGGATTCAATATGGCCGGACAGATTAGCCTGAGAAAAAGGAATGCTGAAACGGCACGTGTTCGAACTAATTGATCGTTTGGCCATTTCAGACTAACAGCCATCTTGATCGATGCACAAATGTACCGGACAGTCAGTGGACAGTGGTGAGCATTCGAGAATATCACTTCAACAATTTCGTCCAATATGTTAAGCAAATTTTCAGCATTTGAACAAGCTTCACTGGGCGAATCAAGCTTTGCTGGATTCAATTCACATGATGCCTAGATGCGACGAAATGAAAATTAAACGTTGAAAGATAAATTTTGCTCGGAACAAACCTTGGAATCGAAAACTTTGTTGATTGGTTCGGTTAAAGATTTGACGAGAAACTCTTGACATGTCGCCTTCATGTATTGATCGATCAATGTGGTTGTCAAAGAATTTGGCCGAAACAAACACGAAACATCCGTTTCAAGTTGAATTTCTCGTTCCAATAAAGCTTGAATGAGATGACATTCGCGACGTTGATAACGAGAAATTTTCAATAAAGCAGCCGCTAATGTTGAACGATCGTGATAGCAAAGTTTTTCACACATGGCGATCACTTCAAGATCATCACCTAATAGAAGATCTTTGAGTGGTGAATATTCAGCTAGTGGCATGATAAGTTCGTTCACGAATCGAACACGAACACGGACCGATCCCCAATCATCACGAATCGGCAATGTTAGGCCAGAAAAATGAAGCCATTCTTCGAATTCTTCGCCCGATTGAAAACGACTGAGTTCGACATTGATTTCAGCCAATTCTGAATCTTTTGATCGTTTGCCTTTATTCAGCAGGACCAATTTGAAATAGGTGACATCGGCCGGAATGTCTTCAAGGAAAAAATCTTCTTCCCAGATAGGATCTGGTGGACACTTGACTGAAGTTCGTGCTACTTTGACCGTGTTCAATGAAATCACAACAAATGGATGGGGAGTTATTTTAACTGGAAGACGATGTGCTTCGATCATGGTTATATACAATGAACGTAGACGAGAAACACCTTTGGCCGAAGCAGCAGGCGATGAACCATTCGTAGAACCAGAACCGGCTTTTCTCGTCGGACTGACTGATTCATCAAGAGTAGCTGCAACGGCTGCAGCACCATTGAATGCAGCTGTCCCAAAATGTGGATCTTCATGAACGGCGCGGAATATTCTCGAATTGACAGCCGATAAATTGGGTGAACATTGTGGCCTTATTGCTTGCATCCATTCTTGTGCTTGATCTGAATCAGCAGCACTCAGGTAATAAATGGTAGAAATGCTGAATAGACACACGCACAATACATAGATTATTATTATATAAAGTGTCATTATTAGTGAGACAAAACAAGCAATGGGAAATTGAGCATATGGATTGGGAAAATAAATTGAAATGAAATGAAATGAAATGAAAATAAATATATTTACCATGGCAGGGTTCTTTCAACCAATTGGAAACAATTTGATCGATCAAATAAAGAATCATGTACCATATAAAGGGCCGAATACGAAAGATGAACAATCGATTTTGGACGTGCACGTTTCGGACTATCATAAAAATATAGCATCGCCTCTTTAGCATTCAGCACACAGTAGAGATTTTTCCATTTTTTAGTTTTGTTTGATTTTTTCAGCAAATAACCTCGTTTCTTTCCGTCCTGACAAGATTGTGCCATTTCACGACATTCACGAATGGTGGCATAGATATCGGCAGCCGTAGAACGGAGTTGTTCCGCTCGACTAGTTGACCATCGCGTTTCGTACGGTGCTTTTATCACCGGTTTCAATAGCCGATGACCTTCTACGATTTGTTCCTCTTTATATCGTTGAATAACAGCCTCAAGCGTTGGAAATACACGGCCACCCATCACATATTTATCGCCATGACGTTCAATACGGAATCGTTGCACTGAATTATCGACATGGAAAAATATCGAATAATCTCCCGGAGAATTATCGCTAGGTCGAACCAGGAATGATCCTGGTCCAGAACGGGCCAACTTTTCGAACGCTTCCTCTTTCGTTATTCGTGAATGAAACCAACCGTACACTTCGTTCGGATCGGTATCATCATCCACTTGTTCGACTAGATCGGCAAACACTAATCCAGATTCTTGATTTCGTAGATTTGTACACCAAAGCCAACGATCAGACATTTCATTGTGAACGATAAAAATGTCGCCTTTACGAAAGCTAAGTTCATCTGTTTCGTGCATTTTCGTATATGGCAGTATGGCAACCACACGACGTTCTTTGTTCCGAATAGGTTCCGGTGGTGGAACTGGATTGACAAGACGTTCGTTTTTTAATAAATCCGAACAAACCGTATAGAAACCAATCAATTCTTCGAGAGAACTGAATTGTTTACCACCGAAATAGTAATCGCCACAAATGGCCGTTATACGAAAATGGTTGATACCGGTATTGCCAAAAAACGACAATACATAAGATCCTGGTTTTCGGTCAGATTCTCGGATCAAATATGACTGCAGTGTGGAACGAATGAGTCGAGCTTCTGATGATTTTCGATCTAAACGACCATGATACCATTGAGATCGACAAGGCGCAACTTCTGCCAGGTTCTGTATCGGATCGAATCCATTCATAAAAGAAGATCCGTTTGCACTGCAACTACCGCTCGCACTGCTAAATCCAGTGATGGATGTCGATGCAGCTAACGATGAACATGGTCCTGGTGATTGAGGCTGTGAATGTGTGCTTGAATTGGCAAATGCATCGTTCAAAAAACTTGACAAACATTTTTGCTGCCGTTGTTGTTGCAACAATAAAGGTGGTGGCAATGGTGCAGGCGGTTTAACATATTGATGTGTTGGACTTGAATTTGATTGCGAAGGAGATATCATCGTGAATACATCGGAAGAATTTTGAAATGGAAATTCAGAACCTGCTGCTGTGTTACTCGATGTCAAATGACGTGATGATGATGATGACATTGGTGGTTGTTGTTGTTGATTAGATGATTGTGGACAAGCAGATGATGATCGTTTAACAATATCCATAATGGTCAATAACATCTAGAATATTGTCCTTTTTTTCTTTTGTTTCTGCATGTGTTTGAAGGCGTCATTCCAACACGAATATATTCGAATTGAATGGTTGTCGGCGGTGATGGTGGTGTTTGTGTGTGAAATTGAGCGAACAAGATGAAATAAGAGAACTACAACACAACAACACAACAACACAAAACAAAATACATAAAAAATAATCAACAAAACAATCAACACAAGAGATCCAATATGATGATGATAAACAAGAGTCTATAATTATAGCCCAATAATAAGAAGTGGCTTTTGCTTTTTATGTTTTCGTCGTTGATTTTGCAATTCCCATTTCTTTTGTATTGGCAATTGTACTTTTCTCTTTTCCTTTTTCATACAAATCTCATTTATTGTTATTGTGCACAGTGTACTCGGGGGTTATTGGTTCCAAACGATGTTGATGCTAATGATTTACAACAACAATAACGGTTGATGATGATAATGGGTGTAATTCGTGGTGATAGTGATGATGATGATGGTTGGTTGGTTGGTTGTGGGCTGGCTTATTGATTCAAAAAGGCAGATTTTTTCTTTGGTTCTTGACGATGATGATGATGTTTTTTTTTGTCGGGAGTACCGAATTGATGTGACAAAAAGCCTGTAAGTTAGTGAAGCATAATAATAATAAGAATAAGAATAAGAATCGTATAAAACAAGACAAGAACATTGACAGATGACATGGAAAAATCTATCAATTTCTACAGCAGACAAGACTAATCTGACAGAATTCTCTGTTCAAATGTTCGAATCGATTATGATGAGAAGAAATATTTTCAATTTCAAAAACACTGCACAAAATGGTCAGAGATTCGAATCAATTCGGCCTGCCATCATATGTTCAATAATCGATTATTATCATTTTTTGGCATTCATTTCGGAAATTCCCAGATTAAATAATACACATTTTTTTCTCTCGCTCTCTCGATTATCATTCACATATCAACCATCATCACTCGGTGGTTAACAATCACTCACTTTTCATATATCGATTTCTTTTTTTCACAATTTGTTGTTGATGTGTTTTAGTTGCTATCATCACATCATTTTAATCATCAACAGATTCGGTGAACGCTTCAAATGATAAAAATAACTGTAAACTATCAACAACAACAACATAAACTATGTTAACCCATCACTTGCATTAATTAATTGAATAAATTTCACATACCTCTAATAATAATTTTGATATTTGACCAATCAATCAATTTTCGAGAAATTCACCAAAACAACAAAAAAACGTAGAAACAAATCTCAAACAAGTCAATGAGAAAACACTCAATTTCATCAATGACAACAATATATCTATTACCATCAAACCATAAACAAAATCACATTTGAGTAAAGAAACTAGAAACCTCAAAAAAGTAAATCATTTGATGATGAGCATGATGATATGAAACCAAAACTGAGAGCTTATGATCCATACATGGTGATCAATCCAGTTTTGATAGTGATGATGAGTTTGGAAATTGGCAAAAAAATTCCGAATTGAAACCAAGAAATGTATGTCTATCAGAAGTGTCGACGACTCAAAATGTCTGTGAGTATGTGTTCCTCATTCTTTTGGTTGTTTGTTGTTGGTTCAGCTGAATTTTTGTGCATGCGAGAATCCAGTGCCTGCCAGCCAGCCAACTAACCGACCAGCAAACAATAATCTCATGCCAGACACCAAAGAAATGAAATGGGCAGAGACCCGGATAAATTCTATAAGAGGTTCAAATGGCAATGAAAGTGAAAGTTTGTTGGTGTCTGGGCATCAAGAATGCTAGCAGCATTATAATTATGGAACATACGGAATAATGGGATAAATAAAAAAAGGGATGCGGCAACTTACTTTTTTTTGGCTTAGGAATCTTTTCATTGAATCGTTGATGATGAATAAGAATCACAATTCATTCAGGACTCTGGAATTATTATTAACTCCGAATGGACACTGATGGAGGAGTTGAGCTTGACCGATCCATTGGGCGAACTCTTACCATCGTTAAAAAATGTGAAACGAATATTGTCCGTATGGCAGACAATTTATGCAAAAACATCAAAAAAAAAAATATTGAGGAATCCTAAATTAAACAAACAAACACATGCGTGTTCTATGCAGAATCGATTTTTCTCGTTTGTTTGTTCGTCCTGTTCACTGATGCTGTAACTATATGAGTTGGTTGCATTCATTTAATTTTTTTATGGATGATGATGTCGTTGACTTGTGTTTATTTATTGTGGTTGATAACGACAATCATAATGAATCAAAATGGATCAAATAAAAATGGGCGAGGCACGAATATATTTAACAATCATTTGCTATACTTATATATAGTGGGTTGTCCGAAATTGTTGGCGCCAATGACGAATATTTCGTTTTTTTTTGTGTTTGTGTGTGTGTGTGTGTGTGACTATTTACATTCCACGGATAATCATTTGGTTTCAAAAAAATTTAATAATTTCTTTATTGTTGTTGGTCCAGAATTTCATTGATGAAATAGAAAGCAATCTTTATTAAATTACTATATCTGTATTCGATGATTTGTGAAATATGTTTGTGTTGCTTTCACTAACGTTGGGCTGAATAGGAGTATTGCTTGTGATTTGTGATGAGTCAGTGTTGTGTGCGTAGAGAAAAAACATTCTCTGGACGATTGGAGATGGCCATTTTATGCAGATAATTGCTCAATCTCACGAAATGGCAATTTCATTCATTCATTCATCATTTCTTCTATAGCGAAATTTATCGAAATTTCACACCCATAAATCTCGTTATTTATAAATTAAATTAAATCAAATTAAAATTGCAAGATTGGAAGTAAAAAATTTAAAAGCCAAATTTGCAAACAATGTATGTTGTAAATAGTAAATGTTGTTAGCCGCGTTGATCATGATGGTCACAATTTTTTCGTTTGCATCGTTGAACGAACCGGAGAACAACAAGAATCACTATGTTTGCTGGCAAAATCGTGTAGATTTCATTGTCCAATTTGAGAATGGACGGATATTTGCTTTTCGTCATGATAAACTATGGCCTCTAAAAATCTATGAAAATTATCTCTATTCATCGATGATTCCATATTCATTGCAGGCAATATTTCCTGGTTTACCAAACGACATACCGATGGCATTTACGATGCCCTTAATTGATGATCGAATGCATGATCATCTGTTTGCCATACCCGGTTTGACAATGTTTGTGGATCCGCCCAAATATTACCTATACCATAATTGGAAATGGAATCTTACCGATACGATGCAATATTGGGAAACCGGACCATTCATGGATAATCGTTTTACGGCAACAATGCATAATGCGAGTTTGTTACTAATCGCTAAAAATGGAGTCATTCCAGATGGAATCAAAAAAGTCATCGGTGGTCAGGTATTTCTATTCGATTCGGATCGATTTCCCGAATGGGTTGGTGTATTCGAAATTGCCAACAAATACAAACAAGGTTTGGATTGGCTACGACTTAGCCAACTGATACCTATCAATCCTGGTTACCATCATTCACGATCTAATTACCTGGCCATATTTGATTATGGACCAACTAATGGTCACTATTATTGTATCACACAGATCGATAATGATCAATGTTTGAATGACAAATGCCATCTTCGTCCATTATCCAGTGTAATTCAATGTCCAGACCGAATTGATCGGCTGAAATCAAAAGATTCATTATACAGATTATGGCATTTGAGTGGTGGTTGGCCCTTACCAATCATTATAATCGTATCTTCTGGTCTAGCAATGGCTATGTTAATTTTCAACCTTATCCAATTGATCAATTCTGTTTATCTTGTCCTAACAATGACACGGTTCGGTACTACTTGGGTGAAATGTCAACCATCAACAACAAAATTATCATTAACATCACTATCTTCAAGCATTAATGAGGGATATTCAAGTATCTTTGGATGAAATAAACATGAACATATATCATCATATAATATAATTTAATAAGTGTTTTGTTTAGAAAAAAAAAATTGAACCTCATCTCAAACAACATATCATTTGCTAATCTTTCATGCCATGCCAACAAAACATCGATGACAAAAGGCCGCTATCATCATTTTCTGGTTAGATTCTTCACTGATTAGACATTAGGCTTATGAAATTTGGTGCCATTCTTGGCATGATCCAACAACATTTGACATGGTTTATATTGTGGGCCATAAATTTCAGTAAAACGATGTCCAACATCAACAACCCGTTGTGCGCCGTACGTATCTGTGAAACGGAACGGTCCACCATGGAATGGTGGGAAACCTAAACCGAATACGGCACCAATATCACCTTCAAGCTAATGTTGATAAATGAGAACAATTAATTAATTAATTGATAATTGATATTATTATTGCAACCCAGAGATGACCCACACACATACCGGATTATCAAGAATGCCATCTTGAAGACACATGATGGCTTCATTAGTGAAACGGAAAGCCAAACGCTGTTGATAATCGTCTGGTGTACATCTGTGTGAATAATTCAAATGAAAATAGAAATAGTAGATTGATAGATTGATGATTGATTAATCATTTCGATTCATGTGGTTTTCACATACTTTAATTTCGGTTCAACACTGTATTTTTTAATCACTTCCAATGCTCCTGGATTCATTTCACGGCCTTTTCCTTTACTTTTCTTGTCATTACTATAGATAAACAATCCTTTGCCTGCTTTACGGCCCAAGAAACCTTTGGCAACCAATTCCTGGATCAAACGAACATCACCGCCAGTCATACGTTCATGATAAACTGAGGATAAATATGAAGCAACATGAGCGCCAACATCAATACCGACTTCATCGGTTAATGTCGCACCACCGATTGGGAAACCAAAATTGGTGGTGATTTCATCCAATTCTTTAGGCGATACACCTTCTTGCAGCAACAACAGAAATTCAGACATGACTGGACCCAAACATCGTACGGTGTAAAATCCAGGACAATCTTTCACAGTGATGACAACTTTTTTCTGTCTCAAACCCAAATCAATGGCTTTGGCTACAGTTTCTTTTGAAGTCTTATCGGTTGTAATCACTTCCAATAGTTGCATTTTGTCGACAGGTGAAAAATAATGCATACCGATCACTTGTTCTGGTCGTTTACTTCCTTTGGCAATATCTGTGATAGGAAGTGCCGATGTATTCGATGCAAATACACAATCATCACGGGTGACCGCTTCGACTTCTTGGATGACTTTGTGTTTGACCTTTAAATCTTCGAATACAGCTTCAATGACCAGATCTGCTTGTTTGAATCGACCATAATCCAATGTAGGAACCAAGTTAGACATCCATAGGTCACGTGTAAGCAAATCGATTTGTTTGCGTTTGTATTTAGTTTCCCATGCTTGCATAATTTGTTGCTGGCCACGAAGTAAACCTTGTTCAGATGTATCTTTCAATATCGTAGTGATTCCTTTATCAGCGGTAACTTGAGCAATGCCAGCACCCATCAGACCTGCACCCAAAACGGCCACCGTGTTGGCTGGTTTTTGTGGTGCACCAAAACGATTCTTTTTACATAATGTTTGACCAAAAAACAATCCAATCAATGCCTTATTGTGTGTGGTTTGTGTAAGCTCAGCAAAACATTTTGCTTCGAATCGTAGCCCATCATCTAATGGTTTCGTCAAAGCTGCATCAACACAATCGATTATTTTCAATGGTGCCGGATAAAGGCCTTTTGTCTGTTTGTTAACCATATCACGAGCTTTGCCCAACACTTTATCACGAAGATAACCGATTTTCATTGCCTCACGGAATAGACCTATGGAACGAATAAATTTTCAACGATTGATGGCCAAACAAAATAAAAACTTACGTTCTTGTAATGGTCTTTTACGTTCAATTTTCATCTCTTTATTTGCTAATTGACGACATACTCCAATGGCAACTTCTTCCAGATATTCTAATGTACGTTTCTCCGGTCGCTCAACACCGGGACCCAGAGGATCGACCAACATATCGATCAAACCTTGTGATTTGGCTTTTTTCGGTTTAATGTTTTTAGCCATTAACATCATTTGTAGTGCATCAGGAATGTTGATCAATCGTGGTACACGTTGTGTTCCGCCACCACCGGGCAACAAGCCCAACAAAACTTCGGGCAATGAAAACACAGTTTTATTGCTATTAACAGCGATACGATAGTGACAGGCAAGTGCCAATTCTAATCCACCGCCCATACAAGTTCCTTGAATGGCCGCTACAATAGGTATTGGACTTTGTTCTAATTGATTAAAAAATTCATGTCCTTTACGCACAAGTTCTTCAGCTTCGGCTTGGGATTTAACTTTTTCCAACATTTTGATATCAGCGCCAGCAACAAAACAATCAGTCTTGGCAGACATCAATACAACACCTTTGGTCGCTATTCCACCACGGAATATTTCATCAAATAATTTGACAGCATCGTTCATCAAACCTTCACCAAGACTATTGACTTTGGAATTTGGTTCATCCAAACGTACGATAAGAATTCCATCATCGGTCATGGAATAATTTAGGTAATCCAATTCTAATAGTAAAATAACATGGAAAATTATTCATTAGTTCAACTGAACTGAACCAAACAATTATCTATATTATCATTCATATGATGCAAAACAAATGTCAATTGATTAGATTTTGATGGCAAAAGAAAACTGAACTGAGAAAAAAAATCGATGATAAGATGTCTATAAACTTATTGCTTTTTAACAGTAATATGTCGCGCATGCTTTCATTATTATTGTATGCGTGTATCATTCACTTTCTTCTCATGTCATTGGACACAGGTGTACCCAAGAGATTATTATATTTCTGGTTGATATTTTTTTTTATAAATAAAACAACCAAAAACAAACTACATGAACTCAATTTTGCTCCAAAAAATGGGATATTATTGCTACATTAGCATAAAAACAATTGTAACGGTGACTCACTTGTGACCGTGGACAATGATCGACCAATTTGTACATTGTCAGCTTGTTGTATCCTCTGGAAAATCGGCGACAATGTGGTTGATGATGGTGTGATGATTCGATTATGTATGGATCGATTTGAAATTGATGTCTGTTGTTGTTGTTGCAACAAGATCGATAATGACCGGCGACCCAATGATCGTCCTAATGGTCGTTGTAAATGATGGATTAACATTTTTTTTTTGTATTTTTGTATAGATTATTATTCTTTTGCTATATCCTAAATGAAAAGAATTAATAGTTAATAATGAATTAATGGCAATAGAAATTTTGTACTCTTTACATACACACACAAGACAAATTCATAAATAGAAAATTTTAGAATTGATTAGAATTGAATTTAATAAAAAGAGCAAGTATTGTATTCGGTGGCGGCCAATCGTGTATTAAAATGTAGAAAAGCGAACAAGTCTGGTACAATTGGCAGCTACTTCAATGCGTTTAAAAACGATGATGATGTGAAATAAAAACATACACACACGACCGAATCTTATCATCATTTTATGCTGCTGCTAGGACTGCAATTCGATTTTCAGTTTATATAGTGAAAGTTGTATAAATGAACTTCTCGGCTGCTCGATTCATATGATGTAAATTCGAATTTTACAAACAAAAAAAATTGAATTGAATTGAATTGAATTGAATTGAATTGAATTGAATTTATCGAAATAAAATTACCGTTCGCACATACGATTTTCATTTCGTTCGCATTCGTAGAATGTTGTTGTTCACTTTCATAGCCATACTTTTACAATCACTGAACACCATCACCGATGCTTATGATCTACATTTGGCCAATCTAGATTATGAATTGAATTCATTCGAGAAATATGTTTATTATCAGCAAAAATTGAACATTATGATGATTGGTACAGTGCCACAAACACGTCGAAAACAGGAACAAATGTATCGATTTTCAAGTGTTGGCAATCCGAACAACACTCATCATAAAGAAGACGAAATCGATACAATATTTATCGTAGATAATGGTAGAATGGTACATGAAATTCGTAATTGTTCATTCGATTCACGTGGCATAATTAAATATTTAAATTTGGATTCAAACGCAAATCAATCCGTGCCATTATCAGAGAAATGGCCAGCACTAAATTCAATTTTAGATTCGGTGCAAAATTCTACCAATGAACGTACTGAAACGATGATATTTTCATTGACAACAAGTCTTGCTTATGAATCTGTAGAGTTTAATTTCGAATATCAAGAACAAAGATTTCGTAGAGATGTTGAAAATAAAACACAAGATTCAAACTCAACAACAACAACAACAACGACAACGACAACAACAACATCGACGACAACAAATCAAGAAATTATTTATGATGGTGATGATCAAGAACTAGGTGAATATTATGTTTGGGTGTTTGCATTCTATCATAACCATTGTCAGGTTCATCTATATCGTGCATACAACATCCTGGCTATCGATGGTTATAATCAAGTACATACGATGACTTTATCCGGTAGCGATGATGATAATAATGAGTATCAAAATGATCGAATAAGGTTGGCAGCAACATCTGATTCAAATTTAACCATTCTTTTTGAGCAATCATATCAGGAACAATTAGAATCATTACGTGCACGTTTAGTCACACTAAATCAATTGAACAATAATGCCGAACAAATTGTTAATGGAGAATTTTTTGTAAATCCAAAAATCGAAAACAATACCGTGACTAACGAGACTGGTGATGATATTGAACAGCAACAGCAACCAACCGAAGGTAAATGGCAACGACAACCATCAGGTTTCATTTGCTATCGAAAATATGACCAAATTTTTCAAATAATCGATGTGATGATCAATGAATGTCCTGGTGATATGCGTCCCATTGAATTGTTCATAATTCAATCATTTTTTCATGGCCAATTTCTCTACATTTTCGATCATCAATATGTTTATATATTACGAAAACGACCACGATATCCGAACATTTTTCAATTGGAAGATATTCGTCGATATGGTCGTTATCCGATGATTTTTGAACAAGGATCACTTTTTTGTAAGTTTAAGTGTTTTTCAAATGTTTTCAATATTTACTAATAATATAACCATAACCATTGACCATTATTTCAATCCAAAGTCGAAATAGTGGTCATCATTGATTCCATTCTAGCCATTATAATTGTTTTGGCCATTATAATTTCCATTATAATTTTTGCCATTTATCCACGTGAATTACAAGAATTATTTTTGGAAATTGAAAATACCCGAAAAAGTCTTTATCCAGTTGCAGCAAAACGTTCTAAATACATGATGAGTACAGCATTGTTGTCAACATCGTCAATTTTATCCAAATCCGCATCATCGTCATCGTCATCATCGTTATCGTTATCGAAAACATTCGAGGATGAAGAGAAACAACAAATGAATCAAAAATCAACAACAAAATCCAAAGCAAAAATCAAAACCAAAATAATGGTGGCAAAACGTAAATCGAAGACTACGAAATTCGATCGAAATAAAAAGACAATACTGAAAAAGAACTCAAAATCTCGAATGATGATGAAATGGAACATAAAAAAAATAAATAAATAAATAAAATTACAAATTACAAATTACAAATTACAAATGTTTACAAAAGTGGAATTTTTTCTTCTTAATTTGATTATAATTCTAGTGACTAGTGATATAAAATAGTTGTGGAATGACCGTGTAGCCGATTGAATCGGGCCCCATATTCATGCCTGTAATTCAATGTCATCTGTTATCGGTTTGTGTTGCCATTAGTTGGATCATCATCATATCGATTCAATCAGTCCATAATCGACCGATAATTCATAATTTCAATATTTCAATCCCATCATCAATGTTTGAACATGAAAATCAACTGGATATTACACTCGTAACAAAAACAAAAATAACAACAGCAACAACAACAACAACAATCATGGTTAATAGCAACAACAAATCACCGATTAGATTGCCAGATGGTTCATCAAGATATAAATCATTAAGATCCAGAAAAAGTATCGTTTTTCATATCAAAATGATGGCTTTTTTTGTATTAATTTTCATATTGGGCGTTTCATTAGCTGCATTACTTGCTGCTGACAATGATTACGGTTATAATTGGGTTTATGGCGATGATGATTCAGCTAGTTATGGCGGAGTAACCGTAGGTGGTGCGGGTGAAGATTATGAACAACAATGGGAAGGACAACAACAACAAATGAAACCAAACCAATATGATGATGAAACAGGCGAATGGATCGAGACAACACCACCGAAGAAAAAGAAAAAAAAGGCCAAGAAAAAGAAAAAAGTTGCAAAAAAGAAAAAGAATAAAAAAAAGAAAAGTGAAAAATCACCCAAATTATCAGAGGATAAAATACAATTTCTTGCACAATTATATGATATATTCAAAAAAGTGAAACCACCTCCGTCAGCGCTACCAAAAGAATTGCCGCTCATTCAGCAACAGCAGCAGCAATTGCCACCATTACAGAACATTCAAAATACGATACGTTCAGATTATCGTTGGGATCCAAATACTCATCAACAGATGATGCTAATGAATGCTTATCAGCAGCAGCAAGCATTAGCACCGCAAATGAAACAAGTGGATGATCAACAAACACAAATTATCAATATTCAATTGCCGATCAAAAATGTTGTACGCCATCGTCGTCGTGAACAAAGACGAATGATTCCTAGACGTGAAGATCAACTTTCATCACAATTGATCCAGGCACCTGGAGTAGCAACGAAAATATGTGAAAAAATTCATCCAATAATTCGTGATAATCTAAATGGAATCAATTATCGTGAACAACGACCACGATCACCACCAAGAAACGGATCGATCGTACTACGACAAAGGAATCCAATATCACCATTTCGATTAGGTGGTCATGGTGGTGGTGCAGGAGGAGGTAATGCCGTATGGTCACCATATCAAAGAGCATTCGATCCATGGTTTAGGCATCCCCAACAACAACAACAACAACGACAACGACAACAACAACGACAACAAAAATATCAACAATCAAGATCCAATCGAAACGATAACAATAATAACGATGATAATGGTCGATATGCAGAGGAAGCATTGCAAGAATCTTATTTCAACATCTATTTCGATAATAATAATAATAATAATAACGGGTAAAAATGAATGGAAAAACTGAGTGAAAAATACAAAACAAAACAAAACAAACAAATCAATCAATCAATCATCATTTAATAAACAGATTAAAAATTGTGATGACAATTTTTTAAAATTTAAATTGCATTCAATTGCTCACCGGAAGATGGCGCAATAGGTTATTCGAAATTCAAATGTGTTGAGTTTGCATTGTATATGATAATATTCTGTTTGTCACAAAAAATTTCAGGTTTTGTTGAATTGAACATGCTTTTGAGATAAATAAATTCTTTTAGTTTTTTTGTTAAATGAAAACATTATCAAAACGAAAAAGATAGAGAGATAATGGTTGTGGCGATGGGGGGAATTTCCTCGTTCGAGAAAAAAGTTCATCATGAACATGATAAACGTAAAAAAATATTTCAATCTTCAAGTCCAAGCTTGATCATCAACTTCATATCAAAAGCCAACAGCAGATTTATGTGGAAAAAGAGAAAGATAGCTTTTGTTCATGACAAACAAATAAAATAAAATACCTCATTTGGCCATCTGTTACTATTTCGATCCAAAATGATCATTTGAATCGGCCCGTTGGTTCATGAAAACTTGTCAGCTATAATGTTTACATCGAAACAATTCTCATGATACCAGAATCGATTATGTATGTGGTCGAAATCAATGATAAATCCACTCGGTCTAACACCAAATGGTGTGTGCATGTGTTACTTGATCAATCCATTTGATGTACTCGATCTGTGTTTGTGTGTGTGTGTGATGTTCGACTTTGCCGAATGAATGAAAAATAATTCGTTGTGCAACAAGCAGAGCCAGAAAGAGAAAGAGAGAGAGAGAGGAAAATGTTGATAATTTTTACAAAAAATCACACGGATGGAATGGATCGACATCATAAAATTTTTTTTTTTGCACAAAATTCCTGAATCTCATCATCATCTTTTTCTCTGATGAATTGAATTGATATTGAAAAAAGGCGTAGTCATTCAGCAACAACAGCAGCAGAAAATTTGAATCATTTTTTGAAGGTTAATTCAAGAATCCAAATCAAATCAAAAAAAAAATGTTAATCTTCTAAATCGTCATTTGTTTGTTAAGAATGATGCAGCATACAAGAAACGCCCAAGTAAAAATTGACCAATCTAAATGTGTGTGTGAGGTCAAAGTTCATTTCAGGTTGTTGTTTTCATTCAACAACAGAAGCGCGCACCCGAAATAGATAGAGAGAGAGAGAGAGGTCATGAGGTAAGGCATTGGATTTATCTGATGATGATGTTTGAAAGGTGAAACCTGTTGTTGTTGTTGTCGCTAATGGTAATGGTAAAGCGTCATCGATAGCAACTTCCGAGAAAAATCTTAATCTTATCATCTGATGATTTCCGAAAAAGTTTTTTCTTCATTGCACGAAATACACATAAATTGATCAATGTTGTTGTCATCAAGTTTTGGCTGGCCGAAATCAATTACAGAACGATTCATGGATTCACTCATTTGGTTGGTGAATTTTCTAAAAAAATCTTCACTTGCTGAATTGACTATTAAATCAAATTAAGATAAATAATAATTGCTTAAAGCAATCAACGACAAACAAATTTCTTTTTTCTGTCAATTTCAATTATCAGTGTACAAGCGAAATTCATTTCAATGAAATTATCATTCTATTCATTGATTGAGGAATCATTCTTTATTTACACGACATAAATGAACCATGATGACATGATATTATCATTCATTGAGTCATGATGATGGTGATGATGACTTTTTCTTTTAAAAAAAAGATTAAAACGAAATTGCAAAAAAAAAATATAAATCATTGAGCAACTTGCTTGGACATTTTGGATCGTCAAAATTTTGTTGAATTTTTTCTTGACAATAACGTGAAATATCCTGGTAAGCAATTGAGGAAAAATGGATCCTGCTTCCTCTCTTTTTTTCTGCTCACCTGACAAACACACTCGAAACCGAAAACTAAATGAATGAATCCTGATATCCTGTGGAGAGCCCATTTCCATGTTTTTCAATCACCAATGAACACTCACTTACTCATTCACTTGTTTTTTATCTGTGAAGAGAAAATGAAGTATCAAATTACAGCACTACATAATCTTAATTGGAAAATTGGATTCGCTTGTTTTCATAATTTTTCATTTCTCCCAATTATTGTGCAAATTTGATAACTAAAACTATGGAAAATTTTATCACCGTCATCACTAAAATTCATCGACATCGTACGATGGTAGGATATTATGATCATCATCATCAACAAGAAGGTTATTATGAACTAAACCAATGATTCATTGGATTTTTTTTTCGATCATTCTTACCCGATGGTGATAGCAATAAACTTTGATGATGGGTGAAACCCTCGTCTATCTATATGATGAATCCGGTTATTATAACCATAGGGCATATACTCATCATAAGATGACTCATCCTTGTCATCTATTTGAAATCGAGATCGAGATGATGATCATAATCTTGATTGACGAACTAACCAAATGAAATGATGATGATGGTGATGAGCACACACATAGAACAGGGAAAGAGACAATCTTTTTAACCTCGAAAGAAAAAGGCGAATCGATGTGATGTGATTTGATGTGATGTGGTATGAATATCTATATTTTTCAGGGCTTGGGTGTTGTACATTGAAATGTTGTAAATAAATAAACAAAAATCAAGAAATGAAGGCAAATTTTTCTTTTACTTTCTGGATTCATTTGAATTTTTCATAATAATAAAAAAAATAAAAAATAAGGGAATGTCACGATGATGATATAATGTCTTTATTGCCATCGCATTATTTTCATTTTCAAAAAAACTTTCTGACTAAACAAACAAACAAAAACGGAAACACTAAATTTCCATTGGTAAAAGACACATGAATAATCAGATAAACCTGACCACTTGATTTTTTGTTCATCGTGGTGGTCTTTTGTCAAGGAAAGACAAACAAAAAAACCAAATATTAATCATCATCATCATAATCATATGACTTGTGTGTTTATGGTTCAATAAAGAAAAAAAACCATTCATTATCCTGTAGATTATCTTGTCGATGGCCAATTTGTCTATTGGTTATTAGTAGTAATAGATCAGGTAACGTAATCATAAACATCGTGAATCTATCGGAATCTATCATCAAAGAATGAGTTGTTGAGTTACGAGAAAGAATTGAAAAGATCCATGGAGAAAAAGAGAAAAACAACAACAACACGGATACAATTCATCATCATAATGGATAATTCAATGCAATGTTTCATGTGTAAATAACCCACGCACGTGTTTATGTTTATGTGTGTGTTTTCGAACTTGTTTCATTGGAACGAGTTGTGTGTGATGATTACATTTGTTTTCTGATTATTACGATGGTAATGATGAAAATAAAACAAGTCTATGTTTAAGTGTGTTGTAGTTTGCTGTGATATAGGTCATGGTTGCTGATGCTCAATGGTTATTGTTTGATAGTAAAAAATAATTTCAGTCGGAACACACACACATACACCAATTAATTTCTTGACAAAAAAAAAATTATCAAATATCAAGAAAAGACAAGAGAGTGGAAAATGTTGAATCTTCATTCAGACTTTTGAATGATTGAAAAAATGTTTTAAAGTGACATTATCTCGATTATAAATTTACACAATTTCTAATTATATATTGATAAAGTCCCAACTCGAGAGAGAGAGAGAGATTCATATGGCACACATGATGCTTTGAATAATCAATATGTGTGTCAGCTTACACACACTTACGATATGGACGCCTTCAGCTTCCGATAGCCTCGATTTTCAATTCATTCATTCATTCAATTTAATTTCATTCACAAAAATTAAGAAATGGAAAAGTAGAGAAAAAAATCATCAATTTCACTTACCTTGCCTGCCAGCAAAGCCATCAAGATTTGTGCATGTGTGTGATCAAAACGTAATATTGCTTGTCATTAATTTACGCGTGGTGTTTTTTCTTCTCGATCTCGTAGGTGTGATCGGATGAATGTATGTATATATTTTATTTATTTCGATCGAAACATTATTTTTTACGTTCAGAAAAAAAATAATATACACCATGCGTATGTTAATGATAATAATAGGATTCCATTTGAATCAAATGTGGAAATTGAGAGATTATCATTATCGTCATTATTTCTGGGACTTGAATTAATGAATCAACAAATCCAACATTGAAAGAACAAGAACAAGAAGCGAAGAATCTCAAATTATTTGAAACAAAAAAAAAGGGTTGACATGAACAGGATGGAAAATTTTTTACTGCTTATATCGTTGTCGTTGTTGTCGTTGTTGTTGTGGGTGTCAAAAGAAAACGAATCATCATCATCCAATGAATAAATAAATCACCATCGAATGAAATGATTGATCCTCATCTCTGGAGAGAGTACCGTTTGTATGAGTGAGTTTTCATTTCAAAAAGCAAACAATTATGACGATTTCTCCATGCTAATCATATTCAATATAACGATATCTACGATATCTATGATTTAGAATAAAAACAAAACTATCCAGTTATCTGCTTTTCGATAGTACGCAATTTCATTCAGAAAAAAGCAGTTCACATCAAGTCGTTGAATTATTTATATGCGTGTTTGTGTGTTTTTTTCGTTTCATTCATAAAATCGAATGTAAATTAACTTGTGATTAACGATGGCGATATTATTATTATTAATGTGATTGAGAAATGAAAATATTTTCCAATTTTCTGCCGAGTTTTTCATTCATTTTCGATTCATTTCATATCCATGGCTTTTAAACTCAAACGAACGTCTGTGTCTGCTTCATTCATTGTTTTGTATAAACGTTCCAATCATTGTCACTAATATAGGATTAAGATTAAAAATGTAACCTATATATTGTGTGTGTACATGTGATAAACAATGATAACCACAGGCAAGAAGAAATAAATGACATGCTTTTTTACAATGCAATCTATCGAAATTCTTTCAGGCAAAAAACTTGTTACCAAATACCTTGGATTTTGAATGGTTTGTTTGTTTGTTTGTTTGTTTGTTCGTTCGTATCATCATCATCCAAATTGAACATTATTTCGAATGAAAATGAAATTGTAGAATTATGATTGTGCCTACGCACACACTCACCACTATAGAGTGTTGTTTCACGAAATGAAATGAAATGAAATTATTATTTGTTATTTGTTTTGAATAAATAATTACAAGAGATGTTGATGTTGGTAACGTTGGTTTTAATTTCAAAAACCACAACGTGTTTATCATGTTGGATTAATCTGGTTCCAGTCGATCCTTTGATTGAATCCAAAAATCTTGTTTTTTGTTGTTGTTTACGCTGTTGTCGCGGCGTACATAAAAAAATACCACCAACGCAAACAAAAAGAAAAAACAAAAAAAACGATGATGACAACAACACATATGTGTGGAGGATGAAGGAAAAAATGACAACAATCTAGTCATTTTTGAAAAAAACAATAAAAAAATATCAATAAAAATCATCAAAAATCATCAGCTTACACTTTGGGAAAAATTCCGGAAAAATCCAAACCGGAAAATTTACCATTCAAATTGATTCCTATAACTAATGGAAACGTTGCCGAAATATGTCTGAATGATTAATCTCATTTTCTCACCACACAAACATTCGTCATTTGGCAGCAGCATCATTTATCACCACACATACGATTGTATAACACATAGTCCATAATGATGATCGATTCGAATGCTCATCATCATTATCTGAAAACGATTATTGTAACAAAAAATTGTTTTTTACTCCCCACAACAAACAAACCAACAAACAAACAATCAGACAAACAATAATATCAATTTGTATGAATGAATAACATCAGTGTTGCTGTTGTTGTCGATTTCAAATCATCATCATCATCATCCGAACAATAGCACATTTCATCACATGATTGACCTTTGTGTGTCCAAAAAAGTGAAACCAATGTTTTCTCATCTCATTTTCATTTTCATTTTCATTCACAGAAAAAATGAATATAAAGCAAAATTTGCATTCTGCGTTCAACGGGTGAATCATAAGAAACAAATAAAAAATAAATCATGCTCAGTCTTTGTAAAAATTTCTGGATTATTTTTATTTGTTTGAAAAGGATGTCGTGTGTGTGTGTGTGTGTGTGTGTGTGTGTCCGATATCAAAATGATGTTGATGACAACAAAACATAATGTTCATCATCATCATCATCATCATGATGATCGTTGGCCCCGGATAGACATGATGATGAATTGTTGTCATCGTTTGTCTCCATTGTTAATTGTTTGTATGTCTAAATATTTTTCTTCATTATGATCAACAGATGATGATGATGAACAAATTACAATATTTCCCAACAACAGGTAGGCGTTGGTTTTATTGCTCTCTATATTGATGATCATCTACATCTATGCTGTAGGTTCCAAAATTCTCATCACCACCACTATGAATAATTGAATAACTGTGTGTGTGTGTGTGTGTGTGTGTGTATGTGTGTGATTCTTTATGAAATTGTTTTTCTCCTTTTGTCATCATTGTTTGTTTGTTATAGCGTAGGTGGTGGTTTTTTTTCATCCATGCAAAATGCTAAAAGGAACTAGTTTTTGAATAAATAATGAAAATCTATACACTAATCTTTGATAATCACACAGTTCTTGAATTCATTTATGATGATGATGAATCTTGCTTTGTCGATGTTTGTCTGTTTGTTTTTGATGGCTACTATTGAAACTATTACTATGAATTGTATTCGTGTTTTTTGCATACGAATATTAGTTTTTATGGCCCATCAACACCGATTCATTACTGCATACACCCGCGCAAAAACATGCACTGATAACGGACCACAAGTGAAGTGAAGGTGTTCAATATATGACGACACATGGAATAAATATTAAAACAAACAATCATGTGATGAATCCATGATCTTAAGGTCATTCAGTTCATTATCTTGTGATGATTCATCAACATTTGTATTTTTTGTTTCGGTTGGGAAAGAAAAATCGGATAGCAATCTGGAATAATATGAAATTCGAATAAAATAATAGTCCATTCATATAAATAAATGTAAGGCACATTCTAGAATAACCCTTTTCTGATATTGAACTGACAATTGTTAACACAGTATTGCATCATTCACTGGCAATATCGACCAGTTTGATAAAGTTATTTTTCTATGATTCAATTCAAGGTGAGTGTGAAAATATTTTTATATAACACAGACGCAGACAAATACTTTGTTTATGTGTGTCCGGAACTAGGTGGAGCAATCGAATTTATTCGTGAAAAACAAAAAATTATTTACACATTTGCTGATGACATGTTCAAGCAATAGACGCGTGTTGGACTTGTTTATGTTATATGATCAAGTTGTTGTTGTCGACATTTCATGATTGCTTTTAGGAAAAAATAAAAACAAAACATGTAACCTGGAATCATCCAATGTCCAGTCTGAATAAATTGGAAGATTAGATAATGGCCCAGAATGAAAACTAATTATAGTAGAAAACCTTGAACCAATGATTACATCCATCCATCAGTGATAGTGATGTGTTGATTGATCGAACGCTGAGTTGCGTGGGTTGTAGAATCGATTATCGATAAGCTGGTGGCATTCCATCATCATAGTTATAATCAGCTAATGATAATCATCATGCTATCATCATCATGTCATGTTAATTATTTTTGCACAATTATTCAATCGATGGTCTACATTTATTTAATGATTATGAATTATGTATTGACAGGCAATCTGTTTATGCTATGATCTTGAATTAGTATTATGAATAATGAATAAATCAAATAAATCGATTGTTTCGAGGTCAATAAAGTTGCTCTTTTCAGGACGGAAATATATTTTTTTTCATTCAAAAACATTGGGATTGATTTTGAAAAAAATATCGATATTTAAATCATCGATAGTATTCGTCCTTCACCGCGCCTTTCTTCATGTGACTGCATGCATATTTGTAAACAACTGTGTGCACAGTGTGTTGTGTGTTGCAGCTGCTTTTTTGTTTACCAAAATTTCGTTGTTGCATCTGGCCCAAAAAAAATTTGGGTTTTTCTCCACATTTTTTAACACTTGATGACCATTAATATTTGTTTACATTCTATGTAATTATATTCGGGCAACAAAAAATGGAACCGGATCCCTGCTGGTGGACTAATGATGCATATTGGTCATATCGTTATTTGATAGCATTTCGGCTTGTAAAGGCAAAAACATAAACTTTTTTTATTCACTCAATCTGGCTAATGTTTTATACATTTTTTGCCAATTATCATTCAGAAACATTTAGATTTAATGGAATTTTTTCAATTTGTGATCAAACGAAGAACCACGAGACAGTCGCTGTGCCTTTTGTTTAAATTCTGCCTTACAAACCCTTGTTGATCGTGATCATAACAATTTGTGTTTGTGTGTTTTGTAGTGCTTTTTATTATTCAAATTATCCATCGGGTATCAAACATTCAATAAAGTGTTCATCATCACTGTGTGTGTGTGTTTTTTTTTATGAATCACAACCAAATTTTGCTTTTTTTTCTGGAATTCAACTATAATTGTGTTGTTCAATGTGAAATCAACGATATCTCAATGAAGAAAAAATATACCGCTGCCGCTACCGCTATTCAACAGTCATAATAAGAATAAGAATAACAAGAACCAACTTTTTTAACACACTCTCTCTCTCTCTCTCTCTCTCTCTTGAATCCTACTTTGTTCCCAAATTCACCAGAATTTATTCATCATGATCACATTGATCATGGATACCACTACTACTAGCATTGCCACTAGTAGTAGTAATGCTTACTAGGAGCATTATTGATTCTTGAATATTGTATATTGTATAAAAGGGCGCCACTACAATATTCATTCAACAAGTGTATCTGATCCAATCGATGATCATTATGATGATGAAAGAAGGAGGGAAAAGGAAAAAGTAGAAGTCGAGAAAAGGAGAAGAAGAAGGTGTTGTTCGAGGTGGGCATGTCTTTTTTTTTTTTTTTTATTCAAATTCATTCATTCATGTTGTGTATGTTTTTGTCATTTTAAAAAATTTTGTAACCACACAAACATACAATACACGTTTTCTGGTTTCCAAAAAATAATCAAGAGGAACAAGAAGGCAGGCTAAAAGTTGTTTGATTTTCAAACAACGCGCCAAGTTTGTTATTTGTTACCAAGTTTTAATTGCATATGACGTCGATTTTTCGAAAAGTATGGCCGCATCAATCGACAATTCTCTCTCATTCATTTTGTTCAATCACTCAATTTTTACTGTCAGTCAAATCAAGTTCTCTCGTTGTAGCATCATCAACACAACCATCGACAATTTATATCAAACAAAAGAGCAGAGAAACATGCTGGTTATCTGAAAAATAGATAGATAGATTGTTGAAGATTGCTGTTTTGCTGTTCACTCTCATTCCATCAGTCAGTCTGCCTCAAGTCACACTCCATTCAACAAGATCGAAGTCGAAGACGAGAAGAAAATTGTAAATTGTCATCATCCTGGAGAATCACATAATTGCACAGAGAAAATTTTAAATTCTTACCGGGTTTTGTGTATGTGTTTTTTGTTTTTCGGATTTACTTTCTTTTTTCCGTTTGTTTGTTTGTTTGTTTATTTGCAAGATTGCAATCACACTCTATTGCTTATGTAGATAATTTTTTTACTTGTGAAATTTTTCTGTGCCTTTTGTGTTCTTTTCTCTGTTCATCACACACATACACACAAACAAATTCCGACCAATTATCCGAACTTGTTAAACGAAATTTTTGTTTTATGTGGAGAATACTCACTCGATCATATATCCCTAATTCAAGTGGCGATGGTGATATGATTGGAAATGGCGTTAAAACGAAAATAATTGATATGATGATATTATAGCAATGTAATGAAGGATCACACATCGAGCTAAAGCAAGCACGAAAAGTTGTCAAATTTTCATCATCATCATCATCATCATCATCATCGTTATTATAAAGAACTCGATTTCAATCAGAAGCATCATTTACAGACACAAAATAAAAGAAGAAGAAAAATCAAATCAAATATTTACCTAAAAAATCACCATCACTTTGGACAACAAAAACGACTTTTTTGTTTTTTGGTGGCTTCAAGTTTCATCAAAAAAAAAAATTTAATTATATACCTGGTCCTCGAAAATTTAGCGAAGAAAAAAGAAATTGTCCCCTTGTTTGTTTATGTGATCATATATCGCACACCAATCAAGCAATCGAAAACGAGAGACGCGTGGTCTTTTATCAAGAGAAGCATCGAGAGAATTTTTCAAATACAAATAAGAAGAAAATGCATAACCGAAATGATTTAAAGGTCAGTTTGACATTATTAAAGGTGTCGAAAAATTGTTTTTTCTTTACAAACTAAAAAATTCAACCAAGCAACAAACAGCAGAGAAAATTATCATTGTTTTTGACAACAAACAAATCTTATATCTCGATCACAGCAGCAGAAGAATCTAGCCGAATGAAGATCGAATTTGATGAAGGTGAAGAAGAAGAAAAAGAATCCAAGTTCGTGACGACGACGACGACGACGATTCAACAAACATCACGTATTACGAGAAATCAACTGAATAACTTCTCGATGCATTTTTATTCTTCGCCACATATGACAAATGATGATCGTAGATCGATAATACAAAACGATATTATTAATAATCGTCTATTGTCATCATCATCATCATTATCAGATAATGGTGTTGATGATGACAATATTTCAATATCTACATCATCGTCGAATTTTTTAATAGATAATCACGGTAATGATCTCTTTATGAATAGTAATAATTCAACTACCACAGCAACAACAACAGATGGAACTGGAGTGATAAACAATATGACCAATAGTAATAATAACCAACAATCAATACAGCAAACAACTAATACTCATAACCATCATCATCATTCATTGGCTGATGATCTTTCATCGTCACCTTCCACGACCACCACCACGATCGGATATAATCACCCTAATCATCAGCAATCATCTATTCATCTAAATTCAAATCATCAAATGATAGGCCAACAACAACATCTGCAATCGCATCAAACATCATCATCATCCGCACAATCATCATCAGCATCAATGGCTAAATCATCATCGAATGGTGTCAAACGTGGGTCGTCATCAACTGCCACAAAATCGGGATCATATAAAAATGGATCGGGAAATAAATCCGGTGGGAGTTCTAGCAGTGGTGGTGGTGGTAAAAAAACCAAAGGAAGAGTTAAAATCAAAATGGAATTTATTGATAATAAATTACGACGATATACAACATTCTCGAAACGTAAGACTGGCATCATGAAAAAGGTTAGTTTTGTTTTTGCTTTACTTGATTATTGCATCTTTCAAGTTGTGTGAGTTGAATCAATGTTCTGCCATCAAGTATTTTTGTGCAATTGGCGAATGAATTGTGTGTGCGTGTGTGTGTGTGTTTGTGTTTGGTGGATACTTTTTGGTAAACAGTATCATCACACACTCGCAGACCCATTTTGGCAATAATATCTAAATTTGGCTTTTCTAAACTGACAAACAAGACTGACAATTTTTTTCTCGTCTTAGTTCCCAAAAATGTAAGACTTTTGATTCGATGCCAGAATTTTTCTGTACCGATTCTCTGAATAAAAAAAAAAGATCAAATGGTAATGAGAAGCAATTATGCCACTAAACATGATTTTTTTCCTTTTTATTATTCTGGTGGTGGTTTTCATGCACATTTCTCCATTTATCCATCATCAATCGAAATAGGAAAAAGAATCCAAATCTAAAATCTATTTTCTGTGTGTTTATTCATTGCAATTCAATTTATCGGCAAAAATAGATGATAACTTTATTCAACTTTTCGTGGCATGAAAATTTAAACCTATTACATTAGATGACGAGGTGATTATTTGGCGTGACTAAATAAATATCTTAGCCACACGCGCTCTCATCAGCTTGTGCGTCCTTTGACCTTTGATACGTTGAAATTTCTACAGGAATCTCTAATCTGATTATAATAACTCTAGGTTTCAGAAACAATCAAACAAAAACGTATTCATTACATAAAGGCTTTAGGAAATTTGTTTTTCTTTGAATAAATAATAATTATCTGCAAAACTTATTCAATTTATGCATATCGACCTCCATCGTCGTATGTATATGTATGCCAACGGCTAGTTCAATACCAAATTATCGTCGTCGTCGTCGTTGTTGTTGTTGTTGTTGTTGTCTTACGCCATACTTACGAGTTGGAAAAGCCTGTAGCTGTGTGTATTTTCATTAGAATTCTATATGTTTTTATTTGACTTTCTATTCACATGTGTGTGTCCATGACGCCTACACACACACAAATCCATCTGGCTGACTATATAACTTGACCTGGCTTTTTTAACAACAAAAAGGTTCATGGGATGTTCAGAGATGAATAAAGTGCACTTTTTTCTTTGCCCAATAGAAAAAACATTCTTTTTTAAGCGGAGGCGTCAAATGGCGGCAGCGATAAAGGGAAGGCAACACATCATCATCATCAATGATTGAATTGTTATGATCACCACACACACAAAAAAAAAATTGAGAAAAGAAAAGAATCGAATTGAATTTTGCAATCGCAATTTATTTTACAGCAACAACAACTAATAATGATGATGAATTTTCACTTTCCATTAATAATAATGAAAGCCTTGAATTTTGTTTGTTACAGTATTCCGTTTGTTGCGATCATGACGATCATCATCATTAGTTGTAAAGTGCTAATTAAGAAGAGAAAAGTTCCCATCTTGAATATCTTTGATTGGCATTTGATGATGATGGTGAATGGAATAAATTTTTTTATTGACTTGCAAAAAGAAAAAACTTGATTTTTATGATTGGTGGTAGATGTTGTTGTTATTCTTACTTTTCTTGTATTTGTTTTGTTTCAGGCTTATGAATTATCAACATTGACCGGAACACAGGTAATGTTGTTAGTGGCATCCGAAACTGGACATGTTTATACATTTGCAACACGTAAACTTCAACCGATGATTACATCGGATGCGGGTAAAGCACTTATACAAACATGTCTGAATTCACCTGATACAGGTGGAGCAGTGAATACTTCATCAAATAATCATCATCATCAGATACCGGATGTTATTACCACCAATGGCCATATATCAAGTGCTGCGCTCAATCGTAAGCTATTGGCACCCTACTACTAATTCAGGATTATTTATTTTGTTTCAATTTTCAGCGTCAAATGGACATCATCATCATGGTGGATCATCTACAACCACCGATGCAAATAGCGGTAGCGGTAATAGCGGTAATCATCATCACCAAAATAGTAGCAATAGTGCCAATTCATCATCAACCTCGTCATCATCGTCGTCGACTTCGATCACTTCAACAACGACCACATCGGCAACAACAGCCAATTCCAATAATAGTCAACAACGACAACAACAACAATCCAATGATCAACGTATGTCAGCCGCTGGTTTCGAAGAACCGGATCTTTCATATTCGGTCGATACACCACAATCATCAACGACGACAATCATTGATGATTGTTCACATCTTAATGATAAGGTAAGCTTTTTCTCCTTTCTCATTTCTCTTTTGTTCTCATAACACATTTATTGCGCCCTTAATTTCTGGTTTTTGGGTCGCGATTCGATCTGATCTGATCCGATCCGTAAAAATAACCAGAAATCTTTTCTAAATATTTTTTCACATCTTACCACACTGTATTTGTGTGTGTGTGTGTGTTTTGGTGTGTTTCTTCTTTCATTTCATATGTTTCATATACTTAACCCTTTTTGTTTCCACTTGCTGTGACAATTCACTGATTTTTATCGTCAACAACATAACATCCTGTTTAGTGTTCTTCACATCTTTTATGTAAACTTTAAATGTGGCAAATTGTAGTTTTATCGATTGGTTGGCTGGATTGATTGATTGATGAAGTTCATAGTGTTATTCATAGAATATTTGTTCCGTTATTAATGATGAGGAGTGTGTCTGTGTGTGTGTGTGTGTGCATGTGTTTTCGAAATTGTCAAGTGAGAGAAATTGAAAAATAAAAAAAAATTGGACATAATGAAGGTGAGAATTGCATCTTTGAATTTTTGAATGACGTTCCCATTATGTTATGGTATATTATCGTTTGAAAAGTGTATAAATCATGTTTGTTGCTCATTTATTACCATTGAGCCATTGTGATTGCGAAAAATCGAGAAAAATCAAATCAATATCATTAAATCAATCTTTACTCACACAATGCGGAAATTATTTTTCCAAGTGAAAATGAGATCTGCATTATGTGAGCGTAGGCGAGCAATGATTAAATCAATGAATCTGTATGTGTGTGTGTAATTTCGACAGGACAGGTTTAAACTTGTCCTTAGATTTGATTTGATCATTAATTCATTGATCTATTTTGCACAATTCAGCAATCTATTTGATATATTTGATAGTTCAATGTCAGTGTGTGTGTGTGTATTATTACTGTAATGGTTATGTGCATGCTACAAAATGATGTTAGCTAAATGGCAACCCTTTTTATTTAAATGAGATATATTCATGTACAACACATGAATAACAATGAATTGATTGAAGGTCGAGTATTGTCGTTGTTGGCCAGTATTTTGGAGAAAGTTAGCCACAATAAAATGCATGGCTGCTCCTGTGATTGAAAAGTGAGAATCCATATTTTTTGCTCGAATGATTGGCTCCTCTTCTGGTTTCAATATCATCCATGATGATGTCAGTTGGTCTATTGTTCTATTGGCCATTGTGTTTGTGTGACAGATTTTCTTTTCAATTTCATTCAAAATTTGAAAAGAAACATTTAGCAACAGGTTGAAAAGTTGCATGTCTGGCAATACCTTTTGTAAACAATTCGATGATGGGATGGGGTATACAGTTAGAGAAAGTTTTTGTTTTCCGGATTCTAAGCATTTTGATTTTCATTGTTGTCATTGTGTGTGTGTGCGTGTTATTTGTCCATGTAATTAATAGGTAGATGAAGAGATGATTTGCATTAATTATGGTGAATATATATGGGGGTGAATCATTCAATTTCTTCATATAAATCCGGGTTGACCGGGTTTTTTCATTTGGAAAACTTTTTCCATGTGCATTGTGAGCAGATTTTCTCCCTCATTCATCCCTTTATTAATTGGTGGGCGTATGGATTTATGGTTATCATGACAAAAAAGCGTGGGATTTCCATTTGCTTTTTGATATTAAGCAGGGATAATCCACAACATTTGTAAGCAACAAGTTATCTGAACCTGGTGACCTCGTTTTATAAAACTGTTTTTTTTATTGGAAAAAACAAAACCAGATCATCAGTTTCAAAGTTTTTTATTCGATCGATTTTTTTGCCAAACCCACAAATTTTTTTTCGGCCACATCCTACTCGACGACTATCTTGGATGATGATGAGATTGATATAATCCTCTCTCGCTCTCTTTCATCGTTTATGTTTGTGTGTGAATGCGGTTTCTTTCATTTTCTTTTTCTTCATTCAAGCACACACACACACAAGCAAACACGAAACTGCTGTTCACCTGTCAATGATGATTATCATCACGAAAAAGAAAGCGAGAGAAAAGGAAAAAACGGGCATTAGACACCATTGATTGGCTAGAATGATGGCGCCCTGTTCCTCCTTTCGTTTGATTTCAATTGCATGCACACACACACACAACATAGTAACATAGTCTGAGAAAAGATTATTATTATTATTAACGATCAACAAAAGCAAGTGATGAATAATATAAGCCACTAATGTCTCTCTATCACTATGATGATGACGATCCTATAATGGTTGAACTGCACACACACACCTAATGGTTGGTGATAAATCATGAGAAAAGGAAAAGTGATATTGCAAATGCATGATAAGAATTAGACAATGATCAAGAGAATATTTTTTTATTGCTTATTTTTGCCACGCGCTATTCTTTTTTTCTATCATTTCCGACTTTGGTTTTCCTATTTTTTTGAATATCAATTATAATTATGCTTAAAACATATGCTTGTCTGTCTGTCTGTCTATATGTAGCATTTATATGCTTCACCGGCTCCATCATCGGTTTCATCATTATCATCTGTAGGTGCTACAACATCATCATCATGTCCATCATCATCATCATCACCACCGATTCTTTTATCATCAATGATTATTGTTGGTGGTGGTAATGATTCACAATCACACAATCATCACCATCATCATCAACATCACTCAAGTCATCTTCATTCTATTCATCACCAACAACAACAACACTTTCATCAACCATCGCCTTTATCCCATCAACAACTGAATCACCATCATCAACATGGTGAACAACAAAATTCACACCTAATGTCTCATCATCATCATCATCTTCATCATCAATCGTCATATGATCATCATCAACCACAACAATCAATGATGGATAGTTATCATACAACAAATGGTGGCTATGCACACACAACAGGCAACAATTCCAATACAAATCCATCCAATGGTTTGACATCCTTATCGACTATTTCAAATTCTTCGTCATCTTCATCATCGTCGTCGTTTTTTCCTACCACCGGTGCATCACCACCACCGTTAACACCAAACGGTCTACTTAGTGGTCTTCATTCATTTTTGTTTTCAGATTCTGTCAACGGTTTGGTCGATACATTTGTTGTTGATTCGATGACCGGCGTTTCAGTTGTCGATGGTTTATCCACTACTAATGTTGTTGGTGGTGGACAAACAAATGGTGTTGAAAGTCCGAATGGATATTCTGCATCAACAAATGGTGGCACCAACACACCTGCGACTGCTTCATCATTACGTTTGCCGCCATTTTGTTCAATCTAAATGGACGAATAAATAAAAATGACATCAATCAATGAATATCTTTGATAAATGCCATAGATTTTCCATGTTTTACTTTCTTTGATTTTTGTTTTTTAGTTGAGTTTTCTATTTCTATTTTACACACATTCACACACTGGATGAATTGCATCGTTTTTGTTTGTTTTTTGGTCATTTCATCAGCACATTTCATATTCATATATATCATATACATCATATACATCATATTCAATAACATTTCAATTAACACCAACGCACAAACACCTGGGCCTCTGTAACTTATGAATTATTTTTTGGTTTGATTTGCCCATTCAAATTGTCTGTTCACATTTAATATGACGATCTCTTGTTTTACTTTTTATCTTATGTTTGTTTTTTGTATTTTGTATTTAAATCACGTTGCTATTCCATATTTATTAATATTAATAATTAATAATAATTGATAATTGATAGTTTTATGCTACTAATTCTGTTCATAATCCAATCATCACCATCAAACAATATTCACATCTATAGAGACATGAGATGAAATTTGTTATTCTGTTTTTTTTCCGGTTTTATCTCTCTGTTTCCCTTGTTGTCGTGGTTGTATTTTTTTAGTTTCTTTTTCTACAACAAAATTTTTATTTCATTTTTTGTTTTTTTTCTGTTTGTTTTTCATTGTTGGCAATATCTTTTGGTGTTATGCAAATACTTTTTTTACACACAAATCAGAATCAGAATCATTTTTAAATAAAAAAAAATTATAATTGATTCGTGATTAGAAAGGCTGCTGCCATTGCTTCTTTCCACTATGCAGAGATATTTTTTTGCCCATCTCCATTAGCTTTGGTCCATTTTATATGCTGTGTTATGCTGCGCATTCATCATAAACATAATCGAAGAGGAGAAAAGAAGAAAAAAACAAACGCCTGTCAGATGATAATAATAATTTTGATAATTTTAACAGTCCATCATGTGTTACAGTTAATCTAATAATTATTTAAATTTAAATTTAAATGAAAAACAAGTTTGTCTTTTTCTTACATCAGTGTTGAATCTTGCCATTCGCTTGCACAAACATAGGTTATTATTATCATTTCAAAATTCTTCACCACACGGAAATTGAAACTAACCATTAAGCATACACTTGTCTATTCAAATTCAATTGTCAGTTCAATTCACAATCCAATCAATCGACAATAATTGCTCAGGCCATATTGATGGTGTTGAATAATTATTCTTCACTCACTGCCATAGTCGACGATTATGATTGACATTTCTTTCATTCATTGTGTATGTCTGTGTTTTTTATATTATTATTAAAAGACAATGTCCCGATTAGAGAGAGAGAGAGAGAGAGAGAGAGAGAGAGAGAGAGAGAGAGAGAGAGAGAGAGAGAGAGAGAGAGAGAGAGAGAGAGAGAGAGAGAGAGAGAGAGAGAGAGAAATAAAAACACTGAAAAATTGTTGCTGCTTGTCAAGCAAAACAGATGTTTACATTTTCTCAAGTTTGAAAATTGATAACAATAACAATTAGCCATTAACATCTACCAACCAAATGTACAAATACAAAGGCCTTTATGCTTCATTTTTTCTTTCTCTTTGGTTAATTGATTTTAACTTATTTTTAGCTGAAATGATCTAAATTGTATCATAATAATAATAATTCGTGTTTTTTGCATTCATGTGTCTTTTCTTCTCGCGGATCATCATCATTTATCATTTATGGTGCAAAATTGAGCAATTAGTGATGCCCATTTTTCACGGTTACCATGATGATGATGGTAATCGGATGATATGGTTTACCTGTAAATAATCATCATTATTCACTACATTACGAAAAAAAATTCGTGACTTTTGATCGTGATCATCATAAACTTTGTTATATAATAAAAAAAAAATTCACGACCCTTTCACTAAACATATAGAGTGATGACATCATCATTATTATATCCATCCATTATCATCTCTCTCTCTCTCTCTAATCTTTGTTTACTCTAATATTTATGGCTTCCTGTATCCATTACCACCATCATCATCATCATCATCATCATCATCATCATCAGTATTGTTACAAAAAAACAATAATTTTTCATGATAATCGAAATTATTATTCACTCGCAATAAATTTCTTTAGTCATTCGACGACCATGGCCACAAAACATAATTGGTAATCATTAGTAAATCGATAAATAATGAATGATGATGGTATGGCTAATTTAAAAGGCAAATTATCGGCATGAATAATTTGTGTGTGCATTGAGAATTGCAAATCCATTATGAATACGCTTTTTTGAATATTTCTATATCATTCATACCGGAACCAAAATTCTAGATTTTTTTTTCGTTTTTTGTTGTTGTTTTTTGCACAGATAGGATTTTGATTTGTTTTTTCGATTTGGTGCTAGAATCCTTTTTTGGTTTTGTTACATGAATTGAATGTAGTGTTTGATTGGTGATGATCTCTATGTTGAAAAATAAAAAAAAATTATCATTATTATTACTGGTCCATTGATCAAATTGACCATTATTTTGTAGAAAAAAGAGATTAGCATCATGTTCATATATTTCTTTCTCACAAATCTAAATCTTATTCAAAAAAGGTGTGTTAATTTATCAAAATCAATCAACCACCTGGTTAATGGTAAATGAAAATTGTTTTGTCTGTTTGTCGATTGGTGACTCGTTCGGTTTTTCTTTTCTTTTCTTTTTCTTATTCATCGGTCGATGATGATGATGATGATAATTATGATTCACGTCCGTCCAAAAACTGAACAACCAACCACGACCACAACTGATGCATACATTACCGATCATATGGAATCAAGTTGCCATAATGATCATAGGTTTCGAATAAAGAGGAATTTTGTTTTTCAAGACTGAATTATGCTGTGTGTGTGGGAAGACATTTACAATATGACTAACTATTTGTTATGGCGTCTATTCTGTTTGGTTATCATTGCTCTATTTTTGGCTTGGGTTCAACAAAACAAAATAAATCATAATCGTCAAGGAAAGAAAGGATTGTAATGATCTGGCAATAATCATATGCAATCTTTATCTTTATTTTCTTCTGTGCTTCTTTTTCTCTTTTTTTTCATTCATTCAATGATTCAAATTGGATAATGTCTAAATCAACAATTGAAATGAAATTTGTTTACAAAAAAAAAACCCACAATATTTTGATATTGTGATGAAAACGATAAATAATAAATAATAATAAGATAATAAAATTAATTAATTAAAATCATTCAATATCCAATATCCAATAGATTGTATTAATTTTGTTTTTTCCAATTTTTCTCAAGAATATCTTCACTGGTTGTCTAACATTTGGCACAAATATGGCTTCCATGTTGAATCAACAACAAAATTCTTTCTTTATCAATGGGCAAGCAATCGATCGTTCAGAATTTGGAATTCTTGATGATATGGACGATGATGATGATGACGACGACGATGACGAGGATGAAGAAGATGAAGATGAGGACGATGAAGATGATTACGATGATGACGATGATGACGATGATGAGGATGCGGATGATATTGTAGCCAATACTACTGATTGTCTATTGCCAACATCTGCTAACAACAATTCGATAATATTCCAACAACACCAGCAGCAACAACAAAATCAACATCCTGAAGTAACTGCCGTATCATGGTCATCAAATCTGATGATGAATACACATTCGTTAACTAATTCGGATTGGAATCGTGCATCTAGTGGAACAAGTGGCAGCCATCATCATGTTTCGGATCGAATTAAAATGAATTTGAATCTTAAAATTCAACAAAAACAACAACAGCAGCAACAGCAACAACAACAACGATGCAAACAACAACAACAACCGTATGTCACAATTCGACAACAAACATCAACAAATTTTCCACATCAGCAATCACAATGTCAGATGCCACGTGTGCAATCGAATCGAAAAAATATCTCATCGTCCAATAAAACTAGCTCAACACCTAAAACTCGAAAAATTTCCAACAGCGCACATCTTATAAATGCAATGGATCAGTCACGTATGCTGGATTCGAATTCTATACTTGATTCTTGCTTTCCATTCAATGGTAAGAAAATGTTTTTCCAATAAATCTCTATGGATAACATCCATTTCCAACAGGATCATTGATCGAAACAAATCAATATAATTTGGATACCATTTTAAATACATCAAATTTAGCACAAAATAATGCAGATTTATTGTCACAATATTCGTTTGGATCTAATGATCATCATTCATTGTCAGTGCAGAATCCTAATCTACTTCTTTCTTCGACTTCTTCTTCTTCTTCTTCTTCCAATAGTGGAAAAAAACATGTGCCACCATCGAATAAATCATCACTACCTAAATCCAATTCGAATCGTTTGACCAAATCAAAAGGTTTGATATAATCATTTTACTAATACAAAATGATTATCATCCTTTTTTTCACATTTATGATTTTAGTTGGAACTTTAAAAAACATTTCTGACCCTATGATGATGATGTCTACAGCCATGGCAACAACGGCAACGGCATCATCATCGATGAACAGCAACAACAATAATAATAATAATAATAATCACGATCCGAATCGTTCAATGTTATTGTCAACATTATTTCAAAATAATTCTCTGGTTAACAATAATCGGAACGAATCTAATGTTAGTAATAACAACAACAATAATAATACCGGAAACGTGATTTCGACAGCTAACGCTGTCGCTGTTACATCAAAACAGCAGCAGATTCTTTCATCATCATCATCATCAATACAGCAAACAGTACCGACAACGATAACAATTGTGAATAATAACAATAATCTTCAACAACAACAGCAATTGTTAAAAGCAGCCAATTTGAATACAATTATCAATAATTTGACCAATAATAATAACAACACGACGACGGCTGTAACCGTATCGTCGCCATCAATGATTCATAATAACAATAACAACTGTGGAAACAATATTGCTCATCCTCGCCAGCATTCGGCCATCATTAATCCCAATATTCATCAAAATTTTATAAATCAACTTTCATCATCTTCATCGTCACCAACGACAACAACATTAAATAATATAATCATAACAACGACAATGATGCCCATCAATAATAATAACAATAATACGATCACATCATCCCTTCATCCAATATACAAGATCAATTGGCAGCTATAGCGGCTCAACAATTTCTATCTTCAGGTATTAGTTTGTATAGTTATTTGTATTTACTTTTGTTATCAAGATCTTTCTCATTCATCATCTTATAGGCAATGTGATACTTTATCCACAACCAAAGATTACATCTAATAACAACAATTCAAATATAATGGATCCTGGAACCGGTGTTGTTGGTCAACCATTTATCGGTAAATCCGAATCATCAACGCTTTTAATACAACAACCATCTGTATCGGCTACTGGTTCAGTATCCGGACAATTATTCTATAATGCATTGGCTGGTCGTCTTCTTTATACGAATACGACCACAGCATCAACAAGCAATCACCCCGTTCCCTCATATAATATGCTGAATGATAATGCAATGTCAAAGACAGCTAATTGTGGACCTAATACAATTCAATTATCAACTCAAGATAGTGTTAATCTTTTGTTTGCCAACACTGGTGGAATGGCTCAGGTATGTATATGATTTTGATCATAGATATGTTGTGATTAATTAATTTCCATTAATTAATCTCCTCCGTTCCCAACATCCACTAATAGTTGATAACACCATCAAACAATAATCAGCAATCTAGTCAGGTACAAACTTTGGGTTCAACATCGTTTTTATCAAATAGATCCAATCGGCTTGCAAAGAATGATTTTATTGCAATAAAGAATGAATTGAATGTCAATTGTCCATCATCTAGTTCATCAACGACAACACGGTTGACAACAATCAATGCAAAATGTACAGACAATAATGATCCATTTGATGCCGATAATTTGCTCAATAATAGTCAACTTGATCATCATGCTGCTCATGGTCTTCTTCCTCCTCGTCATCATCATCATAATAATAATTTGAGCCCAACACATTTTCATCAACAACAACAACATCATAATCATTCATCAAACATACAGTCAACACGAAATATTAATAATACTAATACTAATAACAATAACAAAAAGCAACGAAAATAAAACTGTTTTATTATTATTCAAAAACAAGAAAAGAAGGGAATTTTTAAATTTATCATTTCTAAGGTTTTGTCCGACAACATTTGATCAATAGATTGACAGCGACAAACAATATAATACTGATAGCTAAATATATGGCATTGAATTTGAGCAATATTAATGGTTCATCAGTCAATTTTGGACCAATCAATAGCGGTGTGAACACTGTAGACAAACCTACACAGGAATATATTAATGCACTTGATCGATCAGTCATACGAAGATGATTTTCAGCAAAAGAAATCATTGCCGGCCACATAGCTGAATAACCATAGCCAAGTAATGCAGTAGCCAAATAGTTGGACAATTGTGAATCATGTGTCAGGTTAAGCCATATCAATGATATGATAAGGATGACATAGTGATATATGATAATAATATCCGGTTTCACACGAATCGATATGAATGCTGTCAATAGGCGACCAATAGTATATGCAGCGGCTAATGTTGCCAATACTGTAGCTGATTTGCTGGAAGTCATCACTGGTTTCCAATATTGGAACATTGTATCCGAAAAGAAAAAATATCCTTGTTCAGCCGATGTATATAACGCAATCATAAAAGCAACAAGAACTAGTTTAATTTTTCGATATTTTATCTTTGACATTGGTTCTTTCGAATCTATGGTCTCTGTCTTTTTCTCTTTTTTTCTTTCCATTGGTTTGTTGTATCGTCTCACAACGAATAAAATGACCATTATTATTGGCACTATCATTTGCATGGATCCAATCAAAACGCACGGAATGATTAATGAATCTTGTCGTGATTTTACTGTCACTTGGGTTCCATTTTCGGGAATACCTTGTACGAATTGCGACATAACACCTGCACTTGTAATTGATCCAAGGCCAAATACGAATTGTTGAGTTTGCATCACTGGTGCTTGATGTTTGGGCCACATTTCCACTAACCATACCGTATTGGAACTATCCCATGATCCGAGGCCAATTCCAATTACACTGGTCACTATAAATAAATTTCTTATCGAACCATAATATGGCATAAATGCAATCAGAAAAGCCGTCATCGATACCATTATGACCAGAACTAATTGTCGATTTAACCATTTGTATACGATTCCAGTCAACGCTCCAAGTATGTAACCAATTGCAGAAAAGCATCCAACATAATTCATTGTTTCTGATGGTACATTATAAATATAGCTCATATCCACTAATGTTGGCCACACTGCATTCATTGTTATGCCCTTTATAATAATAATAATAATAATGGAACCATTGGACAAAATTGACAATTGACATTCGAACAAAAACGAAAAACGAAACTTACAAAAAAGAATTGATTTATCAATATAAACACCGTATAGATTATGTTCGTTGCACGTGTTTGATTTGCCATTTTTTCTTTTTCTCCTTTCGATGATGATTATGTTTCTGATGGATTCAACAAAATGAGCTCCATTGACGGACTCGTGGTTTTTGATTGTGTTCAAGACAAAATACCTAATAATCATTACATCAAATGGATGCTTTGGATGATGATCCGGTTATCTACACAAGATTACATCAGATGAAGATGATGATGGTTATCATTTTATCACCATTCCAAGAAATTAATTTATTAATATTTTATCGATCACATCACATTATTGTTGATAATCAATAATTAGTGATTGATTGATTGGAAAAAATGTTGGCTCTCTTTTTCTCTCTTCTCATTCTCATTATGTCAACACGACTAACATAGTAATTACAATGAACAAAATAATGCTGATAGCCATATAAATAGCTTCAACTAGCAATAATATCAATGGTTCGGTTGTTAAATACTGGCCGATTAATACCGGTGAGAACATTACGGCTAATTCATTGAAAAAAAATATCAACGAACTGGCACGATCGGTCAATCGAAAACGACGTTCGGTGAAAGCAATGATTGCTGGCCACATTGCTGAAAATCCATAACCAAGTATCAAATTGGAAATATAAATGATGATTCGAATTTGTCTACCTGCATATAACAATGATAACGCTACGACAATCATTGCTAAATGATAAGCAATAATTATATTGGGTCTTATCCGTAGTGATATTATGGCCGTTATTAAACAGCCTACCGTACAACCAGTGCTTAAACATGCCATTACAGTAGCTGATTCAGTCGCAGTTAAATGATCCGGTTGCCAATATTGGAACATTGTATCCGAATAATCATTGTAAGCCATTTCGGCGCCCATATATGCAGCTAGCATAAAACCAACCAAAAATAATTTTACATAACGATATTTTACATCACCAGCATCAGCATCAGCATCATCCGCAGTTGTCGCATCATTTTCTACATCTGTATTTTTCAATGATGCAGAAATGATCGATGACGATCGATCCGTTCGTTCATATTGATCACAAAAAAACATTATGAACATGATTATCGGTACAATCAATTGTAATACACCAATAGTGATGAATGGTTTGATTAGTAAAGATTTTCTGGATTCCACACCAACTTCGGTTTCATTGGCTATACCCTGTACGAATGGTGCCAACATTGATGGACTAATTATCGATCCTATTCCATACATGAATTGTTGAATTTGAATTGCTGATGCTTGGTGTTTGGGCCACATTTCTACTAGCCAAACTGTATTGGAACTTTCCCATGAACCAGAACCAATACCGATGATCAATGTGGCAACGAAAAGTTGATAAATGGACGAATAATAAGGTGTGTATGCTATCAGAAAAGCCATTGTTGCCACCATAAAAATCAATACTAATTGTCGATTAATCCATTTATAGATGAAACCAGTTAATGATCCAATCATATAGCCAAATGCAGCGAATGTAGCCAAAAAATCCAATGTTTCATTCGATACATCGTAAATATAGGATAAATCTATCAACACTGGCCATAATGCATTACATGTTATTCCCTATAGAATCGAAACAAATAATCATGATCATGTTGAATGTCAATAAACATGGTTTCACACTTACGAATGCAATGTAATTGATATAAATAAGAACCGTATATACTATATTCGATTTTCTTCGATTCGTCGTCGTATTCTTCATTATTTTCATTATTGCTTCTTACTAAAATTAACGGGAACAAATGAATGGCAAACGATAATCGGTTTGTTAATCGGTTCGTTATTCTCATAATTTTACTTTTTTCAAACAATAACAATAACAACAAAATGTCACACTTCCAATGCATAGATTGGTGATGATTAATGTTAACAGATTTTATATTTTTGGCTAAATGTTTTCAATGATCCACATGATTTTTTCTTTTCTTTCTTTCCAAATATTACTACTAAAGAGATCCTGTTCAAAATCTGTCGATGTAATATCGATGCAGAATTGTCATTAGTCACGAGATGATATTATCAATCGATTAGATCCACTTGATTATCAATGGAAAAATTTGTTTGTACCTCACCAAAAAACATGGTTCAATTGACTAAACTTTGATCAACAATTGTAATCATCTAACCATGGATAAATATTGTTGATCACAAAATGATATTTCTTACATATTCATCACCATCATCATCATCATTATTATTTAAGTGGAATATTAATTGATTTATCATTAATTCTAGTTGATAAACATCGACATTATGGAACAAAACGAATCAACAAGTTAACAATGGTAAACAATATAAAACAAATGGCTATCGATATGGCTTCATAAATGAGTAAAACTAATGGCGTCGTGGTCAAATGTGAACCAATCATGAATGGTATGATGAATGTCATTAATTGTGAGGCAAAAAATAATAATGAACTTGCACGATCTGTTAGCTTTAGATGACGTTCGGTAAATGCAATAATGGCTGGCCACATTGCTGAATAACCATATCCAAGCAGAATGGTAGCTGAATAAACCATCGTACGACATTCACGGCCAAAATATAACCAAGTGAGTGCCAATATCATCAATATTAAATGATAACAGATGATTATGTCCGGTTTTAATCGCAGTAATATGAATGCCGTCAATAATCGGCCAACGGTAAATGCGGCTGTTAGACATGCCAGCAATATCGCAGATTGGCTTGCTGTCATTGCCGGTGTCCAATATTGGAACATAGTTGGTGAATATAGAAAATATCCTTGTTCAGCAGCTGTATAGATGCTCAATAATAATGATACTAAGATTAATTTGGTATATCGATGTGCGATTGGTATCGATGATGTATCTCCTTCTTTACAACTTTTCGGTCTTTCATATTGTTTGATTATGAATAAAAATAACAATATTATCGGACCAATTATCTGTATTATACCGATCGCCATGAATGGTTTCATCAACGATGTTTGTCTTGCTTCAACATTCACAGTCTGATTCGTAATACCTTTCACGAATGGTGACATCAATGATGGACAAATTATCGAACCAATTCCATACATAAATTGTAAAGCCTGCATAACCGATGCCTGATGATCGGGCCACATTTCAACTATCCATACATTGATGGCACTATCCCAACAGCCGCCACCAATCGATAATAATGCTGTTGCCACGAAGAATAATTCTATGGAACCGAAATATGGTGTGAATGCAATCATAACAGCCATTGTGGCAACCAAGGTGATCAGAACTAATTGCCTATTGAGCCATTTATAAACGATTCCACCCAACGATCCAATCATGTAGCCCAATGCTAAGAATGTGGGAAACAAACTTAACGTTGCTGCTGATACATTATAAATGTAACTTAAATCGGTCAATGCCGGACCTATTGCATAATAAGATATTCCCTTCAAATGGAATTTGCAGAATTTTACGATAAAAGAATGCTTGAAACAAAAGAATCAAAGAATGTACTTACATAGGCAAAATGATTGAAAAATATAGTGATCGTATAAAGTATGTTGGACACTTTTTTGGGGTTTTCCATCATGTTTTCAATTATTGATGCACCGAAAATCGAATGAACGATAATAACTCAAAATCATAACTCGGTTACTACTTAAAATGGTTTGATTTTATGGCTGATGCCATTTACATTAAATCATTTACATCCGGATGACTTTGCTTTGAACGTTTGATTAGATTGTAATTATCGCCATCAACAATTCATTATTATTATTATTTTCGCACAGCATTATCTCATAGGCCTCTTCATTATTATTATATTGATTTGATGATTTATAGCCAAAAAAATAACTCAAATCTAAAATCTTTTCATATGATCATTGACAATGAAATTTATACACAATTCTTATCATCATTTTTGAAAAAAAGAGATAAGCAACAATGTCTCTCTCTCTCTCTCTTTCTCTCTATTAATCAATCAATCAAAATACTTTTTTGATTCAATCAATCTGAATTGTTACCTCGCGATGACCATCAAATCATGAGCAATGTTTTTCATTTTATGGGTAATACCCATTGCTTCTAGTTTTTTCCCATTACTCTAGAAAATCTGTTTATCGTCATTTTCTGTACTGGGATTTTACAGTCATTTTCAATTTTAGTTTCTCATTTTTATTCTTTCCAACAGATTGATGTACATTTTCAACTACAATTGGCTTATTGAATGTGGAATATCAAAATTCAATGTGACGCGTGGTTCCATCTCTTATCGATATTGTAACATTTTTAGAATGGTTTTTATTTTTTATCAATATATCAAATTTTTGTCCAGAGATTCAAGAATGAATGATTATTTTGATGATTTTGATTATTTAAAAGTAAATATGTCAGTCAAGTCTAGTGTTGTCCAATTCTGTCGAATTTGGCACCGTATTGATTTGATCAATAATCTGTACGAGTGGTATGATAAAGTCTTTATGTTCCAATGGTTCAGTCCAATTCGGTGTCTTCTTAATCACCGAATCACAACGATCATCGTCATCACCGAAATCACCACAACCGACATTCAATAAATCTCCCACATAGCCATTGAGTAGATTTTCCACTTCGGGCAAATCATCTGGACATTGATCCTCGAATAAATTCGCTATATTAGTTTTGAATTTGTGATAATTGCTGTGTTTTTCCAAATGATAATGGTTAGTGGTTAGTATATGCAACTTGAAAACTGAAAATCATGATGATCAATTACTCACCAGCAAAGCAACGGTATGGTCAATTTTTGGTCTTTGTTCAAATGTTTGATGGAATGAAAATCTCGATTTAAACCAGCCATATATTGATTCAATAATTTGATATTTTTATTGGCACATTTGCCAAAACCGATAAAAGCTAGTCGTTTTTTACTGTTACGACAATAAGCACGATTCGTTTTGGTTATGCTGTACAACAGGATCAATATATAACGATTCGTATCCGTGTCATAACAATTCTGTGCATTATTCTTGACACATCGTTGTAATGATTTTATATCACGACATCGTTTCTCCATCTGTTTGACACTTGTTGGAAAGATGAATTTTTCATCACCAATCATCGTTAATTTTTGGCTACAGGATTCCATCTCTTTATGATCACAAGCCGATCGAATTCGTTTGGCTGTATTGCGACTTTTCAAACGTTTTGAGGCTGCCTGAGCCATATGATGATGATGATGGTAGCCGAGTATGAAAAAAGTGATGAAAACAAGTAAAAATGGTCGAGAATTCATTTTGTTTACTTCTGGTATTCGAATGATAGCTGAAAAAAAAAAGTATATCGAATGTTTAATTTTGTCGTATTTATATACTAAAAGAGAAAATCTTACCATATGATTTTTGTTGGATGGTTATTCATCAATTCTTCTAGTGGCTTAATGGTATATGATAATAATAACGTTTTCATCATCATGTAGGGTGTAATATTTCGTACCTGTTCGTTGATGACGCCAATCATCAATTGTAGAATGTTATGTTATTTTTCTTCATTCTTTGTTGTTTGTTGTATTAATGAAAACAAAACCAAAAAAACTATCACATGTATATGTGAAAAGTGAAGTGAATAAACAGCCGATTTTACATAACACTTTCATGTTTCATCATCATATTTGCAATAACAACAGAAAAAACAAGTGTTGATCCACCTCGAAACTTGCAAATTAAAAAAAATATAAAGAGATAATTTAATATAACAGCAGGGTACATAGATGTTTGGGCATTCAATCGTTTTGTTTGATTTCGATGGATGAGTTAATCAACAACAAAAAACTAATGGATGAAAATAGAATAGAATTGTCTTTATTTTCAATTATAAATAGAAAAAAATTTCACAATGTATTTATTATTTATCTAATTCTAGATAGACGTGATATGCTCATGATAATGATGATTCGTTGTCGTAACATCAGATATTGGTCGATTCAACACTGGTCAACAGTGATGAATGTTGTTGTTGTTGTTGTTGTTGCTGCTGCTGAGAATTTTCATATTGATGATGATGAATATTATCGTTTTTCTCGGTCAAATGCACAATGGTATGTGTTTTTTTCATTTGATCACTAGCTGGCATAAGCATAGATTTTTTAGCATGATCCATCATATGTATGAATGGTGATTCGAATAGAATGGTGAATAGGAAAGCCAATACATAGGAAATGGATACCATACTGGCGAACAAAAATATGATCGATGTTGGACGAATGTCGATCAGATCACGTTTCGTACCAATTAGAACGGTGAATGTCCATGCATGTACAAGATAGACGGCGAAAGTCATTCGTGACAGCGGTCGTATAGCTGACCATGATAATAGACGGCCAATCCACATTCCATTACCGGTGATACAAAGCCAGATGATCAATGTTAAAACTAATGCCCATAATATACGATTCAATGGAAAGATCAAGGCCGACCAAATCGGTTCATATGGACGACCGAATAGATAGAAACTATTGGAATAGACGCACGATAAATAACCACAAAATGCCAGCAACCAGAAAGCAACCTTCTTTCCCTGTTTTTGTCACAAAATAAACAATTGTATTATTATGGTTTGATTAGAAATCATTTCTCACCTCTCTCTCGCTCTCTCTCATTGGCAAAACAAAAGTAGCATACCTTGTTCATTTGTAATTTACATGAAATGTTGGAAATATTTTGATGTAGATAAACACCGAAAATGAAACCGATGAAAAAAACATTACAATGATTCCATGGTTTATGAAAGAATCTGACCAATTCGCTTGGTTTGCCTTGTTCATCCAAAAAATCACTTTTACTTGTCACCACATAGCCTGGTGGTAATTGGCCAATATAAATGATAAGGCTACTTAGTAAAGTGAACATTAGAACCAAAAATTTAGCGAAAATTAATCCAATTCGAGCATTTTTAAGCATAGCGATGATGGGCAATAATGCAAGCCAATGTAATTGCATATCGGCAGCTAAAAACCAGGTATGAATTGCACACTATTGATGTTGTGGTCACATGATGATGATAAGAAAAAAACAAATAAAAAGAACAAATTACAAACAACCAACGAATGAATGAATGAGTGAATAAATATAGCACACTTACGATATTTTCATTTTCAATGATATTTTGCATATAAATAAGGTTATGCCACCAAGTACGATGACATTGGCCAATCATACGGTCATTGTACATCTTCCAAAGTGGTCCATCAAACATGATCGGCAACAGGCTTGTAAGTAACATGAATGCCACCAATTGTGGTGTCAATCGAAGATAACGAAGCACTAGATAGGCAATTGAACTGAAATTTTCCAATTTTCCTTTCGTATATCCAAGCGTTATATATGATGTTAGCAAACCAGTAATGTAGAAAAATGTTTCCACGGAAAAATGTGTTCGAAAAAACGGTTGCTTCATCAAATCGGAAAGGCTTTCTTTGATAAGAAATGTATCGCCTATGCGGTAAAACAAATAAAAGCAATTCCAATCAATCAATTTCAATGAATTTCAGCCATCGCTTACGGTAAACATTCAGATTGTTCCAATCAAGTGTATGACCCATTATGATCCAACAAATGGTTAGCACACGAATACCATGAACACAGGATAATTCATCATTACCGCTAGAGGATGTTTGTGTCATGAATAACTTGCGGCAATTTCGAGCCGGTGAAAAACATGCGATGAATTCATTTCGACCTGTGTGAGTAATTGAGTAATTGAGTAATTGTAAAGTTTAACATTTTCTTTTTTAAAATCACTTACCTTTCTGACCATGTATGTAATCATGTACAAGAGCGACGGTAGACAGTACCGAAACGATGAACAACATTAAACTGAAATTTTTAAAAATTCAACTTTATCACCGAAAAAAATATTCAATTCATCATTAATGAATTCTTACATGGCAAGAAATTGTGGCAAATTTGGACGCCAACGTTCCGTATGTCGATATTCACATGAAAGCTTTTTCAATTCCAATCCAATTTTTTCGGCATCTTTTTAGAAAAGAAAAAAATAAATTTATCAATCCATATGATTGAAATCTTGATTGATTCTTTGAAGAAATTTGGTAAGCTATAAACACAGTGGTCATTATTATTTACCATGGCTTGCTACAAGTTCAATATCCTGTTCGCTACAGGCTTTTGGTACACAGATACCGAATTGAAAATTAGCATAATAAAATATGGAAGTAATCTCTTCCAATCGATCACGATAGATCAGATCGGCAATAGAAGGATGTGATGGTTTCATTCGATGATTAAGATTATGATGTGAAGGCATAGGTTTAGGCAATGGTATTGATAGATCAATAAGACAATATTGAGGTTGTATAGGTGAATCGAATAGCTGATTAATGGAAAGACATTGATCATAATGACCATAATCGGTTATTGTACCGGCAAAAATACCTGGCGGTGGTATACGAGCCCATGATTGAAATAAATACAATGCCCATCTTCGATCATGATGTAATGATTTAAGACTAATAAGTAGATCACGACGACATTGATCACTTGGCCATTGCTGATGATGAGTGTGATTATTATCGGGCGGCGATGAAGCCATAGACCAATACCATAATCGTTGATAATAATAATAATTGGGTCCAATCCATTTACCAATATGAATAGTGGATTCAGTACAATAATTGCCGAATACAAACACCAACACCAACAACGAATTCAGTTGGAAACTTTTCCACGATAACAACATGACAATGTGGATCCGTGTTACAATCGACAAATATTGAAATGCTGGAACAATTTTTGATCCACATCAATTTGTCGTTGTTGGTCGACACAATGAAAAGGGAAAAATAATCTAGAGTTTTAACAAAAACACTAGAAGAGTCTATAGACCTACACATCATCATCATCATTGAAAAATCTGTACATCTCAGCTTGTTATCAATCTTGTTGTTGTTGTTGTTGTTGTTGAAAAATCGAATTCACTATTTTTCATCCAGAACAACAACAACAATGCCATACTGTGCACAATGTTTTGTAACACTTGAAACAATTGATTCATAATCTCTTCCGGTCGATAAATACATCGTTCACGCATATAACAAAGAGAGACAACTAGATCAATTGATTAAATATATGCGTGTCCATCCGTTGTGCTTGTCGTTTCTGATGGAAATTTTTATTTTTTGCATACAATGATGTGATTAAATATTTCATTTTTTAAAAAAAAGAATGAAACTCAATTGGATACTCAACTCAGTAGGATGATGATGATAATTTTTGAAGGATGAAGGTCTCTCACACTCACTTTTCACTTGAATGCCCTTAGTAAAAAAAAATCATTTGGTCATCTCTTTTTTCGGTGGAAATGATAACAAAATCAATCAATCAATCATAGTATTCAGTTTTGTACACACACACACACACACACACACATACACACATCCCGATCGATAAATAAACTTTAGGAACTGTTGTTCTGTTTCACTATCAAAAATTAATTTAACCAAAAAATTGCTGATGATAAGCAAGTAATTAATTCTGAATGAAACCTTGATCGATCAACCATTTTTTCAAATCTATTTGGAATTCAAAAAGGAATCAATAATAATTCTGAGGAAAATGATTTCTGATTTCTTAATGAGAATAAAAAACTCCAAATTTAAAAAATAAAAATTTCACAGGAATTATGACAAACCAAAATAGCAATCAGTGCTTATAGATAGCTAAAAGTTATTGCATGTTTCTTACATACCATACACACAGACACATGCTTATGAAGCAACTACTGAAACAAATTACAATAATCAAAACGAAAAAGTTCAAGTTCAAGTAAACAAGAAATTGTAAGCATAGATTGATTAATAATTAATAATTTCTTCCTAAACTAATTATAAATGTTACCTTTTAGAATTGTTTCAAGATCATCTTGATTGCAAACGATTGGCATACAAATAGCCATCTCAACATATGTATAATAGAATATGGAGGAATATTTTTCCAAATGTTCATATATTGTTGATTCATTTCGACGCGGAAATGTTTCGGGTAATAAACCGAGAGTTTTATGAAAAAAATTATGATTTGGTGGAGGTTGTGATTTTGGCATCGGCATACTGAAATCTACAAGACAATATTGTGAACGTATCGGTTCGATAATCGATAAACATTGATCATAATCACCATAATCGGTGATCGTTCCACGAAACATTCCACTTGGAGGCATTTTGGACCATGAATCAAACATTTGAAAAGGCCATGCTTTTCGATTTTGTGGCGATACATCGAACATATCGGTCAATGCGTGCCGGATATCATGACGACAAGCCTCGCTTACATTATTCCATTTAGATGCCACTTGGTTTAGATCCAATAATCGTGGCATAAATAATTGCCGTATGGTATCATCATTTAGATTTAATAATGGTTGCCATTTACCATCGATTACCGGCAAAGAAGATGTTGTCGTTGATGATGGTGTCGATTTAATTGAGATCACAACATTAGTTAAAATCACAACACCAACAATAACAAACAATGATGAAAACAGTGAGAATGATGGCCATCTAAATGGCTTTTGTTCACTGTACCATTGATACATTGATCATTGATAATGAATGAATTCATAAATTCACAAAACTATTGAATAGTTAATCAAATTTCAATCAAATCTAGAAAAATTGAAAAAACATTTATACCATCGGAATGCTCAATTTATATACATACATACCATTCATTTTTTCAACGAATCAAAGAATTGGGTGGAGAGAGAGATAGAGAAAGAGGGAAAACTTGTAGAATGCTGTAGAATGGATTGAAAGATTATCATTATTTTTGTAAGCTAATGATTATGATTTGCGTGTGTATGCAATGTTTTGCAGTGAATTTCAAATGGAAGTGGTCATATCATGATGATGATAATGAATTATTGGCACATTGGAAACTACCTGTAATCATTAATCAATAAAGGAGAAAAACGAGAGTTCATCATAACAAGCATTCTGTTCGTTTTCTGTTTGTCTTTCCAGTTGTCATTTCAATTATCGATTTTGGCATAAAACAACCACCCAATAATTTAATTTCCTTTGGCACAAAAAATGTATATGCAATTCCGATCATGTGATGAAATATAAAGAAAGAAAAAATGAACAATAATAAATCCATAATCGCGATAAGAGAAAAAAATCTGTCAACTGATTGATCAATCAAACAATCAATCGGTTGGAAAAAAAATTAATTATTTAATGATGATGATTTTTTTTTGAATATGAAAATGATAGATAAATAAATAGCCAGAAAATATGATTCATTCATTCCGTTTTGTCCGACTGATGGTGATTGATGTTTTTTAATAATAATGATAATCATCATCATCATCATCATCATCATTAATGTTCTAATGTTATTGTTAAAATTTTCGATAATAAAAAAATTGATGAAGAAATTTTTATTTGTTCATTGATCAATGATATGATGATTTTTTGTTTTGTTCTCAAGTTCAAGTTTTTTTCGGTGATCAGCAGTAGTTCTTTCATTTCATTTCGAATAAAAAAAATCTTGAAATGACAAACATGTGCATATCTATGTACTAATATAATACGTGTGTATAATTATCGATGATGATGATCCTTGAATATAATTTTAATGCAACCATTTTCTTTTATTTTTTTTTTTGTTGTTTTGAATTTTATTTGCCTAAAACAAACACACGCAACACACAAATCCTTGATCTTGAACGAGCTCTCAATTTATATTTCAGTATATTAGCATCATCATTTCCAGAAACAAAAAAAAAGTTGCATTTGTTGTACACTTTTATTTCGACAACAACAAACAACTTGTTGCCTCTATGTGTGTGTGTGTGTCTGTGTCTGTCTGTACGACGCACAGTCATCATCATCATTATTAATGAATAATCTATAGATAGGAAGGTCATCTAGTTTTCAAATCATTAGATTATCAAGGGATATCATTGCAAAATTCATTCGTAATTCGACATTTACATGAATATATCAAACAGAAAAAATCCGCAATCGCATGGCAATTGTAAAATCGACGATTGATGATGATGGCTTCATTTTCAACAATAAATTAATCAATCATATCTATGCAGTGGATTTTTTGGAAAAAATTATCTTTCAATTATGGGAAAAAATAACATACCAAGATGTGGTCAATTCAAATCATGATACTTTTGTTGAGTTTCCTTTCCATTTTTTTCGTTAGTTTGATATTAACTAATGATCATCAAATATAATCAGATTTTCACTTTCAAAATTTGCTTTATTTATTTATTTATAATTAAATAGTATATAGTATTATTATTAATATCACATCATATTCCAATTAATGCTTGGTAATGAATTCGATGTTTCCATTAGATGAACAATTTGTTCAGGTATACCGTGGCGAAACCATATTTTATATAATTGTTCATATGCCGGTTCGGAAAGAAACATTGGATGACCACGGCAAAGACCGGAATCGGTTTCACCAAATTTATCCACATATGGTGATGCAAGATAACAACCTGAATAAAATTAATAATAAATTATTTATTAAACTTGAATGAATAAAATAACAACATATAATACCTCGACTTCGGGATGTCAACAACAGAATCTTGTTATCACGTATACGAAGAAAAATGCCCATCGAAGCCGAACATTGTTGTGAATGATAGGTACAGGCGCCCACCGATTCTTTACCCACACGATGTTGGCAGCAATAATTTTGTGAACAAAGAATTTCTCCACATATCAAACACATGGTTGGATAACGACTTTCACCACCATTCGAATTCGGACAGGTAAAATTAACCACCGAATTGATGAGATCACTAAAATCGTATGGCAACTTCACCAAACGATTGATTTCATGTGGCTGTCGTAGGTAGAGATTCGATGAGGACAAACATGTTCGAACAGTACCAGCAGTTGGTTGTTCAAATAAAGTCGATAGCTTTTGGTGTCGTGTCCAAATCAGACACAAATGACGTAGATTGATCGATTGCAATAACAAACCGAGATCACGCTCAATGGCCAGATATCGGCATAGCAGGTCATATTCAATTGTTGTAGCGATGTTTTTATCTTTACTTTGATTCCACAATCGTTCTGGCCATCGAATTTCGGTCAAGAAATACGCAAATAGTGCACTCGTTCGAAGAAACGGTAATGTACGTTGTTTAATGAAAGTTTCAATTTGGCTTGCATTTGCCATCAATTCATCTTCAGAAAATTTATGACCAGCAGCAATCAAGATGTCTTTACAGAACGAAGCCACCAACAAAGGACTGTTGTTGGGTGAATTTGATTTTGAGTCATCATCATCGGATTTCAACTGTGATGATGATGAGGATGTACATTCATTGCCATCCACATCCATTGGTTCATCAATTGGTGTCGAATCGACTAAATTATCATTTGTCAACACAATCTAATGATCAATCAATTTGGTAAAATTGATTAATTTTTAAGAAAAAAAAATTATCAAATTTTCTACACTTACCTGTACAATGTGAAAAGTTAGCATTAATTCAATGATATTTCGTTCAAAATTATTGCCAATGGGCATAATAAAATTTTTCTGGTGTTTACTTCGATCATCTTGGTGATGTACCCAAAATAAACGATTAGATTGATTATTGGGTGAATCATCGACGAAAAATGATGGTGAAGTTATCATTAAGGAAATTAACAATGTAAATGCATCAACATCTAATAGATGGTAAGGACTTGATTGATAGACAGTTGTGACAAGCAGGTAGTTCATTAAATACAAAAATACACGTCGTTGATTTAAGGTATGCATAAAATTTGATTGTACACGAGCCATCTTGATCAATGCTTTTAGACATTGATATTGACGCGTATCGACCATCTGATCCATTGACAAACGTTTTCGTTCATCAAGCCGCATTGAACGTTCCATCACTTGAAGTGTATACGATATCGACCAATTTAAACATTGAATCAAATCATGAGGAGCATCTAATCCGGATGTTAATGCATCATCAGGACACTGTTGACAATTGGCCATAAAATTCAGTATAAAATTTTTAATGTAACAAAATTCTTTAAAATTAATTACTCACGATAGTTTTTTCGTTTATCGTTTTATAAAAATTGCCCACAATTTCACCACGAATATCACGTTGTGATTCGACAGCATCCACATCGATAATCGGTTGTCTATTTAGATCATATTCTTGCTTGAAGGATTGCATCGTTTGTTTCAATGAATCATCGGTCAATGAAGCGATTAATTGAGAAAAACCTTTAGAAAATCCAGGAACTTTGCCTGATGAATAAACTTTTAAAAGGTTTATCATACAAAAAAAATAAAAGATTTCCAAATAAAATAAAATCTAAAACTTACTTAGATCATTGACATCGTTGATCCAAATCGAATTACAGCTTTGTAATATAACCAACATTGCATTAAGCCATTGATCTATTGTCATTTCAGCGGCAATTGTTGCCGGTTTTACAGGCTGTGCTAATGATGGCATAATCGGTATAGTGACATTGGATAATGTTTCACACAATGGACAAAGAAATTCCCGTTTATGTAGATCATATGTAACACGTGGATAACGATGTGCTGATCGTCGACGTTCATTCAGCATGGTTGTTTCGAAATATTTTTCAAAACAATCATTATGCATATAATGAGTGCATGTATTTATGAATGGACAGAAATTATGATCCGATCTTGTTAGCATACAATTAATATTTTCCGTATCTTTCCATGTTGGCATCGAACGATTTTTCGACAAAACAGTCGATTGTTGTATAAAACCGGCTAAAAGTAAATATCGACCATTATTTGTATTCACATCCTGGCTTTCCAAACACAATATACAGGTGAATACATCATCCGAATTCATTATTCTATTATTATAAGTAGTACGTCGTGCTCCAAATGCAACACCAAGTTCGCCGGAATCATTTTCACCGGTCATATCGGTCATTGAAACATCTTTGTTCTTGCTGCTATTATTGTTATCGATAGAAACGGGATTTTCTTTGAAATATTTTTCATTTTCTTTCAAAAATGAACGCTGTTGTTGTTGCATTAGCTGTAAAATTCGTTCTTGACGAGCTGCCGCCATTTTTCGTCGTCTGGAACGTTCTTGTTCCTGATGATGACCGAATGTTGTAGAATTTCGATTCTGTTCAATCAATTGTTGTTGTGGTTCATCTGTCGAAATCGATGATGATGACGATGTTGATGATGAATGTAGCAGCATCACTTGTTTGAAACGATCCATACACCAATCATAAAGGCCTTGATGCATTTCTACACGTGTCAAAATGTGGCGAGTAGAACATTGTTCCAATAATGAAACAATATTAAAATCTATGGCGCGTTGGCTAAATTTGAAACGGTCTGGATATTTAAGCTCTTCATTCAACGCAATACCAATCAGATAAAGACATTGTTGAAATTGAAAATCGGAAAAATAAATATCCTTAAGATCGATCGTTTTCTCCAGCAGACATTTCAATAATGTCAATGTTACATCGCATAAAAGAATCTGATTAATCGTTCGAAATGGTTCACTAAAATCGGGCAACGGTGGTGGTGGACAGCAAAGATGTTTTTCCTTTCGATCACGTTTGATTCGTATCTGTGTTTCGTATGCAGCCGATTGATCCTGACGAGTGTAATGATAGAAAAATGGATTGAAACGTTCACGATACACATCTTTCAATACGTAGCGGCCAGCCGTGTTCGAGGTGGATAATGAACGACGAAATTCTGCTACTTCCAATATTAAATCTTCAATGTTTTTCTCACAATAATCTTGGTTAAGATGTGCAAACAATTCAGAATTCGACATTGATTCTTTACATAACCATTGTATGATTTCATTCTTACAACAATCATCGTCGTTTACGGAACCAAGCTTCACGGTATAGCGTTCGACTAGAATCGTATAAATAAGACGAAGAAATTCTTCCAATAATGTAATCTGATGTCTAGTGGCATCATCATTACGTTTACTTGGTGAATATTCACGATCATCCAATATAACATTGACCGAATATTTACACATTACATGTATCATGAATTCATTTGGATCGAGCATAGCAGCACCAATTTGTAGATTTAAAATGTCCAAATCATAGGTTGTAGCACGTAGACTAGGGCTTAGATAGAAATGAATTTGATTGATAAACGAATAGCCGTTTCGACGCCACATTCCAGCACGAAATTGTCCAAGCAATACTTGTGTACGCAAAGCTAATTCCATTGTTGATTCAGCGTTCAATCGATATGGTGTTAATCGACGACAACGACCACAATCATCATCACTGCTATAATCATTATATTCATTCCAAAGATCGGGAAATTCCGGTAAATGTAACATTAGGCCAGCTAAAAATCGTGATAATGGTGTATGAATGCTCATCTCTTTTCGACCGACATTATAATCCCAAACCATGGCTGATCGAAATGCATAATGACGTCGAACAGTGGTACATCGTGAATTGGTAACCGGATTCTCGTTCTGTTTATCACCGCCATTGGCATAATAATCGAATGAATCTTTTGCTAAACGTAAGCCAGTGTTGAAAACATTCAAATAGATTTGAGAGTCGGTAATCGACCATTCAATGAACGATTTAATCAATGGTGCCAGTATGAATTCAAATTTCGTTGACATATCACGACCAGGTTCGTATTCAATGTGTTGAACTACTTGTCGTATCATTGTTTCCATTTGTTGTGTTCGTTTCAATAATTTAGCAAATGCTTCGGCACCTTCAAGAAAATGATTGCGAATACGATCAGTTGACCATTCGAATAAATCAGCAATTTTCGGTGTAAGGAGATAATGTGTATCTCGTAACGCACGATACGATCGTCTGAAGGGTGGTGTATTTGGCGTTGTGGAGAAATTGAAACGTCCCTGTTGATGGTAAGAAAAATTTAATTCAAGAAAAGTATTGATTAGAATAGTGATTGCATTTTCCTCTTCAATCAACATTCTAGCGATCGATGGAACGGTGTAGATTTGTACCGATAATGATAATATCGATACATGTTCTTCATGATCATCTTTAACGAAATCTTCAAGTAAATGTGGATAATGTTGTGTGAATAATCGGGCAAATTGTTTTTTTGGCTTCAGATCAAGCAACAAACCAGACATGAACATTTTATGCCATAAGATACGAATCGATTTCCAGAACCAAGTATCCGAATGCATAATTTTTTCCAATAAACTTAGATTGGCCATCGACGATGATTGTTCTTGGAAATCATTGAACCGCTGAAAATGATGACCAGGTTGATAAAGATAATCGGCCAATACCAGACGAAATTGTTTACAAATCGGTAACATTTCCATTATCCATACCATCAATCGGGTGACAAATGTTTGATGAGCTACCAGATGTGTGCTAAGAACTTTAACTTCAAGAACTTTCTCCTCATTTTTTCGATTTGTATCGCTAATAATAGATTTCACAGTATCGCATCGTTCTTGTGTTCCAATAAATATGACACAACGTCCTTCACGATCGACAGTGTTTGCATAATCGGTAGCTTTTTTGTTATCGCATTTGATGGATTTTGTCAATGCATAAATAACATGTTCATAGGTATGAGTTTCATCATTGTATAAGACAGATGCGTATCGATTAACTTCAGGTTTTTCCACCCGTTTTGTTGTTTGTAATCGTTTCGGTAGATCTGTTTGATTCCATTTGAGCAACAAATAGATATAATCAAGTACATAATGAATGACAATTCGTAATCGGATTAGAATATTATTGAATTCTTGTTCGGTCATCAATGATAGGATGGCGGATAAATCAGAATCTGTGGTTCTTTTTGCTGCATGCAATGAACAAATAGCATCACATTTCCAAGCTTCAGGATCACCACAATCACAATATCCTGAACTTGATGGACTAATCCTATAACGATGTTGCCGATGTACACTATATTTATCATTTTTAATGATCAAAAATCGAATTAAAAATCGAATCATTATCAGATTAAATTATTAGTAACATACCTGTGTTTAAAACAATCAACACACAATACACATGTAGGATCCGATGAACAATCACGACAACTATAAGTTGGTTCACCTAATTTAAAAACTCGTCCACATAATTGTGGTGGTTTCGAAATGTTTTTTAATTTATCCAATAATTCATGTGATTGTTCCACACCCGTAATGAAACATTCGAGTGGTTTGATCAATTCTTCATACACACGCTGTTCATCAAATGATTGCGGTGATGTCGAAATTTGCGGACGGAATAGTTCTGGAACAATTCGTTTCCATTGCTCTTCAATTAGATCGATAAATGATTCACCATTATCACTGTGAAGATTATTATCGATACATTTGGCATACTTGAGTATATCCGATAATTCAATCGAAGTTTTCAATTTCCGTTCCGATTGTTGTTGTTGTTGTTGTGGATGTTTATTTTCTTCTAGATGAAAATTATCCATATTTTTTCTTCAATGATGATGATGATTATTTTTCAGCACTGCATGGAATCAGCAGAAGTAATTTTACCACATACAAACAGTATGAGCAATAAGAATTTTTTTTTGTGAAGAATTAGCACTTGCCTATGGGAATGATTTGATTAGAAATTACCAGCACCAACAACAACAAAACATAAACATGCGTGAATAAAAAAGAAAAAACGAGAGAGAGAGATTAACAAAATTGAATAGAATCACATACACCAAATAAAAAGAGTGTGCTCAACCAATGCATAGTAAAAAAAAACAAGAATAGACCAATTCTTCAACAATTCCACTTACTCAATGTTTATTATTAAGAAATGAATAGAATTTTTATTTTTTTTTTCAACGAGTCGAAGTGAAAATATAATATTGGCTGTGTGATGTCAGCTGAAGAATAAAAACCGAACATAAGGAAAACACACTATACTTATTACTCGGATAATGATGCATCACAATGATGCGATTTCGTTTTTGATGATGATATCACTTTCAGATTTTTATAGTTTAATTCATTTACATCTACACACGCACGCACACACAATAAGCATCATGACGACGACGACGACGACAAAAAACTCATTAGTAACACCTAAATATTAGGATCATTTGCATTTTGTATGAATAAATTCTCCAATTCAAAATTGTTTCACGTGTGATGAATAATATGCTTTTGGCTAGATATGAGATAATCAATTATCAATTAGTTTTAAGAATTCAATGGATTTTTGCTTTTGAAAAAAATAAAATGTTCGATGTCATGTACAACGTATACAACGTATGTAACAATTGATCAATGATGATCATCATTTTTTTCTGCTCGAAATTATTATTCACTTTTTATGTGTGTAGATGGCGTGTAGAATTTGTTATAGAAAAAAATTCATATTTGAAATCCAAAACATGTGATTGTTAATGATCAAAGTTGTGATGTTTTGAATATCATAAATAATGGAATGTTCGACTTTGATTTAATGAATGTTTCTAATTGATTGTAATCTAGTATTTAAACCCACCCGAAAATTATCATTAACCATCGAGTATCTGGGATCAATCAACACTTCATCAATCTATCAATAGTGTCAAATTCCCATCATAGTTGCTAACTTATTACGATGACGATGTAGTTTATCATTCAGATAGCAGCGCATTTCGAAAATTTTAGATAATTGAAATGAATTTGAATAATAAAAAAAATCATTTATTTCGATACATGTGTACAACAACTGATTACATAATGATGTTGATGATGATGAATAATAGAAAAATGTATGTCTCTCTGTGTATAAATGAATGAATGAATGTTACAAAAAAAATTCAGTGAGTTTTACATAATATATATATATGCATCATATGCATGAGTTTTTTATAGGAAAAATTGGGATCGTAACAAAATAAAAAAAAACGAAGACGATGCTGCGCGATTGAAGAATTTGAAAAGAATAAGGATTAACGCTGAACGCTATTTGGTGATGATAATATTGGCGGCTGTATCGACGATGAATTTGGTGGCGGCGGCGGCGGTGTTGGCAATAAAGCAGGTGTAGATCCAGAATTCCAAGAAGATTGTAAAGTTGATGGCGATGTTGCGGCAGAATTATGGAAATGATGATGTTGTTGATGATGATTCAATGATGTTCCACCATTAGATGGATATGCACTAGTTGTTGTTCCACTACCAAGTGATGATGGTGGGGGTGGTAAATGACGATTATAGCCCATTGGTAATATATTAAGTGGACGTTGTGAACGTTGATCATATGGCCGTTGTTGATGATCATTAGAACGATTATATGTTGATGTATTATTTTTATTAGGCGATGATGAATGATGATAATAACGATTCGAATCATTGTAGACACCACCACCACCGCCACCACTATTGTTTCTATAACCATCATGTTTTGATGACCATGAAGTACCGATATGATGATGGCCACCACTAGAATTTCTATCATAATCATTACGACGATCATGATATGAATGTTTACTAAATTTGACTGCCGGACCACCACCAATAGGTCCGCTATTTGAATTTGATGATGATCCATGATAATCACGTTTCAGACTGGATGATGTTGATGATGACGTAAGAGATGATGGTGGTTGCCCACCACTAGTACGAGAATATTGATGATTTGAAAAATTTCGATAATCAACACCTCCTCGATTCATTGGGTTACGATTATCATATCTATCATTTGATGAATGATAATAATGATTCGATTCGTTCACACGATTTGTTGTTGTCGATGATCCAGTTTGATTCATCGACAATCCTTTATCCATTGATAATTTTGATGATGATTGATGATGACGATTATGGCGATCATGATGATGGCTCGAAGATGATGTCACTTGTTGTTTGGATTGTTTTAATTTTCTATAATATTTATACAACTTTTTCGCCGGCAATACAGTAAATTTCGAAACAAATGTCCATAAATTATTACGCCATTCACGCATTTTGGTTGAATCTTGTTGATAATCCTGTAGACATTTGTCAATATGTGCACCAATCAATGAAACATATTCATAGAATCGTTCACGATGTTCCGAATTGGATAGCTCTTCTACTTTGCCTAATGCTTTCAAAGCTTTTTTCGTGGCTCGCATTTTTTCCTTACATTCGATAAACACTTCGGCATCAAGTTCATCGACTGAATGGATCGAATTACTCGAACTACTATTATTATTATTCGTGGTCGAATCGGATGAGTTTTGCTTTTTCGATGTTGTTGTAGTCGATGAAGATGATGGTTTTATTTTTTCCTTTTTACGTTTCTTATCTTTGCGTTTTTTCTTTTCTTTATGTTTCTTATTATTATTATCAACTGCACCATTGGCGGCCACAGTTGATGATTTACGTTTAATTTTTCCCGTCGACGAATTCTTTTTCATGGATGATGATTGTGTTGGTGAAGGCGAAGCCAATTTACCACCACTATTCTCTTTTTTCTTAATGTTTTTAGTGTTTTTATTTTTCGAAACAATAACATGATTCATTTGAGACGATTCGGAATTGTTCACTTTTTGTTGTGATGCAAGATGACGATGCATTACTTTCAATAAAAATTCAACACGAGATTGTAGCTGTTTAGGCTGAGGTTTCAATTCTCCATCAGGTAGCATCTAGAAAACAAAAAAAAATCATCATGAAAAGTATGGCTAAACAATCTTTTCAAACCAATTACTACCTTATCTGCTAATTTATAGCTGGGATCCATTTTGATAGCTTCCCAACTACCAAGACCATATTCATAAACACCAGCCAACAAACGTGAATCATCTTCAATTGTCCATGGACAATCCCAACTTGCCGATTTGATTTTGATTCCGGTCAACACCCACCTGGATAAAATGGATAGTAAACGTTAGAATAAAAATAACAAATTTTTCATAATTAAAATTACTTTTTCCTTTCTTCCGGATTCGTCGGCAACATCACGGCCAATGGTTCCAGATCTTTTTGTGTGGCTAAAATGCCTTTAGCAAACACTGTTACACCTCCAAGCTTAAAGCTAGGTCCACGATTGTTCTTTTTAGCTGTTCCAATTTATACAAAACATTAATCAACAGAAATAAAGAAATGAACAAATCCATACCAGATTCATTTGACTGATCTTTTGATTCTGATTCTTTGATTGCTATCCTACAACTTTCTTCAAGTTGTACGGCTAATCGCTGCAGATCTGGAAGAGGTTTCTCCTGTAATTCAGCATCGATTGCAATCGATTCCAGCCGATTCATCGGTGTGGGAAATTTTCGATAACTTTTTATAAATTTTCGTACTTCTTGTTCACTAAAACCTTTAATCAATTCTTTATAAGATGATTTTGGTCGTCCACGTCGTCGCGGTCGATCACCATCGGATTCTTCTGAACCAGATTCATTCTTAGCATTTGGATCGTATTCATCACCCGAATCTGATTGATTTCCATTACCACGATCCATTTTTGATTTATTACGACAACGTGGTATCATCATTTCCATCTCTTCTTTATGGCGTTCATCATTTTCAAATTTAATACGTTCAGATTCTGGAATAATTTCATCCCATTCTTTTTCATTCCGTTCACCAGAATTAATGCCCGATGAAACCGCTTGGACGTCTTCTTCTTCATTGAAATTGAATGATGCGACTTTAAATGAATTCAACAATTCATCACCAAGCGTTTGTGGACCATCATCATCTTCACGAGTTTCAGCACGTTTCAAGATTTCATCAATATCACATTGAGGTTCTTCATTATCATTTTCCGTTTCTTTAAATAGCTCTTGAGCACCGAATTTAAGAATGGCGCTCAACTCCTCTTTGTTGAACGGTGTTGTCTTTGAAGAATTGTTCGTATCTTGAAGCGAAGTAGCACGACTATTGGATGAAGCCATAACTGTATGACCGGATGTGTCCATTCGTTGGATGACTAGATGATCGAGAACCATTTTACGTTTAGCACGTTCTATAATATCTTCTTCCACTGAACCTTTTGTGACCAGCCTGTATATGTTTACCTGATTTTTCTGACCGATTCGATGTGCACGAGCTTGTGCCTGAAGATCATTCTGTGGATTCCAATCTGAATCGAAAATTATCACAGTATCGGCAGTAGCCAAATTGATTCCAAGACCACCGGCACGAGTTGATAGAAGAAAGCAAAAATCTTGTGAACCTTCAGCATTGAAATGTTCCAGTGCTTGTTTACGGAATTCACCACGAATCGAACCGTCCAATCGTTGATAGGCAAAACGTCTAAGTGATAAATATTCACCCAAAAGATCTAGCATTCGTACCATTTGCGAAAAGATCAACACCCTATGTCCGGTCTCTTTTAAACGACAGAGTAATTTATCCAAAAGCAATAATTTACCACTTCCACGTATTAGTTGCTGCAGTGGATCCAGATTAGCGTATTCATCAAATGGCCGTACCAAGCTTGCATGATTACAGCATTTTTTCAATTCCATCACAATGTTAGTAAAGCTTGCAATCGATCCTTTCACACCTTTAGTTAGGGCCTTATAGTTTTTGGTCAATATCCATTTATAAAATTGTTTCTGTATAGAAGTCATATCTACACGAAGAATTTGTTCCACTTTGGCAGGCAATGATTTTTCCACATCTTTTTTCACACGTCGCAGCAGATATTGTTGTAATTGTGAATGTAATTTACTAAAACCTTTTTGATAAGCATCTTTATGTTCGGATTCGAAAAATTCCCATGAATCAAATCGATTGGGCATGATAAAATGTAATAATGCCCATAATTCACGAAGTGAATTCTGTAAAGGCGTACCGGTGATCAGCAGTCGAAAATTCGTATCGAAGGTCGATAAACATTTGTAGAGAAGAGATTCATCATTCTTTAGTCGATGTGCTTCATCAACGCCAATTACGGCCCATGGAACCAATGAGAGTAGTGATTTTTCACGCATCAAAATCTCATACGTAGTTAGCAAAACATTGAATTTTATACGTTGTGAACCGGCTTGAGCATACCATTCATATTCACGTATCATATGGCGGCTGGTAGCATCGCCAATATAAACGACTACATTCATCGATGGTGACCAAATATCAAATTCTTTTTGCCATGCAGCCAACGTTGATAAAGGAACAACCAAAAGGAATGGCCCAAACAATTGATGTTGATGATACAGGCAATTGAGAAACGATATGGTTTGAATAGTTTTACCAAGGCCCATTTCATCTGCTAAAATTACCGAATTATCACGACACCAAGATTGTGCTAGCCAATTCAGCCCGTCCAATTGATAATCACGAAGTTTAAGCTGATCACGACCACCAATATAAGATGGTTGTAATTTCATCGGTACAAATTTTGGTCGTTGTTTCAAAACTCGACAATATTTGGCCGGAATGTTTTGCGATTTTTCGCGTTGATAATATTCATTGACTTTGGGCTGAAATTTCTTCGATATTAAGGACCCATCTTCCCAGGTACATTCGCCATATGGCAACCCTTCCCATTTACATAGGTATTCAGGGTGACAAGTTTCAGAAACACCAATTTTAGGTGGCTGATGGGCAATGATTCGTTCGACAGTCAAATGTAGTTGCCGAAGCTGAGAATTAAGCTCCTCTTGACCTTCATAGTAATCAATGTCTTCAGGGGATGCCGTCTTTTTCCTTTTTTAAAAAAAAACAAAACATTAATATTAATATTTCCATAATCATCATCATTTATCATAAAAAAAACCAATAAGGGCTCTCACCATATTCTGATTTCTTCATCACGTTTCAGGTAAAGCTCAATTTTTTTAACACCACGAGCTTTTTGTTCTTCTAACGATTGCCGGGATTCCCAAGTACAATGAATGTATGACCAGCCTTTCCATTTGATTAGAAATTGCATTTCTTTTGGTTCATCTGAATCCGCAATACAATCACCATTCGGATCACCATTTTCATCGATCTGATAAGAAGCAGTTTTTGGTCCAGTGGCTCCCACACGTCCCATTCGATGTTCAAGCACCTTTTCAATCATTTCACCTTCTTCTTCTTCGAACTCAATCACTTGTGAAGTGCCATTCTGGCCATCATCATTTGTATTAGTATCGGCAATCAAGTCATCGGAATCTGTATAATCCGATTCTTCTTTATAACTTATCGTCTGATTTACTGTAGTACGTCTGGATGTTTTTTTCCGGTTACTACTGCCCGCACAACTATTTCGACGGTTTCGATTATTTGATTCATGATCATCATCATCATCATCATCACTGCCATCACTTTCGGATTCGGAAAAGGACTTTTTGGTGGCTACCGTTGCCCGTTGGCTAGCACGACGATTCGAATGTGGACGTTGTCGATTTCTTCGTAGATTTTTTGATCGTTTTGATGATCGATGTTCTGGATCGGAATCCGAATCATCCGATTCAGTATCCTCATCATCATCATCGTCGTCGTCATCATCATCATCATCATCAAAATCGCCACCACGATTACGATCTTTCCAATCATCAGAGCTATAGGGACAAATATAAGATTTGTTTAAATTTGATCACTCAATTAATTTGTTCATACTCTTTTCGTTTTCTTCTTCGTTTTTGTTTTGCTTTTGAATCACTATTATCCGAATCATCACCATATGTTTCTGCTTGAAATCGATCTGGTTCTTTACGAGATCGTGATGATCTTCGTAATGCATCAGGGAAATTTTCCAAAATCTAACCAAAACGCACTGCTGTTAGAATCATGATCAATTGGTCAAAACACTAACCTGTTGTATATCCTCTTTATTGCAACCAGAATTTACCGATTGTGATTGTGTCCCCACCACCAGTGGCGCTGTAGTTTCATTAATAGTTTCATGATTATTTGATTTATCATCTGTAAGGCGATTTTCATCAGTAGTAAATTTTGCAGTGACGTTCGAAACGTTTATCGTACTGTTACTATAATAATGGTTTAGATTTGTTAAAAAATTGTTGAAAAAAGGAAAATATTGAAATTTATTTTACTTTATTTTTTGTTGCTTTATAGATGATTTATTATCACTATCCGATTGATCTTCATCATCGTTTGAATCGTGGGAGGAAGAATCTTCCGATGATCCAGATGATGATGATGATGTGGAAGATGAACCTGATGATGAATGGCTAGATGATTCGGAACCTGATTCATCACTATCATCATCATCATCATCATCGTTGTCGTTGTCATCATGTTCGGATGAATCAGCTGTACGGTGATCACTCATGCTTTCATTATGATTTGCACCACGTGCATGTTGCTGTTTACTGCTAATGTCTTTGTTACCGTCACTATTAATGGTGCTTTGATTCGTTTCCTTCATTAACAATTGGTCAACATCCATCCATTCAGATTTTGTGTGTGGCTAAAAAATGAAAATAATTCAAATGTCAAATTATGTAAATAATAAACAATTATTATTGTGGTGAATAACAACAATCCTAGAACAAAACAGCTGACTTGTTTGCCAAATCATGACCCTGATATTACATACCGGTTGATAATGAAATTAAATCTTAGCTGATCAACTTTACCACAATATTTTGGACATGAAAAAAACGATATTGTCTAATCAAATCGACACACTGGTTCGCATTAAAATGAAATGATCGATTTAACACAAACAAATCAATCTCGTAACCAAAATATTGGTGAATTAATAGAAAAATAGAAAAAATGTTCAGGTATTATTTTTATTGGAACACAACAATAAGAATACACCAAAATACTTGTATCAGATATCTAAACATTGAATATTAAAAATAAAAAACACTAGATCACATCGAGAACAGATCAAAGAGACCAGACGACGAAATTTCACAAACACCACCACACATTCAGTTATTCATAATGATAAATAAAGCATAATACATATATACTAGTAGACTAGTAGATATATATCTGCTATGTTAAGACACAGTCGCGGACAGATTTTTTCAGATACAACGACATCATCATATTCCTCAACTTAAATTACTTGTCAAGCAGTAGAATCGAATGCTACTTCTCTCATTCATTAAAAGGGGCCTTAAATTATTATTGCTAGACGTATAATGAAAAGGTAAACAAAAACAACATGGTCGATTTCAAAATCCATTGGCGCCAATGCTACTACTACTATCATCGCTCTCAAACAACACCAATGCAATGTGAGCAGTTTTTTTATTTGGTCGGCAATTTTTCCTTTTTTTCGGTTTCAAATGTTATACTCTTTCCTTTTACACTCAATTTTGTATGATAAATATACAACACAATACAACAAATTGAGACGAATACAAATTTGGACCAAAAGCATGCATATGACGCCATCTATATGGATTAAAAAGAATCTACAGACTGACACGCCAAAATAATTATGCATGTAGAGAGTTGTAAAGATCTGGCAACCAATAAATAAGGCAATATTGGCAGTGGTTTGTCCATAGATAGATGGATGCATTCGTCGACAAGGACGATTCAATGTCAATACACTGTTTCCACATGTTTATTCATTGTAATGTCAAAATGGTTGTCGCTAAAATAGGTGTGCAATGATAAATTTTGAAGAATTTGTTTGAATTTCATTGAAGAAATCAATCAATGGTAGATTTTATTCCAATTTCAAATTAGTGTAATTTGTTGACAAAATTCATTGAAAATCATTTTTGATGGTAGATAATTGAATGAATAAATTCTGATAAATTCTCATGTAGCTTCTTCATGTTTCACAATCATTGTACGATGATGGAATTGAATGGTACTACAAACACATTCAAAACAGAATAAGCATGTTTTTCAGTGATGAAGTAATGAAAATGATGTCACTCGAATAATTCGTGTTGGAACTAGTTAGTCATCATTAGTTGCACAGATTGACATTGAATGAATGGAATAAAATTTCTGAAAATGAAATAAAATTCATTAGCCAACAATATTATGAATCAAAACACGATAACATACATAAAAATCATCACACACATTTCCTTGATTGTTCAGCATCGATTATTACAGATTCGGATTTATGAATAACGCAATGGATTTTCTTCGTGTGTAGAAACCACCACCAACTTTATTTGACGATATTATTTACCAAAATCAATCAGCTGAAATTGAATATTAAAAAAAACTCATTAGACATACAAAATAATTTTAAAAAATTAAATGTTTATGATGATAACGAATTCAGATTATAAAAAGATTCACATTCGACTAAAACAGCTGATCGCATACACACACATTTCAAAAGGTCAAGATCAAGTGCTAAAGGTCAAAAAAACTTTTAAATGACAATTTTAATGCTAAAACTATTCTGAAAGCAATTCAATTCTTTGTGTTTCATCAATTTTGTTCACAATGAATTAACACAGTATATCTATTAAATTAAATGGATATGGAAAAGGAAAAGAATTTGAGAAACACTGTCAGGGAAAACGGAAATAGGTAATAAAATCACATCTTAATATTTTTGACATAAAAATATAAAATTAGATATGAAAGCTAAGCTACCATATATTTGGCCAGATTTTGTTGTAAAACTAGCAACCAAAAAAAAAACTAATATAAACCAGGCAACTATTTCCGCTATATTCAAAGTTCCGGTACGAATTTCACAGACACTTTAAATCAAAAAAAACTTGCTAAAATCATCAATTCAATCGAAATGAAAATGATTAAAAAATGATAACAAAAATCTAATAAAAATCTAAATTACAACATCGAGTGAGAATGTATGACCTCTGTTTGTCCTTCACACACAGGTTCACACTATGGTATGCCAAGGATTTTTTTCACGAAAATCAAATAATCCAATTGAAAATTTAAGAAAAAAAGAATCGACAATGATGAAAAAAACAAAGAAGAGCTAAGCAAAGAAAATGAGCAAAATTAGATACAATCATACCTATGCCAGTGCTTAAGGACGAATAGAGGACAAATTCGAATTGCTGCTTTCCCCAAAGATGGTCAATTCGAATACTTTGAAATGCCATAGTCATTTCCAATTTGTGATCGATTCATTTGACCATTATGATTATTGTTCATTGACTAGAACTAGAAATAGCAAAAAATGAAGATTATCAATGATGAATATGGATAACTACGCAGTTACAAATACCGATTTAGGGCGTTGGTTTCTTCCATTTGCTGACGCGTTGATCAATTTTTCCACCATCATCAAACCATCAAGATTATGTTGATTTTCGGCCCATTTTTTGTCTTGGAATAGCGATTTTTTCATTTAAGATTACATCTTGAAATAAATAGATTTAAGGGATAAATTCAAGATTTTCGAATCAAAAAAAAAATGGCCAAATCATTTGGCTTGAAATTGTGATTGACATGAAAAAATGGAGTTAACAGCTCAAATGTAAAACAATGGACGTACAAACACTACGACAACCAAAATACAAATAGCAAGTTTTGCTACTTTCACTGTAACCATATATACTCAATGGAAAAAAATGGCAACTCTTTCTACAATCATCGTAGTGGTACATGAATGAATGCCACTGAAAATTGGATTTCAGCCACCAATGTATTTTAGCGAATGACAAAATGCTGCTATCACATCAACGATGGTAGTGGTGGATTTTTATTCTCTGATATAATGCATGTGTGCACATGTGCGTGTGCGTTAACCGAACCGACCTTCCAACAAAATTTTCACCATCCAAAAAGGCAGAAATCATCAAGAAATTCTAATCTATTGATATACGGTCGAATTGTTGGAATATTCTTTTTTTTTCTTATCATCATACCCAGTGAATAACCGTCTAATCTATCTTTTCTTTTTAAAATCCGGTTTCAATTCTTTTACTTACTGTAGATAATAATGCAACGACAATTCGTAAGTTTCAGATAAAAAAATGTGAATTCTTTGAACGAAATTTTTTCATTTTTCAGAGGCCAATTTTAGCTCAATTTTTTCGAGCCCAATCATTATCATCACATCAACAAAATGTTAATCGTCATCAATCAATACATACGGTAACAATGATTCCCGGTGATGGTATTGGTCCCGAAATATCGGAATCGGTGGAAAAAATTTTCGCTGCTGCCAAAGTACCGATCGAATGGGATCGTGTAGATGTCACCCCAGTCAAAGGTCCGGATGGTCGTTTTTCAATCCCACTGAAAGCAATCGAATCTGTACAACGTAATAAGATTGGTCTCAAAGGGCCATTAGCAACACCGATCGGTAAAGGACATCGATCATTAAACTTGGAAATTCGTAAAGTATTTTCATTATATGCTAATGTACGGCCATGTCGTTCATTGGAAGGTTATAAAACATTGTACGATAATGTCGATATTGTCACTATTCGTGAAAATACTGAAGGCGAATATAGTGGTATCGAACATGAGGTAACAACGAAAAATAAATGATTATTGCCTTATTGAGATATAAATCGTTTTTTGCCATAGATTGTACCGGGTGTCGTACAAAGTATCAAACTAATCACTGAACCAGCTAGTCGTCGTGTTGCTGAATATGCATTCGAATATGCTATAGCGAATGGCCGTAAAGTCATTACAGCTGTACATAAAGCCAACATTATGTAAGTTTTATTTTTATTTTTTGTTATTTTTGTTGAATCTCAAATTATCGTTGTTTCTTTTTTTTCGTAGGCGAATGTCCGATGGTCTATTTTTGCAATGTTGTCGTGAAACGGCCGAAAAACATCCTGAAATCAAATATAAAGAAATGTACTTGGATACCGTTTGTTTGAACGTAAGCATACGATTTGATTCAAAATGATCATTTGATTATGAACCATCTCATCTAATAGATGGTCCAAGATCCTTCTCAATTCGATGTATTGGTCATGCCCAATCTGTACGGTGATATTCTAAGTGATTTGTGTGCCGGTTTAATTGGTGGCCTCGGTGTGACACCTTCGGGTAATATTGGCAAAGAAGGTGCTGTATTTGAATCTGTACACGGTACTGCACCAGATATTGCCGGTCAAGATAAAGCCAATCCAACGGCATTATTACTTAGTTCAATTATGATGTTACGTTATATGGAAATGAATGAATTTGCCGATAAAATTGAACATGCATGCTATGATGTGATTCGTGAAGGCAAACATCGTACGGCCGATCTAGGCGGCAAGGCTAAATGTTCCGAATTTACCAATGAGATTTGTGCACGACTCTAAAGAGTGAGATAATGATTGTATATCTCTCACCTCACCCCCACTACTCCCGTTTCAATCACCACAACCACCACCGACACCATCTACATCTCTCTCCACACACCCAGTTGCTATATTATTATTATTATTCATCTCGTTGGCCTCTACGTATTAAAAGACAATGAATAGGTAATCAAAAACAAACAGAGAAATATTCGCCCATTTGTAAATTGTGAATTAATGATCAATTTGATTGATTAATGATGATAATTTATTTTCTGTGTTTTTGTTGTTGTTGTTGTTGTTGTTTATGTATTAGGAATTATACCAATAACAATAAAATTGAAAAAAAATGAATGAAGATTAAAATATAATCGAATATGATACATGTAGATATAAATTAATTATAATTAGTCAACCATTATGAAACAATTAAATGTTCGGATCGTCCATATTGGGCACGTAGTGATTTCATCTCTTGAATTAATCCACGTCTTTCACCGGTACTAATGAAATATTGGTCAGGCATATATGTTGCACTCATCTGCAATGATCGAGCATAATCATCAATATCACTTAATGATGATGGTGGCTCATCATGTGTACCAGGCGAACATATAAGTTTTGGTGATTTATGACCACAATTTCGTTTTCTTAATGCACGGCCAAACAAAAGTTGAGCTTCGAATGGACTGGCACCACTAATCAATCGATATACACCTTCATAATAATAGAGTTTTGTACGTGCTGAACTCATCATCGATTGTGATAGATATCGCAATACTTTTAAATCTTGTCCGAAAGCAGAAATTGAATAATTACGAATAGTCGATAATTGTTTCTGGTTATTTTGTTGTTGTTGTTGATCTTCCACTTGATTGGACAACAATTGAAAATGTTGCCACAACTGTACTCGGCTCGAAAGGATCCAATCAAGTGCAAGCAATTGAAATGCTTCAACCAATTGTACATGACAATCGTCACATACATCACCACCATTGATAGTGTTGTTGGAATTGGCTTCAAAAGATTTTCGTAATTCATATGAAGCACGATCTAATAGCTGAAGAAAATGGCCAATTTTCTTGATTGAATTCCAACGTCCAGAATGTCTATCAATTGATACGTATTTCTTCAAACAACTAGCAAACATTAATGACAAAGCAAGTAGATTGTTACGCAATGATGATGGAAAACGGCATTTGATTTCAACAGCTTTTTGATCATTTCCAGTAAGAAAATAGAAACCAATACGAATAACTTGTGACCACCAAAGTGATGTTTCATCACCAAATTGTTCAGCATTTTTGGCAAGTTCATCAATCAAATCTATCAACGGGATGTGTTCCATTTTTCCAGTTTTAGTAATGGATGGTGCAACTTCAGCTTCACGTAGTTTAATATTGACACCATGTCTAGGATTCATCATGGTTAATAAACATTTTTTGATCAGATATTTTCGATATTTAGCAGCAATGAATGCCATCATCGATGTAACTGTTGATTTGGTCTCAATAAAAATCGAAGGCTTATCGAATGCATATGACCAATGAAGATAAGGTTTCATAAAATAACGACGACCCAATGGACATAATAGAAACTGTTCCTGTGCCACTTTAGTTGATTGAGCTGTAGCATATGATTTATGCCAAAAATATCGAGCAAATATATTATGCTGGGGTTTCAATAAGATTGCCGTCAATAAATAGGCCATTGAACGTTGACTTTTGCCATCTTGTTGATTCTGATCGAATCGAAATGATTCATTGATTCCGGTGAATGCATAAACATATGACAACAATGATGGCTGCCCTTGATTTTTCAACAATGTTACCATGGTCAAACGACCGTATAGATAGCATACGATTCGTTGACCAATGATCTGATCACATTCGGAGGATGCACAAAATTTGCAGGATTTCCAATCATCCGTGGTCGTCGATGAGATTGGCAAAAATGATTGAATAAGTGCAATTGTTTCATTCCAATACAACATGATGATTGCACGTGCAATCCAATAAAGTTGACTTATAGTTGACTCGATTGGCATCGATTGTCCGGTAATTTCTTTCAAAGCTTGAAGATAACAGCCAGTCGCACTACCAATATCACCATCACGTAATGCTTGATTCCCATTCGAAAGACTTTGATTATGAACTTTATGATCATAATTTAATCGACGATGTTGCTGTTGACTACCGCTGCTAGCATGTGATTTATAATAGGCCATCTGGATGATTCGATAACAAACAAAAACATTGACCAACCAGATGAGTATATCGGCAATGGTAAAATTAAATGCTCTCATCCAAAAAGAAGTGGAAAAGCTTGTTGCATCATAATCGGTGGTTCTCGACATAAAACTCAAAATGGTACGACCAACATGATTCGATTCGTAATTGACCAATGAAGAGGATTTCTCTACAACACTTCCCAATGGATTATAGGTGACCACGGTCAAAATCAAAGCAAAACACATAAGACGTGATGGATCACGATAGAAACTTGGTGGTGTCGGAGGCTTTTGAATGGTCGATGGTGAAGATGCAGGAGACATAATGGATGATGACGATGATGATGATAATGATGACACGGATCCGGGTGAAGTTGGCAACATTGTTGTTGTTGATGATTGTTGGTTGTTGTTGCTAATATCGGCCAATGTTGTCATTGTGGAAAGACCAACACTTTCCAATCGTTTTTTCAATACATTCATTTCCGTTTCAAGTGTTTGATTTCGCTTTTGAAGATAGTGAATATATTCAATAACTTTTCGTAAGATCACAGCCTTCTTAAGTTTAGCATCTGGTCCGGCAATAATAGTTTTCAATTCCAATATCTTATCATTGATAGAAGATCGATAACGTTTTTCAATTGCATTATGGGCCGAACGTTTTTCCGGTTGTTGATGCTGCTGCTGTTGTTGTGGACTAGCACAATTCGATATTTGCATCGAATCATTGTTGTTAGAAACCAACGGTTGAATGGATATTTTTCCACCATCAATTTTTTCACTTTTGATAGGTTGCGGCTGTACGGCAGTTGTCGCTGGTTTTATGAGTACAGGTGTGGATGCAGCAGCAGCAGCAAAAGAACCGGAAGCCCCAGCTAATCGATATGTTAATATTGGACCATTAGATGATTGAATTAGTACTGACTGAGATGGTTGAATCATTTCCTGGGGTTCAGCTTTCACCTGTACGACGGTCGGATTTGTCTGAGCATTTGTCGGTAATTGATATAGTATTGTTTGCCCATTCTCAGTGATTCCAATATGAAGTTGTTGAGCTGCTGATTGAAGCGGTACATCAGACGGATGTTGTGTCGGATGATTTTTCGGTTTAAGTATTGTAGTTGGTTTAACAATCTGTACTTTGGTTTGTTGTTGTTGTGTGGGCGGTTTTTGTTGCTGTTGCTGCTGTTCAGGTGGAATATTAAATGGCATAGAAAACTTAAACCCGGCATCTTGTTGAGATTGTTGGCCAAATGTGAATGGAACATTTCCAGTCATATTCTGTGTTTGTGGTTGTTGTTGTTGTGGGAAAATTTGAAATTGTTGGCTTGAATTAGGATTCGAATGATATTGTTGTTGGGAAAAATTCTGCGACTGAAAATTAGCCGATATCGATTGTCTTTGTTGTTGTTGTTGTTGTTGAGGTATGATGAAAGAATTGTTTGTCGTAATGGGATTATCGGATAAATCTTGCATCAACATACCAAGATCGTTATCATTTACTGAAATATTCTTCTGTTGCTGATCAGTCAAACTTATACTATCGAATAATTCATCGAAATTTTCATCTTGTAACAATAAAGTTGGATCAAATTCCATTGGATTATGTTCATCGCCCATCATCATCATTGATGAAAGATTTTGGTCCAAAAAATCATCATTCAAATTGAATAAATCAAATTGAAGCTGTTGTTGTTGTTGTTGTTGTTGTTGTTGTGATTGTCGATCCATCTTTTTGTCTAAGCGTTATATTTGTGAAAATTGAACAAGATTTTAAATTATCGAAAACGTAGAAAAAATTTATTACCATTTCAAATACTATTGAAAAAATCAGGTGATGATTTTCAAATAAAACAAAAAATTTCAAATCATCCAAACAAAAATTATAAAGGATGTCTAGTTGGAAACGCAACACTATCATTTAATGGCCAGGTTGATAGGCCGATGTATCATCAATCATACATTATGATCATACGAAAACATTCGTCAAACATCAAATTGAAATGTGATGATAAAATAAAAAATAAAAAATATGTGGCGTGATTTTTTAAAAACATGCGCAGATCCAACTCGTTATATGAATGAAGCGTATGATTTAATCGGCTGATTGGGCGGAGCTTCATCGAATGATTGGTTTCGTGTTTTGAGTGTCATATGGACACTATCGTTTATCGACGATATAATCGAAACAAAATAAAATTTTTATTTTTATTAAATTAAATATATATGTGTGTGTAACACACATTTAATTACTAAAGTTGATTCAAATTTTTTTGAATTTACAAAAAATTACAAATCTACCCTTCCCTGATGATCATAGCTCTTGATGTGAATGAGATGATTTACCATCAGAAGGATATTTCATTTTATCATCATTTTGTTTGAAATTCTGCCTTAATCGTTCGAGAAATTCCTTCAATTCACGATCATAATTTTCCCATTCGGCAACAATACGTCTAGCACTGGTTAATTTTGGTTCTTTCGTTTTAGGATTATTACAAAGATCAATTGTTTTAGCCTGTTGTTTTGAATCATCATCACACCATGTTTCACACCAAAGCCATTCCTGAGGGAGTGATTTAATAGCCACCTGAATGAGAAAAAATAAATAAACATTATCCGAATGAATAAAGAAAATTTTTCATTTCGCACACCTGATGTATCATGTTGTTAGGCAGATCTTGATCAAGGTTAGATAAACTATTAGGATCTTGACTCAGACCTTGATATTGGCCACGAAGTCGATCACCAGCAGCAATACGACGAAATTTCTGCAAATCCACCACATACAAAGCACTAATATGATATTTACGGCCATGTAAATGTGTGGCCCAATAACCGGATTTCCAAAAACGAAAACCATCCATATCTTTACGAGAATCACAGAATGGTGTGTAACCATACGGTGCACCTTCTAGATCGAGATCACGTAATTCACGAAGATCGGCACGCACAACTTGATCGGCATCGACAAATATAATTTTTTTAACATCCAACGGGAACAGTACATCGAGGAATAAGATTTTATAACCCCAAATGATACGTTGTTTTTCCGTTTGTTGATGCAACCAACGAGGCCATTTATATTGTACTAATTCATATTCAAATTCATACTGACGAGCCATATGTGGCAATACTTGTTTGAATTGTGGCGATAGATAATTCTTCAGAAACCAGAACTTTACCGGCGTTTTGGTGTTTTTCAACACACTCATCATCATAATGCGTAATAATCGTTCATAAAGATGTCCAGAGGCCAAAGAAAATATATTGATACGTTTTGAATCTTCATCTTCGCCAGATGAATCTTTTGCTCCTTTGTCAGCTGAATATTGGCGTGTTGATTTTTCTGAATTCCAACCAGAAAACCAGCCACCACCACTTTGATCATCCAAAGAGTTGTCGTCTGAATCATATAAAAGTTCTTCATTTTGTTTTCCCGGTTTTTTATTCACACGAATTTTGATCACCAATGATCGGAATGAACTAACGATCGGTATGACTTTGGTTGTATTGGCTACTTGATCGGTATTATCATGTGATACGATTGTATAGATATCGGTCGATCGACCTTGACGTAAACGAAGCATCCATATTCCTGGTGATGCTTTCAATTGGAAATAACCAAGATTGGCCATAACTATTGTATCGTACATCGTAGGTTTAGTCTGAGTACCCAGTGTAAATTGTAATCCTCTTGGTGGACTGCCAGACGATTGTTCAAAACAATGACCTTCCACTAATAAATGTTCCAGTTCAAATACGGCACCAACAATGTTGGAATCCACTTGTGCGAGATGAATATTATCCAAATCATAAATTGCTTCAACAGCTTCGACCATCCAATTTTCAGGCACAGACATACCAACAGTGAACAATGGTGTTTTTGGCATCGATTTAAACAATGCTACTGGATTTATAATCGATCCACTAGCAGAAACAAATCGAGGTTCTTGATCCAAAACAAAACGATAGAATGATTTCAATGGCATATCAGAATGTTTTTCCACAGCATTGAAATGAATCTTTACTCGGGCATTAAACACTTCATAAAAGGTGGCCAAAATTGGTGAAATTTTCTGCGCGCCTCTATTTAGGGAATTAAGGAATAAAAAAAAACATTTAAACATCGTCATTAATGATAATCCGACTTACCTAGTCAATGGATCTAATATGGCTGTCAATTCGATGAATGGTTGCGACGGATGTCGAGGTTCGAGCACCAAAACACTATGTTCATCATGAACATTGTTTATTTCATATCTTTGTTTATATGAAGCACTATTTGTCGACGATGATTTCGACAATAATACAGAACAAATACGCAAAACTAGATCTGAACATTTTCGTGTTCCGGCATTACGTTCGTCATTATTCAGTGTGTTTAGAATTTTTTCTGACCAAAAATTCTGCGCATATCGTTCCATTAGTGTGAAATCATCTTCATTGAATGCAAGTTTGTGACCACCATGATCATGATCTGTCGATGATGATGATGATGATGATAGAAGTACGGGTACTTTGAATATTTTACCATTCAATATTAGAGCAAAATTATCCGATGAAGATATGCCAAATAATCGAGATGCAATTGCCTGATGTAGAGGGAATGGTGAGGAATTAGGATTTGCTTTAAGCAATGAATGACGTTCATAGAATGCTTTTCGATATTCATCTGAAATAAGTTGACCAATTTGTTCAATATTTGCATCCCAATCTTGATAATCCATAACAGCAACTTTATTCAAGAATGATAATAATTGTGATGGACTTGAAATGGTACTTAATGCTGATTCCAAAACTCGGGTTACAGGATTATGATTGACATAAATCAATGATAAACGCATATAACGACTATTTTCTCGCAGATGATTGAGACCGGCACGAAGTATTTGCCGAGAATCGAATGTAAGAAAATCTGATGCCAACCAAACGGTAACTGGATTGCAATCTTTTTTACTATTTATGTATTTTAATTGTGAAAGAATCGTTGCCTGTAAATCGTTAATGTTGGCCATAAAATATGCGCTTCCATCATCTTGTTTCGGTAATTGATGACCCGATGTGAGATCCAAGTATTTGGATGTTTCCATTCGTTTTTGATTCGAATGATCGAGACCAAAAATTACACGATTCAATCGTGTCATCACAGTTTTCTTTGACATTAGCCATTCAAGAACATCATCTTCATCGGTTAGTTCAGCTTTGTAGATTGCTTTTTGAAATTGTGAACTTTGACGCATAATTTCGCTAAGCACTGCTTCTTCGAAATAATCAGCCTGTAGATGTGATTCTTTGAGTAGAACACCATTCATCATTGCTTTTGGTCCATGTTCCAAACCGGTACGATCAAGAAAATCACGGGATAACTTTCTTCCAATGTCATAGCTTGAATCGGCACCAAAAACATCATCGGCTTCAGATTTGGAAATTTTCGATTTGAAATGATTGACAATATCATCTGGTTCTAGGTCACGAACACCTTGTGATGTAGCATAGGCTATAACATCGGTAACGAATGATAATGCTTCATATGGAGTTTTCTGTTGTGAAATATAATTATAAGCTTCAAGACATGCAATACCAGCATTTCGATAACCAGTTATGGTTTGATTGTCATTCACATCGAAAATTAAACCAATGCGAACAGGAGCCTTGTGTATGTAAAATGATTCGGCCATCTTTAGCATATCGAATGATTCCTTACGACTAGGGTCAATAATCAATACCAAATGATACATATTACGACGAATATTACGCAGTATTCCTGGATATGTTGGACGTAACATTTCTTGCAGTGAACTAGGCCAACTTTTATACATACGATCTTTTTCAATATCATTAATATAGAGAACAGATGAATCACGAATATCCATCTGGAAATCTAATTGTTGTTGTTGTTGCTGGCCACGTTCCCATGAAGCATCCAATTTTTTTATTCGATCATGATCACCATTCAATAAGGTGTGTAATTTTGATACGGTGTAATATTCGTTTTTCATTGTGTCCAACAATGTGAATACATCCACAGAATCGATATCATGATAGAGACCATTGATGAATAAAGCTGTATCCGATGTAGCTAGATTAAGATTTTGATAAAAATGATTCTGATTCCACGCAATTTCACGTTTCAATTCCGGTTCAACATGTATTTTGACCAATGATCGTGCTACACTTGGGAAATTCTGTGATATATCACGTAATACGGATAGTGCTTTTTCTTTTTGTACGGAAAGAACTTTTGTCACTGCTTGCAGACTGATTTCTTGTAATTCCCAAACTTTTAATGTAGCAATCTCTTTTTCTTGATCCATTAGATGGTTACGAAATTCATTCAGTTTGTCGGATAAGGCAGCATTGTTTGCTTTCAATTTCGAGAATATAAACCCAGCCACTTCATCTGGTTTTGATTGTTCTTGGTCATCTTTCCATATAGGATTACTTGATTCTACTACTTCTCCACGTACTCGTGTGTCATCTTGAGCTTTGTATTCGGTCGATTTAATGGCCAATTCGACACCATAACCGGATAAAGCAACATGCATTTTTGTCGATTGTGGATTATGACGAATTATGTATCGAATGGGTTTGCCTTGATCGATTTGTTGTTTAATCAATTTATGTAGACGAAAAAATGATTTTGAACCAATCGTTGCATACAATATTACTGTTATGGAATGTGGTGATGTCTCAATAGATGAATATCGTCCTGGAAAGATATGATCAACGGAATACACTACAGGATGTGAAAGCTGTCCAACATTATCAGATTGTACATGATTGATCATACTATCGATAGCTTGACTGATATCATCACCATTATTACAAACGTATTTTGGTCGATCAACAACTGATGGTATGGTCAACTCTATGAATGAGCCATTACATTTTTCAAGTTGATTTGTTGAAGTAAAAATGTCTTCAATAATATTTTTGAATGCAATCACACGTGGTGAATACGATCGCAGTGATAATGCAAATTTCAATATGGATAATTTTGGTTCTGACCGTAAAAGTTTTGATGCTAATCGTAAACTAGATTGATATTGTTGTTGCATTGTTGTCCAATTTTCAGCAGCCGAACTCAATGCCATCGATTCGGTTTGAAGATCATCAAGATATTGCCAATAAAAATCGGGATTTTCTTCGGCCAAAAATTCCGCCACCTCCAAATACATTGGTGTTTGCGACCATTTTGATTGCAAAAGAATTTTCACTGATTTGGATGATGATGATGACGATGATGAGTGTGTTGTTGATTGTTCAGACCATTTGGACAACAATAGTAATAATGAAAATAAAAATGCCAAACTAGACGGCGATAATCGATGGGACAGATTTAGCATTCTTCACAATCTATCAAATGAGTTTTACTTGATAATGAGAAAAATATTAACAACAATGACAAATACTGATTATCGGCATTTCAGAAATATAATCAAAATCTTAATCTGAAAAAATTTACAGGCACTGACTATAAATCACTGTATGCTTTTCTTTCGGTTTTATGCTGACGCGATGATCCAAAATACACACACACACACACATGCATGCAAAATTCGATTCCATTCATATGATACGTGACAAACACACATTGTCAACAAAATCACTGCCCGATCTAAACCAAAGACAAATCATTCAACATTTTAAACATTTTAATCAGATTAATCAGATTAATCAGAACCAGTATTTATTCGTAAGATTCTCAAATCTAGTTGGGCTAGTATCTTTTCTTAGTATCTTTTTAAGAATTATTAGAATGCAAAATAGTGATAATAAATTGCATAATGATCACAACGATGATGATGACGATGAACAATTTCTATTTGATATGGCCGAAATGTTGGTCGAACCACCGACTAAACGTGTGATTTGTTCACAATGCCAGTAAGTTTTATCCTGGATTTCGAGATTAATTAAAACCAATTTTCTTGTCACTCATTTATACAGACGACCAGAACCAGTATGTTTTTGTTCGGATATTGATCCAATATTGCAATTACAAAATCATCTAATCATTTTGCAACATCCAAATGAATTAAAACGTTGTCTTCGTACGACGAAAATTTTGGAACTAAGCATTCCAAATGATAATTATCATTTATTTAATGGAAAACGATTTCCAATGAAAAAATTTCCCGAGTTGTTTGATTTAATTGAACAACGTGAAACCATATTGCTGTATCCATCACCTATGGCTGAATCATTAGGTATTGAAGGTATCCAACCAAATAAAAATGATGATCAATTCATTGGATTCAATGCGATCATATTGGATGGTACATGGCATCAAGCACGTGTCTTATATAATTGTAACCCATTTCTACATTCGTTACGTTGTATTAAATTAGAATCGACAGGTCGATCACAATATGTGATACGTACACAACCAACTGAAGCGTGTTTGTCAACTGTTGAGGCTGCTGCAATTCTTTTTTCCCGATTAGAAAATGATCCATCGATTCATGATCGTTTAACACGACCATTACGAGCCATATGTGATTATCAACTGAATATGGGAGCTGTCAAACACCAAAGCAAAGAGTATCTCATCACTAATGGTCTGTATCAAAGACCATTGAATCGACGTTTAAAGAAAAAAGTTGATCAACAAATTGTCAATAATAATCCAATTTCGGATCTAAAAAATCTTGTTCACTTGTTATGAAGAAAAATTCATCCACAATTCATTATTTTCTTAATGGTTGTCATTATTATTACAATTATTTAATTAGAATTGACCACCCGACTGAATTATGTACACAGATGTTTCTTTGTTTCACACTCACACACCCACACACACACTGATTTCACAATCACCAATTTTTTCGTTCTAACAATCGATTTATATCTTCAACAATTGTGGCTTTCATTTCCAACCATTGTTTATCCATTGAATTATTGGTTGTTGTAGTGAAAAAACTGTCCAAAAATTCCGAATGACCAAGAAAATCGAAAACAAAATCAATTCTTTTTTGTGATTTCTCACTTAGATGTCGTTGTATTAATTGTTTTAATTCCGTCTTGCATTTTTGCATTTGTTGCTGTAAATATTGACGTTCATAACTGAAATCTACTTGATGAAACGATACGATTGTCATTAGAATGGAACGAATTGAGTGTTGAATTTTTGCCATTCGATACATTTCATCATTATCCAATTGATGATTCATTACCAATATGGCTACTTTAATTGTTATCTAAATGAGTGTGACAGGTGATTATTATTTGTGTCAAATCAACAAATTCAGTATCTACCTTCATTAAATATTTGACAATTTTGTCAGCTATTTCTTTTGGTCCAGATGATACAATTTTGTCATCGTGTTGTCGACAATATAATTTACATAACCTGTGTAAATTATCCATTAAACATGTCGAATCTGAATCAATTAATGTTTTGGCCATTGTTTTATTCGACATCATACGGCCGAATAATTTTTTCTGTATTCGTAGACCAATATCATGACTTTGAAATGTTGATGGTGGTGGCGGTGGTTGTGGAGGTTGTTGTTGTTGATTATCGGAATTTTCGAATGAATGTACCGAAGACATTTTATTTTGTTTTTTTTTCTAACAACTTAAGTGATCGGACTGAACGAAAAAAAAATCCAGCAACAAATGGTTGAAACGACCCAATAACATCTGTCTGCCACCCAGCAACAGTTGGTTTCGCTCTCTCCACATTGGCATTATGTTATGTGACTCACGTTCACTTCATTACTATTATTACTGGATTGTTTGCTTGAGTTTGCCATTGTTTTATTGTATTTCCTTTCTACATCCGGTCATCATTTAGTTAAATTAGTTCAGCACATTCATTCTGAATAATTGTATTGCAAACAACATTATCGATAACAAAATTAAAATTTATACAAAAATTTATTCTTCATAAATGATGATTGAATTACATGAACGATGACATCGTCTTTCGAAATAAAACTTACAGAAAATCTGAATGTTTAATCTGTAATCGAATTGAACAGTCATTTGTGTTTGCTATAAAAAAATTGTTAATCATTTTAATGTCAAATGACAGGTGTCGCTCTGGCTCGCTCCGAAGATTTTTTTCGCTTTCTTTGTGGAAAGTCCTCGACCATCACATTTTTGTGTTGGCATCAAGTGTCTGAATTTTAATCTAAATTCACGATGACTTCCGGGTATTTTTCGGGCTGAGATGGATTTCATTTCCTGAGCTCTAGTTTTTCTTCCTGGGATAATCGATGTTAGGCCAAAAAAAGATATACGCTTTTCGTGTGTATCTTTGTAAACTAAAGTAATGCGAGTAGCGTGTGTGTTTGTTTTCGAACAACCCACGTCAACAAAACGAGGCTTACACGTGCCGATACCTGTCCACTTTTGTGGTTTTTTTTTATCCTATGACTCGTACAAGATTTGGTCCATGGATTTGGATTGGTCGTAGATTTGGTATTGTAGATGTTCATCATCGACCATTAGCATCACAAGTATTGACAGCCCATTTACGACAATCTCGTTATCCATATTGGACGGCATTCTTTATTCCATATCGTTCAATTTTGAATGACCAATTTGGTTGGTCCCATTTTAATTGGTCTGTCGATGGTCATAATTATCATATCTTAAGAATTGGATGTTGGCCATATATTAAATATCATTGTAGCCGTCGACCTTTGGAAGACCTTTACATTCAAAACGTGTTTTATACGTGGATTAAATGTCTACAATTTGGTATTCCAACCTTAGCATATGGTATTACTGGCTGGATGATGGCTAAACATCACGAAGATGTCCATATTAATTCGACTAAATCGATTCGAATTTATTTTTGGTACAAGGAAAATCGGGATTTGCCTTATTGATTGATTATTGTCTGATAAAAAAAAATAATAAAAACGTACTTTATGAACGGAATTTGATATCGGCGTTTTTTTCAGTCGTCGTCCAGCTGAGTGTGTGGGCGATTTATTTTTTTTTATTTCATTGTTTCATGTTCACAATCTAATATTGGCCAATATTTAATCATCATTTATCATTTATTTGCTAAAATAATTTACGGGCGTTTTCTTGTTCTATCCGAAAAGTTGATTTATTTGTCAACTCAACTCTTACAGTTCAAATCATTACCATCAATTGGAATCAAAGTTATTGCAAAAAAAATCACCCACCATGTCCGAATCCATTGCCAAACCGACCAATAATCCATTGTCGACACTTTCAGATGAAGATGATGAAGATTTGTTTGCTTCAGCTTATGAGGTTTGTTTTTTCTCATTTTTTGAATAATTTAATTACATGCCAACAATTTAAATAGCAACCAATTAAAGCAAAACATGAAGAATCTTCGCCATCTGAAACGAAAATGGCCAACATTAATCTCGGTGATGATGATGATGATAGTCACCAAACACTCGATATCGAAAAAGAGCAAACGGATTCTGATCCTAAACAAGAAATGGTCAACGGTGCAATACCAACACCACCTCCCAGAAAATTATCTATCCCACAACATTCATCAGTTATTAATACATTGGAATCTGAGATGAATACAATCGACTTGAATGATTCAAAATGCGATAAAGATGATTTGAAACCTCAGCAAGCTTCTATCAAGTCAGAAAATGATAGTAATTTGAATAAAGAACCAATAACAGGTGGAATCAATGCAATTAAACCACTCGAAACGGTTCCCATTGAATCACGTCCGGCCGAATTACCACAGCCAACAACAGCGGCAACAAAAACTTTGCAACAACAACCGGCTATGATTACGCCTAGTCAAATAACGATCACTATTTCTGAACCACAAAAAATGGGCGAAGGCATGGGTTCTTACATGATCTATTCTGTCAGCACTCGAACGACCTTGCCTTATTTCCGTCGTCAATCTATGACTGTAAATCGTCGTTTTTCCGATTTTTTGGGTCTCCATTCAAAACTCCTGATGAAACATGGACAATCAGGCCGAATCATTCCACCACCACCGGCTAAATCAGCCTTTGGAACGGCCAAAGTGAAGATGGCTAAAGATGAATCACTACATTCGATGGATTTTCTTGCTAAACGTCGTGCCGCTTTGGAACGTTATCTACAACGTACTGCTGAACACCCGATCCTTTGTTCGGATCCAGATTTCCGAGAATTTCTTGAGCTTGATACTGAATTACCACGATCAACATCTACATCGGCTTTAAGTGGAGCCGGTTTAAAACGAATGTTTTCACTGGTCGGCGATACTGTTAATAAAATGACATTCCGTATGGAAGAATCTGATCCGGTAAGCTTTGAATAATTGTCTTTGTTCTTAAGGATTACTGTCCAATTCGATTTTTGATGTCATAATTTGTGTCTATAACTTTTTCATTTCATGCTATCCTCGAAATCAAGAATCTTTGTAACAGCTTCGAAGAAATTAAGGTTTCTCTTTTTTGTTTGTTCAATCTTTTTCCCGGTTTAACTTGAATCGATTGATTATAATCTATGTTCTTCTTTTGTTTTTTCATTCTTCATCTTAGTGGTTTGAATCGAAACAACAACAAATTGAAATGTTGGACGGCCAATTACGTAAATTACATGCGGCCATTGAATCGTTGATACATAATCGAAAAGAACTATCGTCATCATTGGGTATCCTTGGTAAATCGACCGCATTGATAGGTCATGATGAGCATAATGTATCATTGTCGTGTGCACTTTCACATTTGGCTGCCACACATGAAAAAGTGGAGAAAATCTACGAATCACAAGCGAATCATGATTTCCTTTATCTTTCCGAACTATTACGTGATTATATTGGCATGATTGGAGCCGTACGCGAAGCATTCCATGAACGTGTAAAATGTTTCCAGAATCTAACCAATCTGGAACAAAGTTTAAATCGTAAATATGAATCCAAGGCAAAATTAGAGTTGACTCTGAAGAATGAACGTTCTTCATCACCACAAATTGATGAAGAAATACAAGATGTAAGTAGTGTTTTTTTTTGGTCAACAAATTCTGATTTTTTCTTTTTCTTTTCACCCATCCATAATAACCTAGCTTCAAGAACGTGTGGAAAAAGCAAAGGCAGATTTCGAAAAAATATCAGATACAATTAAACAAGAATTTGAACGTTTCGATTTGAATCGTATTCGAGATTTTCGAAATAATTTCCTCAAATACATGGAATCATTGTTGCAAACACAGGAGGCATTGATTGAATGTTGGGAAACATTCTTGCCCGAAGCAAAATCAATTTCTGCCTGAAACAGTGGAATAATCATTGTGTGTGGATTGTGGCCTCCTTATTCTTAATTTTTTTTGTCACAATCGATAAAGTCATATTACAAAAATAAAATAGATTTATTTATCAGATCAAATCAAGCATTTCTTGTATCAATGATTCATTACGATAATGACTTTTTTCACCCACTCGATATCGTGGACCGACTATGCAATTTTCCAGTACAACATTTCCCTCTAAATAAACATCTGAACATATAACCGAATTGATCAATTGACAACCATTTTCGATTGTTGCATTATCTTGAATGATACAATTGGTCAAATGACATTGGTCACCAATTTTACAATTATTACCAATTACAGTTCGTTTTAGCATAGTTTTTTCACCCAATTTTGAATTATGGTTGATCAATGAATTATTTGAAATTGATTTTTGATCAATTAGAAATCGATTAGCTTGGCAAAATCCCAACAAATTATTCACTCGTACTAAATGACCAGTGTCAATGATTAGAGCGACGCAATTGATCAATGATGATTTTGATTTCTTTTCATGATTTTCATTATCGATTTGATTCAGATTTATATCGGCCATATAAGTTTCCAATTCTGGTATTTGAATAAAATCGATAAATCGTTTTGATTTTTTCGATTGTTCATCATTTTCATATGGTCGACTTGATTCAGTTGATCGATCGGAATTTTGACGTCGAAATTGTTTCCGCACTAATGATGGTAACAGATCAAATTTAATCGATCGAATACCACTGATGATAATGGAGCAGATAATTTGATTAAACCAGTAATCATCAAGGTTGTGTGATAAACTCACGTTTCATGTTGTAGATAGTCGAGTATCCAATTGCGGAAAAGGTAAATATGTGAATCAATTAGATCGGTTCTTAGTTGAAAATATGGACAACATTCCAAAATCGAACGTTTTAATGGAATCGAATCCGTAGTGAACATAACATCGGGTTCGAAGAAAACCAACCGGTTAGAATCGTTTCCATCCAAACCAATATAATCGAATTCTGTAATCAATAACAATAACAACAAAAATCTAATCTAATGATTCCATCTCAAATAATTTACATTTACCTTTACAATTATCGGCCAATTTGATTGCAGGCATTAGGTTTTCCTTTGGATAGCATTGTGATGAAAAGGCACACAAAAAAGATGCATTTCGAAGTCGATATAGTTGAATAAATTGCTCAAGATCAATATCGGCTACAAGATCACATGATACAAGAAGAATATCTTTTGTTAGTTTTTCCTGTTTTTGAATAGCTCGTAAACTATCGGCAGTAGCATAATCTCCAGCATGTGGTATCGTAACAAATCGTAATTGAATATCCAAACCTAAAGCGGTAACTGCATTTTTAATCTGATGTTCTTCATTGTCCAAAACGATAATAAAAGCCTCTAGAGTATTGATATAAATCAATGAGGAACGAAAAAAAATCATTTTTTTGCAAACCTTGAATATGATGACGTTGAAGTAATTCCAACGAATACTGTATCATTGGCCGATTGGCGATCTGCAGTAAACATTTAGGACGGCCATGTAAAATATGGTTCATACGAGAACCACGACCAGCAGCCAAAATGATTGTATGAAATTCATAATCGAATTGATTTTTCACCATCATTACATTACCAATTTTTTATTTTTTTACCGAAGAAAAAAATTTTAATAAAAAATTAAAACATGCACGTGTACAATGTTTGTGCGTTGCAAGTTGTTCAATTAGAAAAACGTCTAGTTTATACGTTGATCGAATAATGTAATGTGTGGATGAAATTTTTTTTTTTTTTGAAAAAAAAGCCATCAAATTTCAGATTTTCGATGATAGCATCTGCTTTTTTACATCTTACACACCTGTTGTCAACGATCGACCCATTGCCAACAGGTGCCAGGTGTCAGGTCATTTTTTTTATTTGATTTGATTTGTTCCTAATTAGTTTAATTACACAGTTCGATTGATCGATATATGGCACTGATTGGTGGGAGTTTGATGGATTTTTTAAATAATGAGGAAAAGATATTTGCGTGTGTGCAGATTTCTAATTATTTTTTTCTAAAAAAACATTTCGTTAAAAAAAACGACCGTTGGAAAAATGAAAAAACCAGAAAAAAATTGATAACCGAAATCATTAGTCAGGCGTACGCCCAGGATTTTCAAATCTAACCAATCATGAATCATTTTCAATCTCAGTGATTTGAATTTGAAAATTTGAAAATTGTTAGCTTAATACTAATGATGATGATGATGCTGCTATCAATCGTGATGTATCATGCGTAATGATGACGGGTGAAGCATTGGCAACAAGTGTGTGTGGTGTGATGTGATGAATGGATACAATCGACGGAGACGGCGTCGTCGTCGTAATTCTTGGAAAAAATGTTGCCGCCTTTCATAATTCTCCAACGGATTTTTTTCACTTTGTATATGATGGGCGCGTATAGTGTTAGTATGTGGTGGTGAAAATTTTTCAAATCTGGTCGGTGAAAAATTCCGTTGGAAATTCAATATTCCAATTGTGGATGTGTAGAATGAATCTGCAAATATATACCTGGCACCTGGTATATATTGACATAATCATCGAACCGTCGAATATCATCGAACAATGGAAGAATAGATGAATGTTTATGATTTTTTCGTTTTGTTCCGTTTGTTTGATTTATTGAAATTTGATAATAACAACAACAAAAAAAACTCCTTCATTTTCAGCAACAACAACAAAAAAAACGGTTCTTTTTTTTGGTTTAATTTGCCCCAAATTATCCTGCTGGTGGTGGTTCTGCAATACGATTCGAGTACTACTCTTCTGTATCCGTGATTTTGTTTATCATCACCATCAACATCATCATATGAGAAAATAATTCAATTTTTTCATATATTGGATTACCCATTGCCCATTTTTGTTTTTCTTTTTTTTTCTTCTTCTTTTTTCAATCCGATATTGTTTCAAACCAAAAACAACCACACAAGCCAGCATTATGTGTGTATCGACCTAATGAATAAAAACCATCATTCAATTTTTGAAAAGAGTAAAAGAAACAAAAATCATTCATCAGACACATGGTATCGTAATCATTCAAGTTTCAGATGGTCCTAAAAACCAAACAAACAATAAATGAAGATTCAATTTTTTTAAAAATCACAATAAATACAGCATCAATTTCACGATCCTCATTTGGAATGTTATTATTGAATGTAATCTACATGGATAATGCCGCAAAGTATTGGCATCAACAGCAACAGGTTTGTTGATTTGTAATATTGCTTACAGTATATAGATTTATTTGACCATAGACAAATTGATTGTAATTTCAAAGAATATTCAGTGGTTTTTTTCGCAACCATAAGTCCGTCAGCCATATTCGAAAATTTATTTTTCAGATAAAATTCATCAGATGGCAGCAAGTGACTGTGATTTTTTTTTTTTGAATAAAACGTTTGATTTGCGCATGAGCATTTTGATTCTTACGATAAACACGTTTATGTGTGTGTGTGTGTGAGTGGGATGTCCATACGATTCAAACTTGGAGTTTTCGCAGCAGCTTTTGTGCACCTGGTTATTTTTTTTCTACAAAATTCTATTCATTCGATATTTGACCACCGTTCTGTTTATTTGGGTCGTCATCGTTTTAGGCAGGCAGGAGAGTGAATGCAGAAAGAAATTAGTGCCTTAATCATCAGCATTTCATCATTTTTGTTGTCCATTTTTCTGTTAAATGTTTAAAAATATTCCTTGAGCTTTGAATATTCTTTGTTCTACATATTATTCCAATCCAATCCAATAATATATATCCAAAATTCAAATTCAAATATTTTAATATATAAATAATAATGATTTTTCAATTACATCCGATAATGTCATCATCTACTACCTGTTGTTGCTCTTGTCGAACAATGGATCGGGTTGATGTTGTTGCATCGATCGTATTGAAATCAATACGATCACGATCGTCATCAACAAATATGATGGAATATGACAATAGATCACATCGTGTCATGTCCTTTGATAGCAATAGTGGTGGTAATAATAATAACAGTGATAATCATCATCAATCACGTCATCGTCATCGTGGTACCGGATTTCCATCATCATCATCATCATTAATACCAACTGAAGAATTGGAAAATATCGAAGAAGAAGAGGAAGAAGCAGCAGCATTATTACCATCATCATCAACCATACAGACGACATCAATGCCAACGGCAGCAACTACATCGGCAGCTGATATTGCCGGTTCATCATCACATCAAATTCGGCCATCATTCATCGAAACAGCAGCAGCAGCAGCAACTCATCGTATCGATACCCGTCAAATACAATCAGTACGTCGAAGATTATTCACAACAACGGCAGCAACATCGACGGCAACAACGACAACAACCGATACACCGGAACAGCAGGAACGTACGACCGGTTGGCTTTCTGAACAAATGGCACAGATTCAACGACAACAACGTGAAAGATATAATTTTGATTTTGAACGTGGAACACCATTACCTGATCGTCCTGGTGATCGTTTCCGTTGGGAACAAGTTGTTCAACAACAACAACAACCTATTGAATCATCAATTTCATTAACATCAAAACCTAAAGCTTCCGGTGGTGCTACCACAACAACTACAACCAGCAGCATGACTAGACAAGCGTCTCTAATGGGTATGTATTATCACCATAAGTGATAGGTTAGTTGTATCACACCTGATATAAATGATAAAATAATGGATCCTTACGATTAGATACGTAGCCTCTTTTTTACATGACAAATGAATTTTTTGTGTCTCTTTTTGAAAAGAGGCTCACGCCAATTGCTTGCAAGAGACTTTTTAAATCTTCAACTTTTCCGAGTGATCCATTAGCTAAAGTAGATGTCTTTCACTGCATTATTGCGATCATCAATCAAATTAGCGATCATCGATTTAAATCTTTCGAATATTAGTTAATCTTGAATTTTTTGTCTTTTCTCTCTTTTCATTCTCCCCTTTGTGCCTCTTGTCCAAAAATAAAATCATAGGCATGTTACCGGTACGATGTAAAGCACGATCCATATCGACCATGACGACGACTACGACCACATCATTATCTACGGCCACTACAGCCAAAAGTATTGATATTGGACAACAACAATATGAATCTCAACGAAAACGACCAATTGAAACACATGAGGAATCATCCAAGGAAGAATCAACAGAACAACCCGAGTATTCAAAAATGATGACAATGAAACGTCTACGATATGAACAGACATCATCATCGAAAGATGAGCCAAAATCATCATTGACCACTAAACATGAAAAGATTACGGTCATTGAAGCTCCATCGTCGTCGTCGTCGTCATCATCGTCGTCAAGTTCGAAAACTACTACATCGTCGTCGTCCGGGAAAAACGTGCAAATTAAAAAAAAGAATGATTGAATTGAATGGTTCGATGTTGGTGTGTTGTTTGTTTGATTTCGGGCACCATTTCATTTGCAACAACGAGTACAATTATCTAAAACACTCATATATGGATCAATCATTTTTCTATTTACTGTTTTCGCTGTTTTTTGAAGAATTTTCTTATTTTTGGAATTATAGAAAAACTTTATTATACTACTAAATTGAAGATTTAATTTTTTCATCTATTTTTTCATCCTCGCCTCTTTCATTTCATTCAATGAATCTCATATTTATATAAATTCATATTATAAAGATTTTCATCTTTTAAAAAAACACACATAAACATCCAACAATACCCCCATCCCTAGTCATTGACTATTATTTCTTTATCCCTTTTTTCACACAACAACAATTCAACAATACACTGATTAAATTCTTTATTCAAATTGTGGTATGGTCATATACTTTCACACACACACACACACACACACACAACAAAACACAGGAGATATACTTTTGTTTGTTTGTTTGTTTTTTTCTCAGATATATTTTGTGGTTTCTGGTTTCTTCCTTACAATTCTTTCATTCATTCATTCATCTATTCATTTTTTCGTATGTCTAGCTGTGTTTTACATGGTGATTATCATAAAATAAATAAATGTGAATGAGAATTTTTTTCGAATTTATCCATTTCCTTTTCATCATTCTGCCGGTCTTTATGTATGTTTTCATGAACCGTCAAATCACTGAACCTTGACCAACAACAAACCAACCACCAGCATTATTTTAGATCTTTTGAGGTTTATGGTTGAAAGATTTTTTTTGTGATCGTCATGACCATCAAATCTATAGTACTATTTAGCTAAAGGAAGCATGACATGGACAAGAAATGAAAGCAAGAAGAATAAAAACTAAACAATTGAACTCATTTATAATTGCATTGAATTGTGGTGCAAAAGAGGAGGTCAAAAGCAATTTCAATTTTATTTTGTTATTATCGAAAGAATATTCATATTTTTCCAAAGTTGATATCACACACACACACACGTTTTGAGGTTTTATTTTCATATTTCCTGTACGTGTTTGTATAAGTGTGTGACAGATGTTCGTATATATAGCGGCGGAACCATTTATAGAGAAATCAAAGTGAAGCCATCTGTCTCTCGTGTTTCTTAAAGAAATATATTGACTTGACATTTAGATTTGGCTGTCCGGTCAATCATCATCATCATCAGACAAGAAAAACAATTGGTCAATGTACTACTACTACTTCGACGACAAATAAATACTACCAGTGTTACACACACACACTTTCCGAACCGGGAGAGGAGAGGGACAAAGGTTATTCAATGAATAGAAAACAAAAACCGACAAAACCATAATTCGAATATGACATGATGATGATAATGTCTCATCACACATTTCCCTTCGTTTTCTTTTTTTATTTAATAGCATCAATCGTGATCTATTCGTGGCATCCGTTTTTTTTGTTGTTGTTCATGGCCTCGACAATTCTTTATTTCATTTTTTTCCGAAATGTTCGATTCGGGTCATTGCACACTGAACCAAATACCAATTGTTCTCATATTTTAATCTAATGATCATAGTATAGTAAAGAGTTAATGAATTTTTATTCTTTCGTTTGGACATCGGATGATGATCAATCAATCACGCACACATCGGCCATCGATATGTGAATCGCTCCTGTATAAATGAAAAAAACAACGAAAACACCTGCCCCTGTCTATAGGTATACAAAGAGGAGATTTTATTTTTTTTGGCGCCAAAAAATGAAATCTTCAAAAGTTTACCCTTATGTAGTTGCGTGCATGAATAATAAATACAACCAACGAAAAAAATGAAAAACCAATAAACAACTGCTGAGAGACTAAATGATAAATGTAGAGCAATAGGGTGAGACTGATCGATCGACCGTCCGACCTACCCACACATACACACACACACACACACCTTGACAATACAGGTAAATACACACACAATGAATGTAAGTTTAACAAAAAAAAATATATCACACACACATATTGCCAATCGTGAGAACATCCAGGTACCCTCTGGTACACATACATACACCATATAGTCAATCATATACACGTACGAATTCATCAGTCTCTCACTCTCATCATTATCGGTAGATATATGGGGACCGGATAATGGATCAACACGTGTTCATTGTTCCCACATACACACGTGTTTTTGGCGCCAAAAAAACTGTCATTTGAGAGAGTATGTGAGAAATGGAAAAAATTGGTTCACTAAAAAAAATTTGGCGCGTAAATTTGACCTCCACACACATAGGTATCGGTATTTTGGAACATTTATTTTTCCTGTATGCAGATGTGTGTGTATGCAGCAAGTGATAAACTTTCTGAGACAATTTTGTTTGACTTGACTTGAATTCTGAACATAAGGTACCTATATAATATAAGATCCGTTGAGGTCAACAATTAGATTGGCAGATGTCTTAACGATTAACGGAAGAATTATTCGAAATCAATGGTGAAAACGACAGACGTGTTTGGCGCACGACGACGACGAAGAACAAAGTAAGTCAAATACCCTATGGGCATTTTTTCAATGGTCAGTTCATTGGCTTTGAAGAAAAAAAAACGGACGGCAGCTGCTTCTTGTTTGGGATTTTGACCCATTGAATAAATAATAAAGAAAAGACTTCAAGACCCTTTTAGTTCAACAACAGCAACGTTGCAACACGTTTAAATTGTTGGCACGCGTCATTATCGATTGATTTTTCATTTGAATTGACTGGTCATGGAAAATGGAGTAAGGAAAAGCTTTATTTGTCAAGATTTTTTTTGTTAGTTTTAAAATCATCAACAGGGATCATCATCATTTTGAAATAATTTTTCTTTTTTTTTTGGAAAAAATTCATAAAGAGATCAATATTTGAGGGAGTGTTGTTATTGTGCATGTAGGAATGATGGTGGGTAATTGATAACTCCACAATTGCCAATTAATTGTTTCATCTTTGTTTCGCCGTTGGCTTATTATTATTCCGATATGAATACAGGATAATCTTCGAGATCAAATTTCACGATTTTCGATCGATTATTATTAGCAGCTGATGATAATTGACAAACGAAAAATGATTGACCATTTGGAGTCAGGCTTAAATCATGTGCATCATAAAATGATCCATTTTGTGGCGACCATACATCCACTATTTGTTCGGTACCTAAATCAATCGAAATACCGACTGTTGATTGTGGGCCACCATTCAAAGCTAGAATAACATCACCTATAAATTGAGTAAAGACCAATTACATTCTTATAGAGTGTCGATGTATTATTTTAAAATACGAACCCAAATGAGCTATAGCATATACTTTTCGTAGTTCACTTTGTTCCAATTCAAATAGTAATAAACCAGGTGGACGACGTATAACATCTGATGAAATTGAACTAGTCAATCCAGCACTATAGCACATTATACGATCATTTTCTATGGAGAAAAATAAATGAATTTAGTGATCTGATTGATAAAAATACCGATAATTTACCTCGATCAGCAACACAAATCAAATCTTCATTCTCCAATAATGCTAGACTATGTGGTGTTCGTAGATTATCTATTGATTGGTTATAGAAATTTTTTTTCAGTTAAATCTCAAGATTTGAATTGAATTAGTGGCCACTGACCATTATTAGCAAATTCTGTGAGATAATGTCCATTTGGTGTAAAAACAACAATTCGTGAATTACAATAACCATCACTGATATAAACTGTTCCAGTGGAGGCTACAGCGACATCCTGTGATGGTAATAGTAAACATTTATATTGCAATTAATTTTTTTGGTTTTCATTCATCCAAATATTTATCATTTATACCGTTGGTTTACAGAAATGACCATGATCAGAACCAGGTACGAAACGTTCACCAAGTACTAGATCAGCTTGTTCAAAATTATTATTTTTATAACGAAATGCTTGATGTAGGGCAACATCGGTCAGCCAAAGATTGCCTTGTGGATCAACGGATATTCCATGTGGTAGATAGAATCTATCTTTTCCCCATGAAAACATAACATCAGCATTTTCTAAATCAACTGCCACAATCGTATCAACATTGACAGGTCTATCCTGGTGTTGATATACATTATCATCGTTGAATGAGCTAAAATCAAAAACATTTTAGCGATTATTTCACATTTTTCATCAAGAAAAAAAAAACACTTACTTTTGATTCCAGGTAACATTTCCACGATGAAATATGTAAAGAAAATCTTTGGTTGCCGCTACACCGGATACCTGACTAAGAAGCTGATCATAATGATGTTTTTCCGTTTGTAATGACCATTCACGATTTTCTTTAGCATGTTTCGACGTTAAATATAAAAGATCATTTGCTGACAATGAGGATGTTCGTCCTTGTACATCTGATAATTGATCATCCAAATCATCCAAAGAATTAGCACGATCTTCTAGATCTTGATCAACAAACGGTCGTCCATAGAATCGTCCATAACAACCATTCAGTGTTATCAACAATATAATGGTCAATGATAATGTTAATAATCTACATATTCGATGATCCATGATGATGATGATTTTCGATTCTTAGCTTAATTTGCGATTGTTTTAGACTAAGATTATAGAATAGATTATTATTATTATAGCCGCTCACACAAACCACAGACCATCCACACAAAAAAAATAAAAGAAAAAACTCTGACGTAAATAACTCGAGAAAACAATCCGAGCGAATCATTGAATCACTGAATTGAACAATGATGTGTCATCAGTAATCAGTAAGCACTATATAATTGTAATTTTTAAGAAAAAATAGAAAAATATATCAGGACCATGATCGTAGTCTTTTTGTTCGTTTGGATACAACCGATTCGGCGCCAAACATTTATTCATTGGATTGGATACTATATTTGAATAACAACCATAGACACTAGATGGCGCTACGTGAATAAAAATGGAATTAAATGATTGGAAAATTTTCAATAGGCGAAAATAATAGGAAATCCGCTAAATTCGGTTATTATTTATTACCATAATGTTCAATTTGATTTAAAATGAAACATTCAATTGTGATTCGATTATTATAGAATGGGAAAAATTCTTAAACAACTGGAAAGCTAGCTTTCGATGCAATACCACATTGATTATCTTTATTACGTGACATAAGAATATAACCATCCATCCCCCAGGTGACCCCCCAAGAATTTCGAACTTTCCAATATTGTTTACCAGAGGCAGACGTTCCATAACCAACGACAACAACACCATGATCCAGAAGCATTTGTGAACAATCATCATGATTATAGACACCTGATTTATAAAACATGAAATGCGATGAACTAGCATCGATTGCAACCGATATTGGTCCAACTTTTGCACAAGCCGATTGTAATGCATGTTCGTCATATTGTTTGACATCCACATAACTACGGATTGTAGCACCGATTGTTTTGTTTTTCTCATAAGATCTACATGATTCATCCATAGCAACGTATGGATATGATTTTTCCGTATCGATACCATGCTGATCGATGACATATTGAAATCCATTATCCATCCAACCACCCTCACAGCCTGAATCACCTTCACTGCTAGAACAATCGACTAATTCTTGTTCGGAAAGTTCAACCAAATGTCCGGTGGCTAAAGCATGAGCACTTTCCATTGAACTTACAGCTGAAAATGCCCAACATGATCCACAATTTTTTTGATTTTTGATTGGTGCAACAACACCTTTTTTAGTCCAATCAACTTCGGCCGGTAATGATTCCACTTCATTATCTGTATAGATTTGTGGTGCTGTTCGAACACTTTTTGATACAATCAAACCATTCAAACGTCGAAATTCACTAATGGATTTATCGCCAAATTGATTGATACCCAAAGTGTATGAAGATTTCCCTTCATTATACAATTGGTTATGTTGATCAATTAATTCCAAATTATCCGAAAAGATTTGTTTACGGAATTGTTCCTCGTAACTAGATCGATATACACGGCCATAGTTTTTCTATATTGGAGTCAGATTATTATTAATCCATGTCAAAATCAAAAAAAAACTTACTTTAAAATTGGACCATTCCGAATCCAAACGAAATTGATCAATGGCCTGAGCCATAACGATCATGATTGATACGAGAAATAATTGAGTTTTCATCATAACCAATATATGTTTCTTTTTTGACAAATTAACAAACAAACAAATAAATTTAGTGATGATTGCAAGTAACCGATTGCTTGGTTTTTATATACTTTTTTGCAACAGGATTTTACTAATTAATCACATGATAACAAAAATCAATTTATTAATCAAACAAAAAGGTACACTTTTCAGGTAACAAGTAGATCATCAGATGTTATATTCTTTTAAAGACCAAGATTAGCTACTAAATTAATTGTTTTTTATTTAAATCACTCAATCAATCAATTATTGATTACGATACGTAATAATCAAAGGAACAAAAAGAAAAGAAAATTTTAGAAAAAAAAATAAAAAGTCATTGTGCGTCCGGTTCAATAACAAATAATGGCGTTATCGTTAAAAGAAGTGGATTTTATAATTACCAAGGAAAGAAAAAAAATTCTCTAAACAAGATTACTTTACTTAAATTGTTGCCAAATCGGATATGATGATGATATCTGATGATTGGGTGTTGGATTGAAAATCGATTTCGAATAAATAAATTAAGAATAGATTGGATTCGATGAACAGAAAAAATGAAATGTAAACTAAAAAATGAACCTTTTCCATCTGATTCAATTGGGAATTGACTTTTTTTTATCATCATCATCGTCTTTGCACGTGAATGTGATTTTTTTGTGATTACATTCCAATCACACACACACACACACACTCGAAAACAGAGAAAGACTTAAATTGTTGTGACCATAATTCTGCAAGAAAAGAGCCAAAAATAATAATGTCTCCAAAATATAAACTTTCAATACCAAATAGAGAGTTCACAATAAATAATCACAGCAGTTGACATCCAACCAACCAACCAACCATTATTATTATTATTATGATTTCGAAAAAAAATTTTAAATTCCAATCGATGACCATTGAGAATACACTTTGATCAATAAAAAAATCTGTGGTCAAATTCTTTGTTATTCTTGGATCGAATCAAATAATAATAATCGATTTATTTTCCGTTATATAATACAGTGAAATTTTATTTTTTTCATATTTACAACAACAAAAAATCAGATATACACAACATTCATATATGCAATGATTGATTTGGCCAGAAAGAAGAAATTTTCTTCAAGTTTCTGGATTTGCAATTTAATCCCATTTATTAAACCATAATAACAACACTTGACATTGATTGATTCATTGATTATCAATTTTTGGTCAGTGGATAATCCATATGGAAATGATTAAAATGTTGAGCAATATGAATGAATTGACAATTAGATGGTTGATGAATGGTGAATGATTGGAATCTATGAATGAAAAAAAAGAACAGAATTATTGATTTGATTTCAGATTTTCATTATTTTCACATACTAAAAACGGTCATTAATTTTTCAGCAGCAACCGTTTGAAATGTTTCTTCGACACTAATTTCACATTTATATTTGCCACTTGTTTTACTTGATGCACGACGAATATAGACAATTGAACCGCTTGATTTAGATAGCTAGATTGATACGAATGATCAAGTATTTAGAATGAACAAAATCAAATGACTAAATTGACTTACATCAACTTGAATGCCATCCAATGGAAATACTTGTTTATATGGTTTATGACGCGGTGTAAAACGAAAAAATTCCTGTTCATCACGATCCCATTCATGTGCTCGATAAAACCATTTTAATGAATAAAGTGTTGCATTATCTAAATCGAATAAACAGGATAGCTGAAGATCGGATCCTTTTCGTACATGTGGTGGTACATTTAATGATACTACTTTGATACAATCGATTACTATCATAATCGATTGTTGTTGTGGTGAATGAAAAATTGAAAAAATCAAAAAATAATTGAAATTGAAAATATGGAAACAAACAAACAAAATTACATGACTGAATTTTAATTTCTCTTCGATGATCATTATTGATCTATGATTATTTTATTGACCAATGAATGTGAGCCAATCATAATGCTGGCGGTAGTTACATCAAATCAAATGCATGTATTGTTATTTATTTTTTTTTTTTTTGGTGTTTTATATTCACTCTTTTCTCCGCTTCATTCAATTTGATTCAATTGAATTGAATTGAATTCGTTTATGGATCAATAAAAATTCAATCAAATGTTCTCAACAACAAACAAATAAAGAGATCATAATCTTTAAACAAATATAAATCTCACTCATTCAATCTTTCTCTATTGTGAAAACACACAATTTTGCCGATTCAGATTTCGATTTCAGATTCAGGATTCGATTTTTTTTTCTTTTGGTGAATTGTTATTACAACTTTATCACACACACACGCCATCAACTATCCACTCAACAATTTTTGAAAATGAAATGAAATCCAATGAAAAAAATGGGTATGTGATTTTTTTCCTATTTTAAATTGAAAATTGAATAAAGTTAAATTTTCAAGAATGAAATTGTAAAGTATAGTGAATGAATGAGTGAGTGATTGGGGGGCAAGAGAGAGAGAGAGAGAGAAATGAAAATAATAGGAAAAAACACTCAAAAAATGATGATGACGACGACCAAAATCGAAAGAAAAATATCGAATATCATTCGATATATTATAAACAGGGGTAGTTATTACGTACAAACTATCGAAAACATCATAATATTTTCGAAATCTCATAACCTCAATTCAAGCATGGAACGACGGCGACAACAAAATCTAAAATATATTATATGGTCCTGTTATCGGCATATAGACATAACAAGCAACGACAAACATTCCATTCCATTAAAGCTCAACAATCTCTTTCTCTCTATAGATATAAATAGAAGAAACCAGGAATTTAAAAACACCCCTTATCATATAAGAAAAATGATTCCATATTTGTGGCAGTGGTGGGGGCGATTGTTGTTTGTTGTGTGCTGGTAATACATAATTCCAAACGAACGAACCAAACATTCTAATTTTTAACTACATTTTTTTTTGCTGCTGTTGAACGAATCCAGAATCGAATTGAAAAACATGATCGATTAGTGGGCAGCCGGCATCGTCCATCACTTACGATTAATATAACAATAAGGATATCGTTATTTTGTTTGAAAATAATTAAAATTAATAGCTGTCAAATCAAGAATAAGAAGCCAAAAAAATTGGTTGATTAACGTTGATGATTCGTAAATGACAATTTCCTGGATTCTTCATAATATATCCACCTAAACTAACTGAATGACTGACAGACACAGACAATTGAGACACAACATAGTCGAATAGAGAATACAGAAATGGAAATAAAATAGCTGAATGGATGGATGGATGATTCGTTTTTATGTGTGAAATGCATGCTCAATTGAATCCATTTTTGTCAAAAAAGGAGCTTTTTTCGTCATCATATTTATCCATCCATCCATCCATTTATTCATTGAAATTCATTGAATCATCACCCATTATCATTGTCATCATCAGCTTTTCGTTGTTAAGATCGTCTTAATGGTTGACAAACATAAACGCAAACACATACACACACACATTATCATATAGTTACATAGTTTAAGCTTGGAAGAAAAAAAGAGATGCTATCATCATCATCATCATCATCATCGTCAATCCAAGAATCATTGAAGCAAACATGCTAAATAATAATTTTAACTAAACATCAGAAACACATAACCAGAGAGATGTTTTTTCTGGTTTTCTCTTTATACTAAGCTATTTATGTTGTTGGTTTGTTGATCGGCTAAAAGTGTGTGTGTGTTATTATCACTCGCTGTAATAATGATATCAGCCCCAACACATTTCTCACTCATTCACCAAGCACAAATTGGCAAATTGTTCTTAAATGTCAGGTGAAATTTTTTTTTGTTGTTGTTGTTTCAGTGTCAATCGAAGAATAACTACGACAAGACCATAAATCACATTTTGAAAAACAAACGATTTCTTTTTTCTTTCTTTCTCGACAAACAAGGGACATACGATTCGTTTTTTCGCTTTTAGAGAAATTGCTGAAATGGCTGGATTTTTTTCTCTCTAAATTAAAACAGAAAAAACACGAACCACAAAAAATAAAATTCGAATCCGTTTACAAGTTGTGAACGGAATCTGAATTCTTTTCTCTCTCTCTCACTCCAAAAAACGATGATGATGGGACAAATTCTTGAAAAATTCAAATGTGACAAATGTGTTTGTGTGTTTCATGTTTTTCTCTTTAGCGTGTATTTGACAAAAACTTAATTATTACAAATGAACTTCTCTAGATAGATATCTTAGTCAGCAATCTCGTTACACACACAATCATGATTATCAAACTTTAAATTGAGTGATCATCATTGATGATTTTTTTTTTTTTGATTAAAATAAATTTGTTTTCAGTTGAATTCTAGTATAAGACAAAACAATCGAATGAATTATTACCTGAAATTGTAGATAGTGATAAAATGGCCATTATTATTATGATGATTTTGAATAATGATGATGATGACGATGATAATGGTGGTGAATATCTTTGATATCTTTGTTGGTCAATGAATGAATCATTTCTAAATGTTGTTGCCCAACAAAATTTTTGTTTTTGTTTTTCATAATGATCCATTGGGATTATGTTAGATTGATCAATGTCGTTGTCGATGGCCATTTTTGTTTTTGTTGTTGATGTTGTTGTTGTTAAGCCTATCATCATTGCAGCCATCAATTGATGATCGATCATATGAATTAAAATGTTTGATAATCGTCGACGGTGATCATGATCCATATGTTCATCGTTTTCATCATTTTTATTATTATAACACCATGATAGCATGATCCAATGATGGAAACTAACACATTCGGATGTCATCATTAAATATTGTCGATCATGATCGATCATCGATCAATAGTTGAATTTTTTTTTGTTTTTAGTAGATCGCTGATGATGATGATCACTCAAATTTAGGCTATTAAAAAAACTTTCAACACCTGGGCAAGCGAATAAGATTCTGTTGTTGTTGTTGTTGTTTTTTCTACTACATTGGTTATTCACAACGATACTTTCACATAATTCAAATGGAGTTTTTTGTTTTTCTGTCGTAAAAAAAACTTTTCCCACTATAATCGATCAGTTTTTTAGCAGCATCAATATCTATTGATGATCAGACAAAACAACAACGTTTGATGATGATGATATTTACACACGCGAAATAAAAACAATTGGAAAAAAAGATAATTGATGACATGTGTAATGATAAAAGCAACAATGTAACGAACAAACACAAACAAATGTCTGTTTGTTGTGTTTGTCGCCACACTTGAAATGTCGACCACTATGTGAATTTCAATATGTGTGTTTTTTTTTATTTTTCATCGATGCATACGCGCGATCGAATGATTGATGATCGATGATGATGACACCCACCCACACACCACACAACCAATTTAAATCGACTGACATATACGAAAAAAAAGTTTCTTGTCGGTCATAAATATTTCTTTGTTTTTAAAGATATTTTAGACAAACAAAATATATTTTCAATATGATGATATATATCGTGGTCGTCGTCCAGAATGAGAATTACACAAAATGATGATCATAACGATCAACAAGACAAGACAATAATCATTGAAAGGAATTTTTTTCAAACTTTAATTCATTTATAATGGCTGGTTGGCTGGATTGATTTGCGTGATTGCCTGTGAACCTCATACACACACACAAAAGAATTTGAATATTGAAAATTTTTCAAATTCCAAACAATTTGATTGTGGGAAAGAATTTTTTCACTCTGACAAATTGTGTGTGTTTGTGTGGTTGTAAGCGAATGAAAAAAACTTTGAAAAGTGGCAAACCAAAAGGAATTTTTCAGTTTTTCTTTTTCGAAGCAAAACAACCAATTTGAAACGAGAATCAGACGTTGTGTACTGTGCAATGAATAAATGACGTATGTCAAATGAATACCGCGCCGGTATATAACCACCAACCATTCATCCATTCATTCAATTTGTTACCCTTACAAGCTATAGCTCTATGGCTAGCTCAACAAGAATAACAACTTTTTTGGCCAATCATTTCCAGAACACTGAATAACACGCCCAAATGCGTCGACGCTGAATATGCCAGGATGAAGAATATATGAATGTGAACTACGAATAGAATGGACGCGCGGGAAAATAACGACCCGTTATGTTTTGCCTGTTTGAAGTAGAATGATACCAATGCTCAAAATAGAAATGAAAAAATGAGAAATTTTCATGGCCTCCAGAAGTGTGTGTACTTCTTCAAATGGTGTCATAGTGTCATCAACAAATAAACAAAATCATTCAGTCGATACTATAATTATCTTTAACGACAAAATCCATACACACACAAACACACAAAAACGATTATTGATGCTTTTATTTCCATGACCTTTGATTAACTTGCCATAGGTCAACCAACCAAACTGACTGAGAAAAACCAAAAACCACGAAATGATGATGATGATGATGTGGTCCATTCAAAAAAAACCAATGCATGTATGTTATAGATGTTTTTGTTGTCGCTATTTATATATCATTATGGATCAGATCATTCATTTGTATTTGGTCAGCTATCAAAAAATGTTTGGAATATTCTGTAGATGACATTTCTTTTCTTTTCTTATAAATCATTTGTGAATATTCATTTTCTGCATTTACTGTTACTTTTTCAAATGCTTCCTTTCACAATTCAATTGAGTAATATATAAAAATCATTTATCCATATCCATACCGTTCATATTAACATAACAGAATTCAAACAAAACGTAGAAAGCATGAAAATTTAAATGAATCGTGCAAAGTAAAGTAAAATGTCATCAAACCAATGATGAGTGAGCGTGTGTATCTTTTGGATGTTCAACGACGACGATGACAAAAATTATTATTATCCACGTTTTAAAAATAGAATTAAAAAGTTCCATAAATCTAATTCTCTCTCTCACACACACACACATTACATTTCAACAAATCTCACTGTGTCTGTGTGTTTTTCCAAGAATGAGTGGTTTGCGTATAAGAGTGGTGTTCCATTACCACAAAATATTCGTCTTATCCATCCATGAGATGTTTATTGTCGTCGTCGTCGTTGTTGTTGTCATCGTTTCTCTCTCATAAGATATATCCATGTGATCATTACCATGTATCCCCATCATATAAATGTACATTATGTTTTTTCTTTCTTTCTCCAATTTTTTCACCATGCCATATTTTTCAACGAAAAAAAAATCCAAAGGGTCGTAGAATTGTTAATTCGTTTCGCGATAAAAAGAATAATGTGGCTCTAGAAAAAAAGTATCATGGTTTCGGTGTTGTTGTATGTGTGATTCAATTAAAATTAATGTGTACGAACCAAAATGACATTCTACGAATGAACTAACAAACAAACACATTCAAAGACATTCTGTAAATTCTGTAACTTGTTAAAGTATAAAACACACACACACAAACAAGAATCCCTAAAAAACACCTAGCGTAAAGTTTTTTTTGTCCAAAAATCCAATCGCAAAAAGCTTTCAGACTTGATTGAAAAGATTGTTGAAAAAAATCATCATCACCATCATTGGGTAATATGACGCCCATTTTTTTGGTGTGAAAAAATGTTATGATGTATGACTGTGTGTGGAAGTAGATATGGTAGTTTCTTTTTTTTCACATATCTTGAAACAACCAAATAAACAAACAAAAGTAGATCTCATTTAATTAAAATAAATATTTACAAACAAACAAAAATGCCTACCCAAAATACACACACATCATCAACGTCATGAGGATCATATAATAATGTCTCGGGTATACACACATACACACACATGGCCATTATCAAATGATGATGACGATGATAATGATATTAATGCCCGTGGCATGGTGTGGCCAAAAAAAAAATTCTGGCCTTTTGTTTTGTTTTAAGTGTTTGTTCCGTTGTTTATAAACGAGAAAAGAAAAAACAAAACAAAATTGCACACACCACCATAAAGACTAAATGAAAAAACAAACGATTTCTTCCATATACAGAGGTCTTACCCATCCATCGGGATCAATAATTAAAAAGACCTTTAGTGTAGTAGGTAGATTAGATTATGACACACAGTACAGTGTGTTCTTTCCATTCATTTTTAATTCTATTCTTCTATGAAATGGTCCCAATGTGTGTTTCATTCATTCATTCAGTTTGTATTCACACTACTAGCTAGATAAAAAAAAATAATATTTTGTAACTAATTAGCATTACTCGTCTAGCAAAAAAAAAGTCCTTTTGTCATCATTTCATTCTAATAATGATAATCTGTTAATCTCTCCGATCTTTCGCTTTCACATATATTCTTCCAATATTCCAATGGTAAAAAAAAAAAAAAAAAACATCATGATGAAATCATTTACCAAAATCACTGTGAGATTTTAACTTTTCATTGGACAAAAAAAAATGGCCCATCATTTTTTAAAATCCAAGATGTGTGTATATATGTGACAAGTCCAGCTACAAATAGGAAAAAAAAAATTGATTGTTCAATGTCAACATTTGGCGTTCAAAAAGAGAGTGAATAAAATCCATTAGAATAATTATAATTAAAATATTAATAAATGTAGTTATTATTATTATTATTATTGTCAACAGCTTTGGATTATTGTTTTTTGTGTCACCATTTTTTTTTTTTTTTTTTTTTTGTTTTTAAAGGTTTTTTTGTATGTGTGTGTGCATTATTATTTCATTGCAAGCAATTGACCATTGTTATGGCCATCACTTTTTACACACAACATTTTTGTTTACATTCAATGAATGAATGAATGAATCAAGTGTGAGTCGAAAAAATAGATATAAAGTCGACCAGTGTTTTACACTAAACAAGAATGAATGAATGACTGGCTGATTTCTTTCGTTTTTTCGTTCCATTGTAGAGTTTAGCATCATTTATTTAGTCACAGCAAGTTAGTAAGTCAGTCGGTAGTTAACACGGTAACCATTCAAACAACGATGACTACGACGAAGACGACGACGACCCGATAAATGGAAAAGAAACGGATAGTTTAGTTTAGTTTAGTTTAGTGTGTGAATAAGTGTGTTGTTGTTATTTTAGAGTGTGATAGATGTGAAATGGACCGAAATGACTCTCGTGTGTATAATCGGTCAATTGCAATGGCATGTTTTTGTATTGCTACTTGGGCATTTGATGTTTTGTGTGTGTGAATGAAGGATGTCTTGGGATTTGACTAATCTTTTTTTTCTCTTTTCCTTGTTTTCGGTTATTTGTTGCAGTTGTTTGGTTGGTTGGCATATCTCGATTTTTTTCTTTCCGTAGTTTTTGGTATAGCGATCTTCATCATACATCCGTTTCAATTTTTTTTTGTATAATCATAAATTCTATACTACTACTGCCGACTGACTGACCGATCATAATGAGTCATAAATCTCATCAATTAAACAACGAATAACAAATCAAAATTACAGCCTATAGAATATTATTTTCAGTCATACCAGAATCATCATCATGATGCCAGAAAAAACCTGGATTTCATAATTTCTAGTCCAGAAAAAAAAATATTTACATGAACGAATGGAATAAAAAAAGAGACAAATTCAATTATAATAATAATCATCATACGTGGAACAGAATCTCTAAATCTAAGCCCGTAGGGGTTTCATCAACAACGAAAAATGGAAAAAAATTTCACTTAGATTTTTTTTCATTTTTTTGGTCATGAAAAAAATTTATGTAAATATCCGTATATCCTGGGATTCAATTCGCAATGATTTTGACAAGAATTTGTCACACACATTTCTATGATGATTAGCAATCTTTCTGGATTTTTTTTTGAATGAAATGAACAAAAATGACGAAAAAAAATTCACCTTGACAATCATCAATTTTGATTGATCGATCAGATGTTTTTAAACAGCTGCAAATTCTAACGTACACATCATATGTCAACTGTTAAATATTTCTGTTGTGGTGTATATATAAACAAGATTTAAATTCGGATGATTCTGTTTTGCAATTAAATTTTTTTTTTTTTTTTCAATTTCCAAAAGATTCAAAAACATGAAATTTAACATTGGAAAAAGTTTCATTCTGTTAATAACGTTTGATTTCGTTCTGCTGATGATCAATTGTTACAGTCGTCATGATGGACGAAGGGAACGACGTTCATTATCGGATCTAACGACTCGAACTACAAATTGGATGGCTAAACGTAAGTATTATGAATGAATGGGGTGATAATATTGATTTGTTTTATTTTCCACAAGTTAGCATTAAAAAATCGTATCAGTAATGTTCGAGATAATTTAACTGGACAAGTATCGGATTTAACAAGTCGTGTGGAATCCAATGGATTGACCAATGGTTTAGGCAGTACTATATCGAATACATTATCTACACTTACATCTACAGTTGGTAATTTAACATCAAGTTTGTCCAGTTTATTGTCTGGTCTATTATCGACAATATTATCATTACCATCATTTTTAACATCAACACTGTCGTCATTAGTGGGTGGATTATCACAAACAGTTGGTGATCTTGGATCACTGGTCAATGATTTACTGAGTGGATTAACAGATTTATTAACACAATTATTGAATTTAGATGTAATCAATACAGATGTTCTTAGTGATGTAGCCGATGCTGGATCAAATTTACTTAATAATCTAGGTGGTATACTTAATAATACTGTCGATGCTTTATCATCGATGGTCAACAATAGTAAGTTGATTGATTTTTATTGGAAATTCACTATAATCTTTGAATCATTTATTTTAAAGCCGATTTAGATAGTGATACACTTCAAGGTGTTGTGGATCTATTAGCCAATCTATTGGATTCATTGAAAAACACAACAAGTCGATTGATTGATCTGTTAAATTCAACTACCGATACAGTAGTGAATGGAATTCTCGTTGGTCTATTGAATAATGTACAAGATTTATTGACCGGTACAGCTAGTCAAATTGAAAGCCTGCTAGATTCTATACCCGATACACTCAATTCATTACAAGAACCATTACAGAATATTCTTTCTGGATTACAGGATACATTGGATAATTTAACGAAAGCCCTTAACTCGAATAGTGGATAACAAGCTTTGCTAGATATAGACAGTCTATTCATATTAGATCTCTGGGATTTTTTTGTTAGTTTTTCCGAATCGATCATAATAATCATAATAATAACTTTTAATTTTAATGTTCTTATCATTGTTGTCTGTAATCAATCAATAAGTAATCATTTCAAGAAAGTAATAATTTTGTTACAAAATAAAATAATATTTCTATTGCAATGAAGGAAACGCCCAGCTATGTGTGTTCGAAATTTAATCATATTTCTATCGTGATCATCGATACGTAATTAATTTAAATTAGTGAAATAATTTTCCAGTTTTCTCCAATTTTTTGCGAATTTGAATACACCCAAATCAGGTGAGTCGATTCGTTCATTCAAATTGAATTTCACTCTATTTTATTTTTGAAACTAATAAATCAGCATGTCTGTTTGTCTTTCTAAATTCAAAATCTTCACAAGACAAACAATTTCGAATATATCATCTATTTCTTTTTCATTGCTGATTCAGAGACAAAATTAATCAAGTTTCATTTGACCAAGCAATGTTCGTTGTTTTTTTTTCGTTTTGGTGGTAGAACTGTGTGAAATGGGCCATAAATACATTGACAATTAATTAATGAATGTAGATGAGTCCATGTGTCCGAGTGTGTGTCTTTCAATCGAATTCATTGGTCATCTTCATCATCAAATAGATTATATAATTGTGTGTGTGTGTGTCCGATTTTTATCTTTATTTCTTTGCTTTGCTTTTCTAATTTGAATTAATCATCAAATCATTAGAAGAGTCCAACATCGTTGATGTTTATAAATTAATGTTGCTGTTGTTGTAACTTTTTTGCCGAAAATGAACGAGGTCGAAACGAAAATGAAGATGATGTTTGACGATTAATTGGCCTGTCGTACGAAATTTATTTGGTCCACCACTACCATCACAATCGCCATCATCACATCGACAATTGGCTTGATTAAATGATTAAACGTCTTTATCATTCATTCATTCATTCATTTATAGCTAACGAACCTGACCAATTTCGCGGAATGCCATGTTCACAATTCTTGACTGGCAAACTGTTAATTACATCAATCGAATACAGTACACAATTGCCGACAATTGTGGAATATTTTTCGGTTTTGGTTTAGTTTCAAACTCTATTGATTCATAAAAATAACTAATGTAACTGGGGTTACCTGTGGTATTATGGTTGTAGATTTTGCAATTTTCCTTATTCTTGTTGTTGCCAAAAACTTTCGTTATGTTTCCATTTAGATATGGTCGTCGACCATTTTTTTGTCGTTTGAGTTTCACTGAAAATGACAAAATCAATTTTAATTTGCAATGGAAAAAACCTTTAGAAAGAAAAAATAGCTGATGATAAAAAAAAGTTTTACTTTAATTTTTTTTTAGTGGAACTTGGAAGCACAAATGTTTTTTACTTTCGTGCTCGAAATCAAAAATCGAAATTCATATATGATGAATGATTATGGACAAATTATTCAAAATTTTTTTTTGCTCTGCAAGCAGTGATTTATTTTTTCTTCTTTTCTTCATAATGACTTAAACTTTTTTCTTCCATTAGAATTATGGATTCGAATCACCAACCTATAGGTCATCATACTACCGTATCAATTTAGCTAAGTTTCAAGTTCGTATTTTTTTTCTACTACATTCAAATTCATAATAATGGTGATTTGTTTTTTATTTAGAATAATTTCACAATTGAAATCGATTCACCAATAATCAGTAATCACCACCATCACAAACAAACAAATTGAAATTGTATTTTCTGTTTTTTTTCAAGGATTAATACCAATCAATCAATTTATTATATCAATACCTTATCACCTTGACCAAATATTACCAATCCATCATGGCCAATAATACCCCAATTTTCGTTGTTATTATGGATACCATTATCAATAATGATAATGATGTCCACAAAAAAATTGCAATTTGTACCAAGGGGCTTAGTGGACCAATTGGAAAATATGGAATCGTTTATTTTTTGCGGAAAAAAATAAAAATATAAAAACCTGAGGCAATAAATATATTGTATGTGTTTGGTCATTGAAAAAAAAGACCACTGTCGAATAATGATGGATATATTTATGGATCCAGATGAGCCTCATTCTCTCTTTCTCAATTCTGGGTCTATTTAGAGCCTCATTTACCACATATAGCCATTAACCATCAGTAAACATTATCATTATTACCAACGTACACACTCACACACAATGGCTAAGAAATACAAGAGGAAAGAAAAAAATCATTCGATTTGACCAAAAAGATGTGTGTGTGTGTGTGACATGATAGACATCATTATAGAGATCTCTTTTTCTCAGTCTTGGAATCTTTCCGACAAGCATGAGCAAATATATCGATTTTAGCTACATGATGATGATAGTAAAATCACAAAAAAAGACATTTTATATTTAGAGATAATGAAATTCTCAATTGGAAACAATAACATGAATCAAGGAAGGAATCTTTGTGGTTATTTGGTCAATTAGTTTGTTTTTTTAAATACAAATTCTTCGGCTACTTGAACTAAAAAAAAAATCAATGAGGATTTTTTTCTTTTTTTGCAATCAAATCAAAAATAAAACACACACACACATAGACACAGTGATGATGAATCAATCAAATCCAATGAATGAATGAATGAATGAATGAAAAACATAATTGAATGAAATCGTTCGTCTGTCTGTTTATATTTGATATATGATATATGTTGCCTTAATTAAAACAATAATCGAGCCTCTACTTCAAGGTTGTCTTTATTTTTTTTTTGCATTTAAAAGAAAATCTTTGAAACGTTTATCTGCAAGTCATTTGTCAATCAATCACATGATTGATAACCCTCACTTTCCTTTTTTTTCTCTATGACAACTAGATCAAGTTCTTATTTATTTGTCGACAGACGGAAAACAAAGATTCCATAATAATATTAATGATGCGATTTATCATATATTTTACCATTCCATTTTTGGGTCATCGTGCAATATACATTAAACACACAAACACACACCTATTTGATGAGTACGTCGTCAAAGACAACATTATCAGTCAATTCATTGACAATCCACACAATCATCATGACTGTCATTCTGACACTGTTGTATGATATGTGCCGTCCTAGAAAAAAAAAACGAGAAACAAATCACCACCAGCAACCAGAAGATAAGTGTGATCATCACAACTACAATTTTTACCATCATAATCCTCAACATTATTGATGAATGATAAAAATCAAAATAAGCCGACAATATTCGGCATATTGAAATAATCAATTTTTTTTCGCAGTGATGATAAATCCATTATCGATCGATTTAACATTTAAAAAAACATCAAAGATAGAATGCTAATCATGTGAATGAATTCAAAAACAAATCATTGTGAATCATAAAGTGTTTGCGTCTTGTTTTTTTTCGGTTGATCATTTCCGTCATCGTCGTCGTGGTTGCACTTGCTCGAAATCGAATATTCATCGAATCGTAAAAAATGAATAAGGAATTAATGTTGATACAATTTTCCAAATATATGACCATTGGTACAGTATCGATAATTATCGGTATGATCATTGCATTAATCGGTCTATGGATTTATTCAGAATGGTTAATCTATCAGCAAAAGTATGTGTATTTTATCCTGATTTCTATTTATCGTTAAAAAATTTTGTTTTAAAAAACAGAAAAAATAAACAACTAGATATTGTACGTGATAAAATGGATGGAATCGAAATGAAAAGATTATTACGACAAAATAGTCAAGAACAATCGAGCCATAAACAAAAATGTCCAGATATACAGATTGTCGATCTATCATTGGAAAATGATAATCCAGAGAAAGAAAAAATGATTTCATCCAATCGATCTATTACACAGATTGATTCAAATAAACGTATCAGTCTGAAATCATTGGATGGTCTTCCACGATAAAACCATTGGCCATTGTTTATATGGCCATTTGTAAATAATGTACACATTAACAATTCACCTCATTCGATGGACATTTCCACTAAATTATTTGTTTTGTTTTTTTGATGTGAAAATAATATATTGTAGTGTTTTTTATTGAAAAATTGAAATCAAGAAAATATTCATTCAGAAAATGCATATGGATCGAGCCTTTTTTGAATCAAACTGGTTATTGATGACGATAACGATAACGTCGTCGTTGTCTTTGTCTATCTGATGAAATTTTGTTTGCCGCTCCACTTTTGATTCGTGTTTGTGAACAATATGCATTATGTAATAATGTTATACAACAACTATGGAAACGTTTATAAACTAATTCATTATGAATGTGGCATAGAAATGTTGTATCGGAAAAATTTCCTTGTCTTGATTGAATGAAATATTGACAACAATCACGCGTTGGTTCTTCACTGTCGGTATCACGATTTTTCCATGGTTTCAAACCACAGCGACAATTTACCAACGATGAAGATGTATTGATGATGGTCGTCGATGCAGCTGTTGCTGCTGTGAATGGTGAACATGAATCATAGAGAAACATAATGAATGTTTATGCGAATATTAAAGTATCATACCAACCTGTATCATGTATCGATATGAATGACCAGATAGTCCAAATCAATATGAATAGACATATATGAAATGATGGCCAAATTTTATTGATCCTGATGAATAGATTCATGGTTTTTTTCTGTTTTGTTTTGGGCGAATGGAGAAAACACTTTCACAGTGGAACACAAAAACTAACTAAGCAATGAACGGATGATGATCTCTTTCGAAAAACATTTGTCAACAGGGGCAAAAACTAAATTTCTCTAAAAACAAACATGTCATATTATTTAACGTGTTTTTTCTAACGCTGCTCATCGTGATACATTTCATATCATCATCCGTAGTGTCTCCATTGATTCAATTGATGCATCCATTCTCTTCCATAGTGTATTGAATACGTCCTCTTTTTTCAATGTTTTTTTGCACAATAATTACTTCAACAACAACATTCCAATGGATGATGAAAGCATCATGATTGGGATGATCAAACCTTTGTTCTTGTAAGTGTTGTTCGCCTTGACTGATTATTGACTGTTGATTGATGATCTGTATCCATATCTTTCTTTTTTGCATTTATGAAAAAAAAGAATTTCAAAATAGAGGATTCAATTAAATTTCTTGTTCAACGGAAGTAGTTCGAATTGTTCACTTTGTTTTAATTTATAAAATCGAATCTGATTAATTAGATTATTATAATCCAAAATGGATATATTGTTCGGAAGTTTCGTAGTTTTCAAACATTCATTCTCAATTTTATTGCTCGAAGTTCAATTACCAGTGTTTCCAGCAAGATATATTTTTGATCAATATTTATATTCCACATATCAAAATGATTTCATGTCGTGGTTCGATTGCTAAAACAGTTCTTGGTGTTTTGAATGCAACATTCATCATGATATCATTGGCTATGATACTTTTGGGACTACAGATGAAAGTACAACAAACAACCGCCAATTCGTTCGCTTACAAAATGACCATGGTCACAAACATGACAATGAACGCTAATCCATACAATAATGATGATGAATCGGTAGCATTCATGGGCATAATGAAATGGGATCGAATGTCCAATTTATTGATAATAATTGGAGCATTCTTAGCTATCGTATCGATATTTGGTTTTTGTGCAGCATTAAGTGAATCATCATTATTTTTAAACATCTATATCTATTTCTTGAGTATCATCACCTGTACAGTATGGATAGCCATTATTTTAATTCTTATGTTCAATGGACCGTTATTTAAATATGGTCGTCATCTGTTTATCGTTCGTATGGAAACGTTTTCCAATCCAACATCAAAGCCGAAAAACGCTGATGATTATGCATTGTTCATACAAAATTTTCAACAAATTTTCCATTGTTGCGGTGTTGAATCACCAAACGATTGGTTGAATCGGACATTCGGAAATATATCCTTGGGTCAGGAAATTTTACCTGCAAGTTGTTGCTCAATTGAACCACAACAACAACAAAGAAAAGATATGTTAATCAAATTGTTTCTTAAAGAAGAAAGCTACAATACTTGTTTCAAAGCTGAACTTGCTCATCATGATGGCTGCTTTTCATCGATTCAAATTGTTCGTTATCGTTTATTTGGACAAATGATTTTGATTGTCATCATTATGTTGTTAGCGCTGTTAGTATCATTAACATGTTGTCTTGAACGTGATAAACGTTTACAATATTCTCGTTTGGTTAATATGCAATATGCTACACATTTATCTGGTTGTCGTCAAGGCCCATATGGACTTGGATATAGTTTTGGCCGTATGCATTGTCCGTTACGAAAATCTTCGGTGGAACCACATGTGGAACGGAATCTAAAGCGGACGATAATGGCTTCGATGGTTGAACCACCGCAATCACAACCACAATTCAAGTCAATGATTTCGAATGTAACGCAGCCACAGGCATCATCAGCGATCGGAGATTGGTTATGATTTTTTATTAAGAATTTTTTGTTTTTAATTAAAAAATGCACTTTGTATTTATATCAAAAAAAATAATATATATTGTATCGCCATCTATTGGCCATATTGATATGTTTGTTGTGTTTCCGGGTTTTTCTTTTACAGTGAAAAATGAGCAAGTAGAAAGCAACATCAAATTGACAAATTGTGATGATGAAAATATGGCGACAAGTTGTTGTCATTCGAAATATTTAATTTGTCCAATCAATTCTAATCATAAAGTAAATTCCAAACGCTACGATGACCATTTGTTGAGATGTAGATTGATGAATCTTGAAAAATTGGATACCACCTCGCAAAACGAATCAGAAATTTCGATTTATTCAAATTATGAAGATCGTTCATCTTCATTGATTGGCGAACAAAATGATCATTCAGATTTAACACATCAGTCGTCATTCACAATCAATCATGATCTGAAATCTGGTGAGCCAACAATTTCTATTGATTGGAAACGATTAGAGCAAGTTGACCGATTTCAATACATTCCCTATAATATATTAATGATGATGACCATTGATCAACGAAAACGTTACAAAGATTGTTTATTTAATTATACAAAACAACACTATTTATATTGATTTACTTGACTGATGATGGACTGGCAAACTTTTTTTTTTTGTATTGTGATTCATATTGTGAATATTTAACCAACAAAAAAATGTGACCATACAGTGGGAAATACCTTTGTTTTTTGTTTGAAATTGTCAAAAAAATCAATATTCAACGGACTATCATCAATTCGATATTTTTGATAAATCATATTGAAAAGAAATTCGAAAATATAATCAATTTATTTATTATCAAAAAATTAAATTTTTAATTAATTTGAATTTTTTTTTGTTCAAGTTCATTTCATAAGAAAAAAAATTTCCATTAAACCAAAAAAAAATCATATCGCTCGAATTGTGATGATTATGATGTGAAGATGATTGTTTCGATGGTATAGCAATTTAAAGTGTTGTCTTTATATTGATCAAGCAAGCGATTTTGCTATAAAAAGCCTCACCATTAAACAATAATCATTGATTATCGCTTTCGTTCTTGCAATGATACAGAATAATGTCTCATTGTAATGGAAATTCCAATAGCCGAATCACCCTGAATGATCGACGACGACGGCAAAAAGGTGAAGAAGAAGCTGATAATAAAGACATGGTTCAACGAAATCGCTACTCTACATCACGATGATCTTATCATATCGACTCGAATTAACCAGTTGATTCATCGACAACGTTCTGATTATCAGAACATTCTTATTTTCCAGAAGTAAGCATTAGATTATTAATTAATTTTTTATAGATGATTATCTTCTTAGTCAGATATTTGGACGATGTTTAGCATTGGATGATGCTATACAATGTACCGAACTTGATGAATGTGCTTATCAGGAAATGATTGCATTTCTACCGATGAACATTCATAGACATCCTAAACGTGTGCTGATTATCGGAGGTGGTGATGGTGGTGTAGCAAGAGAATGTTGTAAACATCCATTAGTTGAACAGGTGGTACAATGTGAAATTGATAAACGAGTAGTTGAAGCTTCTAAACGTTATCTACCATTCATGAGTAAAAGCTTTTCAAATGAGAATAAATTGATAATGAATTTTCAGGATGGTTATGAATATGTTCAACAACATCCATTGGAATTCGATGTCATCATAACGGATTCATGTGATCCAAAAGGACCAGCACAATTATTGTTCGATGCCAAATATTATCAACAATTGTTTCAATGTCTTCGACCAGGCGGTGTGATTTGTTCACAAGCTGAATCGTATTGGTTCGAATTAAAGTTTATTCAATCATTATTCGATAAAGTGGATAAAATATTTCCATCCATTTCCTATGCTACCACTTCGGTCCCGTCATATCCATCCGGTCAGATTGGATTTTTACTTGCATCAAATGAAGCCAACTTTAATTTTGTTGAACCGAAACATCGATTCAATGAACAAGATTGTGAACGATTTGGGCTAAAATATTATTCTGAATCAATGCATAAAGCTAGTTTTGTATTGCCTAGATTCGTACGAAAAGCATTGAATCTGTGAAAGAAAATCGTAATCTACGTAAATAAAAAATTTTATTAATCCAATGAAAATAAAGATCAAAATTTTTTCGATACTTGATTATGATTTAGAATTTTTTCGGTTTCATTTCATTTACCAAATCGTTGCTGACATCGAGAAAATCGTTTTAAAATATACAGAAATTGACTTTTATTCAAATGTCTATGCGTTGTTAGAAAAAAAATTTCCGTTAAACGAATTTGCCATAGTGGAAATGCTTGGAGCGTCCGTTGATCACTATTAAAACATATCAATAAATCTGGATCATCAAGTCGATAGTATTTTCCTTCGTGACGTAAATGTTCACTAATTCGATCAATTGTAATCGGCAATGATGATTGACAAATGTTTCGTGCTGATTCAATCAATGATTGATGTGATGATTTGAGGGAAATTGTCTGCACTTGTATTCCATCTATAGTATTCATCATTTCAGGAAATGTATCACAATAATGATAAATGGTCAATGTTTGGATTGATAAAGTTTGACACCAACAAATAAGCTGACCAATTTTATCCATATCAATTTGTTTCGAATCTTCGAGACCAATACATATTGCTAGATTCACTGGGATACGAGTCAGACATGCTTTTGTCTTAGAATCGATATTTAGCCAATACGATCGTATGTGATGATATAGATAGGTGATATAAATCTCTGTCATTTTTAGTAGCCAGATAAGACCATGCGAAAGAATTAGCATCAAACGGCAAACGAATATTACAATTAAAGGCATTGTTTTGTCTTTATCCATGGTAACTATCGAATCGTTTGATTCAAAATAATGTAGATTTTTTTGGTCCGTTTTGCGTAACGATTGTTGTTGTTAAAAACGAATTATCAAGCTGTTTTAGAGTTACATACAAGAAAAAAAGGAGGAAAAATGACATCTAAAGATTGCTTGCTAGTTGTAATGATCGTCATCATTTTTAAAGCATAAAATTAAAAAAAAAAATTGTGCCTTGAATAATCGACGAAATACAGCTGGCTATCGATATTTTCGTTCATCATCATTATTGTTTTTTTTTGGCCCCATATTAATAAATTGACAACTGTTTATCCAAATCTTTTGTGATTAACTTGATTCAATTTAAATATATAAAATTGTTTCCAATCAAATTAATCAATTTAATAAATTAATTTCATCTTTGTATTTTGTTCATCGTAATATGGCTAAAAAGAAGAGCAAAAGAAAGCCGATGGCAGCGAAAAAACCCATACAACCATTGGATACATTATTTAATTGTCCATTTTGTAATCACGAAAAATCTTGCGAAGTAAAATTGGATCGTCAACGTAACGTTGGTCGTATTAGCTGTCGAATTTGTTTCGAAGATTTTCAATCCAGTATCAATTATCTTTCTGAACCTATTGATGTCTATACTGAATGGATCGATGAATGTGAATCTGTCAATCAATAATCATTCGACATAATATTAAAATACTTGCTAATAAATTACATTGTTTTTTTTCCGCTATCTTTTTTTTTTGATTTCAATGTCATTAATCAGAGAGATTCATTGATTTGTTTTTTTTTAATAAAAAAAATAATTTTTTGGTTTAATTTCAAATCATTTTGATGTCATTTCAATCATCAATTTACGTTACATTACACAATGGTACACAAGTGTCAAAATGAAAAAAATAGATTAAATATAATGTCTGAATATTAATTAATTAATTATAATGACTAACAATTTTGAGCTAAATTTAATGCATCTTTGTGCATAAAATTTCGTAATGCCCATAAAGCGTTTTCAATTGTACCATGATTGGTAACAGGGCCATTTTCTAGCCAATTACTTAAAGCAGCATAATTCTGTTTCGCTGTTGAGTAGACATTTTCTGGTCTTTTTGCTTGTAATTGGCGATCCCATGCCGATATGAATCGGCGATCTGGCTTAAGATTTTCAATGTATCTATTTTGATTAAGTTGAAAAAAAATTAGTCAATTGGACAAGTAAGCTTTACGGGTGTTTTTTACTCACTTCATATATGCTTGACTGTGGACCAAGCGATTAGTTCTTGGTGGTTGAACAAAAAGTGGTTCCGCTGGTTTTGCCTGTATTCCAATACCTAAGAAAAATAGAAACAATCAACAAGTCAGAAAAAATTGATTAATTAAATGGACAAAGTATACATACTTGTCTTCTGTATTGGAGTCGGTACTGATTGGGCAGCGTTTTGAGCAGCTTGTAATTGAATCTGTTGCCCGCTAGCTTGAATCTGAATGGTCGACTGAGGAACGGACTGGACTACGGTCGATTGATGGGGATGATGATGGAGAACACCTTGAATCGTTTGACCGGATTGCGTTGCAATCAATGGATGTTGAGCAATGAATGTTTGTCCAGCTTGTCCAGTAGTCGTCACCAATTGTGCTGTACCATGTGGATGTGTGGTAACAATAGTTTGATTTCCTTGTTGTGTCATAATCGGAATCGTAGATGTGGCCACTTGATGTTGACTTAATGTAAATTGTGGTTGATGTTGAATATTGATCGTTTGGAATGATTGTCCTCCCTGAACAATTGTAGTTGTCGTGCCAGTTTTTGGAATGACGCCCAGTGGTCCGGTTTGCATAATAGAACCTTGACTATTTTGATTGATTATAGCTGCAGCCAATTTTGATGAAGGAACGTAATTCTTTGAACGTTTTTCCGGATCAACATACTTGGGTATCTGTTTGTTGATATGCACCTCTTTGCAATGACGAATCAATCGTTGAACGCTTGGAAAAGGTCTGTAAAGATTCAATGAATTGAAAAAAGAAAGTCGAATTTATTTTTTGATGATACTTACGTAGCTCCTTTTTTGACTCGTCCACAACCATGAAACATACATTGAAATTCGCCTGGTTCTTTGTCCTTTGTATCGGCATATGAAATCCAGACATGTCCATTCGGTTCAGCAGTCAAATGTTCAAAAAGATCTTGAGCATCTTCAAATTGAAAATCACATTTGTTGGCCCAATGACATTCGAACACACAGTTCTCCATTGGTTGGCCAGGTTGTGGAGCCGGCGATGATGGACCCAATGATTCTTGTAATGCTTTCTCAGCAGCTACCATTTCTTTTACTTCGGCATTTTGTTTAGCTGCTCGTTGTTCGTATTCGTTTTTCTGTTCAGGTGTCAACAATTTCCATTGATTACCTATTATACGACTTATGTCACCAAATGAACATTCAGGATTTGCTTCGACAACCGATCGACGAACTTCGGAAGCAAAAATAATGTAACCAGTAACCAAACGTTTAGTAGCCGGCTTCTTTTTACTATTAGTTCCACTGGATGCAATCGGAGTGGCCGTAGTGCTGGCAGAAATTACCGCTGTAGGTGTTACAATTGGTGTGGATACTGGTGTTCCGGTTAAAATCTGGCCGTTGGTTGTCGCGATTGAACTTGGCGTAACATTCATTTGTATGCCAACTGTCATCGGAGTTGTCGATACTGCCATTGCAGCAGCAGCAGCAGGGGAAGGAACTACTGGTGGTGGCATAATACTAGTAGATGGTGTGATGGCAATACCGGTCACTGTATCGTTAGTTGAATCATCATGGATAGATGATAAAAGCGAATCAGAAACAATCAATTGAGCTGGATCAATCGTAGAAGTCATGCTACCTTGCTGTTGAGAGTGTTGTTGTTGCTGAGCAATCAATTTTTGATAAAGTGGATGATTAGGATCTTCGATCACTTGTGGTAATTGATGATTAGCTTTCGTCAGAACTAGTGGCTTACGGAATCGATAAATTTCATCGGCTACGATGGACGGATTTTGGTAAAGAATTTTCTTCAATCCACATTCCGGTAATGGTTCAAATTTTTTCTCATGTTCCAGATAACGAATTTCACAAACATAAACATCCTTTTCCAAAAATTCTGTTGGTCGTTGTGTACAATAATCTGTAGTATCCAACACTGAACAACGTTCACAAATAGACAATAATGGATTCGTATCTTCAATTGAACTAAGAAACACTTCTTGTGGATAGAACGATCCGATAGTGGTGGGCGGCAATTCAGCCTGTTGAACATACCATGGCCCATGAAAGTATGGATTACTATCTTGATCGACCCACATACGATCAATCCGACAAATTAAATTTCGTTCTTGATCGGTGCGAACATAACAACAATCACCGACACGGAATGTACCAGCAGGAATTGTGAATTGTTCATAGAATTGAATTTGAACACCAGGTTCTACAGGACAATCAGCTGGCGATGGACAAAGTACATTTGGTCGTGGAACATCTAGCACAGAACAATCGCTGCCTTCGGCCATCGAAGCCAACATATCATTGTCGGAAATTTCATCTCCAGTTTCAGCAATTCCGGATTTTCCATCACAAACAGTAATATTGGGTCGATTTTTAGCAAAAACAGATGGTACACGAGTCATAGGTAATAAATTGGCTCGCATTATATATGGAGTATTCTGTAGACATGGCCAAATCTTTATCTTTTTGAATGATTTTCCTTTACTCGTATATCGTGATTCACAAACATAAACATCTTTATCATCGATATTTATGGGTTGACAACGGAAATAATCCTTGACAAACATGACACAACATTTACCCATCACTTGTGATAATGGTGTATTAGTGTAGTTGTCACTTTTGAAAACTTCTTTTTCTAAAAATCTTCTCGATGCCAAATGAAATGTCTCTGGTGGCCGATAGAACCAACAACCATGTATCAATGCTTGTCCAGTGTTATCTTTTTTGAAGCTTTCAATATAAACGATATGTGGATCAAGATTTTTATCATGAGGCTCAACGTAGACAAAATCGCCAACTTTAAGCATAAGATCCTGATGAAATACTGCTTCATCTTCGTTGATTGTTTGCATCGGGCCACCAATGCCCATAACACCTAATGAAATAGAACTAGCATTAACTGGATCAATATCTTTATCAGTATCAATAGTCTGGCGATTAGATTCTTCTTCGGACAATTCTTTCGGAACTTTTTCCTGTCTCAATGTTTCAATATGAGCTTGCAAGGCATTTAAATTATAATTCAATGCTCTTGATGACAATAGTTCACCATTACGGCAAAGTTCATTTCGCATTGCAATAAAATGACTTTGTAATTCAATCGAATCTTCAAATGCTTGTGAATCAGTGCGAGAAACTTTACGCGATCTTTCAAATACTTCAAACATATCATGTTGGAAACGATCTAGACGACGATATCGACCCAGATTAAGATTACGTTTAATTATGTCGAAATTCAATGTTTTACTATAATAGTAAATTAGTACATTAGTAATTATGAATAAAAGAAATTCATAAATAAATAAATAAATCAAAAACACTTACAATTCGATGGGATTGGTTTCGGTCAATTCATTGATCGAATCAGAAAAGCAACGACCTTCTTCATCTTGATGTGTGTAAACCGATATGAACAAATTGGTCAATAAATCCTGGACGATAATTTTTACATCTGGTATTCCATTGACTGTGTCGACATTTAAACCGATTTTCGTTTGTAATGCCACTTGTTGTAATGTCAATGCATCTTTGAATATCTGTGAATCAGGTTCATTATATTTACAAGCATTATCCAACATTAAGATTATATCGGACAGTAAATCTTCTACGGTTTCATATACACAATTCTTGATTCGTTGATTAATTTTTTCCAAACATATTGGTTTAGCAATCACTTCATAATAATCAGGAAAATCTGTTCGTGATGGAAGTTTCATAAATATGGCTGATAATTGTCGTCCTCTAGCATCGGTATAACCATGAACAGCATCAAATAATTGTTTCATTTTTAGTTGTATGGCCGATGACGGTCGAACGCGTTCTTTTTTCATTCGTTGTCCATTGGAATCTAATTGACTGATAGTTGCATTTGGTGGTGGTCCAAGTTCTAAAAGTTTTGAATCCATTATCTGTTCAAGACGATCAGCATCCTGATAAATAAGTGATCCATCTTCATTGTATCGACGGCAATTGGAGAACATCAAGCGGAAATCATTGACCAATGATGCTTCTGATTCATAGAGATTATTACGAATTTTGCTTTCAATTGTTTTCATATCAATGGGTCTTTCGATAACGTCATAATAATCAGGATACATTTTCCTGGATGGTTTTTCCATGAATGGATCGATTAACAGACGGCCATTGTCATCGGAATGCAAAACCGTTCGATATAAAGTGATCATTCGAGATTTTTGTTGTGAATTGATGGCTTTTTGGGAACGGCGAACATTTTTCAGCTCTTGTGACATTGCATTTACCATGGATCGTTTCGATGAACGAGAAGGTCTTTGACCAGCTTTACTTTTTTTCGTTGGCGATGGTATCATTGAATTTGAATCACCGTCATCATTATCATCATTTGCAGTATCGGCAACATCTTCATCTTCATCATCATCATCATAATCATCATCATCTTCACCACCTTCATCTTTATATACGGACATGATTTCACGAGCTTTCATTTGTAAAATTTTCTTCAATTTGGCTGCATCTTTATAGATTTTGGAATCAGGTCGATTATAATTCAAAGCATTGTCGAAAACCAATTTCAAATCATCAAGCAAATCGGAAATACGATCATATTGATTTGTTTTGATTCGATTTCTAATTTGTCCCAATGAAATTGGATGTTTAATCTCTTTATAGTAATCAGGATAGATACGTCTCGATGGTAATCGAATGAATGGTTCTGAATGTGGTGTATCATAAACAGCATTATAAAGCATCCAATGTGGATTTGAATCCCTTGTACCATCATCTTGATCATGTTCTGAATCGGAAAAATTCAAATCATTTTCATCAAAATCATCATCACCAGCTGTTGAGGTTCCTTGACCATCTTCATCATATTTTAATGCAGCCGCTATAGTGCTCCATTTATTCTGTTGGCCAAATGGATTCTGACGTTTAGCACGTATTCGTTCGGAAGATTTAGCAGCCGGTGTTGAACGCCTGGTTTCGATTTCCGATCTTTTTTGCTGAACGGTTCTTTTCAATGCATTGGCATCTTTATAAATTTGCGAACCAGGTGCATTATACATTTTAGCATTACGTATCATTAATATTAAATCCTTTTCTAAATCATTCAACGAATTGTATTCATGATTTTGTATACGTGATGCAATCATCTTCAGATCTATTGGTTCGGTTACAATATCATAATAATCCGGATAAGCCGTACGTGATGGTAATAATTCAAACATTGTTGACAATTGTCGACCATCATCACTAACAGCTGACATGATAGCACCAAATAATTCTTCGAATAGATCTTCATCGTCGGCTCCACCACCACCGCTAACACACATGACGCTCAATTGATCGACACCAATGATTGACGATGTTTCGGCTTCGGATTTTTCATCTGCAGAATCGTTTTTCGATTCAGCTGCTACGGATGATGATTCATCAGAACTAGCAGCGCTGGATGAGCCAAAAATTTGATTTTTTAAATCCACATATACATCCCAAAGTTTAATGGCATCTGCATATTCCGTTGTATCAGGTTTGAAGAAAGCTTTCGTATTATTAATTAATAATTTGATATCCGATTCAAATTGTTCCAAATCATCATATTCATCCATACGAATCTTTTGCTGTATACGTAATAAATCGATCGGTGTGGATACTTTTTCATAATATTCAGCCAATGTTCGACGTTTCGGTGCACGCATAAATGTTTCACATAATTGTTTACCTTGTGATGTTTTATAATTACGAAGCGATTCAATCAATTCTTGTAGCTGTTCTGACTGTTTAGAAATTTCAATCAATCAATAAACCATTGACATTATTGAATATGAGAACAGAAATCTAAACTTACCAAATCATATTTTCGACGTTTACCACCGTCGATACCATCATCATATCCTGATTTTTTACGTTTAGGCATCGTTTGTTAAACCTAGCGATAAACATTCAAAAAAAATGTCAATAATTTCAAAAAACGGCGGCAATATATCAGACACACAGACACACAAACAAACACACACAGAAAGGACTGGATCAAACACTTGGTTTTTCGTGTTTCACTTGGCTCTTTCACTTTTAATAAAAGCATACAAAGCATACCACCACCAGCACACTCATTCTTATAGCGCTCACCACAACCATGCATGGTTGGTAGTGTTTGTCTTTACAATATTCGGAACAATGGTAATCCACTCCTTTTTTTCGGTGCATCATTTCTACCCAGACGAACCTATGCTGTCAATATAGTGATGAGAAATTTTGCTTTTTTGAATTTTTTTTTAGAAAAAACATATTTATTTCCGTTATTATAAATGATCAAAGTTGGACAAGCATAATAATAATAAAAAGAAAAACAATTTATCAAAACATGATATTGTTATAGATAGGAAATTATAATCAATAATAAGTTTTTTCGTTCTTAAAATAAGTTTCTTGGTTGTCGTTTTATAATACAAAAAAATGCTAGATTACCGACAGATTAAACCGATATTACTGAAATCGGCGGTAATTGTGGCTGTTGTGATGATGACGGTGGTGGACTACTACCACCACCAGTTGTAGATCCTTCTACAGGTGCTGGTGATGATGCTGTTGCCATAAATGATTGATCACGTTTAGTAATCAAACACCAGATAAGAAAATTGATCAACGTAACCAGAATGATAATGATCAGTAAAGCAAGTAGATAACGAACAACTTTAACAACATTAGATGTACGTTCTGAATCGAAACGGAAAAGATCACCAAGAAATCCACCACCCGTATGAACTTCTACACCATGAAAACCATTCATTGGTTTTGGTTTTGTTGGTCCACCAACATGTGTTGTTTTGTGTCGATCACCATTACCAGGGAATGGAACATCAATATATTCTGGTATCGTGTCACCATCATCGAATGATCCACCGATTTCATGTGTTCGATCAGTATCAAAATCAGAATCGATTGGGAATGTTGGTAATTGTGGCGATGTAGGTTGTTGTGGTTGTGAGGGTGATGTTGGAGGCCAATAATCTTCCTCACGTCCACCGCTGTCTCTTCCATCCGGTGGAATAAAACCGGGCGGTAATGATGAAGTAGGTATTCGTGACATACAATTCATATGTTCATCCGAATAATCACCACAATTATTATGATGATCACAGGCTAAATATTTAGCTATACATCTTTCATTTGTACATTGATATTCGTGTTCACTTTCACATCTAAACATGAATTCTGGTTTAGCTATAAATAAATAAATGGAATAAATTAGATTCAAGATTCAATAAAGTGAAATGATGAAACGAAAAAAAATGTCCAATTATTTACCATCACGAAATGGTGTTAGAATTAGATGAAAACTAAATGGTCCAACATGTAGTTGTTCAAAGACTAGTGTTAAGGCATTTTTTGTTGTCGATATGGTAAATGTACCGATTTCTGGTGGTTGTGAATTTTTCAAACCAATCGCTGGCGAGGATGATGTGGATGTTCGCCGTGAAAAATGTAAAGTTTCCGTAAACCATTCTTTACCACCGGTAATTAGTCCTATTGTAAAAGAAACGTAAAAGTAAGAAACGTAGGAGACAGAGAGAAGTGAATCAATTCTTAACATACCGGTAGCAAGACCTTCAGCATAGATTCGATGGCCATAATCGACAGTAAAACTTAGTAGACAATATGGAACAAATGGTGGTTGTGACTGATGCTTCTGCTGTTGGTGATTATTATTATTCAAATGATTTTCCATAGGATTTGGATATATTCCTGGACGATAAAAACCCATTCGTTGCCGATGTGTTTCATTGAATTGGAAATCCAATATAGATGGCAGCCTAATTTTCAATGATTTTTCCAATCGTATAAGATGCCGACCAGGATAATCGGACCATGTTGTTTCGGTACAATAATCAGCTAGATTATCTATAAAAAAAAATTTGGGCGCAAAAAAAGATTAAAAAAGAATTAAATAACACAGCAGGCGATTCACATCGACAATAGAGACACCTGCAGATATATCTTTGTGATGAAGCAGGTAATCCAACACCTTTCCACTTGAATGACCTTTGACATTTCATTTCAAAATTAGAAAAGTTTTCGTTCCTTTTCAACCACCACCGTATTATCTAAACTATTTAATGAACATATATAAAACTATATAGGTGAGTGTAGGTGGTAAAATGATGGTGGCCTTTTTGCCTCGCCCGAATGACGGACAAAAAAAAATTTTCCAACAAACCAACCAACCAGTCAACTAACCAATCAACTATGTAGTAGGCTTGAATGGTCAATTCAAGTGGAAAAAGAAACAAAATTATAAGCATCAATTGTTTGATGCTTCAACAAAATTACCATCAAGATTTGATGATGATGAGACAAGACAATATTTCTTGCGCACACACATACACTTATTATCAATGATGATATCTACAATTTTTCTATTTTCTTCTTTTTTGTTCAATGCACAGTCACACATAGACACATGCATGTCACATTTCACTTTATAAAAACTGACATCTCTGAACAAATCAGAGTAATCGTCTGGGTAAAATTGGTTAATAATTTTTTCCCTCTGAAAAAAGCTTTCAAATTTAATAATCTCAACTTTTTGTGAATCAATCAATTTTTTATGTGGCAGTGATGATGATGATTGATTCGTTTCTTTATGCAATGCCGATCATCATCATCATCATCATCATCATCATCATCATGATCATCATGATCATTACCTTTATGTATTTTATATCTATATTTAGAGGAAGTGAAGAGAGAGAGAGAATGGAAAATGTATCGTTTCATTCAATGAATCTATTAATAATTTGATCGAGAAAAAAAATGGTTGCCCTTTCTCTCTTTTGAAATCATATCATATCTTTAAATTTAGATTTTGTAATCGATAAATCTTGATGTCTAATCTTCAATAATAATGAAAGATATTCATTAGGAATTTAACCAAATGACCTATGACCGATGTTAAATAATGAGTGGTGGTGATGGTGGTGGCGGCCAAAACAAATTCGATGAAAAGCAATTCATGTTACAAACATAATATATTCACCATCACCACCTCCACCATCATCACATACACACACAGACAGAGAGATAACATTTTTCCATATAAAACAAACAAAAGTTGTGTGTGTGTTTGAATTCAATCAAACAAAACTACTGGATATTTGAAATATTTCTTTCTATATTTAGAGAAACCAAAAGAGATGAAGAGAGAGAAAGCAAAAAAAAATGTTTGTGTTTGTGTGTGTGTGAACCAATAAACACTGGTATAGCCAAAACAAAACATTAGACTCTTCTCCAAAATAGAAAGTAATCAATCACTACGAAAACGGAAGAGAACTTCTTCTTGTGTCATTATATAACACATACAAATACATCATATTCATTCAATTCATTGTTTAAATTAATTTGTTGTGGAATCGTCACATTTCAAGTCACAAATTTTTTTTTACTTACATTCAATATAATTTGGTTGCTGTGATTGTTGTTGATTAACAACAACAGGTTCAGCATGGACTAGTGTTATAGAAAACAAATTGGCTGATAAATATGATGAACGATGAAATGACGATGATGGCCATACGATGGTAATTATAAGGGATACCATCAATGAAATGACCATCCTCATTCTCATCATTAGTTGACCATCATTTAGTGGACGATCATAGTAATGTTGTTGTTGTTGTTGTCTTGGTCGATTTTTCCACCATAATGATGATAACATTATTTTTCTTAGGCATAATAATAATGATGATGATGATTGAATGAATAACAATAATAACGATGATATGACTACAATGAATGTCATGATTAAAATCGAACACAATATTGCCAATGTCCATAATCTTGGAATAACGATGATGATGATGATGGCAAGAGCGACAATAGGAATGCTGAATATTGCTCGTATTGAATTCTGGATCCAAATTTCAAATTTTGAAACAAACAATTCAAATGATAATGACTTAAGGTGTGGCAACTGTTTATTCTTGAAACCGGTAGCAGCAGTAGTGGTAATAATGGCAGTGACCATAGATTGATCGGTCATGATTGTTGTTGTTCTTATTGATCACATTGGTAGATGACACAGAGATAGTTTGACGAAAAATAAGTGGCCATCAACCAATGATCAATCGATGATTGATCAATTCACTAAACCAAATCAAACGATAAACTTGTTTGATATGATGGTTTACATGGTGAGAAAAATGTTTTACTACCAAAAGGTTCGTTTCATTTCAATTCAATGATATCACAAAACTATAAGGGGTCATAGGCCGGAACAACAACAAGTTGAATTACAAGGGATATGAATAAAACGAATTAATGAATGATGATGGTTGACTGGTGGTGAAATGTCAACCAGTAATGCGACCAAAACAGAAGTTTATTCAGTTGTGTGTATGTGTGTGTATTGAATTTGAATTTGACGATTTTCGGTTTTTTCAATGTGATGATGAGCGCCAATCCGAATCAAACCAAATGAGAGAACGTAGTAGAATTGGTTGATGATGCCATCCCATTTTATTTTATTTGTCATTCATTATCTGTATACGGATTCGGATCGGTTCATTGTTATTATTAGAGGAAGAACAAATGAGATTCATTTAAAATTCAGAACATTTGCAAACTTCATCGAGATGCCACATTATATCTGTTATGATTTTGTTGTTGTTCATTTAGAGTATGGGCGCGTGTTGACATGTGAATGCCAAATACATTGGGCAACCAACCAACCAACGAACAAACTAACCAAGCAGTCAACATGTCGAACATTTTGATGATGTATAGCTTATATATGGATAAAGATGTGTGGCCTAATTATATTCCACGATTTTAGTTTGATAAATGATGAATGTTTTCGCTGTTGTCGTCGTCGTCGTTGTTGTTGTTGTTGTTGTTGCTGTTGTTGTTCGTGCCTAAATCAACAAAACAAAACCACAAAACAGACGAACATAGAACACCATCATCATCGTGATAATATATTGATGGAATAAACTTCCAGGGCGCCAATTGACTAGAATTTATCTATCCATGATTATAAATCTGGGCTTAGATGACAATATACGGGAAAAAGTGACGATGATGTGAACACAGTAACCATTCAACGGTAAATGGATAGTATGTTTGTTGGTTGGTTGGTCGATTGGCGACCGACCGACCATTCAACCAGCCAACAACCACAATCTATCCTCCAAGTCTTTTTCATTTTTTGTGCTCTCTCACCTCTCTTTTTTTTCTATCACTCCATGAAGTATGTGTCTAAGTTTTATTCATTCTTCTCAACTATCTGGCGAAACGAATTTAGGAAAAAAAGATTCGCTTGGTTGCTATACTCAAGCAATGAAAAAAAGGCCATATGATATATAAGTCTTGCTGTTGATGAAGATCTTTTTGTTCGATGCGCCTAGTTGAAGCCAGTGATGATCATCATGCTGAGTGGTGGTGGTGGTGGACTCTTTTCTTTTGGATAAATTTAAAAAAAGTGAACAATGTCCAAATTATACACTGAATCCCACCTAAAATAATAAGAACAGCTTAAACATGAATGACTACTAAGTGATGAAGAAATAAGAAACTTACATGGTTAGCAAACATATGCTTTGAATGTCGGTCATCAGGTATTTTGAAAAAGAGAAGCAAGAACAATGTACAACAATTTTTTTTATAAAAAGGAAGCGACATCTCAAAAAAACGGATTCGATTTTTTCTCTTGATTTTTTCCGCTTAAAAAAACAATGTATTGTTATCATATACAGATATATGGAATCGGATGCAACAGGTAGATAAACAATCGATTATGGCGCCCTCTATCAATCAAGGAATTGCAACTATTTTTGAAGCATTTTTTAATTATCCAAATTGTTTGATCGATTAATGGTTTCTTTTTGATGGTGGTGGTGCTGGTGGTATTGGTGATGGCTATTTTATATTGTTGACGTGATGATGATTGTTTTGTTTTTTGTTTTATTTGTTCAAATGTGAATCCACTTATTTTCTTTTCAGTTTTTCTATAGTTTGGCCAGTCAAATAATTATGCTTGCTATGCTTCGTTAAGCAATTAGAATATATGAATGGTATGTGTGTGTGTGTGTTTACAATAAGAACCCCTTCCAAGTGTATGTTGTTGAACCTAATAAAGGGCAAAGAACAAAGGTTAAGGTCATCATCGTCATCATTATATATAGAAGTAGATAAACTCGTTCAATTGAATAAATGGCTACTGGCATTACATACGCACAATTTTTCATATAAAATGGATGAAATGAACTTGTCGTTATAGTGGATAATTATGATCATAACCGAAAGCATATATGTAATTAAAGATAGGCTTGAATTGGCATCTATAGTGATAATAACAATGCTGTTGATGTTGATGAATTGGGAATCACCTGTTAGAATGATGATGAAATGAGAAAAACAAATGAATTGAATTGGTGAAAAAGGCGAGGACAACAATAACGAAAACTTTAGATTTCCGACACATTACACAAAAAAAGAATAGGAAACAGAATTCAAATTGAAATTTTTTTTTTATTATTGTTTTTCATAGTCAAAAATTTTTATAAAAAAGCAAAAACAAAAGAAAAGAGAGTCCAATTACATATATATATAGATAGCGAGGATATGAATTTTCAAAAAAAAAAAATGAAATTATAAAATAAAAGTGATTATTAATTAGATGAATTTTTTAGATGTAAAAAAAAATTGATTGTAAATCTATATAGTTGAACAAACAAACATGTGAAATGGTCAATTTCGATGTATTGAGATTTACATACATTTTTTGTGTATTGCCGGTATCAGAAAATGGAGAAAACATTTCAATAAGGAACTTTTTTGTTGTTGTTGTTGTTTACTTGTTTGTTTCCATTTAGAAATGTCTTTTTGATTGTCTTGATTTGTTCATTGAAAAGATATTTATATTAATTATTATTATAAATTAAATGCCATTTGTAGCTACATTTAAATTTTCTTTCGAATCAACAGTTGAACCAATATGATTGGATGTCGATGATGATGATGTCGTAGTACTTTGTTGACTAAGATTTGAATATGAAACAGTTGAAATTAATTTAGAATTTAAATGATCATTTTCTGGTGGTGGAACGGATTTTGATTCGTTTGTTGCCAATGTTGTAGATTTGGCATTAACATTGATCATTTGTAATGGATCATTCATTGGTTTGTCATTCTTCTGTGGTTGTTGATTGTTTGATGTTGATGACGATGATGATGATGATGATGATGAAGGGGATATATTATTTTGTTTGGATGCTGCCACAGATATTGGTGTTTGATTATTGGCAGACTTTCGAATATTACGACGAGATAATTGTGATCCAATACTTGAACCAGCTTTTTGAATTTCTAATTCATCCAATCCAGATCCAGGTGTGGATCGTTTTTGTTGTTGCGGACCACAACATGTACTTTGTACACAACTTCCACGACCTAATTGACCGGGCGGACAATCCAGCGCACAGTTGGCATCATTGATCCAACGATATTTAAGCTGTACATCTGGATTGCCAGCATTTAGTAATCCAGATGACCAACCAACACCTTCATCAGAACCTGGGCCATTATGATCTAAAGAACTTTCCATCGTATCATCTGGTTCAACAAATTCCGGTTGAATCGTAGTTGAATGAATTCCTTCATTGTGGAAAAATTCTTTCACACGTTCAGCAATTTGCATATAGTCATGTAGATTACGGCAACGTATATGTGCCGATGCAATAATACGATCGCCAGCCAATTGCCAAACATGAAATTCATGAACGGCCAATACTCCATCAATTTCTTGCAATAGTTTTCGTTGTAATGAATCAATTTGAATATGTGTGGGTACAGTTTGTAACAAAATCAATGCCGAATCAATCACTATAGAATAAAAAAAATTCAAAAAAAGTTTTGCATGATTTAAAAAAAATGCTTACAAAGTGGAAATGTACTATGACCAATGATAATGATCATTATCATGGATAATGCTGGATCCACGTAAATATTATATTCCCATTCAGTGTATTGAACAATCAAGGCACTGATTATCACAATGATTGATCCAAGTGCATCGGCCAAAACGTGTAGAAAAACACCACGCATATTCATATTACGAGCTGAATGATTTTGAATTTTTTTTGTTTTTGTTTTGGTTTGCTGACCACCAATGTCACCATTTTGTATCTGTGATGCATTGACAGTGACTATATCTTCTTGTTGTGGCACATGTGTATGACCACCATGACTGTGTCCATGTTCTGATTTGAAAATAATTAACTCATTAGTATACTATATAGTTTATCATCATCACTTACCATGAAACAATAATAAGCCAATTAGATTAACACATAATCCAATAATGCCAACCACCAATATCAAAATTGGATTGTGTAATTTTTCTGGATCAACAATACGTTTTAATGATTCAATCAATATGGAAAAACATAGTGCAACTAAAAATACGGCATTGATCAATGCACCCAATACTTCGGCACGAGCCCAACCAAATGTATTTTTTGACCACTTTTTTGGTGACATCTAAATAATAATAAAAAGAATTAAATCGTCAAATTCGATAAAATTAGTTTTATTACTTACCCTCACAGATACATAGGCAATGACTAGAGCAACAACATCGGAAAGCATATGAAAACTGTCGGCAATTAATGCAGTTGAATTGGTTAAATAACCAACAATTATTTCAACCAAAAAAAAGAAAAACGTCAAACACAACATTGACAAAAGTCGGCATTTAGGACTATGAAATAGACCCATTTTCAAACAAAGAAAAAATGATGAAGATGATTAGAATTTTAAAAAATCCGGGTAGTTTTCCTTTTTCTGAATATTGAAATATGGAAAAAATAAAAATTAAATCAGAAAAATGATCAGAATTTAGATACAATTATTATCGCCATCATTTTCGATCAATTGATGATTTGTTTTGTTAGCAAAAATGTGTGTGTAGTTACGATTGAATCGAATCGAAGCCAATGGCTGAACTTTGGACACAAAACAATTAATTTATCTTATTCAATCGAAATGAATATTTGAGATGCAGGCAGACGCCTTTATGTATTGGTGTGTCTGTCTTGTTGTTATGTGATGTGATGATGTGACAGAAAACAAAAAAAAAATTACATGATGAATATGGACATTAGAAAAAATTGTTTTTTTATTGCCATTGTTATCTTAATTTCATCATCACTATTTAATAAAAAATTTATTGTTCAAAAATTTGGAACGTCTTTTTTGCAAATTTGATTTGATAATAATTTCACATTAATATATAATGATGATGATGAATAAATGATGATGAATATGGACATTAGAAAAAATTGTTTTTTTATTGCCATTGTTATCTTAATTTCATCATCACTATTTAATAAAAAATTTATTGTTCAAAAATTTGGAACGTCTTTTTTGCAAATTTGATTTGATAATAATTTCACATTAATATATAATGATGATGATGATATAATTTAGGTTATCTACCATATTATGATCATTGGAAAAATTTTGTTATGTATCACTTACATTTTAAATTGGAAACAAATATTTATTGTTGATGTCTCAAAAAACAATAAAATTCACAAGATATCGATGTATATTGCACACACATACAAATAATCGATTGTTAAATGTTTTGTCGAATTGTTCTCGTTGTGTTATAAATATCTATGATGATGATCGAATGGATAGCAAAAAAAAAAAATGACAAAATCAGTCTCTTGTTGCTGCTTGTATCCAAAACACACATGCACAAAAAATGAATGATTCATACAATTAATGTTGCCATGTTTTTTAAATGGACAAATTTTTTTCCATTTCTGGAACAGTGTTTTTGGCAAAACAAAGATTTCAAATTACACGCAAACACACACACACACATTGAGAAATATGAATCACTCCAGAAAAAAGAAATTCTTCATTAAACTTCGTCGTAGACACACACACACACACAAACACAATGGCAGTGATGATGATTCTTTGAAATTCTGTTTTCTATTTCTTTAATGATGAATAGAATAATGATATGCTCATTTCATTTTTTTAGTTTGGTTTCGTCGGTTTTTTTTTTTTTTTTGGTTCAATAACATATTCATGTTCATTCGGTGCGGCAACTTTTCTATATTCAGTTCTATGTTCAATGTCTGGCTCTTTCTTATGAGCATGATTTACAGTCGCATTGTGAATATTTCAACGAATGTGTTCATGTGTGTGTGTGTAGCCACTACATTTATATCGTGGACACAATAATCAGCTGATGATTCACTCGACAATTCGGACATATATTTTTCAGGGCGTCATGCGCGAACATCTTTTGATTTGGTTTAGTTTACAATGATATGATATGATATATCTATTTATAATCGGAACTTATACTTTCCTGTTTTTTTTATCAATCGATCGATTCACTGATTGATATAAGATCCCCATAAATCGAATAGTTGGTTGGTCAACGTTTAAATAGTTCAATCTTTTTTTTATTGATCGACATGATATAGGATTTCAACATTTCAAACAATTTTTTAAATTTTCATTGATTTATTGATGATATCATTTATATGTGATGATTGATTGATAAATGATTGTATAGGACGAAATAAAATAAAATAATAATAAATAAACTAAAACAACAACAAAAACAAAAGGAAAAAATGAAATTTGTGATTGCAAAATGTCAAAAAAAAAGATAGATAAATAAGATAAACTCATAATTAGAATGTTTCATTTTCCAATGGACATTGTTCCGTGTCATGACCAAATCTTTCACATTGCATACAATATGCACGTTGTTGTGTACGATCCACTGCATTATAAGTATGACCTGGTTCTTGTCCAACAACCATATTACCACCGTTTACCATCATGTTGGATGATTGTTGTGGACAATCTTCCGTTTCGTGAGAATCAAATATTTCACAAATATCACAATATTTTCGAACAGTTCGTATATGGCCATTTGTTAAGCCATTACTATTGCTACTACTACGGGTAGTTTGCACTTGTGTTTGAAACGAATTCTCAAATTCTCCAAGACCTAAAAGGACACAGGAAAAAGAAAATTCTGTAAGCAATCTAAAAAAAGATGCACGTATAGCAAACTCACCAATTTCTTCCAAAACTTGTACACGATTACGAAGTTCATCATTTTTCTTTTGCATATCAACAATTACTGAATTAAGGAAATCAATTTGTTGCTCAAACGAAGCTTCTTCTCCACCGGTGGAATTTGTACGCGTTCTTCGGTCCAATTCCTGTTGCTGTATGACCAATTCATGTTGTTCACGTACCCGAGCTTCCAATTGATCCAATTTAGCTGCCATCATTCTCTTTTCCACTTCAGCTTGTCGACGAAATTCTTCTAAAGCTAACTGTTGTTGTGATTCAAGATGTTCCAACTGTTGTTGTTGTTGTTCAGCTCTAGATTCAGCATCAATTGCTCGATTGGTCATTTGTTTACATTCAAATTCAAATCCATCCAACACTTGTTGATGTCGTTGTTTCATTCCTACACAATGGATTTGAATCGAAAGAATTAATTTAAGAGATGAAAATCCAATACTTTTTTAACAGTGAAAGGAGAATTTTATTCTCGATACCAACACAGAAGGGTTAGTTGTTTTGTTTTATAAATTAAGAAAGAATTAGAAAAAAATTGAAAAAATTTGCGAAAACAATTTAGTTATCGACCAATAGACAGTAATAATAATGGCGACAATCAACAAGGCGACGATAGCTGCTGGAGCTGATAATCCATGATCGTCGGTCGCCGTTTCAATTGGCACTTGTCGATCCATTTGTCGAGCGGGTTGATTTTTGATTATCGAATCACTCTGACGTTTTTCTTCTGGAACAACATCGGAACATTTATTGTTGTTGTTGTTGATAGCCGCAGTAGTAGCAAAAGCACCATTATCATTATGTTTTTCTGCATAAAAAATAAGTATACCAAATCACTAGGTTTTTTTTCGAAAAAAGAATTGACGGTTGATTAATTGGTCGGTTATTTATACAACTACGGGTTTGTAAATTAATCAAAAAAAGATAATGGAAAAATAACGAAACTAAAACCAAAAAAAATTGATACATGCTCGTGCATGTTGTTCATGCTCATGACAACTATTACAATGGGGTTTTGTATCGGCATCCAGAGAGAGAGAGAGAGATAGAGCCAGAGTGAATCAAATAATCAAAAATCAACCAAACTCGATTGAAGAACAAACAAACAAACAAAACAAAAATATAAAACGTTAATGAAATGAAAAAAATGAGAAAAACCCAACAGAAAATGGAAAAATGAATATTCTGTTTTTTTGTGAAAAAAAAACAAACCTTCAATATCTTCTTGTAGTTCACGAACTTTTGATGCTAAAGATGCATTTTCACCACGAAGTAATCGGTTCTCATCATCCAATGTTTGACATTTTCGATTCGATCCATCTAGATCGGTGCGAAGCGATGAGATAATAGTAGAATTTTGTCGTTGAGAATCAAATTGATTCTCGACACGTGTTCGATAATCATCAAATTGGCGTGATGATTCAACCAATTGTTCATCAAGTCTTTCGATTTTTAACTGATGTTCGCAACATGAACGTTCTAAACGTTCGATTTCATTACGATAACCATCACGTTCATTTTCAATTTCGATCAAAACATTCTTTAATCGAGATAATTCATCATTTAACGAAACAATTTTCTGTCTTGATTCGGCCAATTCTTTTTGTGATTTCATAAATTGGCTTTCTAATTCATCTATCAAAAAGTATGAAAACATTAAATATGGAAAATTTAAAAAATTTCTTCAAAAACAACCTTTCAATGAACCTTGCTGCCTATCAGCTTGTTGCATTTGATCTTTCAATTGTTTGAGCTGCATTTTAAGATCATCTACAAGACGCTGTTTTTGTTCATTATCACTTCGCGTTAGTTTTAATTCATTTAAATTAGCTTGAATCAATTTCTCTACATCAGATTCTTTTGTTTCGAATCGTGTGAGCAATGATTTTTGATTTTCAATTTCAACCTTTAATCAAAAAGAAAAAAAATCAGTATTCAATACAAATACGACCAGTATATATAGACTTACTTTTAAATTTCTAATTTCAATTTCACGTTCTTGATTTTCTCTGTGCAATGATTCAATTTCGGAGCGTAATTCTGATTCTTTTTTCGATGTTTGTTGTTGTCGTTGAACAAGTTCTTCATTCAATCGTGACAACATATCCGACGATGAACCACTTTTGTGTACAAGCTCATCGATTTTCAATTGTAACGATTGATTATGACCATTTAATTGTTGGATCTTTTCTTCCGCTGTTTTACGACGACGACATTCTTCTTCATACGTTCGACGTAAATCACGAAGCTGATCGGCTAATGAATTGACTTGACCTTTAATCGAGAGTGAGAAAAAAAAATTTTAATAATCCATAAATCCAAATCACAGGTTTAAAAACTTACTTTCAAATTTTTCATAACGACTTTTTGTCTCAATTAATTTCTCTTCCAAAAATCTTTCTTGACGAGTCTTTTTCTCTAGATCAGCTTCGAGAAAAGTGATTTTAGCAGTAGTAGCTTGTTCGTTACTATCTTTGACTTGTTTCACTTCTTCAATCAATTTTTCTTCCATTGCAAACATTTTTGTTTCATAATTTTTAATATCATCAAGAAGATTATCTCGTTCTTGTCGTATTAGGCGACAATCATTTTCCAGTCGTTGTAGACGTTATTCAATTCATCCACAGTTTCTTGTAATCGTTGTGAACGTGGGTGAATCTTTTCCAATTCCATTTCTACTTCACGTAAACGTGCACGTAAACTTTCCATTTCGGTTTTACGTTTTTCAGCTGATGCTTCAAGCTGAAATATTGTCTCCTCTTTGCGGGTGATTTCCTCTTGTAAAGCAAATATTTCATTCTCTTTATCATCAACTTTATCTTCCAAGCTTTTTTGTCGTCGTTGGAATTCTTCTAGTAAGCTATCATACACCATTTTCGGAGTATCAATGTTTGAGATTTTTCGAGATGAATCCGAAACATTTGCATGTTTTAAATTTTCAATATCTTTTTTCAATGTTTCAACAGTAGATTCTAGGTCTAATTTCGCAAGCGATTCTTCTTCCAAACGAAATTGTATATCCTCCAAACGTCTACGTTCCTCTTCCAATTGATTCGATAATTTTAGCTGCACTTCTTCATATTCTTGATTCAATCGTTTTAATTCAGACATCTCTTCATCAGCTTCGGTAGCAATACGTGCATTTTCTGCCTGTAATGTAGCTATACGTTCTTCAAGTTCATCTGCTTGCAATGCAACACGTGAAAATTCACCACGTTCCAAATCTCTTTCTTTCAATAATTGAGCAATGTGTTCATCTTTTTCTTTCAAAGCTTCCAAAATAGCTGCACCAGTACCGGCAACAACTGCAGCTGTTGTAGATTTTGATGATGATGATGATCCAATGCCTGCGCCGTTTGTTGATGGTGGTGATTTCAATGAAGTGACGCCTAATCGTATACCGGTACGGCTAAGACGACCAGTGGCTGTTGATGAAGCAACAGACGATGCAATCGAACTAACCGATTCTTGACTACCACAGCGAGATAAACGTGATGTAGAACCAATTTTCGATCCAGTAGATCCTGATACTTTTCGTTTCGACTGCAAATCATTCGATTTGTTCAGGGCACTTAATGGAGCAGCGGAAATTTTATGTAATGGAGCAAATAATCCATATTTCATTTTACATTCAAAATATCGTTTACCGGCAACCGATCCATCATTTTTACCAAGTGGGTCATCCAATTCGATACCAGCCCATTGTCCGACAGCAAAATCTGTTTCACCTAAGAAACGTAAAGTTCCGAGTTTTGTTCCCGAACTTGCATTCACTAATACACGATCACCGATAGAAAGACCATGAATACGAGCTGGTTTTCCATTCACGGATGATACAGCTGAATGTTGAAGGAATGGTGAATTCTTCAACAAGAGGCTTGTATTTGAAGCAATATCCGAATGAGTGTTTGATGATTTCTCTGATGCTGTATCATTGTTGTTGTTGTTGGTTCCATTCTGTATCATTGTTCCGTTGTTATTTGTTTCACGTGCTGGAGAGGTTAATCGTCTACAGACGTGGAACAAAGAAATAATTTATTTTTTAAAATGACTCGATTCGAGTTTTAAAAAAAAACTTACTTTTGAAAAACCGATTCAGGCATCGGTGCTTTGGTAAGCCGTTGTGCCTTCACAAATACACCACAATTGTTTGGACAGGAAAAATACCTGACACCGGATACAGATCCATCATTTTTACCATCCGGTGATGTTAACTGAACACCAATCCATTTGCCCGAAGCAAATTTAGTATCACCAATAAAACGAATAATACCCGGACGAGAGCCATTGACCCAGACTTTTTCTTCCAAATGAAAATCATCTATTAATGAATCATCACCAAGCGTATTTCCCGATAACGATGATTTTGCCTTTGGAATCGATGAACGAATTTTCGTCGTAGAAGTAGAACTTGCATTTGATGAAATACTTTCATTACTGCCTAGCTGCTGCTGTTGTTGTTTTGATTGTGATTTCAATTTCATTAGGCCACCCGAACTTGCCGATGATGGAATTCGGCTTATTGTCGTTGACTTATTGCTTGTCGTCGACATTTTAATGATTTTGATTATCAAATCGATAAAATGGAATAATGATTATCTATACAAAAAATGAAAATAAACAATAAGATAAATCATTAGCAATGAGACACAAACAGAGAAAAAATCAATTTTGCCCAATATCACGTAGTTGCTGCTGTGTTTGTTTTAGGAGTTCATTCAACACACACACACCACAGTTATGAAATTGAATTTTCACACCCACTTGGGCATTATCATCATCAGTTTCATGCCATCAAAGGTAATAAATAAATTCCAATTTATATGCATTGATGATGATGATGTTTATAACACACAAAACAAGAGAGAGATTTTCCATGTGGAAAGATATCACGTTTCATTTTTTCTGAATCCTGGCTGTCTATTCATTCATTCATTCATCGATTATGATGATGATGAATACGTGTCAAACTAGACGATGAAATGAAATGATACACAAACACACACAATACATGCAAAGAGAGAATAAAAATTGGAAAAAATTGATCAATTTTGTGATGCATGATCAAATGAGTCGATCGATTGGTCAGTGAGTCAGATAGATATAGCAAAACAAACACTAATCAAAATACAAAAGGGGACAATTTTGTAAGGCGTAAGTTTGAGGGGAAAGAACTTGCAAAAATTTTGGTGTTAGTTTGAAAATAAAATTTTCACTTTCGATGTACATTTCTCACCCTCAAATGAGGAGGTTTATTTTCTCTGTGTGGTGGGATCGATGGTTGAATATAACATTTTTTTTTGTTTTGTTTTGAAATAAAAACGATTTTTATATAAAAAATAAAAAAAAAATAGATAATCATCAAACAGAATAACAAAAACAGTGAAAAAAATCGACAAAATCCAATGGATTGGTAATAATCGATTGGCAAAACAAAATTCTTGGAGATCGGAAAACAAGAATTTCGAAACCAAAGTAAAGAAAATTTTTTCTTCTTTTTTCAGGCTGAAAAATTCGAATGACTATTATAAAATAATCGAACTAGATTGTTGTTGCTGTTGTGATTGTTAGCTTGATGGAAAAAATAATGAAGACAATTCAATCCACATCGTGCAAATTCCAATTGTGATTGTACAATATCATCACTATAGTATTGTGGAAAATCAATATAATCAAATAGACAGCCAACTAAACAACGACAATATGATTGTAGTTTGGCCATTGACGATTGTAGTCGTTGACCATTATTATTTGGTCGTTTCATGAAGAATAAAGATTTTCGACCATTCGATTCAGATAACAATAGTTGACATGCACTTGATTCAATTAGATTCATTCCATAGTCATTATTACGCAAATCGAAATCCATTTCATGTTTACCATCCAGAATTTGAATGAAAGAATCATCAACAGCAGCAGATGATGATGGAGATAAAGATGCACCTAATGATGTGCTTGACCAACTGCACATTATCATCGATAATAATCCAATAAAGATCCAATAAAATCGATTAAAAGCCATTATTATGAATGTTTAATTGTTTGTTTGTTTAAGTAAACAACATAAAAAAATTTAAAAAAAATCAAATCACGCTTTAAGCATGTGAAGTGACCAGTGACAAATTCAAGAGGCAGCAGCAGCAACAACAATATTCATAAACTATGTTACGGTTTGAAAAAAAAACAAAGTTCAACACAAACACCAACAACGACAATAATAATTTTTGATTTGATGATACATGTATGTGACTTTTTTGCTTAATAAAATTCAATTCAATTGAAAAAAACCTTGATTCATGTTTTTTTATGCAAAAAAAAATGAAATTGAATTTGCTCATCTATTTTTGTTTTTTCTATCCAATTCTTCATTACCCAGAAGCAAGAATCGTGCGCGCGGAAATTTTTTTTCAATTTATTCACCAAAATTCGTGTGTGTGGATGCTAAAATTATTCCTATGATGACGATAATGGCCAAAGAAAACATCTAACCAAATACAAGTGCAAGAGAGAAAGAAAGCGAAACCTGTAACGTAGATTGTCCAATTGGCTATTTGGCTAAAAAAAAAATTTAATTTGATGAAATCATCAACTAACAACGCACAAGAATATAGAGATAATCAGATTTGTTTTTTTTTGTCATTCAAAAACATACTATGTATCTATTCTTGAAGAAAAAAACAACAAAACTTTACCCAAAAAAGAGGAGATTCGATGTTATATCTTGACTCACCACCACTCTCACTCTCTCTATCTTTCAGTCAGGTCTATTGTTTTCCACTCACTCACTAACTCATTCTTACAATCATCTTTTGCATTCTAATATCGCTCTCTCAATCAACATGATGAGCAATCGTGACTTGAATTTTTGTTTTGGTTTTCTTTTTCTTTATATATGCAGAATATAATTTCTTTGTCACTAAAAAAAGAAAATAACAAGAATGTGATTCAAGTACGTGAAATAAAAATATTGTCATCAAAGAAACGAAAAAAAAGTTGCGATTTGGAATCTTTTTCTTTGAAAAAAATTCCCTTCAAGGTACGACATATATGACTATAGACAAACAACAAGAATGGCTTGGTCAGAAATCAGGAAGAATAAATTTTTCAAATTCTCGATTAATGTGAGGATGATGGTGATATTATGTGGAGCAGAAAAAAATTTTCGACGGTGAAGCCAACATTTTTTCCGTTCGAGGAAAGAGGCTGGGTAGCAAGTAAAGCCAAATATTTCAACCATGGACCACCCTCTGTCATTGGTGGTGGTTAATGATGATGATGATGATGGAATTTTTATTTTATTTACTACTAAAATAATATACCTATCTTCAGGAAAATTCCAACAATACAATGCTACTGCTCATCATCATCATTTTCTTAGTTTCATTATTCGATGATGATAAACAAACTTGATGAAACAATGATAATAAATAAATATTACAAAATGACGACGACCATCATCAATCATAATCAATCAAAACAACAACAACAATATAGTGTGCGAAGAAAGAAAAATCGAATGAATCGCGTACCGAATACCAAATTATCATCATTTCATTGTTTGTTCACACACACAAATACAACCTTATGATTTGAGGAAAACCACAAAACTAAATTATCATTATTATCATCATTGATAGATGAGAAATAAAAACTGTGAAAGAAATCATACTCAAATGGATTTTCAAACAGCCAACAACCCACCAAACCGATGGTGGTGAAATATCGTTTTTTTTTAATTTTCAAACAAATTTCTTAAATTTTTTTTCTCCAGAGGTATGAATATAAATTAGGATAACTCATCATCATCAACTGCATCGTGTGAAAATGGAATGATGAAGCACATTTTTTTTTGTTGTTTCATGTTTTCAAAAAGGAAAAAATAAAGTAAAATTGCAAAAAAAACGATAGATTGTTTTTCTGCAAAATCACCTTTTTTTGGTTGTCCGTACGATGGATCGACGAGTTTTTTTTTGAAAATTGATGATACCAATCAGCTACATACATTGGAATTGTATACATACAATTTCAAATTGATATTGATATTGATATGAAAATGGCATTTTTTTCCTAAGAGAATCACAATCTTATCAATCGATTGAGTAATCAGATAGAAAAGTGGAAAGAGATTCTGGAATTTTTTCACTAGATTCTAATATAAAATGACCATAAATAAATGAATTATTCGTAAAAAACTGCAATAAAATTGAAAATTGATTTTTTTTTGGAAATTTTCTTTTCGGTAGGTTAGGTTATAATAGGTAATACTTTTTTTATTGAATTTAATTCCATTAATATTTTACCTAAGAGACCTTGGTTATTACAAAAAACACAGGCACTTTTCAGTTTTTTTATTGTTTTATTCGAAATTCAAAAATTCTTCAAATGAGATATCGAAGATAAAGAATGAGAAGAAGCTGGAAATTCATAGACTGAAAAAAAATCATTATACCATGATACAGGGACTGTTTTTTGTTGTCGTTGATGATGATGGAGATTTTGTTCCTATCGCAATTCTTGGCAAATCGATTCTATTCATCGTGAATGAAAAAAAAAACAAACAAACAATACACACTCTTTTTCATTCTTTCAAAGCTGTAAAAGGTATTGAAATTATGTCCTGTCATGTTTTTTCTTGTATAAATGTTACATTTTGTCATTATTACCTTTGTCTGTGTGCAAGCATGTTTTGTATGTATTAGATAATGTTTTACCTGGTACCATTTTCAAGTTTGACATATATTAGATAATAATCATAATCATTAGATTCGTAATACATAAACTGGTTAAACATCATTCTTATTTCAGAATACAAATTTAAATGGTCCTGTGTGAAATCTGGCAATGAATAAACCATTCAAAAAAGCAGAATTTTTTAGCATAAGAAAACTAAAACAAAATACAATAATGATGGCCATTATCACTATATATTATGTTATAAGCAACACAATGATTTACAAGGAATCCATATTTGGCTTTTAAAAAAAACAACATCTCATTTTGAAAATGTCATCTGTCAACTAATATAAACTAAATCCTGTTTTGTGGTTTTTGATACAAAAAGACAAAATTGTTTTCCCAAGTCTATCAATCAAAAATCACAACACTCGACATGTTTATTTCATTTTTTTTATAACGGAAAAACTGCAAGAAAAAATGTAAATTCAAATAAAATGAAATTGTTCACTTTGATAAGATGATGATGTGCTAACTATTTTACTGAAAGATCACGCATCATCATCATGTGATTATTTGCGACAGGTGATTTGTGCACACACACACACACATTTCACTTACAATTACGTCATAATGGTGTGTGTGTGTGCAAGCATATGAATCAAAATGGATTAGCCAAACACAATACACAAAATACAAAACATACACACCTGATCAATCGATTAGATCCGTGTAGGTGATTGAGAATTGATATGACCAAACAAATATTGTTATGGCTTCAATGAATCAAACAGAAACATAAGATTCAGCTGTCTTTTGCCATATATATCGATCATTGATCGATTGATACAAGGTCATATATAGTAGTAGTAGTCGTTGTTTTTGATTAAAAATAGATGTTTTGTTTTGTTCACTTTTTTGGTTTAGATATATTTTTTCTAAAAATTCATTCATTTGACGCCTACACGTGAGTCATACATACATTTTTAAAATGTGGAATCCGACCACAAAAAAATAATGGCCAAATACAATTTAGACATACAATTTCACTGTGTATTTGTGATGCGGAATTGATGATCAAAAAAAATTAACCAAAATTAAATGTTAAAAAACAACAACAACCAAGCCCTTTCCATTTTGATCATCATCATATTGTTCTCAGGAATATAGTTTACTCACACACGCATTGAACATTATTATTAATAATTTAATCTTTAAAATGTTTTTAGCCAGCAGTATGTGCTGCAAGTATTTGACACCTTAAATTTGGCAGAAAAAAAAAAAAAATTCTGAGAGCATCGAACTTTATTTATGAGTGAAAAAATGGCATGTTTTTGCGTGTGCGTGCAAAAAGGTGAAAAATTCATCAAAAAACAACAACAATTTCTATTTCTACATTTTTAATAATAATATTGATGATGGACATTGTGGCAAATTGAATTTGTATGTGGACAAATACGGCCATGTTTATATGATGAATGATGATTATAAAGGCAAATGTTCAACCATGTTTGGTCACACAAAATTATCGGGTGTTTGACTCACCACCATTCATTCAACACCTCCACTGATGTCATCCATTATACATGCCAAATTGGAATAGATTTTTTTTGAAATAAGAAAAAAATCAATGACTCAAATATCAATACTCCTACGCTGAATAATTATCCTGTTATGTCGTGTGTGTATTTGTTAAGGCTGTTCACATTGTTATTGTGTAATAATCACACACAAACATAAACACAAGCTTAACAGTGGCAGATGAAATTTAAGACGGAAAAAAATAAAATTCAACAAAAAACATTTCCACTATAAAAATCAATGATTGGTAAATATCAAAAAAAAACACATCGGGTAATTCTATGGGGACACTTACCTTATTTGTTGCCAAAAAGTCAGTCAGTCAGAAATAACGGGGTTTTTCCAGAAATCACAAAATAAAACACAAAAAAGGGAGGTATATGTTATAAAGAAAATGGATTTTTTTCGACACGGATAACGGATGAATGAAAAAAGAAATCACATCATCATCATCACCATCAGATTCATGTGGAAAAGTTTCAAATCTGCTTTGAAATGATCATCGTTGAACTGATGAATTGAAAAATGTATGAAATTTTTGTTGAGGACTAGATCACTTGTTTCGTTGTCGTTGACGATGAAAAAATGAATGAATAAAAGTCGACTTACGAATCGAGAATCAAAACCGATTTTTTCTCATAAGAGAGAGAGATGATTGTAAAGTCTATAGTAACAGCGAATCAAATCAAAAATAAAAGGAATCATCATAATTTAACGTAGGTAGATGCGTATGTGGTTCACAAACCTTAATAGTTGTTGTTTGTTTGTTTGAATAAATTGTATGAATGAATCAATGAATCATTTTCTTTCTTGAATCAAGTCAATGATCAACAATGTTCTCTTATTACATAAATATATTAAATATATATGTGGACAATAGATTTGAATGATGACTAGCAGTATGTTGTCGTTTTTTAGGGCTTGATATGATGATGATGATATCGACAATGGCATTCTTTTTCTTCTTTGTAATGTTTTTCCAATGGTTCAATTTTCTTCTCTTTCTTTCTTCCTCATATGGAAACAATGTTTGCCGTAATCATCATCATCATCATCGTAGTTATTACCTTGAATTGATTAAAAAAATGAATCCAATATTGGGCACTCTTACATTGATGACGATAAGAAATGCATTTTATTTTTATTTTTATTTTTATCTTTTCTTGTTTCATGTAAACAAAATAGAACACAAATTTAAGTTTTCGGTTTCGCACTCATTGTTCTCTCTCTCTCTCTCTTTGATTCATTTTGATTTGCTGCTACTACACTACATTCATAGGCAATGGTCACAATTGTTAAGATCGTTTACAAATTACCGTTACGTTCTGTTGGTAAAGCATATCACATTATGACAGATGACGGATAAATTAGTGATATTTAAAATGCATTATGACTGTAAACATTAGCGTAAAGTGTAATCGATTAAATCGATGATTTCGATCATCATCACCGAAAAAACAACTGTACATTTGATTCTCAATGCACTTATGAAAGATTTGAATTTAAAATGAAAAAAATTATTCATTCGTTTTTTTCATATCAATCAATCAACATATCTATTCGATGTTGGAATTTTATGTAAATTTTTCGAAACTCATCCAGACTAAAAAAAATCGAATACAACAGGAAATTACAAATTCTAAAAGCGAAACTTCGAATTTTTCAACAACAAAAACAAATTACAATTTCAAAATTGCATTAATCATTCGGTTGAAAAACATTGTGACCAACGAATAATAATAAAGTGTTGACATTTTGGAGAATTGGCTATAGCGAAAAAAGAATCGAAATATCAATCTTCATTTTTCATTTCATCACTCATTTTTTATTCGATGGATCCAAAATCTAAATCAAAATCGACGTTGAAATTTTCGTCTACGAAACAATCATCATCATCGAATGATCATTTGGAGCAAGCGGATCAAGATTATAATTCAAACAAATCGACAAATTATAAAGATTTTATCGAACATCGATATATTTGTTCCATTTATGCTTGTTTTTCCGTACAATGTTCATTGGTTTTTCTCTCTATCCATGTAGCACAATGGTTAAGGTAAATTTTCCATTCCAATCGATGAAAATGTTTGTTCTTTTTTCATTGTCTTTAATTGATGATCCATGTTCGATGATGATGGCGATTAACGATGATGACAATTTGTTCTTGTTAAATTTTTCTTTTCTGGCCGAAAAAAATCTACACAATCAATGTGTGCGTGTTTGTGTTTTATTAAGCGACGAAGCAATGCTAGAAAATTCTCTTGTCTAGTTTTCGGATGATTATCGGTGAAAAAAAAATATTTTTGTTTTTTGTTGAAAAAACCCAACAGAAAATATTGTCCATGTGTGTGTGTCTAAATGAATGTTCTAATTTTTTTTTTTTTTTTCTTTTTCTTCCTGATAATCTTTTCCTTAAAAATTTTAGCGCAGAATTTTGTCGTGAACAATCAATCGATTTAGCAATCATATTTGGTTTAGCGACAATAGTTTTTTATATTATTCTCTGTTTTAGACCATTAAATCTTAATATTCGTAATGATAATAATAATGCTGAAAGCAAATTTCTTTGGTTAGATGCCACTTTACAGATAATTTTCGTATGTATTATTAATATATTCGATTTATTTTCGTTTGTTTATTTATTTTTTTTTTCGTTATTTGTCCACAGACACTATTGCTATGCATATGGCTGACAGTGGTAAGTTTTATCCAGATAAAAATATTCAAATTTGATGGCAGAAATATTATCATACCAATGTTGGTGATGGTCTTCTGTTGGTGTGCATTATTATCATTGGTACGTTGTTGGTATCATTATAATCAATTTACTGTGGTGGATACATTTGGCAAGGTAAGTCTTGTTTTGTTTTGTTTTGTCTTTTGTTTGTTTTTTTTTTTTTTTTTTTTTGGTTAATGAATGAAAATCAAATAATTATCCAATTGCGCTAAATTCTCTTTGTTTGCATCAAATGGGCTGTCCACAAACATTTATATAAATTATTTATTCTTGATAGTTGAATTAGGATCAGTTTCTTTTTCTGCTGATTCAACATAATCTCAATTATCTCACTCTCGTCATGCCGATGATTCTTTTGTTTTATTTTGATAATTTCATTTTTTTTCTGCAATTCAATTATTGCACTGTATATTAATTGTTACTTAAATGATGTCCTCCAAACATTGAATTTTTTTTATCTTGAAATGGACTCATTCAAGAATCGATGATTCAACATTTAAAAGCTCCTCATCCATTGATTGTTTTGTTTTGTCACCATCACATCATCGACAACAAAACAATAACAGCAAATCATACACACTTAATTTAATTATTTTTTTTCTTGTCCATAATGCACTTGGTTAGTTAGTTAGTTATGTTTTTTTTATTGTTTACAAATAATCATTCATCATTAATTCATTTACTCAAAGTTTTTTAGCCTACATTCAAACAATATGGCCAATGGTTTACGACAAGTATTTTTTATCGAAATGTTAATTGCCTCATCAATGATGTTTTTACAAGAAAATGTTCATGGATGTCTAGCCATACAGTTTGCATTTCATTTGGCATTCTTTTTGATTCTTGTATGTTTTTTTTATTCGAATTTTTAATCTCTATATTTCTTCCAGTTTATAATGATTTATTTTGTTTTGTTAAAACACAGTATTTATCATATGGAACTCGATTATTTTTATCGTCATCTAAATCACATAATTATGGTCGTTATCATGTGAATAAAATTCTTATCGGTTTATCATGGATCTATACATATCCATTTCGATATTTTTGCCATTTATTATGGTCCAAAATTAAGGCACGAAAATAATGATGACACACAGCGCACGACGACATTGGTCAAGTTGGTTAGATTTTATTTTTATATTCAAATAAACTATACCGACCACCACCAACCACGATATTTTGAATTTAATTTCCAACAATTTAATTATATACAGTAATCATAACATATTGTTCAAATGGTTTGCTAACAATGAATATAATGTTGTCAACTGCTTGATGATGATGAAGATGGTACTAAAAACTTTGTGTGTGTGTGAATGGCCATTTATTACTGCTGAAATTTAAGCTGAGAATTAAATTTGGTTTAAAACATTATATCCAAACCACCACCACCACCCATCCAGTAGCTATTCATTGTGTGTGTTTGTTTTCCCTTTGGTTTCCAAACAAAAAAAAACCTTAATTCATCTTACATTACTCTCGTTCTCATTCTTCTCTATTAGATTTAGATTCAATCATTATATTTCGACTTTGTCTTGCCCTCAGATTTTTTCTTTTTTCCCTCGTTTATATAATATTATAGAATTTCTGGCTGATTAGAGTTTCTTCTTTTCATTTCATCGCTGTGCATTGTCTGACGGAATCAATGTTTGAACCCGAAATTCTCTCTGGGCGTGTGTGTGTATGTTTTTCTATTCTCTTTTCTCGATCATCATCATCATCATCATCAAGAATTGATGGGATACAACGCTATGCCATAAGGCATCTTGTTTCTCTGTGCTAACGATCACATAATGACCATCCGAAAATTGTGTTTGACTTTTTAACTCTTTTTTTCTGCTTGCTTGCTTGATTTCATGTTTCGATGTGTGTGTTTTTGTGTGTGGAGATCATGCAACTTTTATTATTCATTGTAAAAACGAAAATCAAAAAAAAAAAAATGTAATTCAAAGCTGGTTTTGAGCTAATGACTCACTGCGATGATGGTACGATTTTTCAATTCTTTTCAAATAAACTGTCTGTGTGTGTGTGTTCTCCTTTTTTTTCCATCCGAGCTGAAATTATCATTATCATTAAAAATAATTTCATTTGATTTTCATACGATCAAAAAAATGAATATGATTTGTGTGTCCGTGTGCATATGAATACAATGAAATTTTTATTTAAGAAAATTATACAAAGTTTTTTGCTCTAAACCAAATCGTCGTTGTCTTGGTTAATTTCATTTCATAATTGCTGATGATCAAACACACACGCCTATAAAAAGTAAATTTTACCATCAACTACGCCCACTAATCATATTGGTTACAATGAAAATGAATGTAACACTGAAAAAAAAAATTTTATTTAGTCAAAATGATAATTGTCAAAAAACGACGACAACAACTATAAACAAACACACACATGTGCACATTCAAAAAACATTCTCTTATTGGATTAACATGAACATGTCAGAGGCAATGCGACTTTTTTTGTCATATGTTTTTTTTTGTGGTACCGTTAATCACACAGAAATTTTTTTTTTACACAAAATCCACCCACAATCTTAAAATGTAAATGACAGCGAAACGATGTTTTTTGGTTTCTGCCCATTCTGTTTGGTTTTTTTTAATTGATTCTGACGTTTTATTAGAATCATTATTTGTGAAAGTGACTGTTGTTTTTTTTTACATTGTTGCAATTGCTTCATTAAGACTTATTTTTACAATTTGACAAGTAGTGGATCTTTACAGAAAAAGAATCTATTTTCTTTGGTTTCCAAATAAAATCGACCTTGAACAAAACATGGTTCTTTCAGGAGGAAATCCGCAATTGAATTTTTTCTTGTTTTAACCATTCAACCGATCGATCGATTGATTAATTCAATTGAATTGAATTTTTTTTTCTTGTTTTTTATTTCATTTTCGGTTTAGGATGGTATAGGACAACACCCTGTACTGTTTTTTTTTTTTGTTTTTCTTCAATCAAATTAATTGAATGAATCACGACGAAACGAATAAACGTTGTCGATTGATTTTGACTGCTGTTGAGAAGTCAGTATAGAGAGACGCCCGATACATCAATATACGATTGGAAAAAATCATATCATCACTGATAATTCTGTGATGATGTGGTGGTGGACTGTAACGAATCGATTATCTTCAACTTTTTTTTGATTATTCCATTTTGTTGATCAGGACATTGTTTCTATCTCTGTGTTTATAGAGAGAGAGATACAGAGAGATTTCCAATTTTCTCTTGAATTTTTTTTGCTAAAACTGAAAAAGTCAGAATTCATTCATACAATTGGTCCAACCAACCAACCAACCAACCAACCAGCCAGGCATAACCTAAACATGATTCGATTTGTTCAATTTAGTGTTTTGAATGAAGTTTTTTTTCATATCTTTATTATCATTTCTGCCATATAAAAATAGTGATCATTCTATTGTCGTTTCTGTGTGTGTTTCAGAATAACCAAATTCTCTTTTTCTCTCTGTTGTGATGGTTCATTCAACCGAACCATTTTCATAATAATCGTCCCTGTGTGTATGTGTGTGTGTTTGGGTGCCATAACGCCATGACGCCATATCATTTTTTTTTTTTTTTTGTTATTGTGGTAAGTTGGTATGGTGGTTGGTTCATATTTTTTTTTTTGGTATGAAATCTAATAATTTTGAGCCTTGAGAATCTTCCAATCCACCAGGGTACGACAGAGAGAGAGAGAGAGAGAGAGAGAGGGGATATTTCATTTTTTACTTTTGTTATAATAAAATGATATTGGATTTTCCAAACAAAACAAAAAATCTGTGACCTAAAACCTCGGCCTCTGCACAATTTTTTATTCTTTCCTTCTCATCAACCACCACGATCAACGGAAATAAATTGAGTGCAAACAAACGATTGGTTTTTTTTATTAATAAAAATTCTGTTACAGTGTCATATCATAGCTTGGTCACTTGATTTTCATACACTGGACAATCAAAACTATATGTAGGCGAGGAACGAATTAATTGCATTAATTTCATTCGAAACTGTCGCTGAGACGAATTATTCATTTTCAATAACCAATGGATTTGGATTTCTTGATCACTTGGACACCATCGACGAAATATATTCCATTCATATGTTTCGTTAAGATATTGCCACAAACACCGTAAACCGTTTGGTATTTCGATGCCATCCATTTGTTTCAATATCACACGTATCTGATGTAAACGTGGCATCATATGACAATCAATCATCGTCGGTTGTTCATCGGTCATGGCATATCTAGTGCCAAACAGTGTTAAAACGCGATTCAATTCACCTAAACCATTAATTAGTTGTTGACGAATCGCTGCTAAATCATTCAACATAAATCGTGATGGTGATCTTGTTTGTTGTTGTATGTAATGATAAAATCTTCGATTAACCATATGTATTACGGTGATTAACTTCCAATTCAGTTGATGTTGATTATCATTGCAATGATTATCGAATGAAAAATTAAATTCAAATGTTTTGGTCGGATATTTTCGTTCAATGTAATCAACAATATCCATACGATATTCTAAAATCTGATGACCATTGTTTGGATCAATCAGTACCGGTAATTGATGTATCATTCTATAGCATAATTCTTCTGGTAACATTTTATTTGCATTACAAAGTTTTACATCAAACGGTAATTGTTTCAACGATAAAAGCATTAATATTTCTATTGAAATTGGACAGGCACATAATAATGATGGTTTTAAAGGTTGTTCATAGTTTTGTTGTTGTAATTCATTATTATTCAAATCAATAATTGTTGCTAATGACTCGCATGATACAAATGGTGTTGTTTGCTGTAGATTAAAGCCACCGCGTAATAATGAATAACTTTGTTTTACATAGATTATCAATGGTTTCATAATTATGTGGTCATCACAATTGTTTTGTCATTCATTCATTCATTTCTTTTATTGAAACACAAACCATTTTCACCAAAAGTTTTGAAATGATCGAATAAAACACCAACAACTTCCATACAATCGCACTCACACACACACCAAGCAAGGCCAAAAAAAACTGATTTGATGACTTGCATTTTTTTCTTTCCATTTTTAATCCTGTCACATCTTTTGTTTTTTTTTTTTTTTTTTGATTTGATGTAATATTTATTGTTGTTACTATCGAAATAAAATCTTTTTGATCAATTGATGAGAAAGAAAAAGAATGACAAAGTGGCTCAAAGCTCAAGTTACATTCATTTTCGTCATCATCATTCATGATGGCCTTGATTTTTTGTGTTTGTTGTTTTTCTAATGAAAAATGATTTTTATACAATGATGGTGAGGAATAATTCTATATACCTAAAGGGTATATTATTTGTTGAAAATAAAAACAAAATCCTTTCATTCGAATATTTCTGAGAATTCTTAGAAAAAATTTTCATTTCATCAATTCAATAAAAACCATGATGATGTCAAAGTTATACATTTTTTCTATTTTATCATGATTACATTTTATAATTTGATTTATATTTATCTTTAAAATATTCCATTCATTTCATGATTTCAAAATTCCATGGACAAATTTTTCCGGTTTTGCGTTGTAAATCTAACACATCATCATGTTTGTGTCTAAGCAAACATGATTTGAATGAATTTTTACAACAGAAAAAAATTTGGAAAATCAAATCAAATTTCAAATACACCGGTTTTTGTTGTCTTTTCTCTTAGCATCACATTGGATGGAATGACATATTCTTTTTCTCTCTCTCTATGGTTGATATCAAATTGGTCATTCATATCCGTTTTTTATAGATATTTTTTTGTGAGGGGATGTAAAAGTGCAAAATTCGTGTATATAGATTATCAACGTCATCAATTTGTTATTGATGCAATGTGGTGGTCAACAAACAAACAAATGAATGAAAGAGCTCAATATGTGTTTGACAGATCAATTTCCGCTTCGTATAAATATACATTCAATTCACATTACAATAGAATTTGAGTTTTTTTTTCTCTAAAAATTCCTTCATTCTCTCACCACACCACACACAAGGGTGTCATGGTGTGGTAGTTTATTTCCATTCGATTTGGGTTTCCGATTGTTTATTATACACTGACGAATTTTGTTGTGTTTTGTTCCGGATAATTTTTTTTCCAATGATGATGATAATGATGATTCTGGTTTGTAAAAATTATGAATACATTGATGATGACAAAAAAAATGAACAAGCCAATTCCAAAAAGAAATATGTCTGTTTGTCTGTGTGTGTGTGTGTGTGTGTGTGTACGGGAATTACAATCGGAATACTACAATGTTGTCATAAATCATTCTTTTTCTCATTTTTCTCACCATTCATTCATTCATATCAATCTAACATTTGCTTGTTTTGGCCATTTCATTTCATCATTTCACATATATGATTCGATTCATTATTTTTTATTTATTTTTTGTTTTGTTTTGCCAAAGAAAAGAATTATCATTTGTTCGGGTATGCTTTTTTCACACTATCGTGTTTTTTTTTGTTCTTTTCCGCTTTATGTATGTTTTGTGCTATATTATCAAATGACATATGATGATGATGATTATGATGGGAATTGATGGAAATCTCAAAACTGATTTTTCGATGTTGATGATTATTGGATGATGATGATGATGACGATGATGTAAAAAAAGATATGAATAAATTTCTCTTGAGAATGGATTTCCAAAACCCAAAAAAATTCAAAATCCAATTCATTGAAGAGAATAAAAAATCAATCAACAGAGGAATTTTCCTGGAATGAATGATGCTGTGCCAAATTGATTGAAAATTTTTTTTGTTTTACATCATTTCTATTATGTGGCCATTGGAGATTTGATTTTTTCGTTTTCTGTGTTTGATTTGCAAATTCTCATCATAAATGACGTAATCATTATCGTATCACATTATAATCGAATCTAAAAAAATAAACATTTGAATTGAAAAAAAAACAAAATTATCCACCCTTATCGATCAATCTTTTTATCCATCTGATGATGGAATTTTCTCATCACCAACAGTTCACAATGTCTAATTGAGACGCGCACGCATCTATATGGATAATGTATTTGTGTGTTTGTTTGATTTCCCTGTTGAATAATAATAATGATGATGATGATGATGTGTTGATAATTATCATCCACGGTCTTTTAAAAACAATCTTTCATTTGTTTATTTATTTTGTTTCAATAAAAATCTAAGAAATCGGGCATTTTTTTTCCATTTGGCGGTGATTTCAAATTAAATTCATAATTTGTGTTTGTTTATGATCACAACGACGACAACCCAATCTGCCATTTTGTTATAATACCCATGAGAAACAAAAATAATGTTTTTTTTTTGGCAACCAACAAAAAAAAGCTAATGATTTTTACCGGAAAAAATAGAAAATGGTCATTTATTCATATTCATCTTCATCACATTATAGTATTTGTTTGTTGGTTGTCCAACAAAAAAATGAAAAACGCCAAATTAACCACAACTATTCTTTATATCAATTCATTGCACAAATTATATTATATAATGATTATTGTCAATCTGACTGGAATATTTGTTTGTATGTGTTTGTTTTGTTTATATGGGTTTTTTTCGGGATAATTTGTGCGTATGTTTGTGTTTCCTTTATTACCATCATCATCGTTGTGTCATCGGTCACTTTCTTGTTACATGTTTTATCATGATTTTTTCATTTACTTCATTCATTGCTTCAATATGTATCTCATATATTTATATAGATAGATAGCGTTCAATCATACATACCACTACTACTTCCATGAATTTGATCAGAGCAGAAATAAATGACTATAACTGATTCTGACTATCCAAAAAGAGAGAAAGAATCACTGCTTTTCGGATTCCGGTATTCCAACAATCCACAGCAGAGACGAACCAAGCAACGGACAAAAAAAAATTCAAAAGCACTCAAGATTCAAGCCGCCACGATTCAGATCAAAAAAGATTCACTACATCCAGAAAAAACAAAATTTTCATTCCTCAGTCTCAGTTTTTTTTTAGTTTCAGTGAATTTTTCCATTATCATCAGCATCTGTTTCAGAAACCGATTCAGGTTTTACAACGACGACGAAGACGACAAATTCTAATATGTAACCCAAATAGTTTTGTTGTGATCTGAAAATAAATCGTTTTTTGCCGACCGAATTTTACCATTTCAACCCAACGAACAACAACAACAACAACAAACGATCAATCGATCGACAACGATCAGGTTTCACTATCGTATTTTCGTTTGCTTTATTCAGTTTTAGAATTATATTCAGAGCGAAAAAAAAAATTAAAATTTATGAGTTTTGCTTGTTTGTTTCGCTTGTTTGTTTGTTATTCGAATGACATGATCTTGTTATATCGTAACGATTAAAATCGATGTGAACGTCATCATCATCATCATCATCGATATTTACTGTCATCATCATCATTTTGAACAAACTGGCTTTCTCTCTCGCACCATTGAAGAAATCAAATGTATGTTGTTGTATTTAAATATTTGATCAAAAAAAAACGATAGTCATGTCGATCATATCATATGACATTGATAAAATAAACAAAATCAAACAAAACAATCGAATATTAAAACTAAATTCTTAAACTTCACTTAGGAAATGATTCTTGATGACCAAATAAACGAATGAATTTGAATTTTTTTTTTCTTTTTCTGTTGTTCAATACAAATTTATACAGCTGAGAAAATAAAAATCTCATCGAACAATTCTAACTCATCCTCATCATCATCATCGATTGATACATCTTTATTTACATTGTATATGATTGAACAATGATGATTGATTGATTTGTATGATTGATCGATTCATGATCGATGACGACCACGTCATATACAAAGTCGTTGTCGCCATATATTTGATGGTCTTTATATGAAAAATGTCACTGTTTGATTTTTTTTGTTGTAACAACAAAGAAAAGAATATCGTCATCATCATGATCATCATTATCGTGATGAATATTTAATGTACCATTATCACATCAAAAAATCGATTATTAAACACTTGTTGTTGTTGATTTGTGTCAATAACAACAACAACAACAATTTTTTTTCACCATCATCATCATTATCATTCGATAAAAAAAACTATTATTTCCTTCTTATTGTTGAAGCCATTCAATCGAAAAATTTAAATTTTTTTTTCGCACTCTGCTTCTTGCTGATTCTGACGATAAAGGATCCACTTCCGGTTTTTTCTTTTGTGTGAATGTATGTGTGATTTTGATCCAGAATAAAAAAAATTTGATCACTTATTTTCAATGTGCTGTCATTGTTTGTGAAAAAAAATCATAATCGATATCGACATTTGAAATTTTTTTCTATTGAAATGATGATGATGAAAATAATAATAATGAAATGTAAATAATGGAATCAACAACAGCAACAATAATATTCACCAACAACAACAATGGATGGATTCCACAACGTGCAGAATCATTATTATCGAGGAAAATGATTGCTGCTACTACCACCACTACTGAGGCAGTCGTTATGAATAATTCAAATGGCTCGTTATCTCAGGATAATAATGATGATGATAATTACAACGGAAATCCAATGAATGATCTTGATAATGGCGGCAACGACCAATCAACCATTATTAAGGATCATAGACGAAAAAATCAATCAATTCAACAACAACAATGTAACAATCGTATGTCAACAACAACAAGGTCGATAATAAATAATGACCAAATTATTTTGGAATCTCAAAATTATCATTATCAACACGATGATGATCATCGAATTCGATTAATCGATTGTCAAATTCGTTCATCACCATCAATGTTGTTGTTTCATCAACGTTGTGATAATAATAAAGTAAAGTGTTGTGATTGTATTTTATCAAAAGGAAAAAATTTAAAAAAATCAAAAATATCATCTACTACCGGTGATGATAATGATAGAACCGTTTATTCATCATCATCATCATCAAATTCGCATCGAATTAATGTGAAAACTTCAAAAACCTTTATACGATTACTTGTCAGTATATTGTTTATCACATCACGTATTACATCTGTATCATGTATGCTTGATGCATTGAAAGCATTATTTATATTGACCGGTGCTAGTACCTATTTAGGTATGTATCATGTTTTTATTTTTATGAATTGGACCTAGAGAGAGAGAGAAAGAGAGAAATTGTCATCTATTTACATTTTTTTTTGTGTTTGCTTTTTTTTGTGGTTTAGCCACTTGGCAATACTGGTGCTGCTTTATTTTTTGCAAGTTTTATCCGATGATGATAAATCCAATAATTTTTTACCATCTACTCACACACACACACAACCAAATTCAGGAAATCGATTATTATTCTTTCTTCCTCTCTCTATCTCTATCTCTTTCTTTCCAATATCTATGTTTATGCCTGAAAGATATTCATACACACACGACAAACGAAAATGAAACGAAGAAAAAAAAAATTTGAAATCTAAACACATATTTTATCGACCAAAACACACAGAAAAAACATTTTTTTTCGCCCATAACAAAAAAAATGTGTGTAGAAAAACGTGTTACGAATTGATAATGACATGATTTATTATTATTATCCATTATTATATCACACACACACCGTTTTCACATATTCATTCTCATTCATTTCAATTCATTTCATTCATTTAGACTCTTTTTATATTCATTCATAACATCTAACACATCAATAAAACCAGTGAGAGATTCGATTCAAATATTGTTGATATGATGATTGGACACTCTCTCATTCATGGTCATCAAATATGTTTTTTTTCATTTTTTTCATCTTATTTCATCACGATGATGAGGAATATAATTATGTCATCAATGTTGATTCATGGATTATTATCATTATGAGAATGATTTTTTGTTCATCATAAAGGATGATGACCACCATCACATTGACATTGATAACGTGAAAAATTTGTATGATTTTAATATATACATCTAAAACGAATCATTTATTTTTTTTTTGATGCTTTATATGAGCATTCTGTTTGTTTTTTGATGTTAAATTATATTGCCTTGACTTACATGATCCATATGTGGTGGTCATTGCCTAATTTTGATTCCGGAAACAATCACACACACACACACCCACGCATTTTCGAAAATCAGTATTCATTGAATTTTTTTTTTCGAATGACGATGTGATTTCTATTAATATAAATTGAACGTAAGTTATTTGTTTTCCTATGGTGTGGATATGATAGATTTAATTTAATGACCACCACCATCACCAAACATTACACATCACTAAGCAAAAAATATGGACCACCAAAATTGTCTTTGCTTGCTTTATGTTTTTTTTATTAATGTGACTAATGTGTTCATTATTAAATGATACATACACAGACAAAATAACCGGATATTCGTGTGTAATCATTATCATTACCATTATCATTATTATTGCCATTGTCACTGTGTTTTATGTATATGTGATTCAATTTTTTTTTATCTGGAAACATGTGCATCGGGTATTTTGTATTTATTAACATGAATGGGATGGATATTCATCATTTTATGGATAATTTTTGGTTGTCGGCTATTATTATTTTCCAATGAGTTTTGTCTGATCTGACTGATTTGATGTGATGTGATGTGATGTCTTTGTAATACTTATTCATTCAATTATTATTTAGGCTGTAATTTTTTTTATTGTTGTTACCTACAAGAAAAATGATTCGATACAATCGATTCTTTTTTCTGCTTCCAGAGAGATTACACGCAGAAATTTTTTCTTTTTAGTTTCAGAGAATTCTTTTTTCTGTGTTTGTTTGTTTGTTTGTTCATGCGATCATCATCATCACAATGATGATGTATCATAATCCTTAAATCAAATATTTATCCATTTTTCCGGAAAAAAAATTTTCTCACTTGTTTGGCTTTTATTCTTGCGTGATGATGTTTGTTTGCACACACACACACACACACACACACTGTGTTTGCCAAAAACGATCCTAATTAATTAGGCTAGAATTTTTTTTTTTTTTTTGATTCTTTGCATCATCGATTATCATCATCATGTTTGAAATGTTTAACATTCGCTAGTCGATAATGATGAAAGTGAAGTAAATATGACAACAACAACAACAACAACAACAAAATATTAGTCTGGCGAATCGAGTAGTTGAAAATACCAAAAACCCCCTTCAATTTATGAAATATCAAAAGTCACATTAATCTAAGCTGCTAATTCATTGATTCAATTTCAATTCCAATGAATTGGCTTCACATTTTGTTGTTGTTGTTTATTGTGTTTATCATCATAGAATTTTTTTTGTTTGTTGCGTTCAATTTGATAATGATTTCTATGGGTAGGCCGAAAAAAATAACTCAATTTCTCTTTTTCTTCTTTTTTTCAGAAAACAAAACAAAAAAATCCTTTTTTTCATTTATTTATTGTCAATCGAGTTTTCGTTTTCGTTTTCGTTTTCTGCCAGTTTACTTTATCGTTTTGTTTTTTTTTCGATTTTTTTCCTGGCGAGAAAAAAAAGGGTTTCATTTCATTATTTTGTCTTTTTTTTCTGGGTTAATTTTTCTTCTTTCACCCATTCTCTTACCATCGACATATAATATGAGACTGTTTTGTTTTGTTTTCTGCTTTCGATGAAAAGGCCAAATCGACATTCATTTCGTTTTTGTTGTTGTTGTTGTTGTTTATTTGTTTTTTTTGGACCAAATGTGTGTGGGTGTGTGTGCAAAAGTGAAGATAGATTAATGTAATTTTTAGAGGAAAAAAACAAAAAAAAAATTCCAGTGTGGAATATTTTAAAATCTGGGTGTCTTTGTGTGTGTGTAACTTTATCTCAATCCTAGCAATCAAATTGTCGGCCGATTTATCTGTGTGTGATTGTGTATCATCATTGTGCAGAAAAAAATTTTTTTTTTTTCTGTTTTTTTTTTGTTTACAGATTGATCGAGATTCTCACACATACACACACACACACTGCTACATTCAACGCATTCGGGGATAATATAGAATTTCCTTTTTTTCTGGATTCTTCAATTTTTTTCATGGGATTTATTTTCTTCTTGCTCATTCTCATTTTCGAATTTTTATCCCTATGTTATGAGTTCTTTTTTTCTGGTTGTTTGTTTTGTATATTTGCTTTACTATTTGGTATAGCAGCCACAGACATTTGGACATGAATGACACAACACACACTTGCTATTTTACATAATATTAATCATTTTAATGTGAAAAGATTTTTTCTGCTTGCTTGCTGGCTGGCTGTTTTTCTGTGATTTTTCCTGTGTGAATTCACAATTTATGCATGATTATCAAGTCAGAAAAAATTCAGGATGTTTTCTAGCCAAATTTGAAAAAAACCGATACAGAAATTGATCGGTTTTCTTCACTTCATGATACCAACCAACGAATCGACCAAACAAATTTGCAATACAAAAGAATTTTTCATTTTGCTTCTTCTTCTTCATCTCTATACTTTGCTTTGCTTGATATTATTATTATTATTAACAACCGACTAAAATGAATAAATCTTTTTTCAGTTAACGTTTCCATTCATTGTCCATTGAATTTCTTATTGTTCATGCTGCTGTATGTTGCTGTTGTCATCATAGTGCCTTATAGAGAATTTATTCAAAAAAAAAAAATTGATTTACTTGATCAATACTAACGAATTAATGGAACAGCAACAACAACAACAACAACGACTATAATTCAATAGCTAAATCACACGATTCTTCAGTAGCAGCAACAAAAAACCTAATAATATTGAGTCAGCATCAAATCTGATGGATAGATTGGATAGATTGAATGAATGAATGAATGAATTAGGAAGGAAGAGAAAGAAACCTTATGAATAATAATAATGTTGTTGTTGTTGTTAAACATTTTGAATGAATAATAATGAGAGAATTTCGACAAACAAACATAAAAATAGTAAAAACAAAACACCAAGGCGACACAATGTTGAGATTGAGAGTAACATTTACACATTCAAAATAACAAATCCTATGGTAACAAACAGAGAAACAGAAAACTAATAAAAATAAATAAGTTATCAAATCTTATCAATGCCGTTATAGTAATAATAATAATTGATTGTAATTGTAATTTGGGAGAAAAAAAAATCTCAACAATTTAGCCAGTGTGTAGATGGACAAAAATAAATGTTGTCTGTAGCCAATGGAAACGAAAAACTACCTACATTTGATTGGATTCTTTTTTCGTTTTCGATATTTATATTTCTAGTTTAGTGAGCCAATATTTCATTTCATTGTATTTATTTATTTAGTCTACCACAAAAATCCATATCTGTCCATCATTGCATTTTTTTGTTTGTTTGTTCATTTGTCTAGTTACATCATGCTTCATTGGCATTTTTTTCCAGTTCATTTTTCCAGTCTCTAATAAAAGACGTTTGACGAATAATAAATATGACACAAAGAAAAACATAAACAAAAAAAAAACACCAATAGCTTAAGCTTCTTGTTCTGATTGTGTGTGTATCGATATCCCTCGGATTTGTTGTTTTTGTAATTTCTGATTCTATACATGTATGTCATATGCTTCTCTAATCATTTTTTTTTGGATTCCGTAATCAAAAAAAAAAAGAAGAAGAAAAAGATTTCTATTTTATTTATTATGTAGACATTCTATATATTCTGATATATGTTTGTCAAGATTGATTAACATTTTTTCTGTGTGTATTCAAGAATCTTAGTTTTGTTTTTGGTTGATTTTTGTCTGTCTGTCTGTTTTTTTTGTCTGTTTAATATGCGGAAATTAATTTCATTGAAATAGAACGGCGCAGAGTATTTAAAGAATGTAAAAGTTTCGATCAATCAATCAATATCCTGTGTGTGTGTATATATCGAACTAATTGTTTGGTCTTTTTTTGCTTGTTTCCAACGTTTTGGTAGACCACAATTTAGGTTAATAATTTTTTTCAAAATTTTGTCTGAAAAAATCATTGCAACCACGTCGATTACTCAAAAACGATTAGAAATTCTTTATAGAAATGATGATGATGATTTGATCGGTTTTTCTGGTTTCTAGTTAGTAATTTCTTATTGTGTCACAATACAATCAATACATTGTATTTTGATTTGAAACAATTTTTTTAGAAAAATGAAATGAAA